TACCCCCTTCTATGGAGCAGAGACTTGGCCCATGAAGGCCCGGCAGAGGAATCGCCTGAATCTGTTTCATCGCTCATGCGTCCGTTCCATCTTGGGAGTCTCAAGGAGCGATCAGCACTCCCGTCATCTTACTACTGCTGATCTAGCCCAGAGAGCGCGTCTTCCTGAGGACATTGGCACTTTCCTGCGTGAGTACTGTCTGCGTTGGCTGGGTCATGTTGCCCGTATGGACGCGGCCCGGATTCCTCAACAAGTGTTGTTTGGGGAGCTCGAGGCAACCAGACCACGGCATGGGCCAAAGAAGCGTTGGCGAGACACGATTGTTGGTGATCTGCGCTCACTGGATATTCCGGAGTCCGAGTGGTATCGGCTCGCACAAGATCGCCCGGAATGGCGTAGGCGGGTCCATCAACATCGTCTTCCTCCCCCGGCACCGAAGGACTTTCACTGCGCATATGCGGCAGAGCGTAAGGAGAAGTGGCGATTTGAAGCGTCACATCAAGTACTGCCCAACTCAGTAGCCTATCATCTCCACTGGAGATGGGGCGTCAAAGGTCAAAGGTGTTTGGTTGGTGGGTACACTTATGCCAGATAGTGTTGGATATGTTGCCAACGGGCTCGGATGCTTGAAGGTCCATTGCTGTACCTGCCACCTTTGTGGTTTCAGAGTTCATGTACTTTCTATTTGAAGTACTTCGAAGTACGCATACCTGTTAACCATGGACTGCTTCTGGCTAGATTAACTCTTGTGTAATCAACGATGCTAGTGAAATTATAGTATCAGATCCACTCTGATTCAGCCACCCACACTAGTAGCAGGTGTATTACCTTCACTGGGGGCAGGGGTAACTGCAGTTGGATCCTGGGACGGATACCCTGATGCCTTCAATCCCTTTTCTGCACCTTGTCCTCGCCCACTTACTGAGGTGTGGTGAGCCCATAAGTGGGATCATTTCCAAGTCCACCTAGAGTTTGGGGATTCAGGGGGCATAGGCTATTACATTGGGAGGTTCAATAGCCAATTGAGTCATCTTTCCAAGATTCCTTTTGAGTCTCTCTCCCCTCTCCTGGGGAGAGCCAAGTGACTGGTTTGGCAGTGAGCAAAGTACTTTGAAGTACAAGAACAAGACAGTGTTTGTGTATATGCGGTGGTGTGTGTGCGGTGGTGATGTGTGTGCGTGCGGTGGGGGTGGTGTGTGTGTGTGCGCGTGTATGTGTGTGTGCAGATTTGCGTGCTTCTCTTGCGACAGGCGTATACTATACATGGCATACGGTACATGGTGCGTGCGTGTGTGTATGTTGCTGTGTGTGCTGTCTGATTCTTGCCACTATCGGAGAAGATTCCACACTGCTCCGCCATGGAGGAGTAGACTAGGCTGCAGTGTGTTCGAACCATTTCGGCGAAGCATGATGCCATACTTCTGGCATGCACCAATGGTAATTGTTTTAATAGGTATAATGCTCAAGGCAATACTGGTATACAGTACTGTTGGGCGCCGATGAACGACCGGGCTAGAATTTCACCAAGCACAGCATACCGATGTATATACGGTGACTCAGCTGTGCATAGACTGTAATAGTAACACATTAAAATAAGAACAGTCTAGGCTAGGAGGCTGACCCTCCAGTTCTTCGGCGACGGACAGTACTGTATTTATGAACAGAGCAGGCGGCGCATGGCATTCCTCCCTGCCTGTTCCTTGTCTCCTCATACAGCTTGTGTAGTGTCTCACGAGAAGGACAGCTACTCGTTGAAGCTGGGGTGTAGGCAGGTATTCTACATTGGTCTGCCCGTGAAGAGGTGTGCGTGTGTGTGTGGGGGGCTTCCACTGGGAAAATGTTTCAGAAAATTGCCAAATTGGGCCCAAAATAGCCCTCACAGCTAAATGTTAGGCTACCAGCTATAAATCATGGCTTTGTGCTGCTGATTTCAAAAAGGCATTGTACTATAATATTATATGAGGTGATTTTCAAGACAACTATGGTCTGTTTCAAAGTGGACTTGCAGGAACTGCTGCAATGAAGAAATATTCAGCGACATCCACCTTGACAGTAGTTGGTGCTGTCCGTACCTTGCACATGCTGATCCACCATGTGACTGGTAATCGTGTGCAATGCTCATTGCCATTGCCTGGTGGGATACTCAGCAGTACTCAGCCATACTATACTCAGCAATTTAGCATAAGACGAAGCTGTGGACGCAGCATACTGCTGCCACATGTACACTTTGACACGGGAATGCTTATACAGTAATGAACATAAATAATAAATTAATAATACCCAGCAGTGCATGTCACTATGCACCAGGGAGTCGTAAAATACGACTCCCTGCTATGCACAGTGGTTTTCCCGATTGGACGGCCACATGTCTCTGTGAACGATTTCGCTGCGTCTTTGTGCAAGGCCAAGCATATAATACGCAGTATTTAGATACGGCTGCTGACGGCTTTACGGCTTCCCAGCGTTTGATTGGTCAATCCTGATTCGGATCACTTTCACTGGAGCAGTCGGAACAATAGTGGAACAGTGCCCAATAAATACAGAATACATGTAAGATATTTATCTTGCTTGCCAGCAATATCACAGTTGGCGATGGCGCAAAATTTTGCATCTGAGAGCGGCAAATGGCTAGGAAGGTCCGGGACGACCCTCCAGTACACTATGATGATAATTTGACCTCTTTTAATTAAACCGAAACATATGATCTTAAAGATCACACGTTCAGTTCAATTACGGTACAGTATTAGTAATATTTGCATTCCTGCAGCCATGTCAGCCAAGCAAGTGTCAAAGACACTGGCTCAGTCCACACAGTCGCTTATGCTGGACATAGGTAGTACAAACAACGGGACAACTCGAGCCAGATTGCTGGCCAGAAGAAGAGAAAAGAAAGAGAAGAAAAGAAAAGAAAGAGAAGAAAAGAAAAGGAAGAGAGTTGGAGAGCACAAAGTGTACAACGCCGCATTTAAAAATCCATTATTTTGACACGTTCTGTGTCCAGATTCCCAGCAGTTGATACAGATGTGACTCGTAAGGGGTCGTCCGCAATTATCGAAAGTTTTTTCCAATCCGTAGTAGCTTCGAAAGTGGGTGGGTGGGTCAAGGCCAGTTACGGATTGAAAAACTTCCGAAATGACACGTGCGCGTGCCACGTGTACGTCTACGTGTAGCCCCTGTTTTCCACGCGCGGCTGCGCGCGAACTGTCTACTACAAATATTTTTGTAGTTCTGGCAGTTTCTGCGCCCCCGCGCGCGCTTCCTTGGCTGCTCCTGGGCCGGGGATCATAAACTAAAGTTCGGCGCATTCGACGGCGAGTCGACACTTTCTATTTTTGAGTTTCACTGTCTCCTTCGTCCAGAGTACCGTCTTCCATGCACTCCTTTGAAGTCCTTCCGTCTAGTGCTGGCGCTGACGACTGTTATTGACTATGTCCAGACAGGCGACGTTGTTTGGAAAGGCGGTGAAGAAGCAGCCCTTTTTCAAAACCGCTGGTGTAATACAATACATGATGTCACTATGACTCATGGACCAGCACTGATTGAGTTTGTTCCATATGTGTTGGGTTGTGTGTCCATCAATAATATTTTATTACGGACTGGGGGGGGGTGGGTGGGTGGGTGAGGAAAAATTTGAAGCTACTACGGATTGGAAAAAACTTTCGATAATTGCGGACGACCCCTAATGTTATACTATGGTATACATAGCATGCATACTCATATACATATGCAATACTCAAAGCTATTGGGTGTTTCTTTTCTTTGTGTACATGGACATACATACGCTCTCGCTTGCTTTTGCCATAAAAAGGCCAGGTTCGCCCCTTGTAAATTGTTCTGACGATGGGCGACTGGCCTGAAACGTCAATCTTTTTTCAACATCACAAAGAATTTTTAATGCAGCTCATGCGCAGATTGTGAATAGCAACTGATACAGCGGTTGTCAGTTGACAAATCCTGTGTCTTCATAATGCAGTTGTGTGATGTCCACAACTTTCTTAGCGAAAACTCAATCTTTTTTTCGTGGAGACAGAAACGAAATCAATGCAATAAAGAAAGCGAGTTGCGCATTCAATACACACACCATTCGCATAGGTTTGGTATCCTACAACGTTTTCGTTGCCATCTCATCAGAAGGATTTTACTGGCAGAAATAAATCAACGAGTAACACAATATAAAAACTCAAAATGTCGTGAGGTGGAACAATACAAGCATCAGTGCGAACAATGAGAGGTGAGATCAAAAGCCAAAGCCGTTACAACTAAACCGGTCATGTGTAAGCAAAAAAATAATTCGTTCACCCTAAGTTGTTTGTAAACTTAGATCAGTAGTTCTCAGTGTTGTATATTGCACCTCCTTGAAGTTGTTAACTTATCTCTTAGCTTGTGATTCCAACTGTTTTTTTGATTAGTGGCTTTTGTTCTCACCTCACGGTGGATACAAGTAAATGTACATGTATTTTAATCAATAAGAGATCATACATGGAGAAGGGACCGCTCATAAGGCCAACGGATGGCACCAAAAGTAAATAACTGCCAAGCGTGTGCAACTGGTGGTGAGTGGCCATCATGACTTGCTTTCAGAAGTATGCCATTTTTCATAATGCTGTATTCGTGCATATGAGATGTGAGACCGAGCACGTTCAACGATGGCAACACTCATCCGCCACTTGTGGAGTAGGCAATGTGATAAAGCCATGACTGCATCTATATGGCAGCCACTCAACTGTGATCAAGTGATATGTGCAAACAAGCATTGCTCAGAAAGATACTGTCTCAAAGCAACATTTACACAAATTATTAATTACGACATTGTTTCAGTATATTATTTACTTGATCAATGGACGGCGGAATTGTTCTGGGCAAGGTGAGGGTGATTCACAGGCCTAGTTCGTTTCCTGGAAGCTAAATTTGCAACCCTTCAACTGCACTAAAAACCGGCAGATTTAAGCACACAATGGTGCTGCAGCTGGGTGCTGATAGCCGAGCCCCAAACCACTCAATCAAAGATAGAAGCAAATGGATCCAAACAGAATGGGCCAATAGAAAAAAACGGATGGTTCCCAGCAAATACAAGCCAAGATGGAGATCCAATACAAGTAATAAGGGAAAATTGAATGTAACAAGGGCAGTTGTGAGTTCCATGCATCAAACTTGCTAGATACAGGGCCTAATAAAAACTAAGCAACCAGCGCTGCTGCTGCTGCTGCTGCGGCAAAGCATAGTGCATTGTGTGGCAATAAGTGCAGAACCAGCTACATGTACAAGCTGGCCGGGACAATCCAAACAAATCAACAAGCAATAATTACAGGCAAAATAGGACAGAGGCCAGCAAATTGAACTGATTACTCCAGGTACAGTGTTCAACATTGATAGCCAAATAGAAGAAAGATTACTGGAGTTATGGCAATTGCTATGACAAAGTTCAGACTTGAAAGGACGTCTGCAAACAATGCAACCAATAAACCACAGAGAAGACAAGACAACCAAGGCGTGTGTGGTGGTGATGGGGTTACTGTGGACATGTCTCCTATTCAACTATTCGCTAGCCCAAAGGAAAGCAAATAGATGAGAGAGAGAGAGAGAGAGAGAGAGAGAGAGAGAGAGAGAGAGAGAGAGAGAGAGAGAGAGAGAGAGAGAGAGAGAGAGAGAGAGAGAGAGAGAGAGAGAGAGAGAGAAATAAAATCCGTGAATATCACAAGGAGAAGGTATGGAAAACGACAACACACTCACTCACTGGCTTGAATGAATATCTACCCAAGCTATAAAGACATGCAGAAGATACACGCGTGCCCATGCACACATACACATATCATTGCATACCGTACTAGGTAAATGCAGGCAGAGGACAAATGGCAGGTACAAATGAAACGATGGGAGAAAAAAAAGGAGACGATTGTTAACGTCCATCAATCCAATCATGATGTGCAGGTGGAGCACCAGCGTAATAACGCTCGTCACGACGGTTATCACGACGGTCATCGCGACGATCGTCACGACGATCATCACGATGATCTTCAGGCCGCCTCGGACGCTCAGAAGACATGCGACCTCCACCTGCAGAAGAGGAATAGGCTCCTCTGTGAGGGTGTTCTCCATGACTCGGATGATCTGAAGGACGATGGTTGACATCTTCTGATTTGGGATGTGACGAGTGCGTGTCGACATGTCGAGTATTCGCTGAACGCGACGTGTACGGTGAGCGACTACGGGATGAATTTCCTGCTGAATGCAGCGGCCTGTCATCTGCGGAATCAGTCGGTGCGGATTGAACAGTCTTGCTTTTGCCCTTGTCAGATGTAGGTGATGACACTCTTTTCGACGCTGGACCTGGATTCTGAGAAACAGATCCAGGTGCAGATGAATGCGTAGTTGTTGAAGTTTTCTGAGAGGACGATGTACTCGAGGCAACAGCAGCCGCTGTCTTGTCGTTTGAGGCAGAAGATGATGTAGTTGGAACAGCAGTGAAGGGTTTATACGACTGTGCAGATGCTGCAGCCATCGCTGCTTTCTTTGACTGGGCAGCAGCCAATGCAGCTGCTGCAGCTGCAGCCTGAGCACTGTGACCAGGCAATGGTGGCAACCCCACCATAGATGGGAATGGCATTATGCCTGGTGGTGGTGGCAAGACAGGAGGTAGGTATGGCGGGAAAGCAACACCAGCAGCAGCAGGTTGAGGAAGTGCGCCAACAACTTGCGGGGTGGACTGCTGAAGGTCACTGTCGAATGGAGCTGTACGCTGGCGCTCCTCGGTGAACCAGATACGGAAAAGCTCAGGATCTGGCCGATCCCAACGTGCATCAGGCTGCCGGCTTAGCACCTGACGGAAAGCAGCGTCATAACTCAGCCAAGCCGGTGTGCTATAACGCGTGCTCATCTCTACAACGAAGGATTGGTAGCGTATCATCTCCAAAGCACGGCTAGGATGTTTGGTCAAGTGGCAGCGCATGAAGCGGCTCCACGACAGCAGCCAAGCAGCTATAGTCTTGATGTTGCTGACACCATCAGATCGCAAAACATCCTGATCAGTGCGATCCTTTGCATCTTCCTGAGCTAGGCGCACTGCAGCAGCGGGATGCATGGCGCTAAATGTCAAGTGATGGAAGTGAAGATAGTCACCACTTTCTGCAACTCTCCTCAAGTGACTCGGCACTGGCACCAGAGGTGGAGGAGCTCCTTTCGGGTACAGCAGACTAACACCATATTCTGATGATGATATATCAGTGTGGATGGGTGTCTTGTCAGCATAGCGAGCGGTTGGAAGAGATGAACTAGCGGTTTCTGATGATGTGAACTCACTGAGAGCACCACCCGAGCTAGAGTCCCCAGAAGTATTGAGAAGCTTGACAACCTGCACAACTTGGTCAATCTGAGCTCCAGTTAAGCCCACTTGATCACCTGCTCCCAATGCTAACTTCTGCAATAAGGAAGATCTGATAGCACTCCTATTTGCAGAGGCGATCTGTGCCGCTGCCGATGCAGTTCCAACTGCTGGACTGGACTTATTACCATTAGAAGCAGCAGCAGTTTGAGGGCCAGCAACGACACCACGCGGCGGTGTTGCAACCGGAGATGCAGCTCTCGGAGCTGCAGAACTTCGCCGAGACGACCCTGGAGCAGCCGAGTCAGGATGGGCAGCAGAACTTGCTGCTCGATTGCTTGCACTATACCTCTCAGCATTGTGTCGACCATCAGGTGCCGATGCCCCAGGTGGAGGTACAGATGAATAGGAAGCTGGTGGCCGAGAAGAATCACGTGACTCCCTTTCTCGCTCCACAGGCACATCGCTAGGACCAGCAGCCCTCCATGCTTGGCGTTGTTGTTGCTGCTCACTTCTCCCTTTGTCTGGGTGGGGCGCTTGTGATCGGCGAAGGGGGGAATTGCCGAAGTCATAGATACCACCTGGACCAGATGGGCCTGGATTGGGTGGTCGCCGCGGGGTTTCATAGGCACTTGGGTGCTGGCTATGCGTTGCTGATGTAGCAGTGGCAGATTGCGCCGGCCTGCCATAGGATGATGCAGTATTGCTAGCAGAGCGTGCAACAGCTTCTGCCTTGCCATACACCCCACCAGCATGTCCACCAGCATGTCCAGCAGCATGTTCAGCAGCATGGTCACTAGTATGTCCACCGGTATGTCCAGGATGTGCTGCACCGTGGTCACCAGCACGTCCAGTAGCATGTCTAGGATGCACTGCACCATGGTCACCAGCATGTCCAGCAGTATGTCCAGCAGTATGTCCACCAGCATGGTCAGGATGTGCTGCACCGTGGTCACCAATATGTCCAGCAGTATGTCCAGCAGCATGTCTAGGATGCACTGCACCATGGTCACCAGCATGCACACTGCCTGCTGCCTTTGCTGCTGCTGGTGGCACCTTACTGTATGCTTTGCTATGCTCACCAGAATGCGCAGTCATTGATGGTTGTGGTGCAGCACGAGATGAAGAGTGAGACATGGCAGCTGCATGCAACGGGGTGCTACCAGAATAACCATATGACGGTGGGTATGATGTAGAATGACCAGCATTAGATGATGGTGGATACGGATGAGCCGCACTAGATCCACTTGCTGCTGCTTGTCCAGCAACAGCTTCATGACTGTGCACTGCTGCAGCAGCCTGCGGTGGTGGCCTGCTGGCTGATGCAGGCGATTGTGATGGCTTGAGTGGCTTGTCGGGATAAGTTCCATAGTAGTGCGATTTCTGTGAAGACGAGGGAGCGCCGTCGCTACATTAAATACACCACAGAATAGGTGAAAAGCAGGAAACAAATATAGGCACATTACTCAAAGACATCAACAACAAAAAAAGGAGAAGAGGAAAAAGAAGACGAAAAGAAAAGGGCAAATGTCGGACCAGCTTGCATAAACACAATACAAACGGGGCATGTGAAAACCCATGCACGTTCATTTCACACATTGATTGTGAAAGGTATATTTGTAGCATTTTGGGCATACCAGTGGACACCTAAATCATACCCATGCCAAGGTGAAACGGATGAGCATGGCAGATTTCAGATAAAAATGGTGCTGATAACTGCAAAACCCATCACTCGATTCATAATGGAGGAAGCATTGGCAATCATGGATTTGCGGAAAACCCCAACCCCACCATTAAAAAGCAAACTGATGAACAGTATACAAAAGATACAGCCAGCTTGATATACCAGCACACAGCCCACTGATTGTGCCAAAGTACAGTCTCACCTCCTACCGTTGACATTCACAAAAATTAAGCAAGCAGTCTTTAGATGTAGATGCTGAGACACCTTGTCAAAGAACATTGCACTCCAAGTACATGCAGATGAGACTGTATCTTATCACAACAGTTTAACAGTAAACAATTTCGACCCAAAGAATCATCAGCATGGATCAGTAACTCGAAATAAGTTCTGTGGAAGGAAGTTGACATGTCGAATTTTTCCCGAGGCCTGAATCAATCGAACTGAGTCATTTTTGTGCTAATCCGTTGCCTTCAAGTTGCTCAACTGTCGTATGAAATTGCGGTGTAACAAAATCAAATGTAGCTCCAAAACACAATACATTTGTTCTGAGGCCAGAGTCTTTCGAGCTGAGCCATTTTATGCCGGTCCATTGCCCTCAAGTTACCCAATTTTCGCATCAAATTGTGCTGCAACGGAAGTAGCTCCAAAATGGAGACCACTTGATGTTTATCGTGTTACAAAATGCCATGGCTCCAACACCTCCAGTACACAGGAGTGATAACGCCTTGTTCGTACCTCCATTAGTTTTTAATTCTTTATTAGTGAAAAGTTGGTTTATCAGCAAGAGACAAGCTACTGTCTAAGAGAAGCAGCCGCGTGGAAAATCCCCCGGGAAATAATTTTCAAAATATGCTTGCCATCTTTACATTTGTGAAAATAATATTGGTAAATTCGTGTCTACAGGTGCCTCGCAGGAAGAAGTTTCAAAATAGCCGTAAATAAAACAATCGATGCCGACATACTACTATGATGAAATAATGAAATAAAGATGCGTACACTCAGATTCAGACACATTTTTCTTCGATAGTTTTCAGTAAACCTACATTGAATGGTGTACATCTCTCACACAATACACTTAGATTTTCACACCCTCATGTTTTCTTTTCCACTAGTCTCACACCCTGATGACATTGTACTTTGTAACCAACCTTGCACCCTTGTGGTCAGCTGTGCTCACATTTTTAACATTCAATCAGGCGTGCATGTTAGCACATTGTGAGCATGCTTCGCTTCTCTTATTTTAGGTTAAAGGGGAAGTATACCCTAAAATCAAATTTTCACCAGTTGTAGTCTTCGGGGTGCTGAGTCGAATGGTCTTGGTCCGAGGAAGCTGAGACGCTCCCTTCCTACTTGAATCCCAATCGAACTCGCGCACTTCCACCGAAACTGGGTGACTGCGCCCTACTAGATGGGGATTTGTATGCAAAATGTCACTAAAAGCGCCATCTCGTTCTTATAAAAGCATGGATGACCGCGATTGGCCCATATGTTGTAGTCTTTTGGACGCTGAGTCGACTGGTTTTGGTCCGAAAAGGCTGCGATGCAGCGTTCCTCCTTTATTCCCAATCGAACATGGTTGAACAAGCGGTCTCGTGCTCCTGCGTACACCAGTCACCTGGTCACCGTGCCTGCAGGGTACAACTTACTAGCCTGTTTGACCTTTTTTGGGTGCAGTCCTGTCACTCGAGTTGAACTCGAGTTGAACCTTGGTGTGAAAGTTGTCGCCTGCTGGCGCGGTGACCAGGTGATTTGGGCACCCAGGAGCACGTGACCGCTTGTTCAACCATGTTCGATTGGGAATAAAGGAGGAACGCTGCATCCCAGCCTTTTCGGACCAAAACCAGTCGACTCAGCGTCCAAAAGACTACAACATATGGGCCAATCGCGGTCATCCGTGCTTTTATAAGAACGAAATGGCGCTTTTAGTGACATTTTGCACACAAATCCCCATCTAGTAGGGCGCAGTCACCCAGTTTCGGTGGAAGTGCGCGAGTTCGATTGGGATTCAAGTAGGAAGGGAGCGTCGCAGCTTCCTCGGACCAAGACCATTCGTCTCAGCACCCAGAAGACTACAACTGGTGAAAATTTGATTTTAGGGTATACTTCCCCTTTAAGGTAGCTCAATGCCAAAGAATTGGTCCAAAGGTTCGTCTGTTTTTTCTTCAGCACCTCTCTATAGATGTATGGAGCAAGAAATGACCATTTTATTGGTGGGGTACTTGGGCATCATCTTCCAGTATGCCACTTTGAAAAATATCGGGTTTTGCGATTTTGCGGAAATATTGCATGACTCTCCAGACTTTGTTATAGTGTTGAAACGATCTCACCGGATACTCGTTAGCTCGCTCGCCAGAAACTCGGCTCGTTTGTGGGGCCAGCTCGTTTGCACTAACGAACACCGTACACTGCACTCCGTACACATGGCAGTACATGTCGACCGGGGAGTCGTAAAATATTTTACGACTCCCTGGTCGATCGAGAGTCCAGTCCCGCGCAAAGTGAAAATCATGACACTTGAGTTGACAATAGTCGTTGCACTTGCAGCTTTGGTGGACTCTACTGATGTCTTGTTCCGCATCTGCTGACCTGTCGCAGGATATGCTTCGGTCACCTCTCCATTCGAGTGAAAGTAAATAATTACGCTCAGTCGTTTGGAAGTTTTCTCCCGCGATGCAGCGAAGACCAGGGCTACTTGCAATCTTTGCAAAACGGTCTATTCTTACAAAGGCTACTCGACGACGACGCTGAAAAGACATCTCGACACCAAACAGCAGTCCGAAGTGAAGCAGCAGCAACCCCAAATGCCGGCGGTGATAATTATTTGAACCAGCTGAAAAAATCGAACTTAGAAAAAAAATTGTTCAAAAAAATCATATTTGCCACATCAATGAAACTCGTTAGCTCGCTCGATAGCTTGCTCGTTAGTGGAACTGATCGCTCGTTTGTTATAGAGACGCTCGTTTCAACACTACTTTGTTAGTTCTGCAACTTGGGTGCATTAAAGTTGATTGGAACATTTACCTCAGAGCATAGCATATTGCGATCTCGCTTACACAAAGTTTTTGAACCAAAATACCGAGACTGAAAGCTAATTTGAGCCTGTTCCTTTTCGTGCATACCATGGTACACTGTACCGATAAGACGTAGCCGCCACTGGACATCAATCGGATGTGGCTGAATCAACTTGCTGCGCTTGACAAGACTCTTGGAAAATCTTGTCATATCGCTCTGACAGCTGGAGGGTCGCACCAGCCAAAAGTCGCAGCTCGCTCTTCAAGGAATACGCACTCGATGAGCTGACTGCCTCGGTAATCGCGGGATTCGCGCACCCTACAACAACTATGATACTGTATACATAACAGAATTTGACAATCAGAGTACATTCTACAATATGGAGAATTCAAGGGTCTTGTAAGGCTTATACTGATGCAAAACATTGAGGTGGAAGTTAACAAAAAAAATTATAGTATGTCACACTATAAACAGATGGCGAGGAGATAACGATTTTATAACCGGACTTTTATTCATGCAATATCAAACGGTGGAAACAAAGCGCAATAGCAACGATGAAAGTGAACGTTTGATATTGCATGAATAAAAGTTTCCACGTGTGAATCTAGCTTGTACTGTTGATTGCGGTCATTTTTCAAATAAAGTGAATTTCGAAATTGTCACCCCTAAGGCCCATTTACTGAGATCATGGCTCATGTGCATTGCTCGCTTGCGAAGTCAAAGGAAGATAGGAAAAACCTGTTCCCAACACAGATCAATTAGTGATACAGCATACATATTGCTCTTGAGAAAAAAATCAAATGAGTCATGTATCTGTTGACAATGTCGAGCCAATGCATCCTATCCGAGGCAAGCTGCTTCGCTTCCAAAAGAGACAGGTTGAGAAGTAAAAGATCATTCAATGATCAGCAGGAAACCCGCACATTTTCTATGTATTAAAGCGGATTTCATGGGACTTCTAATTAGGTGAACTTGCCCAGTTCAAGGTTCAAATTATTAGACATTGTTAATTTGTTATGTAGGAACCGTACAGCCTGAAATTTGTCTTGAAAGAAACTTCTAAATAAGCAGCGGGTTCGAATTAAGCCATATTTCAAAATATCAGGATTCCACCTGTACCACTTTTTGCGGCATTCACAATGGTCACAAAATACCATATTCTCTGTTTTCGCTTTCCAAGATTCATCCACACACGAAAAATAAGTGTTCACTTTCAATCAAATCCAGGCTAGAAATAAAACAAGTTATGCCAGGTGGGGACAACTATTCTTTGATCAGCAACTGCTGCACACATGTACTACCATGTATGAATGTAAAAGTGGCCAGACACAATGTCCTGGCAATTCAAGCTGGGATCACCATCCAAGTCCATATGGCAAGCACAAAATTAAAGAGTGGTACCATTTGCGGCCTTTCAATATTACAATGTTCCTCTACTCCTCTCCTGCACGCGCTCTTCAGTCAACCAGCTGCTACCCTCGGTAGCCATCACACACAACAAAAATTCCAACAACCAAAGGTTACGGGTACAGTCAACTTCGCTAATAACGACTGCGGATATAACGACAATTCGCGAATAACGACAGAATTTCTATGCCCAGAGCAAAGTCACATCCAACTGTAATACATATAATGGGACTTCGGGTATAACGACACTTCGCGAATAAGGACACTTTTCTGATGCCCCGCCGAGTGTCGTTATAAGCGAAGTTGACTGTAGTTGGGTATTAACACTGAAATTCCTCTTGACAACTGTTTCGCATACAAAAAGGCTCGTCAGAAAGGTGATGCTGAACAGGATAATCTGATGGACATGGTCAATTAATGATTTATACTGTAGAAAATACGTGGAAGATACTGGGCAAGGTGCGACACCGAGAGAGAGAGAGAGAGAGAGAGAGAGAGAGAGAGAGAGAGAGAGAGAGAGCCATGTCCATGTCCATCAGATCGTACTATTCAGTATCACCTTCTCAGTACCCGTAACCCTTCCTTGTTGGAATCTTTGTTGTGTGTAACAGCTAACGAGGGTAGCAGCTACTGTAAAACCGGAAAGTCTAACGACCAAAAAGTTTAACGTTTTTGTAATTTCGGCATAACGTGCAGAAAGTTTAACGATGGCTACCTGGCCACCCATTTATAGGCACATCTCTACACAGACATCTAAAGCCGAGTTCGCGATAACGTTTCTTCAAATAACGAAAACAATTGGTTGTTAAAACAGTAGACTTTGTCACTCGTTAGACTCTCCGATTTTACAGTAGTAGGCTGAGCGCTCTTCAGAGCGCATGGAGGAGAGGAGTAGAGCAACAACATAAATCTAGAGCCAGAGAACACTTGTGCACGTTTCTCCCCTTTTTCCCAGTGCCGAGGTCAGAGCCATGGCGCTTCTTCAGCTTGAGCACTACAAGATCTGCAGCATATAAATCCAACAGAAACTTTGGGTTCATAGTGAAAACAGGTCCCCCCCCCATACAAACACATACATGCCTCTTTCATATCTTACTATGGAGGATGAGAAGACTCTCCAGGAGGGGGACCTCTACTGCCAGCGGAGGGACCTGGCGGGCCATGATATTCTGGAGGAGCATGTGCAGGCTGACTCCACTGCACAAACAAAGAGGAAAGAGAGGGAGAAGAGAGAGTAGAGATAAGAGATTAGAAAGAGTGAGAGAGAGAGAGAGAGAGAGAGAGAGAGAGAGAGAGAGAGAGAGAGAGAGAGAGAGAGAGAGAGAGAGAGAGGCAGAAAGAGAAAGAGAGAGGGAGGGAGAGAGAAAGGGAGGACATCTTGAATTGGGGCTGCACTATTTCGACGCATCTTAAATTTGTATCCATTGCTGCCGCATGTACGCTGCATGCTTGCAGTTCATGGGTGCCCAGGCACGCATTCAGGCGTTCACAGAAAACAGAAATTCGAGTTGTATTCTAGGTCGTGCGATACCTTCGAGTACTAATTCTTGACCCCGCCAGTCAAAGTGACTGTCATGTACAAGTACGCCAGTACATGCCTTATACGTACTTAAAAATGCATGGCGTAATTTCCATTTCGGCGTGTTTCCATGTGCATGACACCCCAAAAGCCAGCAAAAACAAGCACTAACGCGAGGTTACAAGTGTACACATGCAGTGGTGAACGCAAGTTAACCCTTGTTAAAACACCGATATACAGAGCATGTTGAGGCGACTTCAAACTTTCGCCATTCGTTCAATCCTTGTCCGAATTCAACGATCGAAAGGTCTATTTGTATCAGGAAGGCCTCAGCTGTCGGCTCTGAAAAAACCCGAAGACGATCTGAGGTCCTGGAGCAGAGCTATGACACTCGAACAAAATTTGCTGGCACGAATCAGCTCACGCAGGCGTGAATTTGAAACGGGCGCAAGGGGGTTTCCCTGACTCGCTGCCCACGCATTCACACATGACGCACGTCATTTTGCAGCTGCATTTCTCAGCTCTCTCCTGCAAAAAACTGACCGTTCCGCGATCGAAATAGTTGAAATGGCTGAGAATTTAGTGCCGCGCTCGTAGGCCTGGCATTGGAGCGCTCTCATCGCGCTGCGGCGTTACCCCTACGACTGTCAATTGCGAACTGAGTATGGCTGTGTTTGTCTTGCTGAGAGCTTTCCATAGAGCCCAAGATTGTGAGAATCCTCCGAAGGCTATCGAAAGTACAGCTAGATGAAAATGTGAGTTTGTGAAAATCATGCGTCGGCTGAAATCTATTTAGGTGCTAAAGGGTTAAAGGGGAAGTTCACCCTAAAATGAAAACTTCACAACTGGTAGCGAAAAATGCACTGATTCCAATGGTGAAGGTCCCAGGTTGATCGGAGCAGCCACTCCCGAGTTATACCAGCTTGAAATTTGCACTAAATTTGGTAACATCATGATGACGTCATTAACTCAGACTAGGTCTCTTAACCCTTTGAGACCCCACTGAAAGTACGACAATTTACTCACCTTAAAAAAAACATGCACTTTCGTCCGTATCGCTATCAAACATTCACCGATTTTTACAAACTAACCACCGTTGGAAAGGTATTTCCAAGACGAAGAGACTAGTACCACACTCAAGCCAGCTACCTGCACAGCCTCTGCTCTGCGTGGCTTAGAATGCCGCCCAAAAGAGCAGCCGTGCGCGAACAGCTTCAGCAAAGTTCAAACAGCCGCCATTCCATTCTCCTTCATCGCATTGACTTCAAACAAACTACAGCGGTAAGCTCGTTTCAAGCGCAAAATTTTGGTGTGCAGCATGCTTGAGTATGACGTTCCATTCCGGGGAAATCGCCTGCCAAGTGCAGCGTGAAAATTTGAATTTTTCGATCTAAGTGAATTTTTCAGTTTGTCTCCGACTTCGAGTCTCACCACGGCAGCATCGTAACTCTTAGAGACTTCGGATAACTTCGACGTGATAGCCAAGGTTCTTCTTGAAACGTACATACTTTGTTTATGAAAATCGGTGAAGGAACACCAGAGATATAATTATTTTAGTGTCACTGTATACCAAACAATCGAATTCGATCGTTGGGGTCTCAAAGGGTTAAAGACTCTTATAGCAACGATAGCTGACAATATCTGAATGAGACAGATCAAGACTAGCACCAAATAGCGGCCTAATCCACAAAACTGGCGAAGCCATGTGAATCGACCACCAATGCACACCCGGTCTACACCACACAGAGTACATCGGTATAGAACGACCAAGATTGTTACCTATGCACACCCTACACTTGCTGGGTAACCAGTATAGACAGCACGCTGCTTTGATATAAGCAGACACTAGATGCGCTGGTATTTTGAAGTGAAATTGGAGTTACTTTACCAACCAGCTTCAGCAACTGAGTACTGGAAACCCAGAGCCAACACACATACCAACAACCATAACCATGAAAGCTATATTAATGGTACACTGGATCGTGAAGCCAAAACTAGCCAACCTGTCGGAAGGCGACCTTCTTTTTGACACATCCACGCACTTACACGTCGAGATGTCACCGGTGTGCGTGGACGCCCGAAATCGAACCTGGCCACGGCAGTCAAGGCAAGCACAGCTGCCAGAGACATGCCACTGAAGACCATGACTGATCTGAGTGGGCTCAGAATGCGTGCTTTGGGCAAGCAATCATGGAGGGAACTCTCAGCCTGAGCTGGTTTTGCTCGCGGCTGCAACGCACGGGGTAGTGAACCCAGGACAGAAGCGGACCAGGCATCATGACTTTGCACATCTATCGTTATGCTGCTTCATTACGCGACCTGTTTTATTATTATTATTATTATTATTATTATTATTACGCACTTACATGTATACTTAGACATCCACACACACTTGCACCTCCCCCCCCCCCCCCCCCCCCCCCAACACCAGGGGCGTATCCAGGATATTTCCAAGGGGGGGGGGGGGGCACTTTTCTCCCACTCCGACCACAAATGATATTTCAAACCTAGCGCTAGTGATGCGCAAATGCTAGGGGACCACGCTATCTCTAGGGCGTGCAGGTCGCATCATGGACATGGGTGCATGGATTAGTGATCACACCTTAACTGTGGACGGAAAAAATAGGGACCCCCCCCCCCCCCCTTAGATCTACCCCTGCACACTCACACAGACACACTAGCACAGTTGTGCTCAGTGAAACCCGACCAAAATGCATATTTGACGGCCTCAAATTGCACGGCCCTTGACACCCTGGAAGTGGAACGAGCGCTGCCGGACGTACACATGTACTATACCAGTACAGTGATGTAATCGGAACTGGTCCAGGGCGCCAGTTTGCACTTCTGGCCGGATTTCAGCGAGCACAACTGTACTACACACAGACACACATATACACAAGGGTGCATGCACACACACACACACACACACACACACACACACACACACACACAGACGAGCACACACACACAGACGAGCACACACGTACATACCCAATAACATAATTTTAAACTACATACAGGTAAGTGGTTTTCACTAGCGGACTGGGAAGGACGATGAGCAGCTTGTGGATCTGATGCGTGGCCTGCAGAAACATGGGCAGCTGGATCAGAACTGGGAGGAGCGTACTGAGAATAGTAGCCTTGACTGCTAGAGTTTGGTGCATGGCTTGTGGCGACTGTTGGACCAGAAGCGTAATGTGGATCATAACTGTAATCAATCAAATCAAACACAGGCAGAAAAGTTCCTTCACAACTTGCACTACAACTGTCAGCATCAACCAGGTATGTTACTTGAAAAACATTTCCTAATATGAGCGAAAACGACCCTTAGAGATTTCGTAATTTTTTCGAGAAAAAGTCGATTTGTGACGTTCAACGATTTTTTGATCGCACTGCAAACAGTGCGACGAGTTCTTTACTTCTTGAACTCCTTGCTTGAAGTAAATGTTTTGAAGTTAGTTGAAGTCGCGTCGAGTGGCGAATCAAGTGTTCATTGATCTTGACGCAATGGCTGCGCACGCCAGAGCTGCTCGCAGAGCACACACGGCGGTTATTGTGTACAGTTCGCGCCTGGTCGGGAGTGGATGCTGAAGTAGCCGCTGAAGTTCAGAGTGAGGATGGGACGTTCTTTGGTTCCGACATCGATGTCGACAGCGAGGCGGAATCACAGCGGTTATCTCCTGCTGCGAAGCAGCTCAAGGTGGCGGATGACTTGTCAGAGGCGGAAGAGTCGTCCTCTGAGATAACATCTGAGTCTGAGGCTAGTGACGGCAGCGATGTCATGTCTTCAGCTGCGGATGAACAAATGGAAGATGAGATTGTGGAACGACTCCAAGCTGGATGCAGCTGCGAATGTGTTGATCATTCCCCCGCAATCTTCAGCCATTCTTGATTATTCTTGTTGCTTACTGCACTATTTCAAAGGTATTCAAGCTGCCCACCCACTTTTAGAACACTGAATATTCATTACACACATACATTGCACCAATTTGGAGTACATCTTGTATATTGGTGTATAGGCCCGGTTTAAATCGGAATGTGGGTGTTTCACCTTTTCGCACGACCCTTTCTGATCATTGCTCAATTGTCGTATCTTGACTACACCGTACTGCTGTACGGCATACTACACCGTACTACTGTCTTGGACATGGAAATCCAGTCGATTGACCGGGGCCGGCGCCCTCAGCACGTACAGAACGTTGCATGCAGTGCACAATCAATCATGTTGATCCGGCCGATGCAACCAGCAGCGCATAATTATTACATGCTCGCGTGTACTGCTTATACGGACGGCTGCATGGCCAGCGCCCTGGGGCCGCTAGACGTGCGACCGGATTTCCATGTCCACGACAGTACATCGTACTGCTGTACGATGCTGTCATTCCATGCTATAGTCTGTTTCAAAAAGATTCACAATCAGGTTTGGGTCTTAAAAAGTATGAAGATAAGGGAAATTTGGACAACAAAGTACTGTATAAGCAGAAATATTCGTCTGGAATTTAATTTCGTCTTTTTCGTCCAAGGAGCTTTTGGACTAAATTAAATGTAGGACGAATATCGATTTGTCCAGCATTTCTATACACTCTTATGATCCATGGACGAAATTTTCAACCGGACGAACTCCTTTTCTTTGGAGTTGGACGAAATTATTGACCGACGAAATTTTCTGCCTCTACAGTACATAGAATGGCTTGTTAGGACACGGCAAATTGTTCTGTGAAGGTTTCGGAACAATTGGACCAACCGTTAAGGAGTTAGAATTTCGGCCAGGTTTTCGGCCTTTTCCCATGGTTTACAATTTGCCCAGGAAGCCAGCATCAATTTTTTATCAAAACCCACGATTTATCCTTTCCTTTTTGGCCTTGTGGTTATGAATGCTGTCTGCTGACCATGAAGTTGTGAGTTCAAATCCCAACCTATCCTCAAGTCAAACTTTTTTTTCATTGTTTTGGTGATCAAGCTGGTACAAGACAAAGAAGATGGCTGCACCAAGCGACTTGTTGTTGGAGCTCGCGCTTCCTGCCGAACTGACTGACACTTGACTGGCTCACGCCATGTGAACACACCCACAACACTGCAATGGTGTGAGTGAATTATAATGGAAGTCATCGCGCTGTAGCTTTTTGAGATTTATTTTAGTATTTCAAGATCGCCAATTTATTTGAATTTAGCAGTCAACGCCGTCTTCTATCAGCGTTCACAATTACAAGCGTCTGCTTTTCTCAAAATGTCGTCGAAGTCATACGGATAGCTTTGCCAAGTCATGGCCTTGGGAATGAGTCCGTGTCGATGTCGTTTTCATCACACGGTGAGTAAATTGCATCGCAGCTCAAAGAAACTATTTTGGTCACAAAACGGACCCATGCAGCTCGTCAACATTTACAACACTTTCGTTTCGACATGTCCTCTCTGACTCCATTATCGATACGAGGAAGAACTCGTTTGTTGTAAACCAGACGTACATGACTGTGTCAACGTGAGTGAGTTGTCATTTTTCCTGCTTTCGCGCGGAATATTTCTTCGAGTTCACAGTCAGTTTTTCCAGGCAGCGCTCGAGTGCTCATACGGTAAGACGCCGAACTCCGCGGGCGATCGCCAGGATTGTAAATCTTTTTGAAACGGACTGTAGCTTGTGATCTTACCTGCTCGAGTTACCGTAGAATCCCGCGGGTAAGCCCACCCGCGTATACGCCCATGCTAGCGCATAAGTCCAGGTCAAGTTCAAACATCTGGAAGCCTCGTCGTACAAGCCCATGGGCCTAGGTCGTACCAAGAGTCCATAAACTATGGACTCTTGGTCGTACCATGTACATGTACGTTTTCGTTTGTTTGTACATTTCAACACAATCATCGATTGTTTGTGTTTGAATACTGGCTTTCAGCAATGTACTTCTCACTTCCTTGGTACTTTCCAATAGCACAATTTTGGTGTCAGCGTATAAGCCCATGCCCGCGGATAAGCCCATGTTCTTGTATAAGCCCACCGAAATGTCCTTGTGAAACAGGTAAGTCCTTGGGCATATCCGCGGGATTCTGCGGTAGTCTTAGTTTTACCTCAGTCGTAGCAGGTTGACTGGGGATTGTGCGGACTTTCCTCGCTGTACTGTACATGTGCATAGTGCATGATGTGTACATGCTAGCTAAAAAATCAAAGACGCGGGACGTCAATTGTAAGAAAATGCGATCCTTGTTCGATGATGCAAAATCCACAGCCGCGTAATCCACGGGGATAGGCATAGTGTACACTTTTTCAAGTCACATGTCCTTCTAAAGCAGCCCAAAAACTGTCATGCTACACTCGTGTACAACTAGCACTTCCGCTAGTTGTGTCTGGCAGGGTTCAAACACTTCCATTCTACACTATTTGATTTAAGCTAGTTTGTCACATATGTGTGTTAGTTGAGTGTATACGCCTTGCACCAGTATCTTAATCTCGTCTACAAAATAGCATTCTCTTATCCAACTCTTTTCATTCAACATCTGCTCTCTTATGACGAGTTCCTCTTATCTTATGGAACGAAACACGCTTGTCAGGAGTAACTACTTGCTGCCGTGGAGTGCTGCTGGTGAACTGTTCGTGCCGAGGTTAGCAAGCACTGTGTGGTCTCGTCTGGTCGAAAAAAAGAGCCTACTACAAGGTCAGGAAATACCATCATTCTTTTTAGTGCAGCCATGGCATTGGCACATTGGTCACACTTTAACTTTGGTGGAGCGAAGCGGAAACAATTTACTGCTTAAAACGCAATGCTTTGCAGGATTATAGTCGTCACAACACATTGCACAGCACATCACGCACGGAACACAGTGTAAGTACTGTTGAAATTTCACTCACTGCTGATACGATGAACGATAACTTGCAGGTGGGGCACCTCGGTTTTTGTCATGATGTTCAGCTGGAGCTACTGCTGCTGCTGCTGGTCTGCATATAACAAAACAATGGCATTGATAGAAAATACTTAGTGCTCTACCGACCACAGGGGTTGCGTGGGACATGCTGCACCATGAGTGCGTACACATTGATATTGCCCATCGGTGTAGCGGCCATTAGAAAATCCGCTGACTCCCCCATGAAATAATTCGCATAAACTCTACATCCCCGCAAAAAAAGCAGTGTAACTGAATGAAAACATGATCGAAGTTGCTCAATTTGTTTGCTCATCGCCGGTAAAGCGCATTTTTCGGCGCGTAGGCAGCGACCGAAAATGCGGGGGGGGGGGGGCTGGTGATTGTGCGGACTTTTCTCGCTGTACTGTACATGCACATAGTGCATGATGTGTATATAATATCAAGAGTATAATTATAACCCCCCAAGAGTGTACAACTCCTGATACCCTTTCTATGGGGTACGCCGACTGCGAAAACTCACATCACGTGGTGCAGTGTCGCAGTTGTACGTTTCCGGCCCGTTTTTAGCGAGCAGCAGAGTACTAAAAAAAGCACTCTCTAACAGAAACTCACTGCGCGTATGCAAATCCCCAGCATGAGCACGGCAGATTTTCGGATTGCGCGCACGCTATCCTACGTTTGTAAATTACACTTCGGAGGCTCCGGCTACGAATGTGACAGTGTGTTAGGCCTCAAATCTTCGCTTTTCAAATAATTCACAGCGATTTAAAGAGAAAATTTACACAAACTCCAACCTCGTCCCCTTGATATTCTCGCCCTTTCCCACACTCCTTTGGCCTTTTTCTTCGCTTCAAATTGTTGCAGTTGCAGATTTATTTCTCTTTGGACGTAGCCGTATAGCCTACATACGTGTTGATTGCAGAGCCATGTCATCCGTTAGTGACCTCCCCAGTTAGGGGACGGCTGGTTCTGCGCGTCCCACGCAGCATGACCCGCTTGTGGCAAATCGTGGAGCTGCAGAGATCCAGAGTGGGAATGCTGTGCCTGAGAGGCCACCACAGCCCACCCAGCGTGATTTGCTTTCTGCCGCATCCCCCACTGTCTGCAGAAGTGGTGGGGTGCCGGCTATGCCCATGCCGCATGGAGGCTACCCGCCTATGGGTCGTTTCATCTACCACCGCACGGGCTAGCTCCGACTGGAGAGCATCCGTTTTCGGCTGCACAGCAGGCTGTAGGGCTCTGTGTTTCCGCCCAGAACGAAGCACTGCCTGGCCCAGGGACTGATGTCCTGGAGTCCAGCAGTGATGCAGCCAACACTGGCACTAGTAATATTGGAGAGCCTGCAGCCAAACGAGCCGCCAGAGCTCTGGACTTCGCACCGGCCACTGCGGTGGCGAGTCGCAAATTCCTTTTCAACGCCCCTGAGGCGGTGACGAGTTACGTTGAGAAATATTTTCGGTCTCCGCTCTCTGACGAGCAGCGGAAGGCCATGCACGAGGACCATCCACGGCCTGACACGGCAGCAGCCTATGTGCCCAAGGTGGATGATACAGTGTTGCGCTGGGCTGGTTCCCGCTTCCCAAAGACATCCGACTCACAGTGGGCGGCTGTTCAACGTGATGTGGCATCGCTCTCTGGTCCGGTTGCATGCATGCTCTCCGCCCTGGTCGAGGCAGAGGAAGGTGTTCCGGCAGTGGAGGAACTCTCCGTACCATCGGCGGAAGTCAAGGATGTGCTCCAGCGCACACTTGTCCTGGTCGGAGACCCGATGGCTTCGATTAATGGCATCCGCCGCCAGTCCATCATCGAGGCTGTGGACAAAGACGTGGCAAGAGTAACCAAAGGTATCCCACCGCCAGGCACTGGGAAGGAGCTGTTTGGTGAGGAGTTTATCTCAGCCATCTCCACGAAAGTGGATTCCGAGGCGACGTTGAATGAGGCGCAGAGGCTGGCGCGCAAGCCACAGCCAAAGCCGGGTTTTCAGCGAAAGGGGTTCGCGTTCCAGACACCGCGTACCCTGAAGCTGCATACCTTTTTCAGTCGCCAGTACGGCAGGGACCGCCAGCAGCCACCCCACCGAGGCTCATTTCGCCCCACCGCGGAAGACCGCAAGGGCAGTGGACACCAGGGTCGAGGGGCAAGTCACCACCTCGCCCTCAGGCCCAGTAGTGGGCCATGCGGGGCAGCTCCGAGAATCGCCAACACCATCATCGGAGCTGCAGCTTCCCGTTCCTTGGCGATGGGAGGTACATCATCCACCTCCACCCACTGGTCGCATTGCGGTGGCCTGGCAGAACTGGGAGCAACTGACGGCGGACCCATGGGTTCGCAGTACCGTCCGGCATGGCCTGCGTATCCCATTGCTGGCTCACCCTCATCAGCGGCATGCTCCCAGACAGATGCACCTGGCTCAGGCGGAGCAGGTTGCTCTGCAGGAGGCCCTGTCCAACATGGCAGCAGCGGGGGGGGGGGGGGGGGGCATCGAGCCCACTACAGTGCGAGACGCGACATTCAAGAGCACGCACTTCATGGTACCCAAGAGCGGTGGTCGATGGAGGCTAGTGTTCAACCTCAAAGCGCTGAACGAGTTTGTGGACAACTCCCATTTCAAGATGGAAACGTTGGCAGTAGTACCCGAGCTAGTTCAGCAGAACTGGTGGTTGGCAAAACTCAATCTGAAGGACGCCTTTCACTCGGTACCGGTGCACATTCACAGCCGACGCCTCCTCCAGTTCATGTGGAACGACCAGGTATGGCAGTACACTTGCCTCCTGTTCGGTCTGTCGGAGTCACTCCGCACGTTCACCAAGGTGCTTCGTCCAGTAGCAGCGTGGCTCCGTGCAATGGGTCTGCTCATCGTTGTCTATCTGGACGACTGGCTGTTAATAGCACACTCCCCTGCTCTAGTGGCACAGCAGATCCAGTTTGTGGCAGCCCTCCTAGAACGACTGGGCTTCATAGTCAACCGCCAGAAATCTATCATGGAGCCGACGCAGATCCTGACGTTTCTCGGAGTCGAAGTGAACTTGGTGCGCATGGAATTTTCCTTGCCTCGCGACAAGCTGGACAAGATTCGCTCCGAGTGCCGTCGCCTGCGCAATAACGGATTTGCTACCCTCGCCGAACTGCGTTCACTGACAGGCAAGATGGTTGCAGCGCGCCCTGCAGTACACCTCGCTATGCTTCATGTCCGGGGACTGCAGTTCCTGCTGAACGAGGCTCTGGCACACCGTCTCGAGACCCGATAGCTGGACGAATGGGCCTGCAGCGACCTGCGTTGGTGGATAACGACGGCGGGGTGCCCGATACCCATGCACAGAGACCCACCCTCGGACACCATGAGCTCAGATGCGTCCAATGTAGGATGGGGTGCTGCTGTGGATACGGCGCATGCCGGTGGGCCATGGTACGAGTCCGAAGCTGCGCACCACATCAACTGGAAAGAGCTGATCGCGGTATGGTTAGGTTTGAAAAGCCTGCTCCGCAACGCATCCAACCAAACCATCCGGTTGGAAATCGACAATACGACCACCGTGGCATACCTCAATCATCAGGGAGGCACTCATTCTCGGCGTCTGTGTACGCTTGCGATTCAGGTGCTGGAGTGGGCTGCAGCCCGACACCTGGAGCTGGAAGCGGTTCATGTGCCAGGAGCCCTGAATCACACAGCAGACTATCGGTCCCGTCACGTGGAGGAGACAGGCGACTGGATGCTCCCGTACGATGTGTTTACTACCATCCAATAGACATTTGGCCCGCTGAGTGTAGATCTGTTTGCGGCCCGCCACAATGCTCGCCTGCCCTGCTACCCGAGCTGGCGTCCAGATCCAGAGGCAGAAGCAGTGGATGCCTTCTCCACCCCTCCAGAGCTATGGGAGAATGCTTATGCCTTTCCGCCATTCAGCCTGCTCACCCGGTGTCTTCGCTACATCCGGCAACACGACATTCGACGGGTAATCGTGGTGGCTCCAGCCTGGCAGTCACAGGCTTATTACCCTCAGCTGCTCCGAATGTCCTGCAGTGCTCCGCTACGACTAGTGTTGTCAGACGTTCTGGAACCACAGGGACAAGTCCATCCACAGGCACAACGCCTACGACTGACCGTATGGAGTATCTCCGGGAAGCAGCCTCGCTGCGAGGCCTTTCGCAGGGAGCTGTCACTCTCTGGCTCTCCTCCTGGCGAACTAGCACCAACGCAACGTATCAGTCAGCATGACGACAGTGGGTGGGCTGGTGTTGCGAACGACGTGTGGATCCCGTATCGGCGGACCCTACTCAATTAGCCAACTTTCTAGCGACACAGTATGAGGCAGGCAAGCAATACCATACCCTGAACGTGTACCCTGAACGTGTACCGTTCGGCGGTGTCATCCACCGTACCGCCACTCCACGATAATGTACCCGTCGGACAATCGCCTAGCGTCGTCCGGGTTATGCGTGGTATCTACAATCAACGACCGCCATTGCCTCGTTATTCACGTACGTGGGACGTGGCCACTGTTCTAGAAAACATTCGGTCATTGGGCCCGAATACTGCTTTGACCCTGTCGCACCTGTCCTGGAAGCTGTGGATGCTGCTCGCACTGGCTCAGGCAGCAAGAGTATGTGAGATCTGTCACTTGGATATCCGCGCAATGCGCTTCCTGGCAGATGGTGTGGAGTTTGAGCTGACTCACGTCACCAAAACACAACGCTCTGGCGGCCCGCGGAAGTTCTTTGTGCCAGGTCTGCCGGCTGACCCGATCCTGTGCCCAGTGGAGTGCATCAAAGCCTATCTAGATGTGACTAAGTCCAGCCGCACTACACCAGCGCAGAGTGCTCTCGTTGTGTCCACTCGCCGACCGTTTCAGCCAGTCTCGACCTCAACTGTGGCCAGATGGGTGACAACACTGCTCCAAGCAGCAGGTGTTGAAAGTGACTTCTCAGCCCATTCTACGCGGAGTGCCTTCACTAGCGCTGAACGACAAGCCGGGGTGTCATTGGCGGATGTGTTGGCGACAGCTGACTGGTCACGGCCCAACACATTCATCCGCCACTATTACCGACCGCACAGCCAAGCTTCTTTTGGCCAAGCCGTCTTGACGGTTAGCACTGGGTGAGGAGTCTTCTCCAAGTGCGGACTGTGGTTCTGATTTCTATGCATGGTTTCTCATAGTGATCATGCCTGCTCCCTGATTATTTCACTATCCATGCCGTTGCTTTGCTTGTGTGGAACACTACAGTTGAATCTGTTTCATTATGATTTGAGAAAGTGTATCTGTCCGCAGCGGTTATAACATGCTGTTTCCTTCCGGCTTCTTTCTCTTGACAGAGTGTAGTGGCGATGGCAACATACATTAGTCATTAATTTCATACCTTGCTACTCATGTGAGGTTTTTTCTTTAAACATCACACTGTCACATTCGTAGCCGGGGCCTCCGAAGTGTAATTAGGAATTCCGCTAGGACCTGAAAGGTCTGACGTGGAATTCAGGTTACACTAGGAGGTGAAGGCGGAGAATGTGACAGTGTGTTCCCACCCGCGCCGCCCCTGTCTCATTCTCCGCTGTCAGACGTTGCCTTTTGCTTGTCCATAAATGAGCTCATCAAAGGCCAAAGGAGTCTGGGAAAGGGCGAGAATATCAAGGGGACGAGGTTGGAGTTTGTGTAAATTTTCTCTTTAACCCTTTATGTACTGCGCCCATCTCGAACCGTAAAAATATTTACGGTTCGGCACGCCGCACTTGGACGCACCGTTCGGCGGCGGCCTCTCTCTGATTGACTCGCGTTTTTTGCAGTGAACAGCTGAGATCCCACTGAAAATTTTGATGTATGATATGGGTAGGTCGCCATTTGAAAGTATGGAGACCGATCGCGGCGAAATGTGCGCTTCGCAAATGCAGCGCTCTGCGATATATTTTGCCAATTTCGATCGTGTTTTCGTTCCGTCACGCTGCTGCTAATAGAGATATAGCCTTCTCCAGCTAATGTCGACATCCTCTAGTCGTGATAGAAACCTGGAGAGAGCTGAAGCAGCGATATCTCCTCAGGATCTGAATCGAAACTGCCAATTTTCATCGCTGAAGCCATCACAGCATTCGCTCTCCAAGTAGCAGCGAGAGGGAGGGCAGGCGGAGGTCATCCCCTAGTAACTATTTCTTGTCTTCTCAATCACCAATCCTCGCTCGACGTGAGTAGATCAGCAAAAACTGCATATTTCAAATCTGAAATAATTGCAATAATTTGAATACTCGACGCAATTGTTTGCGTCTGGTATTTAGACGATACATCCGTTTTCCGCCCCTTCTGTTGCTGTTCATGCATGAACTAGTGCCTGTGGTATCCTTCTGTCACTGTGCGTCCCAATGGCCGTCCCTGATACGTCTATACTTTATTTCAAATGTAGCGATCTCAATTGTCAGAATTACGCACAATTGGCTCATAATTGGGTATTCCGTGTATGCCCTCCACTTATAGCTGCATGCTGGATTACAATATGTTGACAAATGGACCCATTCATTACTATAGATTCAGAAAAACATAACTTGCATATACAAAATGCGTCTAGATTTTATCCTATAGGTCCATCATTGACAAGGAGTACCCTACGCATACATTAGATGCGTGGTACATAAAGGGTTAAATCGCTGTTAATTATTTGAAAAGCGAAGATTTGAGGCCTAATACACTGTCACATTCTCCGCCTTCACCTCCTAGTGTAACCTGAATTCCACGTCAGACCTTTCAGGTCTTAGCGGAATTCCTAATTGTACGTAGTACAAAGGTATCTGAGACACGTGATGTGAGTTTTCGCCGTCGGAGACCCCATATGCAGAGTTGCACACTCTTGGGGGGTTATATACTCTTGATAATATGCTAGCTAAAAAAATCAAGGATTCTGTAATCCACGGGGACAGGCTTAGTGTACACTATTTCACATGTCCTTCTAAAGCGGCCCAAAAACTGTCATGCTACACTCGTGTACAACTACACTATGAAATATAATTGCTATACAGCCTGTCTGCCAGTGCGTGCACAGATAGTACTGGCTCCTACATGTCAGAACAGCACAGCCGTGAGGGCATGTATCAGAGCTGGTATAGGCCGTTGAAAGCAGATATCACAGCTTCTTGACAACGCGTAGCGCCTGCGCCAAGTGGTGAGAAAAAAGTCGCGCGTTTCGCATCGCCCACGCATTTTGTTTCTAGTGGCAGTAGCATCACTTTGACTGGAGAGCAGGTGAGGAGAAGACCATTTTCATTTTTCTTTCAACGAACTTGTCAATGACTTTCTAGTTTTCACAGTGTAGAGGAGAAACAGTAGCTGGTTTTTGTTTAGCCATTGGTGTGTCTGTACTGTCTGTACTGTCATTCGGATTAAGTCTCGAGCCAAGAAACCATGATTGATGTCTCTGTTAATTCGGTCACGGCGATTGCTGATTTCTTTTGGTTCTGTGACCAATCAACACTGGGTGTGTTTAATTATCCAGAGAGAAGCGAAAATCAAGACTCTCAGGTGCTGGTGAACACTCAGCAGGAAAACACTGTCTAAACAGCGAAAAAAAAGAAAATTTAAGAAGAAAACATAAACTTGTCCTTGTATCTTGCACGAGCTCCAGTCAAAGTGATACGGTGACCATTGGAAACACAAAAATCGTAGTAGGTGACGCAACTTTTGTTCGTCACCACTTCGGCCCGCGGTACGCATTTTCAAGAGGAACTTTGACTGCCTATTGCCCGTTTACGTGTTCACAGGTGGGCTGTACAAGTGTTGCATGCAACAAGGGTGTAGCACTATAATTATAGTCATAGCTAAAGCGATACAAGTAAAACAGGAGAAGCTCTAGGAGGGGTGGTGGTGGCTCCACATTGTTTGCTTGACTTCACGTCGCTCCGATCCAGAAATATTTATACACCCACTAGCTGCCGCACCAACCTCTAAATGCAAGCATGGGGCGGCTTCTGCAATATCGCAAAATATAGTCCGCACGAACTGGCTCATGGTTGGCTGGTCTTGTGACGACACCCTTGTGATGTGCAATGCAATTCCTTAGAAAAATCCAACCGTGCACTATACTACACTGTACTTGGTCCCGAAGGCCCCACATTAAAATACACGCCAGCCGGCCACTGACTGGAATTTCATTTGTATGAAGCGCTATAAAGGTGTATTGGTAGGTTCGAATAGTAACATACGGGATAGTACAACAACTCACACTCCAGTTTCGTATTCCCAAGGAGCTGGTGCTGCAGGTTGTGGCGGAGCATGAGGTTCCTGAAATTTACACAAAGGATAGCGAATCAAGCCACATACGTAGGGGAAGGAACCTTTCCAACAACCAGTAACGACGTGGCTAAAAAATAACTAACATTCTCGGGTGGCATGGGAGCTCCGTAATAGGCATCCATGTTGAAGACTAAGCGACGGCAAATTAAAACGCCGTTTCAATAGAAAAGGCGAGTGATTACATAACAAGAGAAAGACTTCAATAGCGGCAGTCCAGAGCACAACAGGAACTTTACTTGCGGAGTGCTTGTATTCGCGAGACCCAAAGACAAAAGTACAATTATTGATAAAAATCAAAATGTAGTTCTCAAATCCAACAAAAGATTTTCTTTGGTGACGTCCGGTCCACGTAGTGCGTAAGTCCGGCAGCTAGCTAGCTAGCCAGTAGATCTCTCCGCAGTGGACATGGTGGAGGCTGCATGCATGACTAGTCGACTAGACTGTATCACCATGATGACGTCGTCAAAATAATACGGGTACGCGGTGCACCGGCGTACGATCAACACTACACAAATAATTGTAGTCACTACCCTGACAACACTCAACAGTGATTACAATCAACGCCAACGGCCAGGGAATTATTTTTGTAGACGAAGTAGAATGTACTCCCGGGGGGATCCCGGTCCCGGGTACCCGGGCAGCTAACTACTTGAAAAGCGATCCTGTCAGCATTGAGCATTGTGGTCGTACAATCATGTAGTGATGTACACAGTACAGTACTACAGTTGATCGGTGATCTACCGGGTAGCCTTTCAAAGTAGTTTGCCTAGCCCGGCCGCCTTGATCAGTTGATGTGCCCGTAACAGGGAGTAGTAAAATAATGGTATTTTGCTACTCACGGCTAGTCGCAGTGTTGATCTGTGAGTAGTAAAAATCGAGTAACCACTCACGTGGTTGCCTTTTCGCGGTCAGGTGATAACCGAATTCATTGCGCATGCGTAGCACCTAAGTGTGCACCGATCCGGAGGTCGGAGGCACGCCAACACAGGCAACAGCATTTGACAGGCAAATGCATGCCGCTGTTGGAAAAGCGAAGTTTTTACATTGGTTTCGTCTTTGTGGTTCCTCAACCACCGAATCAATGGTAGTTGTGCCCCCACCAGCCGGTTAAGCCATGATAAACAGCGCCGATGCTGTTTATCGGCATTTGGCCGCCAGCGGCCCGGCTGGGGACCTGTCTCCAGCCATTCGTGTAATGATCGAGGGTTCTGGCATGACCAAGTTCTTCAACAAAAGCCGCAGGCCAGAAAGGCGATCGTTCTTCTTGAGGCTTGATACATTTGATATTGCTTGGTTTCCTGCTGGTAAAGTGGGGAAGAATGCCACCCCTGAGGGAACAGGTATGGCAGAGTCCAGAATCCCGAGCATTTGCGCAATCGTACGTTGGGACTGACTCGGAATTATGGTTTGTTGGCCTCTGCTGCTGTTTCAGTGGATATTCGTGAGATCCGCGAAGTTAGGAAGGGCAAGTGCAGCCGAGATTTCGAGAGGAACGTGGATGAGGCGAAGCGTTGCGATGAGAACGCATGCTTTGTTATCCTTTATGGAATGGAGTTTCGGCTGAAAACGCTAAGCCTTGTTGGTACGAGCGCTGGATTGGTTTATTCTATTGCTGTCCTGCCAGTGCAACCAGACCAGTGTGAACTCTCTCTCTCACCGGGTGTATTATTTGTGATTGCACAGCTTTTGGAAAGGACGAGCGAGATACGTGGTACAAAGGCCTAACTCACCTGAAAACCACCAAAGCGTATTACACTTATCCCATGATCACACAGAGGTACGTACATGTAGTGTTGTCAGTAGACACTGAGCATGTTTCTACACAACATCAGCATGACACTCCAGCTAGGCATAGCATTACACACACCAACAAAATCATTTGGGTTCGGGCATAATTATCTAGTGTGTGCCATGAGGAGTCACACGCTTCTCCAAAAAGAGTGTACCATAGCTGTCCTCCTGGATTTCGCTTGCAGTGAGAAGTGTACTCAATAGTCTCAATAGCTACAATGTGGGCCCATGTGTTCTGGACTGGTGCACATCAACAAACACACAGTTTCATCTGAAAACACAACGCATGGATGATTTACTTTGCCCCATTTTGAGTATTTATAATTATTGTGTTACACATTGATTAAGATATGCCTGAGGTGTGTGTGGTTAATACGCAACTCGCTTTACTTACCGTATTTCCCCAAATATAAGTTGCACCTTTTTACACTAAACTTCAGGGCGAAAAAAAGAGGTGTGGCGTATCGACTGTCCCCTCAGAATAACGCCGACAAAATCCTAAAGCTATCCGCATAATTATTATGTGGCAAAAATGCGGGATCATGCGGCAAATATGCGGTATAATTGAGGTCATTATGCACGAGTTGTCTGTCATTGGTACACATTACTGTCCCTCCAGGAACTTGCGATTCCGCGGCCGCGTTGTTTTCCGCGATTTGAACAAAAGTCCGTGATATCCGCGATATTTGAAAAATCATCCGCGTTATTGTAGAAAACTGTCCTTGATACTTGAAAAGCACCGCGATATTTCGAAAAGCAACCGCGATATTCGGGTCTTTCTTCGATGTTGTTTAGTTCTTCAAGCTCGTCAGTAGTTTACTTGTGAGATCGACACCAGAATGGAGAAGTTTCTGGGCAAATCAGCTGCTGACAAGTCACAAAATAAGGCTCACGTCGAGTGTTGTCCGAGGACGGAGGAAAGCTGTCTTGCAAGCTCCTGTCAGGCAGTTGAACACAGTTAGCGCAGCACACGTTCTGTTTTGTCATGCATGATTTATGCTGTACGACTCGTACATCGTACACCACTACAGTACAAATACCAAATTCGGCCGCAATTTCCGCAATTTTACCACAATAATCCCGCAATATTTGACAAAATCCGCAATATTCCCCGCGATTTGTGGCATTTTACCTCGCAACTTTTTCCGCGATATTTCCGAAATGTCTCCGCAAGTTTCTGGAGGGACAGACATTAAGCGTACAGTTTCAGGCAAGTATACAACTTTGTCGCATGAACTCATGGGCGGGTACGTTGTAGTACAGTTTCAACATCATGTACTGTTACATTCCCATGGATTACGCGGGTTTCGTATGAAATTTAACCCTATTTTTTGTTGTAAAAAGCTCTTTGAATACCCTGAAAATTGGCCTCAAAGAACAACTCGTTTTGTTTCCTCAGCGAAGGTTTCGAATCAAATACATGTGGAATCCTGATAATTTAAATATGGCTTAATTCGAACCTGCTGCTTAGTTTCTTCCAGGACCGATTTTTATCAATTCGATTGCCAATGAACCTTGATCTGGGCATGTATGGTTACTTAAGTCCCACGGAGTCCACTTACGAAGAGAATGTGTGAGGTTTGTGCTGATAATCAGCAAAGTTCACTCTGCATCATGTGTCAGCTCAGTGTGCATGAGCAGGCTGTACTGGCCACAGTTTAGTGTCCGCGAAATCAGTGTCTCGAGTATAATATTATATAGTTCAACTCTGTATGACAATGCGAGCATTTGTTATGCATATTGTGTTGTGGGTAGCTAGAATGTCAGGATAATTAGACGTTTTTCCTTTGCATTTTGGGTTCGAATTATCAGGATTCCACCTGTTACAGAACCTGAAATGATGGGCGTTCGGAAAAAGGATACAGTCGGACCTCGCTTATCCGGTCCTCTTTTATCCGGAAGAAAATCGCTGCTTACTGATTTACAGCATATATCTTGCAAACATACAGTATGTGCGTTCGATTATCCGGTTCCCTTGCCCATCCGAATATTTTTGTGGAAACGGATGTGTACAGTTATGCGAGGTCTGACTGTACTGTAGTTGATCTTCGAGCACCCGGCTCTACTGCTATCACAATGAGCCCTTGTCATGGTGACATCACCCTTAGTGCTACTTTTCTGCATTTTTAAAAATTGACTGTGTTTGTACCTCAATCTACTTTTTACAGCTTTGCTTTTTTTCTACAGCACATTGCCACGTCAGCTTTTAATTAAAGGTCTATTGTACTTTTCTCCTTGTTGCCTTTTGTTCAGATTTTTGTTGCGGGAGTTTAGATCAAGAGGCGATGGCAAAGCTTCTGATAAAAATGCAACGATGTAAGCCAATGTTCATAAAACTCTAACTTTTCTCTGCTCTGTACACTGTGAAGTTGGGAAGTTTGCAAGAGATTGCGACCATCAACCATTCGCACAATTGAAATTGCTACAAACTTGAGTGTGGACAATACATGATCCGATTCGAGAGATGACATCACCAGATTTCCTCATCGTGGACCGGTGTTGTTCTTGAAAACGCAGAATTTGAACGCAGCAAACGTTCCTCTCCTTACAGTAATGTATTGTGCCTTGCTAGATATCTGGTTTGCGGATTTGACCGTTAGCACGCTGCCTCAGTTAAGTTCACACACACTGTCAACTAAGTTCAAGAACTATGCTAAATAAAGCTGGCCTTCGAACACATATTTCACGATTCGGAAATATCCAACTTTTCACTTTCTGTTGTCTGGTTTCTAAATTTCTCGGATATTGCATCGCTACTGTTATGGCATGCTTTTTGTCAAATTGCCATTTAGTTTACTGGCTATCAGCTTGTCTATGTTTGTTGAGAGGCTCCTTTCGTTCGACTGAGGAGTGTCATCCAAAGTTGTATGGATATGTGGCATTGTGTTTTACATAATAGGATGACATTGCCTGAGATGAAGCGATTCTTAGCAAGAGTGAACTGCAAGATGAGTAATAACAAAGCAAGGCAGTTGTTTCAGGTAAGGTTTGATGTATTGGGTGTTATGTGGCTTCGTGTACTCGTATTCAACCTTGAGTGAACGCTAGTAGAAGGGTTCCGCTCTACGTAAAGTTGAGCAACTTTACAGAAGTGGGCGGCAAAACCCGTGAATTCGCGAGTTTGCACTCCACTTACAGAATGTTGTCTACATAGAGTACGTTCGTGGGGCTCTACTAACGGGGGTGCTCCGTCAGTAGATTAGGGTATAAATTCTCTCAGTGCGTCATACACTTTTGCGTAGCTATTTAGCTCGAAACTTGTATTGCGGAACACGGATCTTCATGCAGTGTACGTAAGACTTTCCGAAAGATTATGAGAATTGATCAAATCAAGTGCAGTTCTTGAAAGTGACTTTGACACCGCCTTGTCAGAGAGCGACACCGAGTGAGCAACACAAACAGTTCTGCCTTCGGTGTCTAGTAACTGATGCTGTCTGTGTTGTTTGCTTGCGCGTGTGACAGTGTACATCCTGTGAATATTTTTTAAGGAAGCGACAATTTCGATGATGCAGGGGAAGTGTATATTTGTGGTATACTGTAAATTGCCTAATATTCGCAACGGATTATTCGCTATTTTCGCGAGAAGAGCGTACCGTGAATATTAACCAGCGTGAAATCAAGCTTCAACATTGGGTGTATGTAGGTGGCCCCATGGCCCTGTGCATCGAACTTTTGCCATCGCAAACTATGTTACTTGCTGGTTCTAAGAAATCGCGAAAATTTAGTGACGCGAATATTGGGCGGTTTACAGTAACTGAGGTCACTTTTCTTGCCTACCTCTCCAATGTACATTTCTGCAATATGTGTTGCAGTACGTGCATGTCTGTATGCTGGTACTAGCTACTACCGTAAAGTCTTGTATAAAAGCCGCACTTGAATAGAAGCCGCAATTTTGGGTACATCAAATCACACATAAGCCTAGTTTTAGTGTTGACATACATAGAAATACCTGTCTTGTATAGAAGCCTGTCTCATATAGAAGCCTGCAAAATTTCACTAAGAAAGTCATAGAAGCTGCGGCTTTTATACAAGACTTTACGGTATGTCTGAAGATATTTTTCCAAACACTCTGTTTTCATTTTTTCTGTTTCTGATTTGTGCAGGAATTTGAAAAAGGAAAGAATGGTCTCTCGTTCAACTCCTTTCACGATATGTACATCCAGTCTTCAATGGCTAGCGGATTGGTATGTCACACTAGATAACCAAGGCTGGGTTCAATATGGTGTTTGCATAGTGTCGTTAGGGAATTTTAGTGCCACGCACTCTGTTTATACTTGATGTATGTGACCCACGGACTCGCGTTTTTCTGACTCTGACTGTGTAGGAGCTCACCCACGTCAGAATATAGCTCATTGTGCATGCTGTGAGGGTGCTCGCTTGAGAAGTTCCCGAGGCACAAAATCTATGTATGCGACGAGCGTACTCTCTTTGCTGCTTTGTCTTCTCTCTTGTGTGTGCACATGGGGCTGAGTTGCTTTGAATACGAAATTTTAGGGATTTCATCGGAGCACTATATGGATTCAAATTATAAAAAGCCCCTCTTGAATAGAAAAGCCTCATCAGAATTAAGTATGCAGCTTGAGTCGCTAGTGCAACTGCAGCGCTGTGCCCCGGATCTGCGACTTTGCTAAAGCATCTCAACTGATGATGTAATTGCATACCTCTATTATGTCGTCTGAAAATTCAGGAATTTCCTTCAAGAGAACGGTCAATGGCTGTTGTAAGGTTTGGGTACATTGATCTCAATATTGGTTCTCTATTCTTGTTTTCTGTATTATGACAACTGTGCAGGCTTCCGACGTCGTGACAAAGTTCAATGAAGTGTCGAAAGAGCGGGATCTTCGAATGCAGCTAAAAGAAAACCAAAGTCTTAACATGTCCGACTTCCAGAAGTTTCTGTTTGCTTTCCAAGAACAGCTCATGGAGCCGCCTGCCATTAAGCAAATGTTGGGCACTTACTGGGCCAACACACAGCCGAATGGTGCCAGCGGCGCACTGCTGACGTTTTATCAAGTGAGTTTTCAATATCATGTCATGCCATTCTGTAGGTATATTGGTGTGTGGAAGTATTTGTAAAGATGCTAATATGACGTGAGCACTGCTCGGGAGTACATAGCCCCAGAGGGCACAACCATGCATCGAGTTGTGTCGCCATAGAATCCAGGCACTACACCATGCGAGGGCGATCCGGTACTACAGTCCATTCAGAAAAAGATGGACTTCTAGCTTTTGGCCGTAAATGGGTCAAACGTTGAGTTTTTTATTAATTTTTTCTGCAATCCCCTATGGAATCCTCTTCCAATTATGTTTCTGAAGTCTATTTCTCCAAAAAGCAAGCCATAGCAAGACTAGGATTTCGGCCAGGTTTCGCCCCAAGAGCACTGAATTGGGGAAACCGATCAAAATCCAGGCCGTTTGACCCTGTCTGCAAAAGTGCATTGTACGGTTCGAACCCCAGTTCAGGTACCCTTTTTGGACCCAATTTCAAATTTCACAGCACTGGACTGTGTACGATAAAATCTTGAAAAATCGCCTAATACGGGTGCTCGCCAGAGCCAGGGCCCATCTTTTTGTGAATGGACTGTAATGAACTGTAGGTTACACAAGTTTACAAGCAGGTGCATAATTGCTCTGTGCAAACAAAGCGTGCCTGTAGCTGTTGCACCCACCTATATGCACCACGGTAACATGTCCTTCTCCGCGCCGCCGCAATGTGCACTGATCTTTGCCGCATGAATAATATCAATTCTATGTCTAGAATTTTGAATCTGGTTTCCAACGGGCTGGTTTTCTTTTCTAATTTCAAGGACTGACTTTGCAAGCTCTGAAAAGATAAGCACACATTTTGATAGTGCGGAGGAAGCACTAATGAGATTCCAATCAGCATGAGATTCCAATCAGCATGGCCTATTTCTTGTTCATATTTCCATTGCTAAATTTTTGGGATTTGTTTCCAAAGATGCACTTATCTCGAAACCTGAAAGCCATTTGCCAAATTTCTGTTGAATTTGTTTGCTCAGTTTGTCGACTACTTGTTCTCCGATTACAACAGCATCATTTGCCCTGAGCACTTGAAGGTGTTCATGGATATGACCCAGCCTCTCTCTCACTACTGGGTAGCATCATCGCACAATACGTAAGATACTGTATATAGAGTAGTCTTGAAATCTTTCTTTACATTCTCTTGGTTGTCCTTCCCAGAGTCACAAGCACATGTATATAGCGTTAGGGCACTTTGCAGCCGATTTAGTCATTGTCATGTGCTCAGTCGCTCAAAGAGCACGTGAAAGAGGGATTTTCCAACAAAGAGCAAAGAGATCGATCAAAAATTTGAATTTGCCGAGAATACGGCACGCAATATTTCTAAAGTCCGAGATCATAGCTCTTTGGCAGTTGTTTGAATTGGAGAGCATGGAGTTTCCGCTACCACGTAGACCCTTCAATAGTTAATTTTACACAAGGAATGATGGAGGTTACAAGTTTGTAGTCATCAATCATTATATGATCGAAAGTCTGCAGGACGGTAAAGGGTTAACCCTTACTCTCTAGTCTCGACCCAAGTTCAAATAATTGTATAAGAATAAGCAGGATCCTCGAAAATAGCACTTTACATATCCGAAGGGAAGCGTGTGCTATAACCACTGTACTTTTGTACTGAAATTTTACTGTATGGCAAACTAAATCTTTTATTTATATTTCTTGCTTCGGTGGTTTGTAGTGCTCTGACTACGCCAATCTCTTGTCTGAGTTTTGAATAAAGGCACAGAATATGCTGCCTGGCATCGCTTGTTCTCGACTAGATCTTCCCTTTAAAAATATTCTTCTTTTTCTTCTTATCTCTATCAGGTACCTTACTGGTGATCAGTTTCAATCTGAATCGTCGTGTGAAGCGTATGTGAGGTGCCTTCACAATGGCTGCCGCTGTGTGGAGCGTAAGTGTACTTACTGTTCATGATGCACTTTTACTCTCAATGCACCACTAGAACCAATATTTGTATTTTTTTGGAACAAAGCTTCGTAACTTCTTCATCCACACTCTAAGGAGTTCATGTGCTCAAGCAATTTGTTTCAGTGTGACGAAGACCATGTGTGGATTTAATTGTGAAGTATGTACACTATTAACCCCTTCAGTGTGGATCACGTCTTTTAGACGTCATGGAAAAGTATGCTGTTTGGCAGATCGCGTCTTTAGACCTCCTGCACTGTTCAGTGTACGTCGCGGCAGATAGACGACTGGAACGTTCCGTTTCTCGGGCAAACCGATTCCAAGCAACACACCGTTGGAAAAGTCTTGCCTTCAGCTTTCCGTAGAGTTCTTTGCGATAGGGCAACAACAACAAGAAATGGAAAATGTGCGCTCTGGTGATTGACAAGTTTTTGCTCGCGACTCAGGTGCCTGGGGATTTACCAGGGCCGTTACGCATGCGTAATGGGTAGCAAATGAAGCGCTTGAATCACGAAAATGGGTTGAGTTCGAGGAAGGAGGTGAAGGAAAGTGTGAGATGAAGTTGTCTTGCGAAATCTGGGGAATGGTGGGGCAGCTTGGAGAGGACACAGACGTACAGTAAACGTTCTTGTCGCAGCAAACCTCCGCCCCAGCTGGTCTGTACTATTTTTGCAAAGCAGGCCATATACCCACACATGCGCGCGCACACACACACACACATGGCTAACGGTATACTTTTTTTTGCAGTAGTATAGCAAGGCGAACAGTTATATCGACCCTGCAATAATGTTTTCCTCGGGGCTTAGTTTTGTAAAGTGATGTGCCGCATTTTCTATCCATTTCGGCACACATCAGTGCAGTGTCGTGCGTAACCTAATGACTGATGCTGTTGTTTTTTTGTGCACAGTGGATACGTGGGATGGTCCTGATGGCAATCCTATCATCTATCACGGCCACACACGTACAACTAAAATTCTCTTCAAGGATGTTGTGAAGGCCATTGCCGAGCATGCATTTATTGCCTCAGAGTAAGGGTGCGTTTGGTTGGTACGATCTAGAACAGGATCGAACAGCTGGTGCACACGGAGCAGCCTCATGCCAACCAAACGGTACTCCAGAAACAGAGCATATTTTTGTGAAAAATATGCCAAACTTTGTGCATTCTTCAAAATGTGTATGGGTCACCATGGTCACTGTGTACGGTACGACGAGATCCAACCCAAAAGCGTATGCACGTGATCATTTGGGACCAAAATGACCAAAATCGATGTTCCCGCCAGGTTTCACTGTGAAAAAGTGAAACTGCTCGGTCTGCTCCGGCCTCAAGGCCGGAGCAAGCAGAACATGTTCTGGCCGACCCAGATCAGGTGCAGTCCCAACCAAACGCGCTGTTCTGGTGAATCCTGTTCTGGTTGAGGTTCGTACCAACCAAACGCGCCCTAAGAGTATTGAAGTTATTTCAGAATGCATGTCAATGAAGAAGAAATGTTATTTCAGGAGTTTTTTCTTCAATAATAATAATAGCACATTTCGCGTAGTAGAGCACTAAATAAAGAAATTCAGTGTTTTTTCCGCTTCTGTCTTGTGAGCATCATCAGCTAGGTGTAGTAGCTGCTGATACTGATTTCTCTTCGGGTGTCAAGCTGCACAGTTTCTTCCAGTCCGTCTTGTCTGCTGCTTGTTGTCGGCACCTGGAAAGGTCTTCCATGGTCTTCATTGGCACACCCAGCTTATTCAGCTGAGCGACCAGACTTGTGGCCAGTGTCAACCTTGGTCGTCCTCGAGGTGCTTTGTTGCCCTTTTTCTTTCTTTTCTTTTTCTTCAATGGCAGGGTTGAAATGAATGAGTTCTATGCGTTGCTCTCTAGAAAACTGATCTATGGATATCAGGGAACAGTCCCGCTGCGCTCGGTTCTTTTTTTGTTCATCCATGTCGCTACAGTCCATTCATTAGAATCTGCTACGCAACTTGTTAATTTAACTATATCTTTGTGGATGTAATAAACTAGTTGTTTATTTTGTGCACCCAAGCTCCATTGCATTTACCCGTGCAATTCATCCTATCGACTTTCCCGATAGAACTTCCCAAACTCTAATTTCAGAAATTTTAGGTGCTCAATATTTTCAGTACGAGGGCAAAAGGCCAGGTTAGGTGAACAGAAAATTTAGGTGCAGAGAAGCAGTTCCCTATCGGATTATGTGGTTAGTGTTTGTTCGGTGTGTTGAAATTTAGGTATGAAACAGATCCACCGAAAGTAAAAATTCATCGAAAATTTGTGAAATTCCTGTAGTTTAGTTATGACCCATATTGTCTGCTCATCTCCTGAAATGAAAATAATTGTCTTGTAACTGAGTCCATGTTTGATGTTTCATCTGCCCAGCTACCCTCTCATTCTATCCATTGAAAATCATTGCAACGTGCAGCAGCAGAAAGTCATGGCGCAGGTCTTCAAAGAAGAGCTTGGGTGTAAGTTCTGGCCTCTCAGGCACTTGTAGTTTTTAGCAGAAGATGCTCTTTATTGTGCTTGTCTTGGGGCTCAACTGCTCCCTACTTAAAGCTTTGTCAGGGTTTCCTATGTTTCCTGACAGTAATTAATCATGCTGTTCATGAGTTCTCTGATAGGCAACCAGCCAGGGGAGTGCCAGTGTGCAAATACTTCAGAAATCAGCAATGTAAAATATCACAGTAGTCTGCAACCTCTTCAATTTGTTTGCTGTCTTGCTCTTTGTAGCACTATTACTGACGCAGCCTGTTGATCCCAATGCCACAATGCTACCCTCACCTGAAGCACTGAAGAACAAAATCATCATCAAGGTAACTAAATTACTTTCCTCTCTATTACACGTTAATGTCTCCCCGTTCTGTTAGTGTCAAAATTCATCATGCTCGTCTCAATGCCTGCTTCTTGCCACTTGTTTATGTAACATTAGCTGTTGCCTATTCATTTTAAAAACAATGTACCGTATGTCAGCGCCTTTAAAGCCATGGCCTTATATTCGAAACACCGCTGCTTTCCTAGATATTTTAGATGCAAAATGACTCACCCACTACGCCATGCCATTAAAGTCAAAGTCCACCCAGAAATTGCAATCTAAATCTACTTGTTCACCCTTCCTGCTGGGCTGTAAGTGTGTTAGCATTGTACTTATTCCTTCATTTTTGCAAAACGTACTTCAAATATCATTTCATTTATGAAGCCCATGGCTTTATAACTGAGACTGGCTTTATAATCGAATATACCGCCATGGCTTTAAAGGTGCTGACATACGGTATAAAATTTGCTCCAAACGTGATTTTTGCTTCCCTTTCTCTATTTCCTGCAGCACAAGAAATTGCCATCAGGTAGCGAAGAGTTGAAGTTCACTGTGTCAACTGATGATTGCCAAGAAGAAGATTTGTCCAACTCTTTGCACAACGGCTATCTTCGCATGGAAGACAAGCTTGATCATGTGTGGCGCTGCCATTACTTTGTGCTGACGTCAACCAAGCTGTTCTATTCCGGAGCTCAGGAGATTGAAGAAGAACCAGAAGAAGATACTAAAGACCTGGATGAAGTAAGGTGCTAGGCCTGTAGCCTCATGGTAGTGCTCTATATCAGATCAATACGTTTCAATTTTGTTCTAGTCTAAACTGAGTATGGGATGAGGAAATTTTGACTGATTATTAGGCAATGGGAAAGTCTGGATTTTAATTTCATTTTGCCCTCAAATTTTGCAGTACAGTAGAGCAGCAACTAACTCTCCAGACCGGGACCCCCCCCCCCGACAAAAAGCGGAAGATGCAGGACTTGAGCATACCAGTACAGTCATGCAGTCTGTAGATCTACTAATGTATGCGAACTGCATTTGTTCCGAAGGGTTCGGACAATCAATGCTTTATCTCTTAATTTGCTGGGCAAAAGTCCTATATATAGGATTTGAAAATGCGTGACCTTTATGCCGTTGTTATTGGTCATCATGAGTCATTCATGACCCATAATAAGAGCATAATGGGTTTATTAGAAGCTGTAAATATGTTTGAGGCATGAATGTTTACTTTTTAGATTCATAGGACATCATGATTACCCATTTTGAGAAAGGATTGGAATTTTGAGCGGCATTGTTCAGCTGGTGTCATGGGAAGGACTGAAGCAGTGAATGTGCAAAAGAACATTACAGGTCAAGGTCCAGTAAAATCTCAAATCCTATATATAGGATTAAAAAAATAGGGCACAGGCCTTAGAAATATTGTGCAAGGAGATGAGCCTTAGATGTTAGTATTTGAAAAAAATATCTTATTCAACTCTCCATATCGACTAAGACCTAACGCGGAAGGATTGGTCACATACGTTTCCCTATGCTCATGCCACACCCATTTTGAGTTGAAAAATATGACCAAAATCCTATATATAGGATTTAGCAAATTAAGAGATAGTACTACTGACCCTCACCCAAACTCCATGGAAACTGTTACAAAATAGAAAAATTGATTGGGGGGGGGGGGGGTGTTAGACAGTTGTTGTTCCTTGCCCAGTTATCTGACTACACTGTTGGGCAAATTCACTTGGAAGTAAGCTGCTTGTTCGCGCTGCATACTCAAATCAGTTTCAGGCCACTAGTAGAGGTTTTTTTCGCCAGTTTGAGCCTAATGCAGTGGTCCAGCACTTATAAGCCAGTGTAATTTCGGTAACCAAAATGTCCTAGGTGTCATTGATTGGCGAATCCGGATTGAGTGCGAGCAAGTGGTGTGGTCCGAGCAACGCTCACCCAATCGAACAAAGCAAAGGCGTGATACGCATACCGGTACCTTACGAAGACTCTGTGAAAGCTGTCAAAAAAATCAATGTCCATTTCCACTCCAGTGGATTGCACTCCAAGTACTCCTACTCGGGATTCGGCCAAACGATCACGCTCACTCGGAGCGCACTTGCTTGGGATTTGCCCACTGCACCAAAAAAACCCAGATTTCTTTAAAAATCTTCATGTCCGTAGCACAAATGGTGCCGGATTATATAGAGACGGACCACTGGAACACGTTAATAGTTACTGAGTTTCCCTCCTCATCTGGGGGGGGGGGGGGGGCAGAAGGAGATGAACACCTACATTACACGAAACCAATTCAAAGTGCATTGTCTCTACTAGTATTACGTTAGTAATGCAGCAGTCCAATGAAAGTAAGCATTGTGTAAACAGCGACTTCCTGAAGAATTTTGTTCATTCTTCTGGAGTTCATTTCTCACATACCTTTGATTTGTCAAAAGTGTTTGGGGTGTGGTTTGGTTGACAATGGTCTATTTCTTTTCATTTTCCTAGGTGGCACAGAGCTTTAAGGAACCCTGGTACCATGGAAAGATGGCGAATGGCCGAGTTGAAGCTGACCAGTTGCTGAAAGATACGTCAGATGGATCGTTCTTGGTGCGTGTCAGCAACTCAGGAAACAAGTCAGCAGACGGCAAGCAGGCAGTTTCCTACTCATTGTCATTTGCGTAAGGTGCAATGCATGTTACTATGCATGTTACTTATTTCAAACTATCTTGCTTGTGCGTGTATTGTACCAGCACCATTGCTCTTCTGAAGCGGCACGTGCCATTCTATTATTTCCGAATCTATGCTTGATATATGATGTTACGTAGTGGCGTAGCCAGGTCCGCAGTCCGTTAAATCTTATCTGTGTGCATGGGGGGGGGGGGGGCAGCATTGCACATGACTGGTCATGTAAGCTGACAAGAGTTAACGTATTTATAGTTTCGGACCAAATATTTGGAGAACATCGCCTCGGCTTTAACGTCATGGCGCTAAAAGTGAGAGACATGTACATGCAACAAAAATCGGGAAAACATGAACTGCGAGTACTCATACGGTGCTGTTGCACTTTCAATTTTCCCAGGGTCTTCAGCCTGAGTTTGTTTCTTCGAGATCATGCCGAAGTCAAGGAAGAGCTACACGATTTCCCAGAAGCTTCGTGCTGTAGCTGCCCTGGAGGAGAGCTCCATCAGCGCCTTTGAATTTTGAATTTTGTTCACTTATAACGCCATGGCTTTATAAGTGAGGGTGGCCTTATATTCAGATATAACACCATGGCTTTATATGAGCGGAAATACGGTATATGGCCGGTATCACACTTGTACCCAGAGTCATGTATCAGCGACGCATGAGCTCAGGTTTCTATTCATACCTGTAGTGTTTCAACATTGCCCTGGTGTGTGTGTGTGCCTGTGCGTGTGTGTGTGTGTGTGTGTGTGTGTGTGTGCCTGTGTGTGTGTGTGTGTGTGTGTGTGTGTGTGTGTGCTGTTTTTCTTTGTAAAGTCGACATGGCAAAGTGAATCATGTTCGGATACACACATGTGAAGATGCTGGCAAGGAAAAGTTCTACATGCAAGAGAACATGCTCTTTGACAGTCTGTATGCACTTGTCGAACACTATCGAGCTTATCCGTTGAAGAGCTCTGCATTCAGTATCAAGCTCGGCGACCCTTGTTCATCTGTAAGTGATTGTGAATCTGCACTATCAATGATTCTTGTTTCTCTCTCTCCCTGCAATTATTTGTGTGTTGTCAGCTCAACAACAGTCTATTGTAGCATGCCAAACTTGGTCGAATACTACTTTGTGTAGTCATTTATGCATTAGGCTCACTGCTTGTAACTTCCCTGCACCAAAATGAAATGCTACTGACTATTGACAATGTACTGTCCGCATAATAGGAGTGGTTCTGGTTCATAAGGAGTGTGGGTGGAGCGGTTGGGAGCTTTGAAAAAAGTACTGTTGCCTGTATCAAATTGCATGACGAAGAGTTTGCAACTGTGATCTCTTTTCTATTGGCCGGGTCTGTGGCGTGCTGCCTTCATTACATCGTGCAGCTACAATCTGCGCACTGCGGAGAATCACTTTCCCTGCGATTCGAAACCAGCTTTGGTACGAAACTGGAGTTCATGCTCCTAAATTTCTAGGTCGTGTACATACTCGAACAAGTCAAGCAAAAAACGGATGTGCTGGTAGGCAGGTCATGTAATGAAAGCACCCCGTAAACACAGCTGCATACTCTTGGTAATTGACGCCAGTGTGTCAGTTACAATTTCAAATATTTCTTTTGGCTCTTCGTGCTGTTCATTTGTCAATATAGCCCAACCGACAGCAATCATATGAAAATCAGCCGTAAGTCAACCATGTCTCAGGTATCTGTTTCCTTTTGTTTGACTTTTACTGTAATAAAGAGAAGTACACTTTGCAATGCATGGAGCAAACTCTCACCCAAATGGGCATCTCCTTTGAGAGTCTGGTATACTTCTGTGGAGACAAGAGTGCAAGTCAATGTTCTAGTGTGAATTGGGAACTTGCGACCAACAAGAGGGTAGCATGGATGCTGTGAGTAAGATTGTCTGTTGTTGACCACGTTGGTGGGTCTAGTCTCACTTCACTGCAGTGCTGTCTGCATCCCACCACTTGATATTTCAGGTTGGTGGTGGTAGTCTGGCTGACTTTCATTCACTGGCGATACAGATTTTTTTGTCTTTTATATAATAGTCCTGTGATTTTATTTCAGAATCGCAATTAACGATTCACGTGTTATTTTACGTTCATGTCTAGATGGTTTCACAAGTCTATGTCAAGAGAGACAGCTGAGAACATGTTGAAGCAGGTGCACTATGATGGTGCCTTCTTAGTGCGAGAAAGTGAGACACAGCAAGATGCTTTCGCAATCACGTTCCGGTAAGTTCACTGCTTCTTGAAATATGTTAACAAGAGATTACAGATTATGATTCCATCAGTAAAAAGTGGCGCAGACAGATAATAGGGAGGTTTAGTTCCCACGTAACGGAAACGCGTACGTGGGTGATCCACGTAAAGTGGATGAAGGGCACCCACGTTGCAATGTTGTGTTTAGTCACACGGAACAAACAAAAGCATGACGCGAAAGGCCCAAACCTGGTCAAAGACGAAGCTACCTGGGCCTAAGAAGCTCATTCAATATTTTGATTTCGTGCTTCGGAAACTTCTGCAGCTAAGCACCCTCACAGCTCGCACAATGCGCTCCATTCTGATTTTCACCCACGTTCGGGCGGAACGTGGGTGAGCCTCCATACACGGTATGTCGTGAATCAGAAAACGTCTGTACGTGGGTCACTGAGTATCACGTGGTACACACACGTAAAGTACCCACGGATTACGTGGGACTAAACTTCCCTACTGTGATGAAGGCAGCGCGTCACCCAGACCAGAGTGTGCAGCTCCGGGAGAATCATCCCACAGGAATGTTTTTTTTGTTTTTTTTTTCGGTCATCATGACTCGCCTTTGCTGCATCTCGCACGGTTCACATGGTTATTTTACCGTACGGTATCAGTGGTATCACCAAGATAATTTCTGTTCTGCAATGCTGCTTGTCTTACAACAAAAGGTAAAAACGCATGCGAATTCCCATTATCACCTAAATTATACGTTGATTTAGCACTGAACCTACGGTATGACGGGTTTCCATGGTTCGTGATAACCTGAACAAAACTTTGTTGTATGATCGGTTTATGTGGCATAGATGCGGGGCTGTACACTCTGGTTCATGTACTCTTGGCGCGCCGCATATTTCTGTGAATTTTGGTACGGTGCTGGCAACACATCACGCCTGACCCCGTGTGTAAAGTTGTATACTTTTGGAGGTTTGTTGACCATGAACTTAGTTGGCAATTACGTTTCTACGAATCGCGGTAGCACAATTATCACCTTCTGTATGGCTATGATAAAGCCCCATAGGAGGCTTATCATTCTATTGCTTTCTAGCAGCTGTTTCTATTATATTTCTTCCCTCTGGTTGCCTTTTCTTTCTAGTATATTGCTGGAAATGTTAGTCTGCAAACACTTTCATGCCTGTCTGGCCCTGATCATTGCTTTCTAACATCTCATGTTGTGTTGCAGAGCTGATGATGTTCTGAAGCATTGTCGAATCACACTGGAGGAGGGTAATGTCTTCACTATTGGATCAGCAAGGTTTGAGAAGGGTTTAGTGGAGTTGGTCAACTATTACCAGAAGAATCCTCTCTACAAAAAGATGCGTCTTCGCTATCCCATCAATGAGGAGGTGAGGTTCTTTTTCATCCACATGCAAGCTTGTTTTATTTAACCTCCCCATCTCACAACCATTCTAATTTGAAAGCATGCTCTAATTTATTCTGCTAATACAGGTGAAATCCTGATAATTCGAACCTCAAAATGCCGGGAAAAAATTCTAATTATCCGGACATTCTAATTATCCAAACATGAACCCACAGCTCAATATGTATGTCAAAATGCTCTCATGGTCACGCAGAGTTGCGCTATGGACCTTAGACACAAATTTTACGGACGCTGAACTGACTGGCACAGCCTGCTCATGCAAACTGAACTGACCAGTACAGTGTACAGTGAACTTCGAATTACACTTTGCTAACTTCGAATTATCAGCACAAATCCCACACATTTTCTATAAAGTGGAATCTGTGGGACTTCTAATTAACCGACATGTCCAGTTCGAGGTTCGAATTATCAGAAAAATTTGTGTGGGAATCGTATTGATAGAAATCGGTCCTGGAAAAACTTCTAATTAAGCGGTATGTTCGAATTAAGCCATATTCGAATTATCAGGATTCCACCCGTATTGTCATGATCCAACCTTGAGGGCCAGTCCAATTGCTTGCAACACAAATAAGACTACCACAAGGTGTGAGCGAGACCCAGGTTCCAAGTGCCCGCCATCGCTCAACAGCCCATCTGAAGCGGTGTTAATGTTTCAATTTGCAGGGTTTTTTCCAAACTTTTTTTCCATCAGGGTATAAAAGCTGTTCTGTTTCTTTCTAAGTGTCAACACAGTATTTGCATGCTGTCATACCTGTCCACCTGAATTGTAGGTTTTGAAGAAGCTTGATCATTCACCTTCTGCTCACCTTGGTGCCAGCACTGGTGCTATTCTCACTGAGCCCAATAAGCCTTCCGAATCCACGATTCCCATTTCTGTGCAAGCCAAGTACGAGTACAAAGCGAACAAGGATGATGAGCTCTCCTTCTGCGAGTACGCTATCATTACAAATGTCCGCAAATTCGAAGATGGCTGGTAAGTCTGACCGTTCATTGGTTTGGTTTCTTTGCTACAAGAATATTAATTCAACATCATGTGATGATAATCCCTGTAACTTTACAATTCTGAAAGTAATAGGCCATTCACACGACGTGCAAACTCACTTTTATCCTACTGTTTCCAAGGATATTTGCTCGCATAACTTAATTTTTTGCTTCAGGTGGAAAGGTGACTACAATGGACAAGTCAACCTGTGGTTCCCTGCCAATCATGTCGAAGAGATTGAGCCTCAAAAGAAGGTGAGCATGTTGGATAGTTATTTGTTTCTTTCTCTCGACCCGTCATCATAATAACTATCACCAAGAGTACATAAACCAGAGTGTGCAACTGTGCATATCAGATCTGAAACAGCGCAGTTCGTGCACTACGTCACCCTGATGAGATCAGCCAAGCCGCGACTTGCGTAGAGCTCAAATTTTCATGTTTCATAGCCCGGAAATCAGCCAAGTTTGCTTGATTTTAGACGTCCTGTTTCAGGATTTCGGTGTTTTGTGTGACTGTGTACGCTGCGTACATCCACCGACAAGTAAAGTCACCAGGCTATCCGTCTCAAAAAACCGAAATCAGGACAAACTCAGTGAACTGCACCACCGCGACTGGTTACGCAACTTTTCACCGTACCTGTGGCTTACCATGCCGTCAGAAATGACGTAGTGCACGAATTACGCTCCCACAGGAACCATCCCGAGTTGCACACTCTGGTTTATGTACTCTTGCTATCACATAACTTCAGTGACTCGCTGGTTGTACATGAAACGATCTCATAGATCCGATCAGTTTATGTCGGGCTGTATGATTCGCAAGCAGCTCTCTGCTATGCTGATGCCTCTGTTTAGGATGCAACATGTTTGAAACGAAATTGTTTGCGACTTAATTTTGCTAACTACAATGTAGTTTCCACAGAGTCACTGAACCCCTAATCAATGTTGGATTCTTCAAGAACCAAACACATGTGGCAATTCTTCTTTTGCAATTAATGTTTAGAACCGCATGCTAGCATGTGTACACCGTATCTTGTCATGCTTCATATTTGGAATGGCCATGCGCGTGCTGTGCTCTTGCAGAAGGATGAACGACCCCTTGGTACATTGCAAAAGGACTCCTTCGATATCACTGGAATGACTGTTGGTACGTGAACATTCTAGTTCATAGTGTTACGTGGAACATTTTGTAGCTCATCTATTCTTGCCATGACCTGTATTTTGTTGGTTTCCAGTTCAGTTCCCTGCTTCCAGCCTCTTTCCATTGCGGTGTTCTGCTTTTGGGAGCAGAGTGTACTGGTTCTTTCTCATCAGACTCAATGCTCTGGGTTTAATCCCATTTCTTTGTTCATTGTTCATTACTCATATTGATAGAGATCGTGAAGAAGAACCCGAAATCCCCAGCCTCGACTCAAGGCTATCGATTCATCATCGTTCCTCGAGATCCGATGAAGCACATTGAAGTTGCTACAGAGACTTTTGAGGTGAGTCCTATTTATTAAAAAAACAATTAACTAGCAAGTACGCCACCCCAGTGTGTGTGTGTGTGTGTGTGTGTGTGAAATTTCCTTCTTTTGGAATGGCACTATCCGTGCGCTTTTTTGCAGTTCTATCGTTCGAGTCTGAGCAGCCAACAGTAAAGTTTGCGTTGAAGGAAGAACACACTGAAGCGGTATATATGTTGACAGTATGACTTTTCTGACATGGGCAGATGCTAGCTCACGATTGTAAGGTCATACTGACCAACCACCAAAATCTCAATCCCTTGACAAGACATGCAGAATGCCTGGATTTCTCTCAAAATCCCTGGATGACACAAAAACAAGTGAAAAAAGAGCTTTTCCCGCCAAAAAAACGTTCGACTCTGCAGATCTGAGTACAGCACAGTTCGACCCGGGTACCCTGCACTGCTGCATGCATGCATGCAGTGCAGTTCGATCAGTCGGCACCCGCCTGTCAGTGCAGATCTTGCTGGCTAGGCTGGTCAGGTCTTGAAAGTGCGAGTGGGCATCGTACATATTCTTGAAAAAAACCTGGACATTCGAGGCGAATCCATGGAGTTTTCAGGGAAATCCTGTATCAGACAAAACAGCTGTGACTTTTCCGGGATTTTGCTTGAAATCCCCGGGACCCCGGGAGTAGTGTTGATTTCCCGGGATTTTCCCGGGAAAACCGGGAGGGTTGGCCAGTATATAAGGTGCATTTATCATCGGCGGTCTGTGTTTGTGCTAGCCTTAAGGCCGATTCACAATACTTCTTGCGACGCTACGAGCTGCAACAGCGACACACAGCTCACAATCTTTTTCATGTTCTCGACATCCTTATGCATTAGTAGTGCTATGCGCGTGCACTGCACGTGCGCCCAGTGCAGAAACTGTACTCCATTTGTGTATACCGCTCGTTACATGTCGCAAAAGTTTCTTCAACTTCTGCGACAGGTGCCTTGCGACTGTACGCGACAGGCAGTTTCTTGTCGCAACTGTCGCAAATCGCCTGTCGCATCGCAGAAAGTTGAATAGTGCAGGAAGCGTGCCTCAGCATGTCATCCAAGGTGAATCGGCCTTTAGTTTCCAGATGATTCTCTTGGTGTGTGAAAACAGAAATATTCTACATTTTCATGATGGTGGAAGATGCAAACATTTCGTGTCTGACCACATGCTTTGTATCTGTGAGTAGGCAGTTTGAGATAAGAGCAAAGTACCTCCTTCTTGTGATGTATTACCCAACAGGAAGTTGAAGAGTGGATACGGAAGATTACCCAAGCGAAGGATGACCTCGCAAAGCGTGTAAGTTATACATTCAGAGCATGGTTATGCATCAGGTGTTCAGGTCTTCTAGTGCAGTAATGGTAGGGTATTATTAATGGCCTTACTCAGCCACTGTACAGCACCGAGAAATAGTGGCTGTCGGATTCTCTTCCAATCATAAAGGGGCGTATTCAGTAGCTGGCCGCTAACCCTGAACACGGAGAAAACGGAGTGGATTTACCTGACCCACGATGATGACATTTGGTCCTGTAACCGTAGGATATTGTGATGACCTTACTCAGCCGGAACGCCTAGTGATACTGATGAGGTTCCCTAAAAATGTCCCCGGGAAGGCCCCCGGACCCTCCAGCTATTCATGGCCGCACCGATGCCGAATACGTCCGACGTCCCTGGTATATAGCCAAGCGTGCACAAGTCCTGTTGTGAGCTTCAATGGGCTTTCCCCAGCGGCTTTATACTCTTCCCCGACAGTCTACAAGTCATAGTTCACGTTGTCAGTATCTCCATTGTCTGCTTATTTGCTTTCTCCTGCATTGTGCTGCTGTCTTTATTGTCTTCTGCAGACAACTGAGACTCTGCAGCAGGAGAGAACCCTCAGAATTGCCGTGGAGCTCTCTGACCTCATTGTCTACTGCCGCTCTGTGCGCTTCAATGAAGAGAGTAAGTGTTGCAACTGTGCTCCTTGTGGATATTCGTGGGGATTGTGTCATGAGATGCAGCATACCGTATTATGTCTATTACAAGCGAAGTCTCTTGTAGACGCCCAGTCTCTATTATAAGCGCACTCCAAGCGGGCTTCGAAGATATGCAAGCGCAATCTCCAATATAAGCGCATGGCGAACTGTACGGATCATGTCCATGCATGTTTGACATCACCAAGTGTCACATACCCACATGTTGTGGCACAAGTCTGTGAACCCTGATGTAAAAAGAACAGACTCAGTGTACCAGGAAGTACAAAACTGTATTCCCGATACATGTACCTGGTGGGAAGCTTTGTGCTACTGGTATAATAAGAAATGATGACCAATGTACATGTAACAGATGGTTTAAAAATTATAAGCCCAGGGCTTATAGTGGAGATAATACGGCGTATAAAATTTACTATAAATCAGGCTCGTGTTCTTGCTTGTGGCATTTATCTGCTAGTCTAAAAAGCATACATGTGTCCGTCCCGTGTTACCTTTGCCATTGGTCTCTGGCTGTCCAGACGGGCGAATAATTCACTTAGTGTTGGTCTCCATGCAAGTATAATTTGAATTTCAATGCACATAATTATATTATAATAGGGAGATGCAGATGGATAAACATAGACAAACTAAACAGCTTCACAACACTGCCTGACCTGTGCAGACAAGAAACTTTTCTATTTCTCCATAAGCATACACAGAAAGGCGCACGAAACACTTCCTAGCACCGTACTGCCACCCAGTTGGAGGCTTCACATCCCGCTTCTTCTTGAGTTTGGTCACCTGCTCTGGAAGTTCAGGGTTTGCCGTGCCCACTGATATGTCACAATACAACCTGTGGACGTACAGACACTCTGCCACTGAACTTACGAAAATGTGCGCTAATTCAATGGGTACTTGAAAGCCTGCCTGCCTTCGCATAGTCAGGGAGCAAAATCCAAGCACCCTGTACACCAGATCCGCCAGTTTGCACTCATGTGTGGTGATGTTAAATCAGGACAATTCTCTTGCGGGCATCGCTAAAAAATGTGTATGGAGTGGCTGGATCTGGACTGTGTCTATCATACTTGTATGTTTGTTTGCATTGGCGTGTTGCAACTACAGAGATACATGGTATGTACTATGAGATGTCATCGTTTGCAGAAGGCAAAGCAGAAAAGTACATGAGCAAGAAGTTTGCAGCCAAGTTTGTCAAGTACAACTTCTTGCAGTTATCGCGTATCTACCCTAAGGGTGCAAGAGTGGATTCTTCCAATTACGATCCATCGCTGATGTGGAACTTTGGCTCCCAGTTAGTGGCTCTCAACTACCAGACACCGGGTAAGGATCAACCTTCTTACTTACATCAGTTTGGTCTGTGTAGTGTAATGAGTAGCATCATGACAGAACTCTATCCCTAGGCATAGCATTGTCTGTCTCCTGGTTTCTCCTTCCTACTCCCTACACTCACTCGCATTGATCTAACGTGTGTACGTGTGTAAGAACCGCACCCTGCCTGCTGTACCATAGACTCATGCATTCATGTACCGCTGTACTTGCTGGCTGCGCATCACTAACCCTTCCCCTTCTATGGCACAGTCCCCGCACTGAATGCAGTACTCGGGTGCGCGTGCGTATTCATGTCTGAGTGCACTGCCCTCGGGCTCCATCTATACATGGCACCCCGTACTGGGCACGCTGCTTCCGGTCGCTGCTGTGTGCACGCAGCACCGTTGTCTATTCCGCTCTCTGTCTTCTCTACACAGTGATTCCCGATTGGAATCACTCTTCGTTTCTGCTCTCCTTGTAGTTAGTTGTGCTTTTCCGTGTCTGATAATGTTCCCCCTTTTGCAATAAAGATTCAGGCGAAACTACTCTAAGTAGCTACCGCTACAGTCTGTAGATTTTTCGACGATGACGCCCTTTGCTTTTGCTCAGTCAGTGCGGGTCCTGTGACCAGTATCTGCTTCTTTTGCAATACGCTGCGATAAAACTCACCCTCTTTTGGTAGCCAGGAAACATACTAAGTATTTAGTATCTGCTGTACCGAGAGTGTGCAACTCCCTCCCACTTTCCCTAATCAGTGCTACGGCAGCAAAGTTTCACATGGCATTGTTGTGGTGCGTGAACATCTTTCTGTTCATGATCGTTGGCATCGGCAAATAAGTACAGATTTTGTCAACTTCACATTTTCAACATCTTCTATACTCATCGGTGACTGGAATCGGCTTATGTGAATGCACCACCATGTACATGGCGCAGGCAGTGTATATGAGCTGGTCCCCTGATTTAAGATTCTGCATTCATGGACTCCATGGACTGCAGTTGCATACTCTTGGTGTTATGTACTCTTGGGGATAGTTATCCAAGCTAGAGCTGTGTTCATGTACTTCGAAGTACGCGGTATGTTTGCGGTTCAGGCTTTCACAAAAACAGCATTTCAGTCGTATTTTAGGGCCTGCGACGCCTTCGAGTATTAGAGAGGTTCCGCATAACGTAATTACGTTAGTAAAAAACTTAGTCGATCTACGGAAAGTCTTACGTAAACTGCATGCGCATCTGGGTTCCGCCATATGGAGTTTTGAAATCACGTAGCTGCTCTTGACAACTCCGAATGCGGCAGTGTACGACCAGATCGACCTGGGCAGAGAGTCATAAATTTGTACCCCAATCCACTTTTGGACCAGCTGCGTTATCACAGCCCTATCTATGTACTCTCCGTAGACAACTTTCCGTAAGTGGAGTGCAAACTCGCGAATTCACGGGTTTTCCCGCCCACTAACGTAAAGTTGCTCAACTTTACGTAGTGTGGAACCTCTAATATTTGTTGGACCCCGCTAGTCAAAGCGACTGGCATGCACGCCGGTACGTGCCTGATACGCGCTAAAAAATACAACAGGTTGGAATTTCCATTTTGGCGCGTTCCAAACGCATGACACCAGCATAATATGCATGAAGCTCGTGGTTTCACGAGTTCAGTTGTGAACACAGCTTTGGGTTCCTTAGTATATGTTGGTTCCAGCCTCTTTGAGACGTCTGCTTTTTGTTTGCGCACTCTGTGAACGCCAAAAGGGCTAATTTATATCTGATAATGTCTTTGTTTTAGATCGGCCCATGCAGCTGAATGAAGGTCGTTTCTGGATCAATGGAAGGTAAGTTATTTGCGTGTTGTTAGAGGTAGCTGGAAAGAATAGACTTCAAAGCATTATAAAAACATATCAGGGTAACTTGTACATACTGTATATTCTCTATTATAAGCACAGGCCTCCATTACTAGCACAGTCTCTAATACTAGCACACTGTGAGCACCTTTCGAAACATTATAAGCACGGTCTCTATTATTAGCACGGTCTTGGTGGAAATCAATGTGGCATGCATGATATCTAGCATGTATTTCTTCTTGCCCTGTATGGATGTATTGGTTGAAAAAATATAAGCACAGTCTCCAATATAAGCGCGGTCTCCAATATAAGCACGGGGTAGAGGGGTGTTGAAAAAATATAAGCACGGCGCTTATAATAGAGAATATACGGTACCTATTTTGTTTTCTCCAAAAAGACTGAGACTTGACCAAGTTAGATAATTTCAAGATATTGATTATTATCGATCACCCTTGATCGAGAAAAAAATGTGTGGTACATCTGTAAAGGTTCGATGGCGCTGGGTACTAGCTACTGCTCTTCCGGTTGTTTTGGTTTGTAGTGCAAACTTTGTACCTTAGGCCGAAGCAAAAAAATAAGCTTGTTTCGGGTCCGCAACTCCCCTCCCCTCCCCAACAGACTTGGTCGGCCGGGAACAAACTGTTTCTGGATCATTTGTTTGGCTGCTGATCCTGATGTTTACATGCTTGTCCATGTAAGTCATGTATGTGATGGTCAACAGCAGATGAACATACAGCTACTCGATGTACATGATTGTATTATTATTATTATTATTATTATTATTATTATTATGGAGTTGGCTTTATTTCACTCACGTTGTCATGACATGAGGTAAGAACCCCATCACCGGGCCAAAAGAGACCAAGGGTAATGAGAGAAAAAAAATAGATAAATGGCCAACGCAATGAAGACCGAAGCAAAAAGGATTGTAAAAACCAAAGCAATTATTATATGTAAAAAGGCGACGTGGAGACAATAATCTTAATAATGCAATGAATATAACTAAATGCGCACTCATATCACAACCATGGGGACGAATCATGTATTCCAGAACGTTTTCTTGTCACAATTATCAATGGAATTCGTGACTAAAGAGAATGATGAAACTACAATAGGATTTATACACTTGCAGTGGAACAGCGAGGATACAAGCATAGTAAGAAAAATAGCACAAACCTAGGAACAATTTGCACAGGTAATAAACTATAGGTGAGGTGAGAAATGATAGGAAATTCAAATGGCGAGAGAAAAATCAGGTTGTGAGGACCGTCATACTGCACATTCATGGATGTCAAAGCAAATGCGGTATTGGAGGTTTATACGGACTAGCTCTACCCGTAACATGAGGGGCCTAATGGCGAATGCCAAGAACCGACTTCACGATGTTCAGCGTGCCCAGGATAGCACATTGCTGAGCCCTTTCAATGCGCAGAGTGCCTGCCAATGCCAACACAAAGTGTGACAGGGACACACCAGTCAGTCCACCAAGCGCCCCAACAACCAGGGGCACAATGCGGACATCATCCACATGCCAGATGCGCCGCAGCTCTTGGCAAAGGGGAGCGTACTTGTTATTTTTTCGGCGATTTTTGTGGGCACATTCTGGTCCAATGGAACACTGACATCCATCAGCAGCACCTGTGTGCTGGACCGCAACACCAGGTCTGGGCGGTTGTGGCGCACTTGCGTATCTGTTAGGATATTGAACTCCCACAGGAGCTTCATGTCAAGGTTTTCCGGGACAGGCACAAGATGATGCTTCAGCGGGTTGCTTCCCGGCCGACCCAGACCATGCCGCTTGCATAGTGCCCAATGCACCAACTTGACGAGCGTGTCATGCCGTTCGATGTACAGTGTTTTGGCTAGGGCTGGGCAACAGGCCACAATGTGATCAACTGTTTCTCCGCGAGTGCCAAATTATTATTATTATTATTATTGAATCGTTTGCAGGCAACCTGCCTACACTCAAGAGAGCACTGCATTTCACACAAATCCATTGGTTTGTAACGATACCAAGTATAATGAAGCTGCGTGAAGCGTCCTTCAAAATTTTGAAATTATTATTATTATTATTGAAGTATATACACATGGTATGGATCAATGTCACAGTTGACTCACTGTTACTCGTACAGACAGACTGTGTACTCCTGACAGTGTGGATGTCTAGTACATTTCTCATGCATGTGTGATACGAAGGAGCAGTTTCGCCAGCCACCTACAGTTCCCAGGTACACATATGGGGACTAAAAAAGTTTCAGGATTTGGGGGGGGGGGATGACCTGGTCGGCCGACCCGAAACAAGGTTATTTTCTGTTCAGGCCTTACCAGTGCGTGCTGTGTGCTACATCTACGTATATTTGATTGAATCTGCAGATGCGGCTACGTTCTTCAGCCAGAATGCATGCGTTACAACAAGAACTATGACCCCTTGGACATCAACACCTGGAGGGACAGCGTAAACCCTATTGTTCTGGAAATTGCGGTATGTACTCAACTTCTGGTTGTTTTTGTTGCCATGCGCGGTAAGTGGAGCATGGTTTGCAATAATCTGGTTCATGCATTGTACCCGATTGCATCATTCATCATGGCCTCCTGGATCTGCCCAAATGGAACATGACATGATGTATGAAGTAAACGGAGTGGACAATCTGATATCTTCCATATTTTGCCTCCTTTCTTTCTATCAACCCCGTTGCTTTGTGCCCCTTCCTTCGCTTCTCTTGTCTTTACTCTCTTCTGGCTTGTTGAGCGGCATGAGCGAATGCTAGGGGTGGATGGATGAGTACTGTTGATTTGTTGGTTTCTTGTAGTACTACACCGTGATGCAAATGTGGAGAGGCAAATTCTAATAACCATGTTAATACCAGATTGCAAGTAAAGAAATATATCAAAAAAGAAGCATGTTTTGTTGTCGTGCGATGCCTTTTTAGATCCTGTCTGCTCGCAACCTTGTGAAGCAAGGCCGTGGCATTCCTTCGCCGCATGTTGAAGTGGACTGCATTGGTCTGGACATTGACAGTCACAACAAGTACAGAACAGCAACGAAGAGTAAGTCTGCTCCTTGATGCTATGCGTGTCCCAGCGCTACCACATAACTTTATGAAGCATTGCCATGGTTCTGGTTATCCATCTGTTTCTGTGTTCTATGTGTCTGTGTTGACTTGCATTCTGTATTTGTGCGTGTGCTCGTGTGTGTGTGTGTGTGTGTGTGTGTGTGCCACTCTGTTGTATCATGCTAACAGGTGAAGTGGGACTGAATCCATCATGGGGTGAAGTATTCACCTGGGATATTGCCAATCCAGATGTTGCTCTCATTCGATTTGTGGTCAACTTCATTGATGTGTTCTCTGAACCTAACTTCCTCTGTCAGTCAACCTTACCTATTCGATCATTACGCAATGGTAAGTTGTTCATTGATTCTCAGTTCTGAATTTAGAAAACCCGTTGGCGCTGAATTCACTGATGTTTGCCACCTCACTCCAATAACACCATCGTAAATCCAGGTCAAGCCATAAATATTTATAAGTTTGAGGGAAAGTTGTAAATGGGAAAAGTCTGAAGAAAAATTGAATGCACCACCAGGACTCGAACCAGGGACCCTCGCTTACGGCCAGCGATGCTCAAGTCATAAAACATCGCTCATCTGGTCATTAACTTTTCCTTCAGTGAAAATTCATAAAATTATTTCATTCAAACTTCATCAAAGAGAGCTCGGCAGCTAAGACTCAGCTGCCTGACAGGTGTTGAATTTGGTTGAGGATTGACCCAGATTATGGTCAATCGAGTACTATGATCATGATGTATACACTTGTATGCATTGTGCCAGTTGGCGCTACAAATAAATGTACTAGTAGTGTTGAGCATTGGCAAGTCTCCTAAGAGCGGTGTAGTGTACTGAGTGTTCATTGCTTCACTCATGTTACTAGTTAGGATTGATATGTGCAGGCACGACTATCAACGTTCGTCGTGATAAAGTTACATATCTGTGCTACTGGCATAGGAACAGGTTGGGTTTTTATAACTGTTTCTGTGTTTGTATGCCGGTTAGGTTTCCGCTCTATTCGCTTGAAGAACGGCTACAGTGAAGAGCTTGAGCTCAGCACTCTACTTGTTCACATCACTATTCGAAATGTCAATGCTGAAGAAGAGGAAGCCTATGGTACTATGCTGGACATGAAGGCAGAAGAAATGGATATTCGCAGAGAGCTGAACAACGCCATTCAGACTAAAGACAATGATAAGGTCCAAACTCTGAACAAGCGATTGGAAGATTCCAAGGGCCAATGGCGCAAGTTCCAGACCCAAATGTCTGGGTAAGTACTCTACTGCATGACATTGTGTTTACGCCCTCGCAGTTGTCGGGGAGGGGGGGGGGACTTCTTTGTTTCACCAGGTTGAAATGACACATTCGTATGAGCTAGGTGTTAGGTCGTTGAATAGCTCAGTAGTCTGTCAGCTTTGCCCTCAATTGACGGCGTAATATCTTGTTACAGTGGGAGACAGTTACTCGTACCCATGTGTCCTTTCGTATTTTACATTTAATATTGGCTCGATATTCGAGTTCGAGATGGAAACGCCACAACCTGAATTCCAGGCTGTGTATGTTTTCCTGCCTGATATTGCCTGTCTTGCTGTATAATTGTGCGCTTTGGACCTTATCGCAAACATTAACCGACGTCGTCAATGTATGGCACCGGAAGAAACTACGTACCATCATTGGTATCACGTACCCACAACGAATCTCGAACACAGCGCTTTATGCCAAAACCGAGCAGACCCCACTATCCCAAGTCTGCAGGCAACGGAGACTGCTGTGGTTCGGCCATGTAGTGAGGGAAGGCGAAGAATCGTCCTCTTTCCAAGCCCTCCTAATGTCAATCAACACAACAGACATACGACGACCCCGAGGACGACCACGTCTGAGATGGATCGACGTTGTCAAGAAAGACTTACAATGCATTAATCTGTCACTTCTGGATGCTGTGCAATCTGCTTCTGATAGAGCTGCTTGGCTCGAAATTGTTAACAGATGCGTTGACCTCATGCAATGAGTGAAATGCGAACTGTCATTATTATTATTATTATTATTCGAGTTCAATTCGATGTTCTGCTTGTATTTCTCTCTCTTTCCTACTCTTCTCAGCAATCCCCAAGTGCCAGCAAGTAGACCAAGGAGAACATGAACAAGCTCATGTGATGTTGTCCAGCCCATCACATCTAGAAATGTTCAGTTTGCCGGCGAGTTTATCTGCAACAAAGAAACCCTGCCCTTCCGCTAGAGACGTTCTTGCTCTAACGGTCTTTGTTGCTGCGTTCAATGGCTCTCTTTTACATTACCCACCGGCCATGGCCATTCTCCCGAAGAAGATATCTTGAAAAATGATATGGTTTTGCTGCTATATCCAGCCGCTCAGAGGCTGACGCTTTTTGTAAATGTGCCTTGCTGAAAAATGTATACTTCTCTGTACATGAATGCCTCATCGTATTTGATGTTGTGTCTTGATATCTGTATTCTCTGAACACAACTTCTATCTATTCACTGCCTATTGTTCACGTTTTCTTTTCTTTTCACCACATGCTGATCTACTCACTTCGTTTAACTCTGTCTTTGTTTAGACGCTTGTGCATATACTCATTTGCATTTAACCCCTCCCCCTCCCCATCACGCAACATTGCCATATGTGCCTTGTTCTCATCTCCAATTTTTTGTTGCTGTCCTGGCTTCTTTCCCAATAACTGTGTGCTAAAGTTGTAAGCCGTGTGTATAGCCCCTGCTCCTTTCCCTCCTATCATATTTACCAAGAAAGACTCTGGTCAACACATATTAAAACCCGTCCTGATAAGAACGAGTGCACCCTATTTTCCCTTCGTGTTGTATCTCTTTCGCATTATTCTTTTCATTCTTCACATCATTTGACAGTTAGTTCTGCATTTGCTGATTCAATATGAAACACACACGCTCTACAAAGACGGTGGGAATACATGTATTGGGAGTAAATTCAAGTCTGAGTCACTTTGCCATTTCCAATGGCTAGAACAACTTCGATCTTTGGCTGGAGATCTCCGCCAGAAGTGACGTTTGGTTGGCACGTCGTGAGGAGAAAGGCTACAGTCCATTTCAAAACTATAGACGCGTAGGGGTTTTGAAATATTTCAAATTTGGCTGGAACTTTTTGAGAATAGTTTTCGGAATATTGCTTAGGACCGCTCCACAATTACTCTCATATAGTTTCTAAACGATTGGATAACAGACGCCCAATTTGGAAAAAATTATGCACAAAGTGATCACAGATTTTATGTGGTATAGACCTTATTCGATAAACGTCACAATCACGTGAACCCGGGTCCCGGGAACCAGGGATTGGCAAGAGACCTGCACTCAGTGCACAGTGGACTCGGCGTGGGAACATAGGAGTAGGAAGAATACTGGTATTTTACTACTCCCTTGTACGAACTGGGCCTTTCTTGCCACTCGTTTCACGTACGCGTGCCCCAGCTTACGACAAATCCCTGGAGGCGAGTCCAAAGATCACGTTATCGAATAAGGTCTATAGATGCTGGCATAACGGTTTTTGCCTAGGTACGTGTCTATAGTTTTGAAATGGACTGTAAGGGTGCTAAGTTACAATATAGTGCATCGGCTGAAGTACAAATGCAGCATTCTGGTAGAAAGCAAAAGGCCTTGTTCTTTTTACTTGGGATGCACTGTCTAAAGGCCGATTCACAATACAACTTTCTGCGACGCGACACATGATCTGCGACAGTTGCGACAAGAAACTGCCAGTCGCGAGCTGTCGCAATGCACCTGTCGCAGAAGTTGAAGAAAGTTCAACTTTTGCGACATGCGACACGCGACATACAAAAATGGAGTACCGTTTCGACCCTGGGTGCACGTAGTACTACTTGTGCATGAGGATGTCGCAAACATGAAGAATATTGTGAACCGTGTGTCGCTGTCGCAGCTCATCGCATATTATTATTATTATTAGGCCAAACTAAAGAAGGTGTGTGGTTCGACTAACATGGACATTTTTTTTACGGGCGGGCGGGCGGATTTTTTTTTTTAAATATATTTTTTAGTACATGTAAATACACTGTACTGCCTTTAGACACCCAGTATAGTACATCGGCATTATTACGCAGTGTTGCCATACATGTTGTATAAAGGGATCACTGGCTAATACTTTGAAACATTGTGTAGCTCTGGAACGAGAAGAGAATAACTTCAAGCGGTGACCATGGTGACTCTGACTGTCCAAATCATCAAGCTGCACAGCACGTAGACGTGGACGTGTTCAGTCCACGTAGATCTACGTCAGTCACACGACAGCCCGCCGAAAAAAAGTTACGGTCGGGCTGAAAAATGTACGGTCGGTCGGGTGAGTCGAACCACAGACCTTCTTCAGTGTGGCCTTATTATTAAATTTTTGATAGGGCAATCCCCACAGGCCTAAGGCCTTTTGACAGGGTACCCTAAAAAATGAAGAACAGAATTACGGAAGGTATGCAAGGAAGAACTTGAGCGGACTTCATGTGTCGCAAGTCGCGTCGCAGAAAGTTGTATTGTGAATCGGCCTTAAGGCTGCGTTTACACGACAACGCTGGGGGCGAAAACGCAACGAAATCCTTTCGGATCCATGGTTCATTTACACGGTACGCGGAGCAAAACGTAAAAGTTGTACACCAAAAGGGAAGAAAACAAAAACGCTGGCCAAGGTGGAAGAATTTAAAAACGGAAATGTTCTGCCGGATAAATTTGGGTGTGTAAACAGTCGAAACGGCGTGCTGGCCTCGTTTTCCGTCACGTTAGTTTCGTTTTCGGCCGTTTACACGGATCCGACAATCCCAAAAAATTGTTTTTACAATTTTCGTCATGTGACGTGTGTTGTCGTGTGCCTGTTTTCAACCATTACTTGAGGGTGATTGGTGCTTCCACGGCAACACTTGGCACATGACGAACTTTGGCGGATCCTTTGCTCTCGTGTAGACGCTTGAAAACGATACAAACGGAGACCACCTCGGATCGGCTTTGATCGTGTAAACGTACGAAAACGAAAAAAAGAAATGCGGGACTGAAAACCGAAAACTGGCCGTGCGTTGTCGTGTAAACGCAGCCTAAAGATGAAGTTTTACTAGGGGCATGATCGATTGGGTGAATCCCGAGCAAGTGCACTCTGAGCGAGCGCGATTGATTGGCCGAATCCGGAGGTGTACTTGGAGTGGAATCCGACGACACCGGGAGTGGCTGGAGCGGAAATGGACTTTGACGTTTTTTTACAGCTTTCACAGAATCTTTGTACAATACGCGTACATTTTGAGTATTACACCCTTGTTTTGTTCGACTGGGCCAGCGTTGCTCGGACTACACTGCCTGCTCGCACTCAATCCAAATTCGCCAATCGATGACACCCTACGGCCTAGGGCTCAAACGGCTACGGTTGTCACCTTAACGGTTTACTGTAAAAGCCAGTATTCTAACGAGGCGCATATATTATAACGATTTCCCAAAATTGAGTAGTTTACGCGTACCAACGGTAGCGATTCTCACTCATTCTCAACGCTCAATAGCCTATATAGTCGGACAGTATATGTATCGATTTCTGAGTAACGATTTCTATTTTAACGACAGATTTCTCCTCGTTAACTCGTTAGAGTTAGCACTTCGTTATATATGGCTACGCTAACGGTCGGTTTATCGGTTATACCGTAAAATCCCGCCAGAGCGCCCCTACCTCCGCCGCGCTTCGAACAGGTCCAGGTTGAGAGGGGCGGATATGGCGAGTCCTACTTACCGCATTCAGTACCACAGTTGTGGCAAGTGAAATCCGACACTTGACAAAAGGGACTGCACAGTCTGCAGCCCTGCATACGTACAGTACATGTGTTACATACAACTTTATCTGTCTGATGACAAAACTCGTACTCATCACAGTCAAGGTTCAAAAGGTGCTGGCAAAAATGAATGGGGATTGGATACCTCCTTTAATTAATATGTGTGCCATATTTGTGAACTGTGTGTATCTACGCTGTGACCTTTTGATCTGTTTGGGATGCATACGGCTCTATAGTACAAATTAGGTGCAGTGCATTACATCACTCATTGATGTCCATTTGTGGCGCTGTCCCCTATGCCTATGGCAAGTGTCGGATCTCAATTGCCACAACTGTACATGAAAAAGTACACACCCTACAAAAACTGTTCGTGCATCTTGTACACCAACCAAAGGTCAAGAGCCAGGGCCAGGGCCAGGGCCAGGGCCAGGGGTCGTACAGACCCATCAAAACTCAGGATTCGTGCGATCCCTGGTCAAGAGGGTGGGCGTTGTTGCGTACATTTCCAACCGGGTCGAGCACTCGACTGCAGTACAGTATGACATCACAGAGCCATACGAGGATACAATCAATCACTTCCCTGACAAGAAGTCAGAAAGGGGCGCATGGGAGAGACTCTGGCGGGATTTCACGGTAACCTGTGAGCTGCGGCAGTCCGGCTCGTAGCTAGTTTGAACAGTATTGTACAATAATTATACTTGTTCGAAAATGTACCGTGCGGACTTACTACTATTGCATGCACATGTTGCATGCTCATTCACACATATTCACAGACCAGAAGCATTCAAGATGACGTGAAGTGGATTCAAAATGTCACAAATGGTACAATGTAGTGTACATGTATGCATGTCTACGTACACGATACGTTGTAAACTGCCAAAACTCGAAAAGTACCCGCATAACCTTTATACAAACGCGTTAACGGTTAACCATTATCTTTTCAAAACCGGTTTAAACCGGTAATCGGACTAGCTGTTTGAGCCCCAATTTTTACTCCGAGGCTCCCATGCCAGACAGACTCATGTGTTGGAAAATTTACAAGCTGAGTGAGAGAGAACATGCCGAGAAGGCTGTGAAGCTGGTGGCCAGCGGCATCCGTGGTAGTTCCATGCCAATGGCATGACTTTAAAGTAGGGCTGAAACGATCGTGGATTTTCACCTATCGAGTACTCTTTAGCTTGACGATCGATTAATCGATTAAAATCGTTAGCAAATAGTGTCAGAATTTTGTGCAAAAATTACTCTGTTTCCAAAAGCTAGGCCTTCACAATACCAAAAATCTGCATTAGTGACAGGATAGCTCCAAAACAAGGCAGTTTCGAAGTCAATTTAACCTCAGAATATGCACCATGCCCCTGGCAACTGCATCCTCACAGTGGAAACTGATTCAAACTTCACAAAACGAGGGTTTTCAGTACTTTTTGGACTCCAAATCCCTAACGAGTAATCTATAACGTAACGATTACTTGATTGATAAGGAATTATCGATTGCTTACCGAGTAATTGGTATTATCGTTTCGGCCCTACTTTAAAGTCTCCCATCAACAGGATAGATGTTGTTCGGTCCTTAAGAGTACTTAGACAGTGCTGGAGAGATTTGCAGGTGTTGATACTTCATGGAGTGAGGACTGGGGCTACAAGGGGTGCGTTCTTATTTTCTCTAGCTTCTCGGAGAAACTGGAATAGTTTAGGAACGGGTCTCGGAGAATTTGGAGATCGTTTGCACATGCGAAACGCCGAAAGGGCTGTGATCTTGAGTGACACCAATGTAGTACGTACTGTGCATATGCGGAAAGAGAATGTCGTACACTCATGATCAACACGTGGCTTTTAGCAGTAGTTCGCATGCGCTGGCCCTGAGATGCGGTAATCTCCAAGTTTCAGCCGCCTTTGTCGCTCGGAGAGCTTTGGAGAGGCTCCTACAATTCAGAGAGAATATAAGAACAGTTCTCCAACTTTTCGGAGAGGACTTTAGAATGCACCCGTAGTACCGTAATAGAGACGTTCCGCGCTTAGTAAAGGTGAGCAACTTTACATAAGTGGGTGGTGAAAACCCATGACTCAATGATGATTCGCGAGTTTGCAGTCCACTTACGGAAAGTCGTCTACGTAGAGTACGTACGCGGGGCTCTACTATTGGATGTGCTCCGTAAGTGGATAGTTGTATAAATATGACTCTACTCGTATCTGTGGTTTGAATACTTTCGCGTCCAGAGTTGCCATGGGCAGCTAAGTGATTCGAAAGCTCCGTATGGCAGAACATGGATCCGCATGCATGCAGTGTACGTAAAGACTTTCCGTAGATTGACTACGGATTTTAAAGGGGAAGTATACCCTAAAATCAAATTTTCACCAGTTGTAGTCTTCAGGGTGCTGAGTCGAATGGTCTTGGTCCGAGGAAGCTGAGACGCTCCCTTCCTCCTTTACTCCCAATCGAACTCGCACACTTCCACCGAAACTGGGTGACTGGGCCCTACTAGATAGGGATTTGTATGGAAAAAGTCACTAAAAACGCTGTTTTGTTCTTATAAAAGCGCGGATGACCGCGATTGGTCCATATGTTGTAGTCTTTTGGCCGCTGAGTCGACTGGTTTTGGTCCGAAAAGGCTGCGATGCAGCATTCGGCCCTTATTCCCAATCGAACACGGTTGAGTAAGCGGTCACGTGCTCATTTACAGCCTGTTTGGGCCCGTTTATGTCACTCGAGTTGAACCTTTGAACCAGGGAGTCGTAAAAGCATCTTATTGACCAGGCGACTGGTGTATGCATAAGCACGTGACCGCTCACTCAACCGTGTTCGATTGGGAATAAGGGCCGAATGCTGCATCGCAGCCTTTTCGGACCAAAACCAGTCGACTCAGCGGCCAAAAGACTACAACATATGGACCAATCGCGGTCATCCGCGCTTTTATAAGAACGAAACGGCATTTTTAGTGACTTTTTCCATACAAATCCCTATCTAGTAGGGCGCAGTCACCCAGTTTCGGTGGAAGTGCGCGAGTTCGATTGGAAATAAAGGAGGAAGGGAGCGTCTCAGCGTCCTCGGACCAAGACCATTCGACTCAGCAGCCCGAAGACTACAGCTGGTGAAAACTTGATTTTAGGGTATACTTCCCCTTTAATAACGTAATTACGTAGTGCGGAATCTGCAGCCTGCTGGAAGGATTCACACCTGCTGATATGGACACTACACGGATAATGAAAGGCACGCTACCATAGCAGAACGCTAACCTAAACAATATCAGGAATTGGCCAGGTTGGTTGAATACCGATGTGTTGCTGCCCCCTCGTTCACTTGTAATGGTATGCTTCAACAGTTGCACACACCCAGACCTGGTCAGAAATGAAAAGACAATTGTGACAGAATTGGCCATAGCGGTAAATCAATTACATGTGAATCACTCCATCACTCCACACCAGGCTGCTCTCAGAAAACCCACTCTGCTTGCATAACACTGCCATAACGAAGACAATTAGTCCGTTGAAGTATTGATATTAGCAGATCTTGCAGATGTCTGTCTCAATCTTGCAGAGCTGAACAGTAGCCCTTCAACACAAATGCATGTATATATATATATATGGATACATGCACTGAGCTCTTGCATTGTTATCACACGTTCGCTAATCACTTCAGTCTCCTAAGATAAGCCGCAGTCATCTTTATGCAGAAAGTGCAACATTGCACCAATGTACATTATTCCACATTTAATATACATGTAAACAGTTACATATCATGTTATAATGGTGACTGGATAGATGGGGCTTCCAAGCAATGAGCAACCGAGGACCAAGGCTATTCAAAGTAAAGCAATATAGCACGGAAATACATTACAAGACCAAAGCACAATTTGTAAACAACAACTGCAGCACTCATGCTGGAACTAGTCTATAGATATCAGCTAAGGAATAGAACTCCTGCTGGAACTAGTCTGTAGATATCAGCTAAGGAATAGAAAAAGAAAGAACTGCTGGTACTTTTCTTCTAGTGCAAGTACCAACTATCAACTTCTTACAGTGGCATCTACAATCATGTCTTCTGCTTCATCGCTCATAGCTCTGTGAACTCTCCAGTATCTACACAGACATAAAGCAATGACAACAGTCTCATAGCAAATGCGACGAGTGTAGCCAGGCCAAAAATTAACTAAGCAGTTTACGAGTTGTTTTTTTTATTCAAAACTTCTTTTTAAAGGGACGAGAAAAAAAGCTGCCAAGCTTTGGGCTTCGCTACGCTCCGTTTTCACCTAAGTCATGTTATTTGAATTCCTAGAAACATCTTAACTACACGATTATCGGGTACATGTTCTTGTATTGCAAAAACGTTTCTAGCAGTTTGAATAACACGCATTATGATCTAGGTAAAACAAAGCATAGTGAGGGCCCAGAGCATGGCAGCTCTCTCGTCGCGATGTGTGTGTGTGTGTGCCGGAGGGACTGGTGCGAGCTTAGCCGTCGGAAGCCAGCAAGCCATCCCCAACCAAGAGTGTCCGTCTGTGTCTGCGGCCGCGACTTGCGCCGTCCGAATGACTTATCCTAACGCAAGAATTACTGTCTCGCCTAACAGCTATCATCCCCTTCGGCGATGGGCTTTCCAAAGGTACAAAGGTGTGTGTGTGTGTGTGTGTGCGTGTGTGCGTGCATGTGTCAGCAGGCATTGGTCGCATATACAATGTTCTAAAACGTTTAAAAAAAAGAGAAGAGGGTAGTTCATTACAACCACACCATGGCCCCTGTTGTGGACGTGCCATTCTCTATTTTCATTGCCATAATCAGACTGATATCTCGACTGTTAACAGGAAGAGGAAATCGATAAGTAATGAATGATCGCTTCATCCCTACAATATAGTCTAGTGAGCAAAAATTTTAAAAATTAAAGCTTGAATCATCAAGAACACGGTCCTCTAGCTGCGAGGAACTTAGTGAGCTACTTCATTTTCCGACAGTTGTGAAACAACATCAACTTACTGTCCTAGTCGTAGGTGCCAATGCTTGTAACTATTAGGCTTATCGTTGGAAGGTTCAGAACGACGTAAGGGCAAGGCGATGTGGATGCCATCTATCTCAGGACAGGTGTCATTGCCCAGTAACAACCATACACGTGACTTGACCACATGCCCAACATGAGCTGACAAGCACCTTCAGCTGGTCTTCTGTGCAGATACCCTGCCGCACAGCAAAATGGGAGTACTTGTACACACCGTGGGAAAGTTGCCATACGGTACACGAAGTTGCTGCTGCTGGTGGGGTTTGTCATGTCACCGGTCACCGTAAATCAGTCTCGACCAGGAGTGCTTCAAGTAACAGGCGTGTCTGCTCAGTCACGTAAATTTCGTGCTTCCATGCTGAGAGGTATGTCATCAGAGTATCCTTGTCTTCGCTATACTGGGCTTGAGCATCATTGGATTGCACATTATTGGCCAACAGTTGGCACAGGCAGAGCTCTTGGCTATAAGCTGACAGGATCTGTTCAAAGTGACAGACTGAACATGAATTCATAAGTGCACACGCACGCACACCCACACACGTACACACACACACACACACACACACACACACACGTACACACACACACACGCACACACGAAAGATGTAAGACTCTAAGACTCAATGGCTGGACTTGAATACATTGGGGCTAGATCAATGTTTTGCAAAACATGTAGCAAGGCCATCATTTTTTATATCTATTAGGGCTGAAACGATTATACCGAATAATCGAGTACTCGTTTGATAACTCTAACGATCGAGCAATCGTTTAGATTACCGATTACGATTATTTCGCTTTTTTAAAATTTGTGTCCAGAAAGTACTGTAAACCCTCGTTTTGCGAAGTTTGAATCAGTTTCCGCTGGGAGTATGCAGTTGCCAGGGGTATGGTTCATGTTCTGAGGTTAAATTGACTTCAAAACTGCCATGTTTCGGAGCTACCCTTTCACTAATGCAGATTTGTTGGTATTATGAAGGCATAGTTTGTGGAAACAGAGTACTGTTTGCACAGAATTATGACTCTATTTGCTAACGATTACCGTATTATCTCTAATATAAGCACGGTCCTTTATTTTTTCAATGTACCTCTGCCCCGTGCTATTAATGGAGACGTTCCTTTATTGGAGACTGTTCCATTATTATTTCAACCTCATTTCAGAGGCATGTTGCCATGCCAAATTCATGTATGACACACACATTTCAGGGTTTTTTTTGCCGGTACAGATAATGAATTTACACAGTGTGCTTATAATGAGACTGAGCACTTTATTTTTTGAATGCCGCCCCAAGGTGTTCTATTATTGGAGACGTGCTATTATTGGAGACTGTGCTTATATTAGAGATAATACGGTATAATCGATTACTCGATCGTTAAGCTAAAGAGTAATCGATACGTGAAAATCCACGATCGTTTCAGCCCTAATATCTATGTTTCGCGTCGTTCGCGCGCATGTTTTGATTTTTTTCTCCGAAAAAAAAAACAACAAAACAAAACAAACCTGCACATATACACCTACAGTGACCGTACGATCGTGCGAGTCATCATGCGCGTGGACTGGTTCGTGGACTGGTTTTTCTTTTTCTTTTTTTTCTCTACAAAATCCACATATCTCCGGACACTGGGGTGAATAATGGAGTGTGGTGGTGGGGCCCATTAAGCTCAGCCGACCAGAGGTCTCGGCTTCATAGCTCCATGGACGCACCATGGTTGCATACGTCGAAGCTGGGATTCAGAAATGGCCTCGAGGCTAGTGTTGGTAAATCGTTTTTCATGGAGAATCATACTACTTTGGAGTATAATAATAATAATTATGATAATTATAGCACTGTACCGAAATTCAGGGAGCTGAGGGTGTGGAAGAGTGGTTGCTCAACATGGCCAAGTTGACTACTTCTTTTGCAAACCAATCGATGCACAGCTTGAACATTGCCTGTCAGCGATGAGATGGTCTTGACACAGTTGCACTGGAGCAAACATAAAGAAAGAACTCAGCATACAGCGAGAGATACGTACGTCTTTAGTCTACAAACATTCTAATAGCACACTGAAAACACAGTAATGCATTTCCACAGTAATACATTTCCACTGCACACCTCTGTGAAAATAAAATCACAAATTTGTTACGGTTTGCGTGAGACTAGGTTAGACCGAGTTTTCCGTATCAGTGGGTCCTTTTAACCACCCTCAAGGATCAAGGCGCAGATGCATCTCCTAAAGCAGTGGGAGGTGAGTAGATCAAACCCACCACCACAGTGGTCAGAGACTGAAAATCCCGTTCGCTACATCTTCCCTCGTGCCACTGCAGCCAGTCTACCAGCTGTCAAATAACTGTGGGTCGCAGCACGGCTGGAAAAATCCTTTCGCATTTAGCATACTTACATAGCACACTGAAAAACCTACCAGAGTCTGAACAGAATCATTTAGCGCTTGCAGTGCAGTGATTGACACAGAGCAGTGAGCTCTGTGAAGAATAGAGCAAAACAATTACACAAACCACAAAAAGAAAGATACTTTGCAACCTTCTCATACAATATAATTATAATTTTAAGTTTTTAACAAACCACAAACATGTAAAGAGAAACGGACCTATAAGTTACTGTAGCTGTAACTAACAGTCCACCAAGGTAACCAGATCAGATACAGTATACAGTCAGATAGTGCAACAACAAGGCACAACATTGACAAGGATATTGAGACATTTGATGACCTGACACCTAGTTCCAACACATCTACGAAGCGCAAATCAACAACCTTCCAACTTGGAAGGCTCAGGTGCGGAAAGTTCCAATGAGGGGAAGGGATGTGCTTCGTAGATGTGTTGGAACTACAAGTAGGTGTCAGGTCGTCGAATGTCTCAATATCCCGTTTCGTGCCTTGTTGTTGCACTATCTGACTGTATAATTGTATCTGATCTGGTTACCTTGGTGGACTGTTAGTCATAACTACACGTAATGATGTAGCAACTTACACGTAGGTCCCTTTCCCTTTACGTATTACTATTGGCTCAACATCCGAGTTTTATGAACCACAAACACTTTTCTTGCAGCTTCATCTGTCAACAAAATTAAGAATTAAATGAACTCGTTTCCATGTGATTTCTTCTATTTGAACAAAATTAATGAATTTAGTTTTTTAATGTGTAGAAGGCGCTGCACCAGTGCAACTGTAGGTGCATTGAGCACTCTCTCGAGCTGCCGTAACTTTCCCTGAGTGTAACTAAATAGCTTATAGGGGACAATAAGACATCTGCTCTCATTTCTAACTCACAGCGAGGCGTTGACAATAGTAGTTGCCGTTCTCAACCCACTTGCTTTGGTCTCTCGCCAGATCAAGAGGCAACTATGAAGCTGAGTACAGCACTCACGCAGACGACGCAAAGTCAAGTCGTCGGGCTTAGCATGTGTCATTTCGCTTGACAAACACGAGAAGAGTAAGAATAATGTAATTATAAGCACTAGTTCTGACGAAAGCTTCACGATGCAGGACAAAACAAAAAATAATTACTCTTTTCAATCTCCTATTTCCTGATGATTGAGTGATTCGAAAAAATATTGTGATGATGCATGATTCATTCGGTCCATGACCCATGCATCGCGCATGCATTCCATTGGTTGGATTACGTCATGTTCACGTGTATGGTTTTCAAAACCGCACTTGAATGCATTATGTTTGGAATTTTGTTACTTGTAGTTGTACTTTGTTGTAGTAGAGATCTACTGACGAGATGGTTTTCTTTGTTGGTAAATGCCTCGCTTGACCCACAGCAATGTGTATCTAGGGAAAGAATGGGAGATGGACGAACCCATAAAGCTCTCATAAAGAATGTAGACTCCGGTTCGTATTGTGATTACATTTTCAAAACACTACATTGCAAGGTTGAGAAAAACAACCAAAGTAGTGCTACTTACAGTGTAGTGTGATGAGGTCGCCTGCATTCTGATTAGCTGTCCATCTCGCTCATGCCCTGTATTGCTCGCAATGGGGACTTCGACCAAGAGAAAAACCACTGGAGTGGTAACATTTTTGTTCTTTCTCTGCGGAGGTATTGAATATGGTAAGGACACAATATCAATATAGCAATGAATGAGATTAATTGTGCACTCATAAAAAAATTCACGGTTCGCAACAACAACCAAAAAGGTTTATTTGCTTCTAGAATCTCGTGACTATCATTAGTGGAATAATCGTCACGTAGTGTGTAGCACCTATTGACCTAAAACAAACAATTATTAGTTTTACCCCTGCTATACCAGGCGCGTGCCCCGTATGGGTTCCTGGGTGCCCGGAACCCCCTTTTTTTCGCTCAAAATGCAGGATTCTGCTTCATTTTTTGAAAAAAATGTCCCAGGGGAGGCCCCCGGAATCCTCCCTTGAAGGGCACCGGCGCACGCGCCTGTATACTGCTCACCATGTTCTTGCGCTAGTGTCGCTATCGCCTTAGCTGACTCAATAACACTGCCCTATTACACTGTCTCATTGCCACATCTACACTGCACACATACGCTTTAACCCTTTATTACCGGATTACTTGCACAGCATGCACCAGAATTACGAATTTCAGCACAATTCCAACTTAACCAGGTCATAACTTTGGTCTCCTTCACTTGATTTGCACAATCTAGGGCTCGTTGGAAAGCTCTTGGCAAGCGCAACGCCAGGGTACCAAGCTCCATTATCCAGTCGCCACAGATCAGGCGCGGTAACACAGCAAAGTCGTCTCCAAGCGTGAAATGCAAGCAAATTCGTCCCATCAACGCCATTCCACTCTCCTTCATCGTAGAACGCTCAAATTTGTTTGAGACAATTCAAACTTCAGCCAACATCATTATCATGTGCTTAGTCGCTCAAAGAGCACACGAAAAGGGATTTCCCCCAAAAATGGCGACGTGATCGATCAAAAATTTGAATTTGCCGAGGTGAGAATACGGCGCGCGATATCTCTGGTGTCCAACATCGTAATTCTTCGGCGATTGTTGCATTGGATAGCTTGGAGTTTCCGCTACCAAATAGACCTTTCGATTGTTGAATTCGCACAAGAAATGATGGAGTTACGAAGATATTACTGGCCTGCAGACTTCCGATCATATATGATCGAAAGTCTGCAGGCCAGTAATAAAGGGTTAACCTCCACACTAGCATCAAATACAGTCAGACCTCGCTTATCCGGATCCCTCGCCATCCGGAAGAAATCGCTGGTTACCGATGTGCAGCATACGTTATGCATACAACATAACCGAACCTCGCGATCCGCATACCGGTGTATGGTTTTGTGTACAAAAAGCTTTGTCGTATCCGGTTGCACGTGGCTTGCAGAAGCTAGAATCAGGGAGTTGTACGAACAAATGAGGTCCTTGACCGGCTGGATGCATGCGGGTAGCACTCAGTTGCATGCACTTGTCATTTTTCTCGCTTGTTTTTTTTTGTGCACGCTAGTTGTACTGCCTAGGACCCGTATGCATGTATGTATGATGTCACCCCTTTTGATGTGCCACATGCTGCTATGAATGGTTTCATTGCAGAACGCGATAAACGCCTATCTCATGCCTATGGCGTTTTCGGTGTCAATCGACTCAGTAGGAATCACTGCATCTGATGGCCAAAAAGACTTCTCCGAAACGAGACGTATCCCACTGAAAATCCACGTTGAAATTGACGTTCTACTGCAAAACGCAATAAACACCACCGATGCTTTCGAGCAAAGTACAAGTGCGACATATCCTGTCACGCGGGCCAGCGTGACCTGGGACAAGCCAGCGAGTGCTGGCGCAGCACGTGGCAAACATAGCGACTGTGCAAAATGTCGATGTCAAAGTTCAAAGTACATGTACAGTGTTTCGTGTTGCAGATGCTTTGTAGCAGCTACATTCGCGTTGCCATTTTGTTCTTTTCGTATCTTCTTCTTCGTAGCGGTTTTTTTTTTTTCGCTTTCGAAACTGCAAAGGGCAGTATGCTAGAGGCGTCAGGGATGGACGCTGCTTGCTGGCAGTTCTACTGCTGCTGCTGAGCTCCTTCAGAGTTTCGAGCTCAGTGAAGTCGTTGTACTAGTGTTTCTAACCTCATAATACTGAATACTGTAAAGCCATTATTGTAACGAGGCGCATATATAACGATTTCCCAAAATTGACTGGTTTACGTATACCAAAAGGTAACGATTCTCACGCATTCTTAACGCTCAATAGAACAGTATATTTATCGATTTCTGTATAACGATTTCTATTTTAACGACAGATTTCTCCTAATTAGAGTTAGCACTTCGTTACATGGCTTTTACAGTAGTCCGGCGATTTATATTGTTTTGCGAAAAAATGTTGAAGAATCACCTTGCTTGAGAAAATGTATAGCCCCTGATTTTTGAGAAAGCCTGTATTTGCATACACCACCCAGCCCACCCTACTCTTCTAATCTGTTATTAAAGTTAGATTTCACCCAAACCCACCCAGTTTTTGATCGCAGAAAATCGCTCCTGAAAATTGGCCGAAGCAGATTTATCTCGTTTTGCAATGAAGCCCTTCATATACAGTATGTGTATTCAGTTATCTGGTTTCCTCCCCTATCCGGATATTTTCGTGGAAAACGGATGTGTGCGGTTAAGCGAGGTCTGACTGTACCTAGGCCCGCTCGTAGAAACTTTAGTAGTGAAATCCGAATGACGCTGTCTGGTGATCACTGAAATGCGTGAAACTTGAAGTGACAGTTACGCAGCCATTTGCCTCCGTTGCATGTGTAAAAAACAAAGCAATTATATAGTCCGATTAGATTTCCACCTATACAGCAGGAAATTTGAATGTTTTAGAAGCTATGTATATTCAACCTAACTTCTGTAAGCAGAAGCAGATTAAATTCACACTCAGGCTGTTAGGTAGGTCGTCAACAACTCATTGGTTATGTTCACTTGGTGTCTATATTTTTGTCGCGCCACACTTCACGCTTGTTAGGTTTCCTGACACCTGCACTCTTTTTCTTATTCTTTCTATGTGCATTGGTCACGCATTCATCCTTGTTGTTTTATCTCTTCATCCTTGCGCTGTTTCACCTGATGATAAGGGTTGAAAATATACTAGTGAAAACGTTCAAGATGTTGTTCAAGAGCTTAAAGTGTGTCCTTCTTCTTCTTAGTATTATTGCATTCTTGTCTCCGAGGAAACTGTTTACCATGAGTCACGCTTTATACAGGATTCTTTGGACTACGGGTATTGAAGTGGCTACATGTGCTCGCGTGACGTCAAGTGAGGTTGTGTGTTAGTTTTGCACATCTTGCATGAACTGCTGTCACTTATTAATGTGTGTTGACGGTTGCATTAAAATGTGTTGCATTTGCATCTTGTTTTGGTATTTGCAGCAATCATTCTGCCATCCCTGTGGCCGTATTTGGACATATACTTCCATAGTAATCGCGCTTTCTATGGACTGTGCTTCGCCTCATTCAGTATCAGTGGATTAATCTTCAGTCCCGTGTTTGGATATTGGTCAGATCGTATCAAGGTAGCCAAGCCCATCATACTCCTCTGCAACTTGTTTGAAATTGCCGGTGAGTGACAGGTCGGCAAGGGGTAAACTGTTCAGACCCAGTAACCATGGGAACCCTGCATGACTGCGTACTTTCAACCTCATGAATAGCAGTTCTTTTCTCATGACACGTCGAGGGTCACTATTCGCAAGGTTTACTGTTATAAGTTAATCAATGCATTTCTCTAAGTTAAACACTACACTCTGTACCTAGTTGATGATCGGCTGGGCAAACATCCGTGTTATACCTACTACCCTGATAAGCGTTTTACAAAGCCTCTTAATTTGGTCATGCATGCTAATTTAAACAGTAGAAAGCAGAGAGGCCAAATCTCTTGTTACTAAGAAATTCCGAGGCAGAATTTCACAATGATCAGGCAACTGGTAGGTCTGTAAATCTCGACACAATCGTACATATGCACTGAGGAGTGCATAGCCCATGGCTAATCTTTGACATTCATTTTTGGTATGGGTCAGTGTACTCAACCGCCTCTACTGTAATGTTTGTTGTAAGTAGATTAGGCACAGCTCTTTCATGGTAGCTCTTTAGCAGAGTCTTTACTGTGGTGTCTTTCCTGTAGCAGATAGATTTGATAGATAGTACATGTAGCATGATTTGGTAGATGGTAGCATGATTGGATAGATGGTAGCATGATTGGATAGATGGTAGCATGATTGGATAGATGGTAGCATGATTGGATAGATGGTCGCATGATTGGATAGATGGTAATATGATTGGATAGATGGTAGCACACATACAACTAAACTGGCCTGTTCTACATTGTGTCGTATCACCATTCCAGGAAACTTGGTATATTTTGCATCAAGGAATCAGTATATGGTTCTTGCCGGACGTTTTCTTTCAGGTACTTGCATATGTTTGTGTGTGTATGTGTGTGTGTGTGTGTGTGTGTGTGTGCATGCGTGCGCGCATGTGTGTGTGTGTGTGTGTGTATGTGTGTGCGTGCGCACGCGCGCGTGTGTGTGCTTGCGCACGCGCGCGTGTGCATGCGTGTGTACATGCGTGTGTGCATGCGTGTGTGTGTGTGTGTGTGTGTGTGTGTGTGTGTGTGTGTGTGTGTGTGTGTGTGTGTGTGTGTGTGTGTGTGTGTGTGTAGTAGTAGTACATGTACTACCTGTACTACCTGTGGATCTGAGTTGCTTTGTGATCATGAATCACTTGCTGTGCCTAGTGCTGTGATCTGTTACATAACCCCCCAGAGTGTGAAACGCCTGATCCAGCTGTGCATAGCTCGTGGTCGAGCGTAATCAGATCTTTGCGTCATAATACCGTACACATCTGAGGGGAACCCGGGGAGTCGCGGGTACTCTCGGATCAAAAACAACGGTGCCCTGCCTCGAGACCGGCCTTGCGCTGGTGTGAAGTGTACGCATGACATCAGAAAATCCGACTACACTCGACCAAGACCCTATGCAGAGCTGGATCAGGTCGGCTACAGGATCGATTATTTCCCCATGGCCAATTTCAAAGTCCTGGGAGGATACTTCTTTATCTCTATGCATAATATCTGTTTGCGTCCGCTACACATTCCTCTAGCAACATACATGTATAATGACAGATAGCGCAGTAGACCTCACTGGTCAAGAAGAGCAGGAGGGAGAGACTTTAGTGGGGAGTGTATGGGGATAGCTTATTACTAGTACTTCCAGATAATCAACTGCACGCTAAGCAGTCCATGAACGCAGGATTTGGTAAAAACTGGTACGGTCATGGCCGCACCAGCCGTACCAGTGGCGCCGGCCCTGCCTCCCCCTAAGAGGTTCTAGGGCATCATACCGCCGTAAGCATGCCCTTCTCGACGGACTGCAGGCTGGTGGGGCTGAGCCTCTGTGACAACTTGACATTGGGTTATTCACTTGACAGCCCAACACTTCAACATTCTAAGTGCTTCCATTGCCCCTTGTTTGTTTATCTTTATCACTTATCAGGAATTGGGACAGGTGCTGGAGCCGCGATATTCGCCATGCTGGCTAGATCCTCTACCATTGAAGAACGGACACGTGTCTTTGCTGTGGCAATGAGCTGTAGATTCATTGGTCTGATTGTAGGTAGGTACTGTACTACCCTCTGACTGTGTTGCATGTCCAGGCAATCTTCTGTTGCGTGCCAATGACACACAGTCCAACCTCATCACTGTGCCAGAGCAGACTACACACACATGCACACACGTTGAGGGTGGCTCAGTACATACGTCGTTCTCTTACGACGTGTCTGACACGTTGTAAAAGAACAACTATAATTATATTAAGCCACCCTCAACATGTGAAATTGCTATGTAGAGAGACGTCAGCAGCAGTGTGTGTGTGTATGTGTGTGTGTGTGTGTGTGTGTGTGTGTGTGTGTGTGTGTGTGTGTGTGTGTGTGTGTGTGTGTGTGTAAAAAACATTTTCGCGGAGAGGAAGCAGATTTGTTAGCTCCTGGTTTTCTCTATGTTGGCCTCCTCCACGGGGCGGCCTTGGCCTTCTGGTCAGGGTCGTCCCTGGGTATTGACTGGCAGTAGGCTTTTCATGCCTTGCAGCCGGTTTCGCTCGCGCGGAAGGACATTCAGTGAGCTGACGACCAGGGCAGGTAATTTGTTGCCGTCACCGTCTTCTTGCGTCCTTTCCGCATCCTCCGCAGTGGCGTGGCGAGCCCTCGGATCAATCCCCAGCCTGAAACAATGCAGTGGCGTTCGGCAAAACAAGTGGATTCCTGGATGAAAAAGGATACAGGTCACACTCGCAACAATTGATTACTGCGCGGTGATAGCTGGAATTGTGAATTTGTCGTGTTGTTTGGACCTGAGTGGCCAGTCGTCGTGCGGCGATGGTGTAGTGATGTTAGCTTGCTGCGCATACTCCTCGTCGTTTCGTGAAAGTACGTCTTGTGGAGCCCTTGTGGAACGTTCGGTGCCCACCCTCCAGCTCATGATTGTGCTTTCCTGGTGCATGAAGGCCGAAGCAGTACGCGTACAGACGTTATTGTTGAACAGAACATCATGTTCACATTAATTTTGTGCCTTTCTTCAGTCGTTGCATGTTATAGTGGACCTACGTTACAGCAGACTGTTCATCTGGTTTGTGATATTTCCTTCCTATGTTTGTGAGTCCCTTTCCATCAATATGGCAGCTTGTTTTGATTTCCTTTTTTTTCAATTCATTTTGCTGTACTTTCTGTTTTGTTTGCGCCACTGCCCCTCACCTTGCGCTCAGTTCTCTGAGTAGAGGGCGGCGTGACCCCAAGGGGTAGCTGATTGATAGTAGTAGTAGTAGTAGTGTGTGTGTGTGTGTGTGTGTGTGTGTGTGTGTGTGTGTGTGTGTGTGTGTGTGTGTGTGTGTGTACGCTATGGGTGAGGGTGAGTGCAGGGTTACCAGCAAGTGGCTGGAGTGACCACCAAACCTCCCGGTTGGCCAACAGTGGGCTGCTAGTCGCTGCTAGAGGTGGCAGACTCCGAAAAGAGCTCAGTCTGCTGAAAATTATCACCACTAACTTCCTTTTTTGTTCCTCCAGAAACCGTTCAACAATGATGTTGAAGGTTTCGCTGAGCGTCCTCTTCTTCCCATTGCTGGTGTTTAGGAAGGAGTACTTCAGAACCTTGTTATGCGCTTCGACACCACTGTTCGTAAAACAATGTGTTGGTAATCTCGCGCAGTCCACGCCCTTGCCCACTGCTCCTGGAGCGAGAGCCTGCGAGAGCCATTTGGCATTCAGCCACTTTCTCCATGACTTGCTTATGGTCCCTGAAAATATCGAGACCCTGCAATTTGGCCTCTGCCTTTCGATATTGCTTGTCAGGAACATGTCCGTCTTCTCGACATGGGTGAGGAGCAGAGGCAAGGCCGCGCAAAGCCGTCAGGAGTGCTGACGCTGCATCGTCATTTAGGCCATGATTCCTGTTCTTGGTCCAGCGCTGCCAGGCTTGCTCGCGGTGAAAGTCACAAAAAGATATCTGCTGGGTATCATTCGAATGCAGGCAGAAAACTGCCGAATTTGAAAGGGGAAATTCCCAGTACACATGGCACGTGATTTCTTTACTTCAAGTATGTGATTGTAGAGCAGAACAGGTTTCCTTTACTTTACAGGAACACGAAGAGGGTACCCGGGATTCTTCGCGTCGCGTTCCTGTCACGTAGAGCAGAACATCACTATTGTCATGAATAGATGTACAGTCGACTCCTGATATAACAAACCCCATTGTGCAAGAGAATTAGTTCTTTATAACCAAAGTTCTTTATTACCAAAGTTCTTTATAACCAAAGTTCTTTATTACCGAAATGCACTCATGCCATGTCATGCCATGCCTATAACACAGTGTGTTGTTTGTATGGCATGAGTACATTTCTGTACCAGGCATGATGTCATCATGCCTGGTTTACATGCTCCCCTACATGATCCGGCTCATAAACGAAACAGTTTGCTACAAAGGATCAATTTGTACAGGTGCAAACAGGGACATGGACAATGGCTCGCCATATCATGAAATTCGCTACATGCGAGTTTGTTGCGAATGGAGCCGACTGTACTAAATGTATGCAATCAGAATGAGAAGTGATTACATAGCATTTTTGAAGTAAATTCAAACTACATGTTCATGCTCTTCAGTACTGAAGCTTTTATCAGTGAAAGTTTGTTCTTGTCTAAGCCAAGTTATTTCAGAGGCATTGTTGCCTGTTGTATTCTCTGCATTTTCTTGTCCAGGGCCAGGTTTGAATGCAGTCACAAGTCGCTTGAATTCACATCAGTTTGGACCGTTCACCTTTGACAAATACACAGCACCCGGGGTATGCATTGTGTTACTGATCTACAGTTGTAAACTTGTATTGACTATTGAGTATTATGCTGGGTTTCCATGTGCATTGATCCTGGTTTTTTGGCATTGGCTATGTATACAGTGTACATTATTTCGTTCATTTTGATCGCTGTAAAGAAAGTTAGGAATAGCGTTACATGTTAAGGCTTACCGGAGGATGTTCTTTTCCGTTCTTCTACTCGTGTATGTTTATGTGCAGCTAATAATGGCTGGTGTGTGGCTCATTGTGGAGGTTTCCATGCTATTCTTCTACTTTGACTTCCCTACACTGACGGACGCCGAAGCAGCTGGTCTCTACGTACCTGAATCAGGAGATACAGAATATGTATCGAATGAGACTGATCCACTGTTAGGGCATGGAAAGAGGCATCCAGTTACCTCCATCAACGAAACCAGCCAGGATCATTCAGTTCAACTGGAGGCATCTATCGAAGAGCGGAGGTCAGGGGATTCGTCATCTCCTCCACAATCCTGGAAGGAAAGGATGCTTGGTGAGTACAATGTTGTTCTTGTGACAGGATTTCAGGTCAACAGGGGAACTGGGATGGAGAGAAGGCTTCAAGCTAAACCCAGTCCTTGTGAACTTACAGGGTACCTCACTTCAAGCTCTCCAACTACGGTCTCTTCGCTGCATAAGTTCACTTCACTTCCAAAAAAATAAATAATATTAGATAGAAATGGAATGCACCAAATTTTCGGGCATGGCCCATCTTCAGGGTGAAAAACCATTCAACTAAAGCCAACAAAAACTGAAACGAGTATATATGCTGTGTGGTGCGGTAGTGCTGGACATGTTTGTATGTGTGGAGGGTAGCAGCAATGGTGAAGTGTGTTGGTAGAAAGGGAAGGAGCGAAGGAGACCAGTGGAGAGCTGTGTCTGTAAGTGTGAATATGTGTTAGTGCGACGTGAAGGGAAAGCACGAGAAGTGTGGTTACCAGCAGCAATGGTGAAGTGTGTTGGTAGAATGGGAAGGAGCGAAGGAGACAAGTGGAGAGCTGTGTCTGTAAGTGTGAATATGTGTTAGTGACATGGAGAATAGAATGCAAAGTATGCAATGTAGCTGGATCCATGGGTGTGAAGACAAAGATGACGACAAATATTTGCTAAGCACTATATAACCAGCTAGCACACGTAAACATCAAATATCAAATATTATAATTATCATATATTCGCAACATCACAGTCTACCACAATTTACAACACCAGCATCTAACACAGTAATTTCACACTGTGAGGTCTTTCAGTAAGGATGTGCGTGTGGTGTTCCAGTCCGGTCGGCCACTAAGGGACATGTTGGTATCGTCATCATTGTCCCGTCCTGAATGCCCGAAGGAAGTGTATAAGAAGAGAAGAGGAAGGGGGCGACCAGTTGAATGTCGTGCATGTGATGCTGGTATGGAGAGTGGTCAATGTTTGTCTCAGGATGTTATCTACTCGATGTTATGTGCACTTTGCGCCGAGGAGTACGTTGGCGAGACCGAGCGAACTGCAAGGAAGAGATTTGAGGAGCATCGCAGAGAGGCCAAAGTGCAAGCGCTGGAGACGCCATGGGGAGAACACTATGCAGAACACCACCCACAACAAGCAATCACATCTACACCCATCACCAACACATCAATTCTCGCCAAGCAGTCGTCCCTTGTGAATCGTCGTATACGTGAAGCAATGTTCATTCGTGATAGACGTCCAAGTGTTAACAGGGATCGTGGCTGGAGACTGCTGGACACAGTGTGAAATTATTGTGTTAGATGCTGGTGTTGTAAATTGTGGCAGACTGTGATGTTGCGAATATATGATACTTATAATATTTGATATTTGATGTTTACGTGTGCTAGCTGGTTATATATAGTGCTTAGCAAATATTTGTCGTCATCTTTGTCTTCACACCCATGGACCCAGCTACATTGCATACTTTGCATTCTATTCTCCATGTCACTAACACATATTCACACTTACAGACACAGCTCTCCACTTGTCTCCTTCGCTCCTTCCCATTCTACCAACACACTTCACCATTGCTGCTGGTAACCACACTTCTCGTGCTTTCCCTTCACGTCGCACTAACACATATTCACACTTACAGACACAGCTCTCCACTGGTCTCCTTCGCTCCTTCCCTTTCTACCAACACACTTCACCATTGCTGCTACCCTCCACACATACAAACATGTCCAGCACTACCGCACCACACAGCATATATACTCGTTTCAGTTTTTGTTGGCTTTAGTTGAATGGTTTTTCACCCTGAAGATGGGCCATGCCCGAAAATTTGGTGCATTCCATTTCTATCTAATATTATTTATTTTTTTGGAAGTGAAGTGAACTTATGCAGCGAAGAGACCGTAGTTGGAGAGTTTGAAGTGAGGTACCCTGTAATGTGTGAGTGGCTGCGATGGAGTCTGCGAGTGCTTAGAAAAGTTTACCTTGTGAAGTTACCATGTCATAGACGTAAGGTAGAATGCTGAAACACTGTGTGCAAATACATTCAGACCTTGCTCTCTGGTTCCCTTGTTATCCGGCTCCCTTGTTATCCAGTTCCCATGCTTACCCAGTTCCCTTTTCTATCCAGTTGAAGCCATTTGAGCCTCTAGATCCAAACAGTCAGTTTTGAGCATTTCGAGTTATCTATACCATTGCATTGCTGTATCCCAGCAGATCACTCTGTAAAAAACTAGATCCAAATTCTTTATCTTTCACAGCGCTATGGGTGATTTAAAATACGTGAATTATACATCGCTTGATGCAGAAAACTCAGCTTTCAAATCATTTTTCTCAATACTGCGCGAAACGACATAAGCCCCCTTTTCAGATCTAGAGGCTCATTTGTGCTCCAAGACTTTAGTATTTGATGGACATGTGCTCCAAGCTGCTCCAACTGGATAGCAAGGAGATACTAGTATGTGACAATCTTTGACAAGGTGCATACATGTACAAAATACAGTACAGTGGCTTTTTGGGTGGGTGTGGGTGGGTGTTTATGGGGTGGGGAGGGGGGTTGACCCCTCTAGATCCTGCTGTTGCCAACTCCGGACCTTCGTTCAGGTGTATTCTGACCATCCACGCTTGTCTCCCTATTGACTTCATATTTTCTGCCATCTCTGGTTTTGGTGTTGCTGCTTCTTCTTAGCTTTTCTGAGAGAGGAGTGGATTGTTCTTTTGGCATGCCAATTTATTCTCTTTTTCAATCAAACTGCACTTGAGGTAAGAGTACGACGCTCCAGTGCCCTGTTCATGTATTGTGTCCCAACCGTGCTGTGAACTGTTGTAAGTCTGGATTTTTCAGGACTTAGGTTCTGACTGTGATGTGACAAAAGTCTGTCTTGACTTTCGGTAACTGTGAATGCTGCTACCGCTGCAATGTGGCGCAGTTCGCATAGACAGTTCCGACAATGTCGAGGGAGAAGTCTTTCTGGATGAATGTGTGGACGGGACATGAAAGGAACACCCGATAATGCGATGAGCGTTCTATGTGTTTTGTTGCCGTTTGCATCTGCTGGTATTCCTGAAGTTTATTGTGTTTAAAACGTAGTGCTCACCAATTCTCTTTCAGTTTACTGTTTGTTTTCCCATTGTGTTTGCAGACTGTTATTGTACCTCTTGGCAAAGATCTTCTTGGTTGGGATATTCTTGACACCAGTATATTCTACTGTGGTTGTGCAGTGGAGGTACGTGCTACTGAAGATAAGTTGCTGGTTGAGCATGGTATGGTACTAGATAACTCTGACCCTTCACAAGGAGTTTGTTTGGGAAGACAATTCCAGCATTGAATACCTGGCATTACCTACATTCCCTGGATACTACCTACATGGTGATGTGTGTGTGTGTGTGTATGTGGGGTGGGTGTTTACGTGGGCCCGTGCCATGTTCATTCAGACCAATGTCACCTTTTATCACATGGAACAACACCAAGCCACACAGCTGTGTGTTTTTTTCTGGCATTTGAGGCACCACGCATAATATAGAAACGCTTTGAAATGGAATTTCTGTGGTGAATTTTTAATGCGCATATCACGTACATAGTGGTGTACATGTCAGTCGCTTTGACTGTCGGGGTACTCATTGACGCCAGGCGACTTGAATCGCTGTGTGTTTGTGAAAGCTTGACTGCGTCTTTTGGGCACCCATGACCTACCTATGTACCATGCCCGTGTACCAGTTATGAAGAAAGCTTTAGAGTTTGAATTTTCTTGCAAGGATTGTAACAGTCCTACCCTTGTTGTCTGAATCTCACTTATCCGGTTAGTACCGTCATTATTTCAATGTGCACAAGTAGTGAGCGGTATTGTGGACATTGCACATTTTACGTCGTGCAGACTAATGAAGTTCCGATTGCTTTTTTGAGTGTCTTGAGTAATGCATGATTCTTGCATGATTCTTGCTCATTGAGATGAAAGTTGTGCAGTAGTTTGGGTGATCTGGATTAGAGGGTACCTAACTCTTATAACACTACCAGGGATATACTTCGAAGTAAACTTACAGAGGCGGCTTCATTCCAGCGCGACACGCACCTTGTGAACACCAGGTAGCAGCTTGACTCAGTGTCGCTCATGGATAGGTACAGCAGGTGATGATGGTCCTTACTTTAAAAGGCATCAACACATCTAGTTTGGTTCATTCGTCGTCTAGTGTTAGTACTGCACTGGTTAGTTTGTCCGTCTGCCTGTATCCACCTGAAGAGAAGGCGATGAAAGTGCCAGTGGAAACTTTGAGGTGTTGATTAATATAAAGATCCTGAACCGTGGTAGTGACTACCTGTAGTAGTGGTGGTGACTTTGGAGCAAAGGAAATCACGCTTGAATACCGGTAGATGAGTGTGATATATTCGTGGCTATGCAGCCGTGGCATTACGAATGCTGTGTGATGAGCTCTGCTTGCACAGAGTTGTGCTATGAGCTCTGCCCTGCCGTATGTGTGAGGTTGGTGTTTTTTCCCTGTCGCAGTTGTAATATGTATTCTACCCTATACTATAGCAGTACAACTGTGTAAGTGTAAGTGCACGATGTACTGTTTGTTTTCTTGTGCTTTCAATGGTCAATTTCTGTAGGGCATTGCATGCTTTTTGGCTCTACGCTGGATCAGCAAATATGTACAAGACAGGTATGGGCATGCTGTAGTAGCTGTTGTGTTTGACTGAATCTGTGTGTGTGTGTGTGTATCTGTGTGAGTGCACCTGCATGTGTGTACAGTACTTGTGTGCATGCATCTGCTTGGTGATTGTACCTACGAACGAGCTATTCAAAAATGTTGCGAAAGGTTGAAGACGACAGATGGAAGGGCAGCCAGTGCTCCTCGTTACAGCTATAGTACAGTATTTACACAAATCAAAGACCACTCTGCTATGTTCCAAGTCCACTCTGCTATGTTCCAAGTCCACTCTGCTATGTTCCAAGACCACTCTGCTATGTTCCAAGACCACTCTGCTATGTTCCAAGTCCACTCTGCTATGTTCCAAGACCACTCTGCTATGTTCCAAGACCACTCTGCTATGTTCCAAGTCCACTCTGCTATGTTCCAAGTCCACTCTGCTATGTTTCAAGTCCACTCTGCTATGTTCCAAGTCCACTCTGCTATGTTCCAAGTCCACTCTGCTATGTTCCAAGTCCACTCTGCTATGTTCCAAGTCCACTCTGCTATGTTCCAAGACCACTCTGCTATGTTCCAAGACCACTCTGCTATGTTCCAAGTCCACTCTGCTATGTTCCAAGACCACTCTGCTATGTTCCAAGACCACTCTGCTATGTTCCAAGACCACTCTGCTATGTTCCAAGTCCACTCTGCTATGTTCCAAGTCATCTTCTACCGCCCGAGTACAGTGGAATTCTGATAAGACCTGTCCCCATGGGTAGGTCTGTAGCGGTGCACGGAAAATTATTTTTAGTGTATGGGGACAGTCGTCTGGAAACTATTTTTGAGAAGCAGACTTCATGTATTGCAAACCTAGGATGAATCTGAAACTTATATGGGAATAGGAACACAGCCTTCTGCGGCACCTACCCACATAAACTGTGACATTGACATTGTGTCCGTGCATGTGTGCGTGCGTGCGTGTGTGTGTGTGTGTGTGTGTATGTGCGTGCATGCGTGTGTGTGTGCGCGTGCATGTGTGCGCGTGCATGTGTGCGTGCGTGCGTGTGTGTGTGTGTGTGTGTGTGTGCATGTGTGCGTGCGTGTGTGTGTGTGTGTGTGTGTGTGTGTGTGTGTGTGTGTGTGTGTGTGTGCGCGTGCATGTGTGCGTGCGTGCGTGTGTGCGTGCGTGCGTGCGTGCGTGTGTGTGTGTGTGTGCATGCTTTCATGCATGCATGTGTGTGTGTGTGTACGTGTCACTACATGTGTGTGTATGTATGTGTCCGTGTGTGGGGGGGGGGGGGGGGGTATGCGCATGTGAGCGTGTGCGCGTGTGCGCTCGCTCGTGTGTGCGTATGTGCTCATGTGTGTGTGTTGTGCTGTATGTGTTGTGTGTTCAGGTGGCTACTGTTGGTTGGCATTCTAGCTGAGTTGCTATCACTTGTACTCTTCTTGTATTATGTACCAACAGCAAAGCCTGGTAAGGAATCTGCAAGCATATCACAGTTTTGTACGTCATGTCACGTCTCGCATCATTTCAAACATAGTTAAAAGCACTCGGGTTTCAAATTTTTATTGTTGCTTTGTTCTTTCCCTATCTTTGTGTACAGCTGATCGGCGCTTAAGCTACATCTTCATGATCACTGGCTCCGCGATCGGCATTGGTGCACTTACCTTGTTCAGCGTTGCTACTACTTCCCTGCTGACAAAGTTTACCAGCATGAAGTATCAAGGTAATACCCGGAGTGTAGATCTCCCCAGAGTGTTCTATTAACTTTACATAAACCTCCGTCACGACTGGTTTTCAGAATTACATCACTTCCCATGATGTAATTCCCTTGACTGTACAGAAACGTATAATTATTGCTTTCATAAATTATTAAAAAAATCGGTCGACGTCACTTCTCGCTTGCATACATAGAGCTAGTTACTAGTTACATCTTGAAAAGTGGCATAATTCTGAAAAGCGAGTCTGGACAGCTTCCCGTTGGCGGTTGCGCACTCTGGGAAGTTGTGTTACGCCTCTTCAGGCTTATTACGCGGCGCTTTGCACCAGATTTTGAAAACAAATTGAACCTCCACAGGAGCCACCGATATCACTGCTCCCTTCCTGACCATCTTGTACACCTCCTTTCATCCCCGAGTAGGCTTCTATTTTGGCACCGCTCAGCCAGCTGCTGCGCAATGATATGGATTGGTCCTGGGACTCCACTCAACAGCATGCGTTCCATCGATTGAAAAGGCGTGTCGTTTCGGTGCTGTGCCTTATCCACTACGATCCGAAGCGCCCCATCAGGGTTAGCGCAGACACTAGCAGTTCCGGTACTGGTGGCGGTTTGTTGCAGCAACATGAGGAGTCCTAACGCCCAGTTGCCTTTGCCTCTCGTCCCCTGATGAAGACGGGACAAGGCTATGCACAGATTGAAAAGGAATGCCGTACCGCAGTTTGGATGTGTGAGAGGTTTGAACAGCACCTCTGCCCCTACTTGTAGTTTTTCTTGGAAATCGACCATCCACTCAATAGCCCTCATCATCACCAGAGACGTGGAGATGGTGCTGTTCCGCTGCCAGCGCATGCAGCTCTGCTTCTTCCGGTATGATGTGCATGTTATCCATGTCCCTGGCAAAGGTCTAGTTGTCACTGACACTCACTCACATACATCTATGTCAGCATCTATCGACAATGTTCTGCAGCTTGATATTGACATTGTTCCATCTACCACAGTCAACGACCTCATCTGCGCACTGGTCTTGTATCATCTCGCCACTGCTGCCGAGGCCAACCCGGTCTTGTCCACCGTCCTCCGCTACCGCTATGTTGAACATGTTGATCCTTTTAGAAAGTAAAGAAAAGGACCAAGGAACTACAAGTTACGCTATATTGTCCACTAACACCACCAGTTACTTGACAATCAGCTCATTGTAGTTCATTGATCCTTTTCTTTACTATAAATTAATTACTGGCTCTCCATCTGAGTCTATTAATTACTGGCTCTCCATCTGAGTAATTACTGGCTCTCCATCTGAGTAATTACTGGCTCTCCATCTGAGTCTATCCTTTTAGGGAGTGTTTGTGGAAGTCAAAATGAGCCACACCACACACCCACAATAGAAGGTCGTATTCCTCATCTGCTATTGTCTATTGTGCTTGTTGTAAATCATGCTACGGATCTTGCTTTAGTGAGCCCAGCAGAAGGTGATGACTTGTCACATTCACTACGTAAAAGAAGTGTTTCAAGTTCTGGAAATTTCTGAGATTTGGCACTCTTCTGTTCCAATGTGTCTGGATGAGAGAGGTATTATTCTAGAATGATAACCCATTCTATTTGTACATCGTGTGTGCGTGTTTTTACTCTTTTATGCTCTTTCTGGAATATCAATGTGCTTCTGTGTTTGTGCATGTGTGCCGTGCGTGTGTGCCGTGCGTGTGTGCCGTGCGTGTGGTGTACGGTGTGCATGTGCACGTGTGTTTTTGCTTGCTGTAGGAACAAGCCAGGGTGTGCGCCGCAGTACAGGATTTGTAGCAACGATCATGGGCCCTCTGTGGGCTGGTGCCTTTCTTTCTCATCTGACATTCATGCTGGCTGTAGAAGTTGGCTTAGTGGCAATGATACTGGTGAGTTGATCCTTGCATTCTTTTCAACTTAGAAATGCACTCTTTGAATAGATTTTTGGTTGGAGGAAAGCAAATCAGCACACGAAGCACAGAAGCCATATATATTTTTCGACTAGGCCTTTCATTCCATTACTCTTCAGGTCGAATGCAATTTGGTCTATGCTCTGACCGCCAAATATGCTGTTGGCGCCACTAGTGCTATTTTTCAAGTGCTATTTTTGTCAATGCTCTGCCCGCCAAAAGTGCCGGTTATAAGGACTTGCTTACTACCTTGTTAATCACCATTGTATTCGACCTGAAGAGTAATGAAATGAAAGGCCTAGTCGAAAAAATTATATGGCTTCTGTGCTTCGTGTGCTGAAATGCACTCTTTATATATGTATGCATAGCTGTTGAATGGTGTAATCCCAGCACCAGTTGCTATGTCCAACTTAGCTTGTTTGCTATTATCACTTCAGCTATGGGCAGGAGGATGAGTCTGTATAACGGCATTTAGGGTGCAGCCAATGGAAAGGTTCCCCACAACGAAAATTCGTTAAAGTTGGATGTTATCTGAAAACGTTCTATCCTGGTTCAACAAAGACCATGGTACCAAACTACTGTACATGTGCCTGCCTGCACTAAGTCTTGTACACTGTCAGCACATACTTTGTGCATGTGTCGCTCTCCGAAATGCTTTTAGAAGCAGCACCACCGTCCCCACAAGAGAAACCCGTCTGACATAGCAGCATAAGTAAATATACTCCCAAGAGCTTGCAACTCTGCATATAGGGTCTTCGACGGCGAAAACTCACATCACATGTTTGAGGTATGTGTTGTACTACGTACAATGAAGGCCAGCGTGCACGCTATCCGAATATCTGCCATGTTAATGCTGATGACTTGCATAAGCTTAGTGGGTTTTTTTTTTTTTTTGTCGGGGAGTGCTATTTTACTACTCCACTGATCCGTAAAAATGAGCTGGGAACGTACATCAGGAACACTACACCAAGTGGTCTGAGTTTTCGCCATTGGCGGACCCCATAGAAAGGGTATCCAGAGCTGCACACTCTTGGGAGCCTATGTACCCTTGATAGCAGTTACACGTACATGTAGTTCTATGTTTTGTAGTTTTGGCTGTACAGTGTTTGTATTTCTGGAAAAGAAAAGAAGTTCCTTTCACATGTTCCAAGTTCACATACATGGGGCGCTTTCGATTACACGTTTACACAATTCTGCAACTGTTTTTTTTTTAATTCTGGAATGACCAGAATGAGCGGATTCCGGCCTTGTAAACGGACGACTGGAATTCACAACGCATTTTATTCATGTCATGTCACAAACAAAATTGATGAATAGTAAAAAGAAATCACGTACACCCTCGCGCGCACGTGGACCCAGCATCGCGCACACGCCGGCCAGGGAGGCTGTTCGCGCGCTTGAGTCATGACCAGACCGGTAACACGCCGAGCGTGCAATTCTGGCGCCAGAATTAGAGAAATTCCGCCCTCTCTTCAGAATTGACGGAATTGGATCAAATCAATTCTAACGACGGAATTTGTCACTTTTTGTGTAATCGAACTGTGCATCAACAATAGCTAATTCTAGAATTGACCGAAATGCGTGTAATCGAAAGCGCCCATTAGGAGTTGCAGAGGAGTAAAAGGTGAAGTGAAGTTCACTCTTCTTTGGGAAAGAAAGGTCGTAAGTTCAAATCAACGATGCCTTTGCTGTACTGTCCAACAGAAAAACGAAAAAAGTAAATTATCATCTGATTCTCCGTTCCTCTGGGTGTGTGTGTGTGTGTGTGTGTGTGTGTGTGTGTGTGTGCGCGCGTTTTTTGACATGGCTTAGGTAATGGTTCTATTATCCTTTTCAAGGCTTCGCGTTCCAAAACCTCAGGATGCGGTAGTAGAATCGTCATCAGGGTCAACTGAAGCATAGCGTTCATTTACTTGAGGTCTGTTGAGTGTTTTCTATATTTTCAAGTGAAGAATCTTGTTTACGGACAAGTTATATTCTATTTATTTCTGTGTTCTATGGCAAATTGTTGGCAGTTAGGGCCGTCAGGTTGCCCATATGTGTGTGTGTGTGTGTGTGTGTGTGTGTGTGTGTGTGTATGTGTGTGTGTGTGTGTGTGTACATGTACTTGTGTGTATGTGCATGTATGTGTGTGTGCACGCGCATGGGTGTGTGTGTGTACGTGTGCGTTGTGTGTGTGTGTGTATATGCGTGTGTTTGCATGTGTGTTCATGTGCATCCGTGCGGTGGTTCGTATGGATTTGTGTGTATAAGCCTTGTGGACAGCGAGTATGCTGTATGCTATTTCTGCACTCCTGCTATTGTTATAGACTTGATTATTCTTTTAATCATTTTTAGTGCATTGTGTTATAGGTTACTTATATTTTGATTCCATCGTTTAGTGATCTAGCTGCCATTTGTTTTCAGGTCCTGCCACTCGGGTTTTTTAAATATTTTTAATTATGCCATTGTTCGTTGTCCTTATCATCACTGAATCTTAGTAAATATTCTGAAAGACTTAGGGAAAGAGAGGGTGCATCACCCTCGAAATTGAGAGAGTTTGCATCGTATACATGTAGTGGCTTGGTTCTGTCACAATGACAAGTGCTTTGAAAAAAAGAGAAGGACCAAAAGTTCAGTAAGTTATCTGTTGTTTGTGTCCAACATTTTAAAATAATTATAATTATTAGCAATTATACCGTAAAATTCCGTAAATAAGCCCACCCTAAATAACGCCCATGTCCGATAGTAAGCCCAGTTTTAGGCGGTGTACACTTCAAGTCCGTTTTAGCGCCCATGCCCGAAATAAGCCCAGGGCGTAAAGTGGACTCAAAATGACCAGCGCGCGAGCGTGCGTTCGAACGTTCGCGTACAAACTGTAGATCAGTTTTCTGCCTTACCTGCTTCAGCGTCACGACGTTTTCAGCCATGCCGGTACCTGTTGTGGCTTGTACTTACCATAGCAAGTGGTTTTACCTATCAAATCTGTTATTTATCGCTACATTCTCGGTTACGACCAAATTTCCAGCTGTGGTTTCATGTACCTGTACCGCGCTCAGTGTGAATGGTGGTTCACTGAAACTAGTGGGTTGCTGATAGATTTATCTTCTGCAGATTGCGTCCGAAATAACGCCCATGCCCTAAAATAAGCCCATGCCCAAATATACGCCCGGTTTTTGACGCGCTGCAAAGTATACGCCCGGGGCTTATTAACGGACGGTATTTAGCAAGATACCGGCGATTGAGAATGTGCAACAATTCAGTAGCAGCACACTGACTGGTGTGATACTGACACTCAACAACCTGATGTTTAGCTACATCACCATGTCTAGAATGTGCAAACCTACAGCCTTCCAACTTGGAAGCTTCTAAGTTATGAAATACGGCATTTACGTAAGAAAGGGGAAGGTGAGCGCACCCAAGGCATTCTAGACGTTATGTAGCCACGCATCAGTTCACACCAGTCAGTGTTGTGCTAATTTTTGCACGTTCTGGCTCACCGGTATCTTGCTTATAATTATTTGTTAACGTTGGACACAAACAACGGATAACTTGTAAACTGTTGGTCCTTCTCTTTTTTTCATTTTAATTCTTGGCTCTCCATCTGAGTCTTACCTACAAATACATGTTGATATTCTTTACTGATAGCTTTGTTGTACTTCAAAGTTCCCAATTCATTGTGTTCTTGTATTCTATATCTACAATTGTAATGATTCGTCCATGGATATGAATGGATGTTGCTGTAGCATATTACCATCGTTACCAAGAATAGATTGTTTATCCACTAGTACTCTTGAAGTTGATGTTGCTGTGTGTACTGGCGGGCGCATAGCACATACGTATACCAACTGTGCTAACCTATTTTCTTTCAGCAAATTATCAATAGGCATATGAATCTACACACACCTGGAAATCCACTAGGCCCAACTCCTGCAACTATGCAGTACAGTACAGTACTGCTATTTTTACTTGCCACGCAAAACCGCTGTGCTTGCTGAAAATAGTACTGTAACCGTTCCGCCAAGGCAAGAGTACAAACACTTATAGTATTTGCTCGTGCTTTCACCCACTTGCCTGCATGCATGCGTCAGGATAATTATTGCTTTCTACCGGAGACCGAGTCATAAACTAGGTAGGGCACACGGTTGGATGTCATTTTGGGCCCAAATGGTTTTCTTGATGATTTTACCTCTTTGTACATGTAGTTGTTTGCTCTCTTCACCACTCTTTGTAGCCCAACGGTGTGTGTGTATTTGTGCTCGGTCTGAATGCATGCTACAGTAATGTAGGATTGGACGTCTGATTCTCCCACGCTGTTACAATAATAATAATTAGAACAAAGTATGGCATGCATGAATTGCACACCCAAATTGCACAGTCCAGCCCTACTCAAATACATGTAATAGCATAAGCATACACTCAACCACAAAGTCTGTAAATCCAGAATATTTCCTATACTGGTAGTGCTGAGCATGTGAATACAAAAGCTTACTTCAAAGTGGGATTTACACATATTGGGATCTGCACTGGTTAGGATCATCCTCTCTGTACAAAGGAATGTTCGTGGAGGCTCGAACGAAATGAAATTCAACACATGGTCACGTAAACAGAGAGAGGTACTAAAATAAGGAAAAGAAATATCAAACTTAGAGAAAACGATCAGCAGCTTGCAATATACATAGCCTAGGTGAAGTGAACCAGTGTAAGAATAATTATATTTATTTAGCCCCCCCCCCCCCACACACACACCTATACAAATATACACCTGTTATACACACAGCGCCGGCCAGAGTCTGAAACGTATATACAGCAACACTGTGCAACACAGTGCACGAAAGTAGGACGATGCATGTAAGGACTTGATTGAGCAGCCAATTTAATTAAGCAGTCGGTCTTTCTCCAATCCTTCGCTGAATGTGTTGCAGTAGCTTGTGGCATTCGTTCTTATTCGCTTCTAGCAGTGTTTCAGTTTGTGGTAGTTTCACGGGAATCCTTTCAGAGAGTAGCAGACTATTCACCTCCATCATAGCTGTGTCAAATAAGGCATCCAATGGCACAGACACATGGACTAGCTTATATTTCAATGCTTGTTTCAAATCCACTTGTGCACTCTTAAAAGCTGCTGCCTTGGGCCAGAACGTCACAGAAGAGCAGCATACGTCCTTCTTGGAGATAGGTCCACCACCAGTGGAGAAAGAGCAGTTGTCAACAGCGACTACACGGTGAAAGAGAGGGAAAGCTTTAAACAAAAACCCATGGCAGCTGCCATTGACAGCCAGTACTTTGGGCTTGGAGAGGCGAATAAGGGCATCAACAAGTTCCTGCATCAAATTACAAGATGTAGTGATAATCTCCTTCTTTCCACCTGCAATCAACTTTGGATCAACAGAAGCACTTCCACCACAGAACACATTGCCAGTACCAGTTAGCAGGACACCTTTCACCTCATCACTGCTCAGAGCTTGCTGCAGCGCCTTTATGATGAGACGTTGCATGGACCATGAAAGTCGCCTACCCTCATCACTGGGACGTAGCTGGATGATCAGAACTCCATCTTTCAATTTGAATGCCACGTTATCTCGTTCCTTGTCGTCATTCGTCAAGAATACAGCATTCATCAACGCAGAGGGGGCTGTGAATTTGTTCTTAACGAGAGCATTAGGAGGCAGGAGGGGACGGAGGAGAGGCTGAGGACTAAATTCAGGCAGGGGTGCATATAGACCAGACGTTGCAGTCGAACTGGCAATTGAGCAAAGTCTAATTGATAGATTTCCACATCTGGAGTGTGCTGTTTTCCAAAAGCGAAGCGACTGCATCATTCCAAAATCCAGCAACAAGTATTACAATGTTATAAGGCAGTGCATATATGTAATCATTTTGTCACTAGTCCAGCACCCAGACCCAAACCAAGACTTGCAGATACTACATTATACATAATTGTACTTTGCTGGTAAAATTAATACATCATGTCAATGACCAGAATATTGATTTTTTCAATAATTTTTTGTCTTGCCACACGTGCACTGTACTGCAGTATGCATTTGCATGCACGCGCACTGTACAGTGGTGTACAACAGTACACAGACATCCTTAGCAAAAGTACGATAACGCTAACTTTTACGGTACTCACTCCCAGCCGTGACAAAAGACGTTATCGGATAACGGAAAAACGTTATAGAGCTCAAAATAACGGGCCGACGTTCGTTATGGAAATTCTGCAAAAAATGCAAAAACTCGCATTGTTTTGTAACTGGCGGGAGATAAAAAGCACGTCGTGCAGATCGAGATGAGATCGAGAGTCGAGATTGCTTCCTCTTGTGACATTTAGCTTTTTTGGCGAGTTTTGCCTTTCAGTTGACAATTTCTGCGTTTTCTGCTTCGTGCCTTTCTCCCTCTATCCCATCTGGGAAATAAAGGACCAGTTCCACGGCACTCCTGAGGAAGAAATTCATCGGCCTCTCCCAGACGTGCTGGAGCTGGAGAACCCTTACAGTCTTCGGTGCTGCGTTTAGGAAAGGGTTTCCAACGACCTGGGAACAGCGAAAACTCATTTTCGCCGTGCTTTTGCTATTCCAGAGTAAAAGACCTCGCCAAGGTATTCTTTCGGAACGACAGCAAACCAATCCCTGGTTCAAAATTTTGAATTTCCCGTATCTGTTTCCACGAAAATTCATATCGCCATGGTTGTCACGACTACTTCGTCTCAACTATAACGTACTTTGTGCTAAGGGAAAAGTCAGCTTGAACGATCCGAAGTACGGAAAGGTTTGCGTTTACGTTAGCGTTTTTTTAGCTAAGGATATCTAGTACTACTCGTACTGTTACTACAGCAGCAAGACTACAAGTAGAGTTCATAACTTTTAGTCTTGCTAGCGCTAGCAGCGTTTGTCATTTTCGAAAGTTGAGCTGAAATTGACGGCAAAATCGGAGAAAAATACTTGTAGTACAGTGGTCCCTCTATAATCCGGCACCATTTGTGCCACGAAAATCTGCTGGATTAGGGAGGGTGCTGGATTAACAAATCTGATTTACTGCTGCAATGTAGATCTACATGAAGAGGACATTTTGGCTACTGAAAATTGTGCTGGTTTATCGAGGGTGCTGGATTATAAAGTGCCGGATTAGAGAGGGACGACTGTATCGAGATGTTGGGTTTAAAAATAGCAAAATATCGGGTTATAATTATTCCCCCCGGTTGTACTGCCAGGCTCAGCAAAATATTGAGGCAAACAGAGCCGAATTGGCGAATCTGTCGGGGGCCGACTTGTCTTCGCGCGCTAGCGCATACGATGATACGTAGTCTACATAGTCTATGCTCGCCGGATCGATCGAGTGGATGGACTGCATGAAGCGCATGCATTCGCGCAGCTAGTTTCAGCTGCTGAAATCAGCTGACCAATAAGCGAAAAGCGCATGCGCATGTTTTCACTCTATGGCCGGCGCTTGACTATTTTCGACTTTTGTGTGTACGAGATTTGTCGAGTTCCCCATCGCATATTCAATGGTGTTGATTGTCTTGTTCAACCTTCAGCAAGCTGTTGGAATTTTTTATGTTGGTTGCAACGCAATACTCACGGAATATGTTACTTTCGTTCCATTGAGTTTGAAGGTTGGGAATCGATATTTGAACTGTTGCACAGAATTTGAAGGTGCTTGCTGGTGCCGCGGACTCTACACTCGTAAGTTTCACCTGAGCCCTTACTCTCATCGTCGATTCTGTTATTGGTCCGTATGGCGTATGGTGGGTTCTCATGCTCAGTCGATGTGTCGGGGGACGTACGGACACACGAGCATATTATTGAATGACCGGTCACGTGCCGTGTTTTGAATTTATCCCTCCTGTTATCATGTTTGTTCCCATTGTGTAGTCATACATCCCAAGCCTGCGTTTAGTTTGACTCCTGTGTTTTGGTTCTCGTGTGCTTTGCTTTCTCAGGTGCTTTGCTCACGTACGGAGGAATATCGACGCACTTAAGTGTTTAAGTTCAATTCAGATTGTACATAGTCTAGTGGATGATCTATCAACTTACCCCATTGCTGATATTTTCGACACTGGTGCTACGTACAAAGATGCAGTGATATGGCTCAGTCAACATCATGTGATGTACCGTTGGAGCCGTTGACGGCTGTTGATCCTCATGATGCGCAGCCACCGCAAGACTCCGCAATTGGAGCACATACTGCAGCCCAGTTGTCAACTGCTGAAGCACCTCAGTCCATTGTAACTGTTTCTCAGCCTTTGTCCGCAGTACCTGCTGCCAATGTCCTGCCCGTTCACTTTCCTGATAGTTCTGTAGTTAGAACGGCCGACTCGGCAGGAGTATCCAGTGAGGCTCTCGGGAAGAGTTTGCTAGATAAAGATTGCACTGCTTCCGTTACATGCAGTACCACATCCAGCACATCTGCAGGTGTACAGACATGCGATGCTACTAGCGATTCTCAGCCTGCAACTAGCACTGCTGGTGCTGCTGCACCTCCTATGTCCCACGTTACGACTAACTCAAGTTCTTGCAGTGTTTCGCATGTAGCAAGCCAGCAACCAGCCGATATTGATAGCAAGGCGAGTGTGGCCGATTCAAGTGGTCAATGTAACGTAACCCAATCTTCCAATGCTGTGATATCCACTGCCAAGGCGATTGGTAATGGCGATATGGATTTGCTAACAAAGTCAACACAGCCGCCCAGTGTCGTAACGGCCTCAGAACAGCGTACCACTGCTGCAGAGTCCACCAATGTTGCTACAGATGAGAGGCAACCAATAGCAGTGGTAAGTAGCCCTGCAGTTACTACCCTGTCAGTTCCTCAAAAGCCGCCTTCACTGGATGCCACTACTTCAAGCAATGGCCAGTCTGCAACTCCAAAGTCTATTGTTAGTTTGGGAACTTCTTCCCTTGTGGCTGCAGCCAGTACACCGAGTCCCGTAAAGAGTGAATCAATTGTGTCAACTTCAGCACCAGTGTCAACTGATACTAACGTGCAGGCGAAGTCAGAACATCAGTTAGCCGAATCAGTACAGCAGACAGTGCAGGCAGCGCAAACAGCATCCAGAATGCTACAAAGTTCCACGTCCAATGCGTTGTCAAGTTCTACATCTACGTGTGCATCTTCTGGTGTAGATGGTCACCACACTAACCCGACAGCATCAGTATCCGGTGCTACATTGTCCGCCACTGCCAGTGTTTTTCCTTCTGCGAATGTGACGGGTGCAGCTCAGGTGACTAATGCTCAACAAACCGCGCTTCTACAGCAGCAACACATGCAACACCTGGCTGTTGCGCAGCAAATTGGTGCTCGTCTGCAAATGCCTCACCCTGCTTCGCAAGGAGTTATTCCATCTCGGCCGAATATCTTGCAGCAGTCATTGCCTCCACGTGGAAGACCTACGACTAGTCAGACCACTGCTTCTCAGGTGTTGCATGGTGGCCTAAATGTAAGGCTACCCGCCATGACACCGGACGAACAGCATCAGTATCGTCAGCAGCAGTTTAATCGGTCACTTGCAATCGTCTCGCAGGCTATTGTTCCAGCTATTCAAAAAGTTGAGACGGAACTACAACAGCTTCGAAAAGAATACTCGGAAGAAGAGACTGGTGTTCCATTTGAGGATTCTCCCGCTTACAAAGTGGTAAGGATTCTTTGATGTGGATGAGACAACTTTGAATACAGTCCAGGGCTGTAGTAACCGGAGACCTTTCTAACTAATTTACTATAATTGGCAATGGCTACTTTCTGAGGGTTTTTTCAGGCCATGTGGTCTTTTGTAGAGCGCATTGTGTGATTCAATGGCAGTGCATGTACAGAAATTCTTTTATAGTGCATGTAGAGTGTCCATGGATTACAGTTTGTCCGGACATTTCCCATATGTGTCAATATAAGGGCGCTGTAGGTGTGCTGGTGTCAAGAACCACTGTCGGATGTGTTCCACTCGATTGGTGCCACCATGTGTATTGATAGCAAAAGATGCATACCCCAGCACCCTGTCCTTGGCTACACAAAATTCTTCTTTCCTTCTGAATATTTGGGCAGGGGGGCATCATCAGGGGAAATGGTGTCTCCGGCAAGCCTATCCAACAATATATTATAGCGTGATGACATAACAAGGATACCATTTCAGTACTAAGAACTTGGACTAATACTGTAGTCTATACAAAAGAGAAAGGGCCAAGGAACTACAAGTTACGATATACTGTCCACTAACACCACCAGTTACTAAACAATCAGCTCATGTCTCTTTTGTATAAATTAATTCTTGGCTCTCCATCCGAGTTCAATACTGTAGTCGATCATGTTAAATATACAATGCCCCCTACAATATCTCACAGGCGTCATAATTCATATCGAACACCGGCTTGCACTGCCTCAAGTCAGGTGGGGACAAGTTAGCATGAAGTGCATGTTTCAGCTTGTGTGGTCCCAAATCCGGCTCGAAAATGAAAGTGAATGTGTGTGTGTGTGTGTGTGTGTGAGAGAGAGTGAGTGTGCGCGCGAGTCTCACGGGTGGTAAGCGCTTCTGTCAGATGAGATGGTCATGTCTAAGTTGTCGCTGCTGAGGGTCCTGTTATGCTGATTTCATGCGGATCATCTCCATCCATTGTCACAGTGGATTGCTGGCCTTCTGCGCCTGATTTCTGTTGCTTCCATGTACTTGCGACCAGACAGTGAAGACTCCCTCTTTTCATCTCATCCGACAGAAGCAGTTACCGCCCGTGAGACTCTCTCACATACACGCATACACACACACACACACACACACACACACACACACACACACACTTGTACTTGCTCACTGCCAAAACTGGTCACGTGGGTCTCCCCGGGAGAGGGGAGAGAGACTCAAAAGGAATCTTGGAAAGATGACTCAATTGGCCATTGAACCACCCAACGGCCGACACCCCCTGAAATCCCCAAACTAGGGTGGACTTGAAATGATCCCACTTATGGGCTCACCACACCTCAGTAAGTGGGTGAGGACAAGGTGCAGAAAAAGGATTGACGGCATCAGGGTATCCGTCCCGGGATCCAACTGCAGGTACCCCTGCCCCCAGTGAAGGTAATACTTGGTACTAGTGTGGGTGGCTAAATCAGAGTGGATCTGATATAAGCTTCACTAGCACCATTGATTACACAAGAGTTAATCTAGCCAGAAGCAGTCCATGGTTAACAGGTATGTATACTTCAAATAGAAAGTATATGAACTCTGAAACCAACAAAGGTGGTAGGTACGACAATACACCTTCAAGCAGCCGAGCCCGTTGGCAACAGGCCCAACACTATCTGCCATAAGTGTACCCACCAACCAAACTAGCTGGCAAACACACACACACACACACTCTCTCTCTCTCTCTCTCTCTCTCTCTCTCACCTTGACCTTGACCTTCACCTTCACGTCTGACTTGGGATCACACAAACTGAGATATGCACTCCATGCTAACTCCTCACCACCTGACTTGAGATACTGCAAGCTGTAGTTCGATATGAACTGTGACGTCTGTTTATGGAAGTTTTATCACCCATCAGTGAGATAATTCTAGGCGTGCTTTGTATATGTAACATGATCTTGGCACTGAAATGGTATCCTTGTTGTGTTATCACATATTATTATATTGCTGATGATGCTTGCTGGAGTTACCATTTCTTCTGATATTTTCCTTCTGGCCGAAAAATTTAGAATTTGCTGGATTCAATGGAGCCATGCTACACTTCTTTTAAAAATGTGTATTGGTCTATGTTTCTTTTTATTCTTTTATCAGAAACAGCAACGTCTTCAGCAGTTATCTGGAGCATACCAGAAGCAAATAGATCAGCAAAAGATATTGTCTGGGGTGACTGGTCCTGTTCAGGCATCACCTGCTGTTGCTGCTGCTGCCAATGCACCAGTTGTAGCTACACAAGCTGTCCAAAGTGTTCAGGCACAGTTGCAAGCTGCCGCCCAGCAACCTGCAGTTCAGACACCAGCAACAGTAGTAGCTGTGACAGCAGTAGCCGCTGGTATCACGCAACCTGTTGTACCTGTACCCCAAATATCGCCTGGACCAATGTCTGTTACGCAACTGACATCACAGATGCAAATGCCTGCTATTCCAGGTCAAGTGCAGCACACACAGCAGCAATTACACCTTCAACATCAGCAAATGCAGCACTTGCAGATGCAACAGCAGCAAATGTTGCAACAGCAACAACGAATGATGCTCGCTCAGCAGCAACAACGGCAACAAATGGAGATGCAGCAAGCTAGGGCTGCAGCGGTAGCAAGAAAGCAAGCTCACGCTCAGCTAGGACTGGCTGTTGCACAGGGAACCCCGAGAGGTCTAAATTCACGCAAGCAACAGAAGTAAGTACAATCTTGGTCATATCAGCTACTACTGCCGTGGACATGGAAATCCGGTCGATTGACCGGGGCTGGCGCCCTCAGCGCGTACAGAACAGTACACATGTTGATCCGGTGCGACCAGCGCACTGCATGCAGCGCATAATACAGTGTCATGCATGTGTGTACTGCTTACCCACGGCTGCATGGCCAGCGCCCTGGGGCCGCTAGACGTGCGACCGGACTTCCATGTCCACGACAGTAGTAGATAAAAGAGTACTGTAAACTGCCCTATATTCGCGTCACTAAATTTTTGCGATCTCTCAGAACCAGCAAGTTTACGATGGCAAATGTTTGCGGAGCACTGTGGCCACCCTTGTTGAAATTTGAATTCCCGATGGTTAATACTCGTGGTATACTCTTCTTGAAAAATTAGCAAACATTAATACACCGCAAACATTAGGCAGTGTACAGTGTTCAATTTTACTCTGCAGCATATGTGCTGCTGTATCAGGACAACATTCGCATCAGAAGAATCATACAGTAAAACCTGTAACTAAAGACCACCGTAACTAGCGACCAGCCTGGTACTACCGACCACTTCGCCAGGCACGGACGGTCTCACATTCAAAATTCACTGTGACTAGAGACTACCTGCTGAACGCGACCAGCCACCGCCTTTTCTTGTCCCAAAGACGATTTTTGACCCGTAACTAGCGACCGCGATATAAGAAACCAAATGTTGCTCGAAGCTCCTTCTTGATTTTCCGTGGTCCTGAAAGGAATCTTTCGATACCACAGCTGAAGAAATGAACGCAGGTCATTTTGACTGTGGAGTCGGTGTGGACTGCACTACACCTGTCAGAATGTCAAGCGATGTCAAGAATAAACATGATAGGAAACGCGCATCGAAAGCGCTCTCTGATCGATGTTATACTACTCGGAGGAGAAAAGAAGACTGAGCGGCTCTGTCACCCCAGTCATGCAGACGAATCGACGATAGCATCAAGGAATCCAGAAACAAAGCAGCACCGCAAGGTCCTGATGCTGAAGGATCGCGTTCAAGCAATCGAGAAGTCGCAACAAGGACAGTCGGTACGATTGATCGCATGAACAAATTTGAAGCCCAGCGCAAAACGAAACTTCCACAGGGAACGTTTGACTACTGGCTTCAGAAGTAGGAGCTGAATTTGATGTCCGCAAAAAAATTAATCTCTGTCTCTCTCCGTCTTTCTCTCCAAGTGTTGTTTGACCTGAAATAAGAATGGCATTGCGCAAGTCTTGGGGAATTGTATTAGCTGCATTTTGATATACATATCATATAATGGGATCCATATACAGGGCATAGCTTAAGGATTTCATTTAGCTCGGACAAATGTCCTTCCGTTTTGAAATCTGTCCGGACATGCCCGGACATTTTCCACAACACATTTTCAGGGTGTTTCTTTTTTTTAGTAGTACTGAAGTATATTCACAATGACTCATTATGTTGACGTATCTCACACATTACTATGTACAATTCGCCAATTTATTTGTATTAGAAACTGAACTATTTACTGACGACAAATGTATGTACAAGAAAGCGTTGCAGTCAAGAATTTTGCGAACGCGATATGCTCCTTGCAGAGAAGGTAAGTCAGTTCGAATTTGCGTCGTGCAATAGCGGCAGCACCATCGTCCATCTCGCACAGTGCCTTCGCAATTGGACCGAATTCGAGGGCATTTCGAGCGGGACACTCTTGCCTGCGGAAAAGATTCATTCCTCGTTTATGCATCTCCGTTCCAGCATGATCCTTGAAGGCTGATGTTCTCAGGTTCTTGGATCCGGTTATGAAAGCCTCGCTGAAGTTTTTACAACTGCGGACTCTGTCTACAAACTTGATGCACACGGAACACTTCAAACATTCTGCTAACAGCCGATCGTTCTTCTGCCGGTCATAAATCAGCCAGGCAGAAGTAGTCAGCTCTGCATCATTGTCCGAGATCCACTTATCAAAAGTAGCGGCCTTCACACCACGGACTTTTTTGCCCGGCGGCAAGTCCTCTGAATCTCCCTTTCGCTTTCCAGAAGACATTCTAAAAGACTATCTGCATTCCTGGTCAGTGAAAGAGTGAAAAATAAAAGATGACATCTTCCTCTCAAGAGCGAACAACTGCACTGCAGTTCAACCCAGGGAGTCGTTTTACGACTCCCTGGGTTTACGACTCCCTGGTTCAACCCATAGATTCAGGTGCGAAGTCGACACCATGCATGTACCAAAGGTCGAAAGTGTGAATTGACTGTAGCAACCGCGTTGCTACAGGCGGATTATGGTGAAGTCTACGCCTGAGGGATCGAGGCTACGGTGTAGACGTGTGAGTTGTACGATATGCAAGTCGCATTTGGCACGAAGCTCCGAAGAAAGCCCAACTCTGCATAAAAAGGTCGAAAGGTCGCTGCTCTTTTTTTCCTTTTTGACCGGACACTATGTCCGGTGAAATTGAAAAAGTCCGGTCAGTGGCCGAAAATGTCCGATGTCCGGCCGTTAATCTATGCCCTGATATATGGTCGTGCGGTGCAAACCTCTAACTAAAGACCACCTGCTACTAAAGACCGCTTTTGCTGGCACCAAGGGGTGGTCGGTAGTCACAGGTTTTACTGTATGTATGTCAACACAAAAGTCAGGTTTATGTGCTGATGGATTGTTTTTAAAACAGGATTTTGTTAAAGGGGAAGTACCGTATTTTCCGGGGTATAAGCCGCACCCCCGTTTTTGAGGCAAAATATTGACTAAAAGTAGGTATTCGGAGTATAAGCCGCACCCACAAACCAAGATTTTTCACACTCATTGACAAATGGCCTTTCTACAAATTTATTATGGTTATGTAGCTAAATACCACGTTAGATCAGATTATGAAAAATAGAGTCCCCGTATACGCGTACCGTATGGTGTAGCCCGCGCACTAAAACTAGTAAAAGTGCCGGGATAGCAACACAGGCGCGAAGCTGAGTCGAATGACATGTCACATGACGTCAGCATGCATGCTAAGCATTCATTCGCGCAAGCATATTCGGTGTATAAGCCGCAGGGGCGATTTTGGTCCGATTTTTAGCAAAAAAAAGTGCGGCTTATACCCCGGAAATACGGTATACCCTAAAATCAAATTTTCACCAGTTGTAGTCTTCGGGATGCTGAGTCGATGCTGACGGCGTTTTTAGTGACTTTTTCCATACAAATCCCTATCTAGTAGGGCGCAGTCACCCAGTTTCCGTGGAAGTGCGCGAGTTCGATTGGGAATAAAGGAGGAAGGGAGCGTCTCAGCGTCCTCGGACCAAGACCGTTTGACTCAGCACCCCGAAGACTACAACTGGTGAAAATTTGATTTTAGGGTATACTTCCCCTTTAATACAGTATACAGTTGGTTCTGTCCTTCAGACAGTAGTGGTTGCATTGTGCTATCTTCATCCAGCCTAAGATCAGGCCTCTCATTTGTTGGAACTTGTAGTTCATGCTTGCCCTGATGATGCCCAGTGGGCAAAATATTGGCAGCCCTTTCGTTCATTTTGTGCAGCTGAGAGCCTGTTCGGGGAATGGAAGTGTTTACTTGCGGATCTCGATCTAACATGTACTATTCTTTTCATTGTGGCATGTTGGTACTGCCCATGTTTGTCTTTCCCTGTTATTTGGTTGCCTATACTGGTGCTGCTGCTGCTGCTGCTGCTGCGGTGGTATGGTGTCTTCACTGCTGTTGTGCTTGACATGTGGAATTACCTGTGCTTTTTTTGGTCACTTAGACGTGGTGGTGGTGGTGGTGCAGGTGCAGGTGGTCGCAGAAAACGTGCACGCGAGTCGTCAGAGGAAGATATAGCAGAGGAGAGCGATGAATCAGTCCCGGAAACACCACCGCCAGCCACACCAGAGGCTGCTGCGTTGGATTCTCAGGTATCAAGAATTGTTTGGTGTTTGGCAGTTTAATATTTACGTACTGTACAAGTAAATAGAGATCAAAGGTTTACACGTTATCTGTAGTTGTCCAACATTAATATAACCACGACATTAATGTGTCGAAACGTGCAACTGTTCGCACAATACCGAGGAATGGCACTGACATTCAACGCCCTGACGTTTAGCTCCATCCCATCTGAATTGCGCAAGCCCACAGCCTTGGAACTTGGAAGGGTATAAGTTATGAAATAACAGAAAGGCTGTTGGCTTGCAAATTCGAGACGTGCACATTTGTCAGTATAGTGCTAACTGTTGCACATTTGAGAGAACTTTTGGCTCACCAGCAGTGTGGATTAATATGTGTTGGACAACTCCGGATAGCTTGTAAGCCTTTGATCTTTCTCTATTATAGTCCTTGGCTCTCCATCCGAATCTAATACTATGCACACGTTGTTGCTGTTAATATTTTGATATTAATTTTCATCGCTTATGTGCAACGGATAGAAAGAGAACTGATTTTCGTAACTTCTCTTGGTCATGCCAACACAATCATTTTCTACAATCAATGTGTTTTCACCTGGTTGAGTATTGGCTTTGTTTACTGCTTCTTTTGTTTGAGCAGAGTCTTCGAAGATCTTCGCGGCGTTCAGCTGCAAGAAAGAAAAAGTATGTGGACGATATTGACTTGAATCTGAGTGACTCTGATCATGATGATGCTTCTGGCTCAGCAGCAGCATTAGCACAGAAAGAAGACCCAGTGGCTGTTCTGCAAGAGAAAGGTGAACCCGTCCCATTGCATCTAAACCATTTCCAGGTAAGGACAGCTACTGATTCACCCTGTGATGCTTGCTGTAAATTGTTGGTTTAGGCGTGTAAAATGGAACCTTTCTTATGTGGGCACCTCGGGACCGAAGGGTGCCTGTATCTCAGACTCATCCGTAACTGGGAAATAAGCTAGTCCTGACAGATATGACACATCATTCTCTTCGAATGGGCTCACTGAACCAAGATTGATACCATTCACTGTCACAGGCATACAAAATAGGATCTAACGCAGTGAAGACTGTCACAAAAAGTTCTCGATTTGACTGCGGGCACCTGCTTACAGTTTCCTGGTTGAGGGAGGTAGGCAGATATGGGAGGTCCGGATAAGAGAGGTTCTGCTGCACTGTATTCAATCCCTCGTCCTGTGTTCCCATTTGGAAGACATCATCTGATCATGGTGTCCATATCCAGTTATTGCAGGGGCGTCGGAACCGGTGCGGCAGGTGCGGCCAAAGCCGCACCAATAATTTTCGAATTTATTTTATTTATTTTTTTACATTTCAATCTTGTTGGTGGCTTGTCGACTCTTGTACAGGTACCATGTTTTACATGGACAATGCGGTGTATCATCAGCATGCATATTCTTTTTATTATTCTATATGGTTTTTTAGGCCCAATTTTCAAAAAAATTCCCGGGGGAGGACCCCCGCACCCCCCTCTCACACTTTGGCCGCACCAATGTTAAACTCCTTCCGACGCCCCTGTATTGTAGCATGTCGTCCCCTTGCAAGTGTATGCTATTGTTTTGCTCTGCCGTAGCTATCCGTGTATATGACACATCAGGGCATAATGTGTGTCTTCACTCTTGTATTCCATTGCAGAATGATGTCAGTGAGGAGACAGCGAATGTCGTAGACAAGGTGTTGTCTGTGCGCTCACGACGGCCCAAAGTAAGCCATAATGCACGCAAAATGCTGTAATTGGAGGTTGCGTAGTGCACATGTTGTTGTTGTAGCTCATTATCCTGATAGCCTCATACGGTAGGAGTTTAGCTGTTCACTGTGTATGCCTGCGCCTGCATTCCTCTTTTACTACTTAGAATGCTTCTAGTGGTTGACATTGCAAGTCTTCTTGATTTTCTTGGCTTTCATTGCAGACTGGAGAAACGGCTAACCTTTCAGATGGTAGCATCGAGGAGTATTATGTCAAGTACAAGAACTTGTGAGTGTTCAGTATTCCCTCTGCTAGTGACTTCTGTTAAACATCCATCGGCGTCTATTTTTGTAAATGGTTTGTTATTGATACACAGTTACACGTATGGTCTGGATGGAGGCTGTAGTTGCCAGTGGCTGGTTCTGTGTCTGTGTTTGGCTATGTTGTCCTGAGTTGGCATGCTCCTTGTATGATTGTGTTCAGGGTAACGTGTGCTTGCTCAAAGTTGTGTGATGAGCTCGGACTGATGTGCCCTTGTTTTCTTTGTCACATTTCCTTTCCAGCTCTTACTTGCACTGCGAATGGGCCACAGCAGATAAGCTGGCTATTGGTGACAAGCGAATTCACCAGAAGGTCAAGCGCTTTTGGATCAAGCGCAACTCTATTGCCAACTTGTTTTCGGTGCGTTTTTCTGTAATTCTTCATGTGGCATCTTGAGTGATTGACTCTTGTTACTTTCAACACAGCTGAGCACCGCGCATAATATCACTTCTCAATGCACTGGGTAATGGGCAACTTAGGCCATCGCAGGCCACATCATGTGAAGTGAGGCAGTGTTTTGCATCACGTTCCCATCCACCGAAGACATTAGTGGTTATTTTGTCAATGAGAACAAACCATTTGGCTGCATTCGCCTGAGGCGAGCTGCCGCATGAGTGTTGATTTGTGCTCATATACCAGTTACAAAGCTCTGTAATCTTAAAGGGGAAGTCCGGTGAAAAATTTAAATTTCACAGTCCGTAGAGTTCGGGTCGCTGAGTCGAATGGTCTTTGTCCGATGAGGCTGCGGCTTATGGTTCGTCAGATACGCCCAATCGAACATGTGCGAATTTGAGCGCGCATCACCCAGATCCAGGTGATGACGTCACAGCGTGCAGCCAGGTAGCCACACCATCTAGTTGTGTACAAAAATGGCCATATTCGGAGCGCGTTCGATTGGGGAACCGTTTGTCGCAGCTTCTTCGGACCAAGACCATTCGATTCAGTGTTACAAACACTACGTAGGTCTACCCTGTGATTTTCAGCTCGGTAACCCTGGAGGTTATACCGTAGCCGTTTCCGAGTTGGACTTTTCCGTCAGCCTCTACCGTCTACGCGCTCTGCGCTGCGTGCATGCAGTGCGTGCAGTGTGTTATCTAGCTGTAGTGCAGTCAACAAACTCATCACAGACGGAACTACTCCCGCACTGCCGTGCTGGGGTAGTATGTACAAGACTCGAGTCACAACTGACACAAGACTCAGAAAACTAGTCAACACACGGACTTGTCATGTACTACACTCGTATCAGTCGTATTGTTCAGTCATGTAGTCAGAGAACGTGCGTTTCTCCTTGCCGGTGCCGGTGGTTGTGCTTTGAGAAAGAAAATTTTAGTTTTCCGCACCCGCCTCATTATTTTATGTTACAGCGATGAGTGCACAACCGTGACAAGTGACAAAACAGCGAACAGCTCCCGGACCTAGAACTTTCAGATTCCATAGCGTTGCGAGCGAAGAGTCGTGCCCGTGGTTCAAAGAGCCTGCACTGTTCTCCAATTGAGTAGTCCGAAATATTCCAAGTTCGCACCAAAACATCACCATGTGGCAGGCTACTGGAGTCTAAGCGAATCTAATCGGTATGGAACAACATTTAGAGCACTCGCATCACTCTTCTCCATTTTGGCGACCCTGCTCTCCAGCGATCTGATCAGCCTCGTCTGCAATAGCTGCTGCTTCTTCATCAGTCGGAAACTCAGTAGCGCTCACTCTTGACCGGCCCGCGTGGCCATTTCTTCAGCTGCCGAGATTCTCAGCCCCAGACCGAACTCATGAAGGTCAGCCATGGCTGCATCCTCACTCTCACAAGGAGTTACAGGTCTTCGGGGTCGCTTGCACCAAACTATCAGTCGCCAAATCATTTGAAATAGCACTGACACTATTGCTTTCACGCACTCCTTTTGACCTAGCTGCACGCTATGACGTTGCAGAGGGTGTGGCGCGGCCGCATGACGTCATGGCGCAGCCCCCGAAACTCAGTTTTTCAAACGGAAATATCTCGAGAACGCTTTGTCGGAGACACGTGGGACCAACACCATTCGACTCAGCGCCCGAAACTCTACCGACCCTGAAATTTAAATTTTTCACCGGACTTCCCCTTTAATTTCTGCGATGAACTATGGGTGATATGCATAGGTTTGTGGCACTTTTGTGCATGACATTTCACGTGACTGCAGAAGAACACCTGTATGTGAGCAGCTTTGGTGTATATGCGCAGTGTTGGGATTTGCTGCATTGTGGTATGCATTGTGTAACTTGCGAAAGGTGCATCACGATATGCGAAGCAACTGATATTATGGCATGGTCACTATCTCCAATACCAGTCTCTCAGTTCTGTCCTATTGAGAGCGGATGCATTACAGCTGTCGCCCTTTCCTCTTTCCTCTAAACAGTTTTTGACAAAGATCAGAAAATTAGGGCTGAAACGAACACAATTTCTCCGTAATCGAACGATCTTGACGCTATCGAACGAATATTCTTTTTGGTACTGCGACTCCCCGTGTTGGTGTATAGCATGTGTGTTGAATCCTGATTGTAACAGCACTGCAAAACTAGATGTGACAAGTCCGTGTGGGTTCACTTCCTGTGATCAGTTACACAGAGGATGCCCTCTGCAGTCGAGAACTAGAGGCACGGCTTACTTGTGCGGAGTGCGTACCCTTCGCACAACAGCGCTGAGTGAAGCACGAATGTCGCACCTGTGCAGACTAGCCGTGCCCGTGGACTGCCTGCGCGTGGCCACCGAACTGCGCTTATACTCACAAAGACTCCGTGTTACCGCGTAACAAGAGTAGTAGCATATCGGGAAAAAGAAAATTTCAGTTCCAATATTCGTCACCTCACGAATGTTCGTTCTGCGAAGCTAAACAAACGAATGTTCGAATATTCGGGATATTCGTTTCATCCCTCCAGAAAATACATCGTGTGTGGGGCATGCCGTCTTTGATATTGCGTTTGACTGGGCTGCTATGTACTGTGTGTTTGCATTTTTTTTATTTATGCAGCTTGATGATGAAGAGCCGTTTAATCAGGACTATGTGGACGTGGAGCGTGTGCTGGAAGACGCAGTGGAAGACGGGGTGAGTGCATGTTCCGTGTAATGCACACCAGTCAGACTGTGTATAGTGTAGCAGTGTTGATAACTTGAGAAGACTCTTTGATTGAAACAGGGATATCACATGACAGGCAACACACTCACCATCCTTGCAGTTCCATATTAGTGGATACTTTCAGAACCTGTATGGCTTGATTTGCATATTGCCAATGCCCACTGGGCAAAGAGTAACTGCCAGCCTCTCCCAATGACATTTCTGAACCAGTGATATGTTCACTGTCACTGTATGGGAAATCATTGGCGGTGAGAGGGGGAGAGTTTGACTGTGTTTACCTTTCCAGGCAATGATCCCTTATGCAGAAAGTACATGTAGTGAGATCTTGAGATGTGGATCACGTGCTAGTGGTGTTTACCAGAAATTTGGTTGCGTGTGCCATGCACCTTATGGTCAACCTGCAAGTACAATGCTGTGCAAGCTAGTGCCAAGCATATGCATCCTTTGCTCTCTTGTGTGCGTGTGATGTGCGCATATGTGGTTGTTTTATTTAACGCTGTTGTGCAGGAGGTAACTCACTACTTGGTCAAGTGGCGTGGACTCGCCTATGAGGAGAGTACCTGGGAGCTACCAGTAAGTATACCTGTATGCATGTAGTTGTACTACTACAGCTACTACGCTAGAGCTCATTGCAAACGTTTTTGGTCGTCCCTGAAATGAAATTTTTTTGTTTCATACCAGGATGCAGCTCTCTATGCTGGACGGCGCAAATCAAGTGCATGTAGAATGTCGGTCTATTTGCTACTTTGGCCCCCCCCCCCCCTCTGAACAATGTTCGTCAGTGGGTATTTACATGGCGATCAACCGTGCCGTTGGTACGCATGTGACTGGGTGCTGAGAGCTTGTCAGAATGTCGCAAGCTGCGAAATGCATTCACACAGAGCAGTTCCGTCTCCGGTACCAGGTGTTCACAAACCTTGGTGTAGGCCTGTAGCATGCTGAAGTATACGCGGAATGCCACAGTACCGTCCCCCCCCCCCCCCCCCCCCCCCCCGCTCTCTCGGCACCAGAATACTGTCGGTACTGACCACAGCACGCAAGTGGTGCTCAAGTGATCAAATCGCCATGGATACCCTCGGCACGGCACTCCCGGTACCGTCGTGTAAATAAAATAACCTCTTAGGCCATGGTAACAATTATCTTTGATTCTCAAGTACGCGTGCACCGATTTTTGGCGGCGCACCGACGATTTTTTTATTTCTATGCATGCATATGCGTGCATAAAAACGGTCAATGCGAAAGGCATGAATCCGGGAGTAGTAAAATACCGATATTTTTCTACTCCCTGGCCTGAATGATAAAATAATTATAAATTAATTATGAACCTGTGACGTACACATGTGTGACCCTATCTTTGGAAATAAAAAAATTGTGGGAATTAAAATAAAAAATCACTCGCTCGCACCGATTTTCACAGGCTCATGACCTGAGAATCAACTTTATTTTTTACCATGGCCTTACGGGACAACAAAAAACGTTTGCCATGAATCCTTAGTACCTGCACTATTACAACACTACTCTTCCATGGTCATGTTGTACTCTGCTTGCTGGCCATTCCTGTACACCATGTGCTGTCTGCATGCCCCAACCCATGCATGCATTCGCCTTTTTCTTCAGCAGTTCCCTTGATGGTGTGCTTGTCGGCTACTTTTGTTGTTGTCCATCACAGCAAGACGTACCAGAGGCTCCACTGCAGCAGTGGAGAGCGCGTAACAAGATGCCACCCGCGCAAGAACTACAGGTACAGCATGGGTATTTTCATGTTCTGGTGGATCTTTTACATGTAGAATAAGTTAGTTCTCTTCAGGCAGCTCTGTGTATAATAACTTCGGGAGAAGTATATTGCCATAACAGTGTACTTTCGAATTGTCGTAACTCCATCAATTCTTGGTCGATTTGAGCCATCCAAGTATCTTGGAAGAAGAGTAACTCGAAGCCGTCTATTGAAGCGATCGCCGGAGTGCTGTTACTAGCGGTTGTTGACACATAGCACTTGTAACATTCATCACGGCAAGATTATGCTCTGATGCCGTGTGGCCGCCTTATGTGGCTTTCCCTTTTCCGCTAGTTGTTGTCATGGGAGCACAAAATCAAATGATAGGCTTGACTCCCGTGACTTTCTTCACCAATTTCAGCTCCATACAAGCAAGGAGAGGGCTGACAAAGATCAATGTCCTCGCGAGTTCATTGCTGGAGTGAGATTGCTCTGCTGCAGCCCTGGTCTTGTGACACCATTGGCATCAAGTTTGCACTCCTCTCATTATTTTGCTCTCTAGGATGCCCAAAATCACTGAAATTGTCAAAAGGAAACCAAATTTATTTTTCAGAGAGTGTTTATAAAATAGTGGAAGCCTCAAAATTCAAAATTCAGTCAAATTGGAGATATGCTTAGCTGGTAGATCCAGCTCTGGGTGCCATAGTGCTGAATGGGTGCTGTCTGCGGTGTCAAGGTGGCAGACATATGCAAACCACGGGTCACACTTCCATGACGCATATCTTCAGAACAAATGCTCCAATCATGGAGAAATTTTGCACACAGACACTTTCAGGGATATCATCCCTGGAAATAACATCTTCTGGGGTGAACCAGGCACACATATGACGCAGCTGAACAAAGAAAATGAAAATGGCGGTGCTTGTACGAACACAATTCCGTTCCTCTAATGGTAGGCCATGAGGAGATTGAAACCACACCACAGGATTTTGGACGGAGACCTGTGTGTTCACGCCACAATCTGAACCTAAATTTGAGGTGACCAGCTACTCGCAGCATCTAGAAGACACCGTTCAATTACCATCCCAAACCGCACGCAAATAAACTACAATAAATGTAAGGAATTATCAAACAGCAGAATAGGAATATGAGCAAACACATAGGTTCAGATTGTAGCCAGGAGATTGTAGACGCGAAAAGACCCTACTTTTATGGGGCTAGGACAAACAAGACCAAAGTTATGGCCGGAACGCTGCCGGGAGTATCCAGAAAAAGACCAAATATACTGTATTATTTCACAACTCAGAATGCACCAGAGCTGTACGTGACGCCTTCTTTCTCAGTCTCAGCATCAACGAGACCCTTTTTGACCGCTCTTCTGCGTTTCCTGGCCTTCTTCTCTGTATCTTGCGACTTCCTGGCAGAGTGATACATCCGTGTGGTGTCTGCTTTGTCCAAACCCACATGGACAAAGGACCCGACATCACAGTGCATGCCACGCATTACGGACTTGACCGTAGCTGTCCCATGGTTGAACAGGCCAACTGCCAAGTAGGTCGATGTCTCAACAGTCAATGGGCCACAGAACGATGTTTTGGGGCAGAGGCTCCACAACACAGCATTGAAAACTTCATTGACATCCTGCGTTGCACCCCGCACACATCTTGCTAGCAGCTCCCGGTCAGTGAGGCGGACATACAACGGCTTCAGCTCATTTACGCAGCTTTGGGCAGCACGTGCGACTGGTTGTAGATGATGTTGGCACCAGCTTTCTGTTGTTGGTACTTGCACCATGAGTCTTTGCCAGGAGGACACATGTCATGGGACCCTTCGTGGTGATGCAGGGAAGCCCAGATGGCTCGATATGTGCCGTCGACATCTCCAACATGGCCACGAATGGCAATGCCATAATAGTTCTGAAGCTTGTCCATCATCTTCTCAGTCAAACGGCCCTTTCCTGTCAAGGCCTTGCCATCGCTAAGCTTTGTGGAGCCAAGTTTCGTCTTCAGGTCACGCAGCCCCTTCCCAACTCTCTTCTGCACATGTCCTATGCATTCATCCTTGACAATGGCCGTGTCACCGTAAGGCTTTGCAACCGAAACACGCTTGTGGCCTTTACTGTCTCCGTCCCCGATGTACGTCACGTAACGAAGGTTGTTCTTGGCTTCAGACCTGCTCCAAAGCTCCTCAACTGCCTCGGCTTCCATGCCGGGTGCAGAAGAGGTGGTGTTCTTGGCACAAGAATCAGTGTGAGCCTGGTGCCATTCCTGGTATCGGTCCGCGGATATTTGGCCTCTCCTTCTCTTTACTTCCCAGCTCACGCACTCTGGGCAATGCTTGGACAGTACCTCCACATCAAGGATTTGCTGCGTGTCGAATGATATTGCAGACTGTACGCCGTACAATGATGAGTAGCCTCTCCGCATCCATGTACCATCGGTTGAAACTGCAATATCACCAGGCTTTTCCTCACCGGAACGGAGAGCCACAACGTCTGCTGCTGCTTTCTGCATACATTTCTCCGCCGTTTTCTTTGCGCTCTTATGCAGGGCACGGCAATGGGCGGCATATGCAGGCTTCCCCATGGGCGAGGGCATATCCAAAATAGTGGTAATGGTATTGAGAGCTTCAAGACCACGTCCAGTCATGTGCATTGCCAGCACAGCCTTCCGGTTGACGTCATAAAAATTGCTGCGACCATGCTTCTGCTGTTTGGCCAAGACAGATGTTGCTGAGGAAGAACAAGAATCACAAACCAGCTCTACCACTGGTGCTAGGCCCTTCTTGTTCACTTGAGACAGCGTCAGGCTGCCCTCCTTGCAGGTCTTACAGACAGCTGTGGCCTCAAGCATGTCAGCTAGCGCAGGCAAATAAATAATTCTGTTTCCTGACAGATCCTGGGCTGAGTGTTCTTCTTCATCATCACTACGATCGCCATCCTTATCACTGTCCTCCAGCGTAGCCTCACCGTCATCGTCCCAGAAGGCAAACTCTCGCAGCTTGGAGTAGGATGCGCTCTGAAGAGTGCTGTCCAGTTCCTCACCTGTGCTTGTGGCACTGACATCGTCGTGCTCAGATCCTGTGACTCGGTCGGAAGTGGATCAGAAGACTCAAACTGATTCCCCAAGAATTTTCGCTTTCGGCTGCGATACTCTGCCTTGGACTTGCGCTTACCCATGCTAAGACTTAGGAGACCAACAACAGATGCAATGGCAGAACAGGAAATTGAAGAAGAACAAAGAAAAATAATGTCGACGTGTGCTTGTCACCAAAAATAAATTTGAATTTTTTTGAATTTTTCCAGCCCACGGCCCCACGCACGCAGATCTACGTACAGCCAGCTGGCTTTGAGCTGGAGCTTGCCGCGACGAAGCGATGAGTCTTTGTAGATTCTGCTGGGTTTACAAGGGACTATCTCCTAGATTCGTACGTCTCAGCTCGATCAGCCGCCGCAAGGGCTGCCAGAATCGGTCGGGTAAAGTCAAACTCGTGCGTATTCGTGGATGAGTATTTCAACTGAATTTGCAATTTTTCAGTTGAGGGCGCACTTCAAACGCCCGTACCTCTGTTTTGGATTGCTCCCTGGGTCTCACACTTTAGGAGATGAGAGCTGAAAGCATACTCTTTCTTCTGATATCACACACCATACCAATTTCTGAAATTCGATTTGACCTCATTTTGCTCTGATCCTGGAGTGGTTTCAACTTTCAAGTATACCCAATTTAAGGGTGGCGCAAAATACGGTTTTGTAGCGTTGACGGATCCGGCAACAATGAATGGACCTCAAGAATTGATTCCTTCGGAGCTTGCACAAAAGTGGGAAGTTCAAGTCTGTCTGAGTACGGCGAATGCATGTAGTTCTCGGTGGTCATGCTTGCAGTCTGTCTGAGTACGGCGAATGCATGTAGTTCTCGGTGGTCATGCTTGCACGCACCCAGTGTACAACAGCACGCATGTGCCGTACATCACTGTTTGGCAGCAGTGTGATGGGAACGAAAAAACTTTTTCATTTCCGAGCTCTTTAGTTCATGCAGCTTTTATTACTCCAGGCTGTATTGGCCAAATTTTTAAAAGTTGGTTGTGTGCCTCTCTAATATCTTGAAAATTGTTGATTAAGGTTCTAACTATAAGTTACTAACTTCTGCCTTGGGTAAAGTATGGGATATTGCATCTTTCTGCGTTCTTGTCGGTTAGGGTGGACTCCGAAGTGCTTTCATCTTCAGATTATAATTGAGCCGTCAGATGCGAAAACCGACCTTATGGGAAAAATGCACTTGAAAGTTGGCGAGTTTACGCTCTGGTGCGCCTGGACAACCAAGCTACAAACCTTCGTATTTCAGTCAAATATCGGTCTTTCGGGACAATCCAAGTTTGTAAATCGAAGAGAAAACTCCAAGGAATCCAATGCAGCAAGCGCGATCGCGGCACGATGCCGCGTTCCCCAGCTGCGAAGCCTGCAAGATACGTCACGGCACTTTGCATTTCTACGTGCAAATCAAACGATCCAGACCCGGGGTTTCCCCCTTTTCAAGCGACCTACGATCTCGGCAACAGGCTCAGTCGTCTTGGAAGCTCTCAGTGCATCTTCACGAAAAAAAATGGGGCGTCCTGGGATAATGGAGATGGAAATGGCGAGCAATTTTCGTGTGACGGCGCAAGTCCAGCGCTGAAGCGATGTCTGCAGCTTGTTGCGCTGGTGCTGTGCTTTATTTGCTATCGGATTTGGGCCCAACGGGTTGCTCGTCGCCAGAGCTTTCCAGAAAGCCCACGTTTGTGGAAATCGGTCAAAGGAAACAGGAAATATTCTACAAAGTAGGTGAAACAATTGTTGGTATTTCACCCAAAATTGAGATGCAATTTGAAACGGTCTCCTATTGTAGAGGCTATAAATTTACTTCCCTTGGTCCAAATCAACTCTAGTTTTTTGCATACGACTCTTGATGCTCCTGGCTTTCAGATAGTATCACTAACACAAATATGAACTTTTTCCCATAAGGTCTGTTTTCGCATCTGACGGCTCAATTATCTTGTGTCTTGTTCATTGGTTGTGTATAGTTTATTCGTCGACCCGGCCCAGAGCGTTGGAAACGCTTGACTGCATCGCCTGACTTCAAGAATGGCAATCGCCTGCGTGCTTATCAACTGGAGGGTGTTGACTGGCTCATGTTCCGCTGGCATAACCAGTAAGGGGTTGTTTAGTGTGGCAGCAGTACTGATTTGCTTATAGGACTGTAGTTCCTCAACATGGAAGTGGCTGTTCTTACATAGCGTTTAGGCGACTAGCCATGGAAACCGAATTGTAGTTGATATATTCGGCTCTTTGGATCACGTTTCCTTGACACTCTGACTCCACTGCGGCGTTTCCTTTCCACCTCCAACTCCTTGAACACGCTCTCAGCTGCATGGAAAAAATAAATGGATAAAGTTCATTGCCCTGATGATGCCCAATGGGCGAAATATTGGCAGCATTTCATTCATTTTTTTCTTCTTTTTGTAGGTGAGAGCCTGTTCGGGGAATGGAGGTGTTCACAAGTACTTTGATCACACATTAGCATAATTATAATGTGTGTTACTTGCAATGCTGATGTTTGTTTTGATGTGTGGCTGTTTTTATTTGTGTGTGTGTGTACAGTGAAAGCTGCATTCTTGCTGATGAAATGGGCTTGGGTAAAACCATTCAGACAGTCGGCTTCATCTCTCAGATCAATGTATGTGTCTCTGTGCCACATTTCTATTCCCCCCCCCCCCCTCTCTCTCTCGCTCTCTCTCTCTCTCGCTCGCTCTCTCTCTCTCTCTCTCTCTCTCTCTCTCTCTCTCTCTCTCTCTCTCTCTCTCTCTCTCTCTCTCCCTCTCTCTCCACTTTCAAAGCATGCTGTTTTATACACGATTTCGCTGTGAACAAACGCCCAAGTAAATATTCGTGAAACTCTCACAGGTTTGAAAATCCCTCTCAACTGAGTATACAGCAACTTTCAATGGACTAGCCCTTTGTTGTCCACACATACTTGAACTGGTAGATGGATGTGTTTCGGCTCAACAATGCATTTTCGAATTCTAACTCCATCAATCCTTTCTTTCCCTTTCAACTCCCTCAGCTGATTAATACTCCATCAGTTCTTGTTCGATTTCAGTGATGAAAGTTTCTAAGAAGGAGAAAAAAGCTCCAACTTCATGCGGAGTGCGTTAGCTAGATTGCCGATTGGTACACCCATCTGTGATATGTGTGTTTGTGTGTGTGTTCTATGTTGAAGGTCATACATCTGCTGTCATTATTGTGCGGTTGTGACCATTTCTTTCTTGTTTTTTTTTCTGTGTGTTTGTGTGTGTCTGTGTGTGTGTCTGTGTGTGTGTATGTGTGTGTGTGTATATGTGTGTGTGTGTATGTGTATGTGTGTGTGTGTGTGTGTGTATGTGTGTGTGTGTGTGTGTGTATACAGACCCATGGTATAACTCGTCCATTTTTGGTCATAGCACCGCTGTCTACTATTCATAACTGGCAGCGCGAATTTGAAACCTGGACAGACATGAATGTCCTGGTTTATCATGGAAGGTACTTATTTTAACACTGATTCTGGTCTTCGTCAAGCAATGCCTGTGTTGGTGTCCTTGCAGTAGTCTTTCACCCGGAAGGAATGCTTGTTAGGCTGTCTTATTCTATAGTCAGTACTGTTGTCATGTGTACCAATGTTTGTTTTCTTTCCTTCCTGTCCGCTCCAGTTCGTACAGTCGCCGCTTGATCAGTGACTATGAACTGTACTATCGTGATGAAAAGGTTAGCGCACTAGCTTGCGGTTAAGTGTACTTCCTCCGCGTCATCGAAATTGTCGCAGTTTGACTAGTGACTTGTCACTTGTTACTGACAACTCCATAAGCTAACCCATTCAAAACTTATTACACAGTATGATAGTCTGAAGACTAGAGTAACGTTCCAGGACAGTTGGACTGAGAGTTTTCATGCAGAGATGAAGTCCTCGTCGTCGCTGTTGTCAATGGACGCAAAAATATCGTTCCGAAATATTTCAAGGAAGGTTAAAAGTTGGTCGCGCCTCATCTCAAACGCTTTGACTTTCTCCACAGGACAAGAGCTGCTATGCTTGTCGTCTGCTAGCTCTGGATGATTTCTACTTCACCACCAACGAAGCCTAGTAAGAATACACGATCGTTGCGAGGTCGGTTGATTACCGTCGGCGGACTCACCTCGATCTTGAAATGAACTTTTTTTAGCCGTGGCATGCCCATTTATTTTAGCTGTGTGGTCACAGCTCATGCAGGTAAGTGTACTATCACGTCCAGCGCGCCCTCTTTTCAGCATCACTGGTATACCATGGTACGGCACCTGCGCGTGCATCACTAGCACTACGTGTAGAGTCTACACGGCTCTTGCAGGTACAATCATGTACTAAGGGTCTCAGCCAGAGCGACAAATTTTATCGCTGTTGCAGGCATTTAGTTTGCTGACCCCTCGATGTTCCTCCAAGCGCTGCCACTTGTTCCACGAAGTCATTCCCACCCCAGCTAAGGTAAAACAGTGATGAGGCTTGAGTGAATGGCCATAAGCACGAGAAATGTGCAGGCTGCAACGCCTGACTGATCTCAGCGATTCGAAATTACCATCGCAGCGACATCAGCGAAGAAATTGCGTCTAGTTCAAAAATTCCAGCTTCCAATAACAGAAAATAGAACTTTGCCGTCACCCTATACTGATGATTATCGCCTATGTCCGATTCCTTGCCTCTGGTACGAGTGCTGGTGAGTAAATACCCCGTTTTATATCAAAAGTCAAACTGCGACAATTTCGATGACGCGGAGGAAGTAAAACATTCTGGTGAAGTATGAATCTGCAGGAAGTGCTGTGGTCCTAGCTAGAGCCTTGTTCACATTTGACGTAATACTGACAGTACGGGATGTAAGAGCCTCAGGACGGCTGGGACACGCTGCACAATCTTGTACGATTTTTCGTACGATGCGACATGCAGCAGTTGTTGCGATGGTCAACGCTGATCGGCGCGAGTCGTAACGTATGCCCCGTGACGGGCTTGGCTTTCAGCCCTAATTTTTTTCTTTCTTTTTTAATGAAGTGGAATCACGCTCACAATACCAGTTTGTAATGAAGATCAAAAAGGTGGCCCCGGATGTTGTGCCATTCAAATTATGGCCACGGGAAAGGATAAAACAAAACGCCGGAAACACTACTGCACTATCCCTAAATTCAGCGAATGATATGAAATCTTGTCCTACTAAAATTCAACTCAGTGTTGTGAGTCATTCGGTTATTTATCATAGGAAGTATTGTATTTGAAATTCTGAAATTTGCATTTGCACCTATCGCCACACAACGCCATCGCCAGTTCATACTCGAATGCAGCCGTTTTGGACGCTTTCGTCTCTGCATACAGCATTAATTTTGAACAGATCAAACTCTTCTGCTGCTTCCCGATTTTTACGGTTATCTCGTTGCGTTGATGTTCCCGGGGTTCACATTGGACGCCATCAGTCGGCGTCATGAGCGCCCTGTCGAATGTGAACTAGGCTTCATACATAAGTTGATGATGGATGTGCATATGGTGGCTGCTTCTCACTCTGGCTTGACGGTTGCACTTTGTTTGCTTGTGTAGCTTCAAGTCATTCCCAACTTGTACAAGTTCAATGTCATCATCACGACCTATGAGATGATTTTGGGTAAGTACATGAGATACGAGAGAGTTTAAGCCAATATGAATGAGTGCATCACGGTTGTGGATGGCATTGAGCTTGTTGAACACATCGAAGTCACCAGCCATACAGACCAGACTGAAGATGCAGCAACAAGTCACAACTTAGTTCACAACTCTCTATGGGGAGTGATTGTGTAATTCTAGCCTGGACTGGCCGAGAGGTGAGCTAGCCCGCCTGCATCTGGGCATCTCGATCTCTGGTCTCGGGCATATAATTATTATACTGGAATTTCCTTGTGCAGATAAATGTCCAATGGGCTGGCCCGGCCCGCCGGGATCCTGGATTGAGGCACATTAGATCCCGCCAGGTGGGGCCAGTCCATTTGCCATTTTAACCCTTTACCGGCAGCCCCATACTTGAATGCGTCAACGTTGACGCATTCGACATGCATACAAAACCATGCCTGGCATGACGGGAAGCATCAGCCCACGAGGATTTCCCGTGGCCCTCACACAGCCAAGGTATGATCCTATCGGTAGCTGAAGAGATCTACGCGTGTCCCATTTGATTTCATTGAGAACTGCGCGATCGAAAACTTACGGAAATACACGCGCGCCGACAATGCCGTCCGCCTCCGTCAAAACATCGTAAGGTGCATTTTCTCTTGCGCAGTGAGTTCCTTTCGTCCTCGGATGACTTCTCCGACGAGGACCTAGCAGTCATTCGCTCTGGAACCGACGACAGATAGATAAATACTTCGTTCCAGCCGCCGATACAAGCGAATTTCAAATTACGGAGCGGGGCGCACACCAAGTAAATTCTCACGCAAATATGAGGAGCGCCAGCCGCTGAAGGCGATGTCGTCGTGATGTACCTGGAAGAATCTGATGGTGCTTATGGTGGGGAAGCCATGGAGAGCGATCCCCGTGTCGACAGTCTCCCAGAGACGGAAATTTAGGCCATCGACTTTCTACGTACCTGAGTGACGGCAGCGCAGCGCGGCGTGCGACCTTACGGAGCTTTCCGACAGCGATTTTGGGGCGATGCTGCTCTCATTTGCGAGCGAGGCATGGCCACTGACGTTTGTGATGGCTATGGCGTTTGTTTCCGCTCCGAAGTCGACTTGTTTTGGCAGTATCATGTCAATGTCGGAACTCTGACGATTTGCATGTGTACAATTTCCGTGTTTAGACGTAGAGGTGCCGATTTAGCAGCGTATGTGTGTGGTATGAGAAAATAAATTTTTCCATGGTCAAGAAGTAGTACTAGACTTCCAATAAAACATAACTTGCACATACAAAATGTGGCCTCGTTGTGAGTTATTGGCATCCTTCTCAATGTTATGGATTTCATATACAAAAGTAACTTGCCGGTAAAGGGTTAAGCACATAACAAATCAAATTTGCATGCCTGGGATCCCAGATGCACGTTGCTAGGCCACCTGTTACCAAGGCTGCCAACCAGCTCCGGTCATTGCTTCAATATTATCAAAAGTTCAAAACCCTGGTAAAGGTAAAACAGAGGCTTGTTCCACATGCTTGATCCTCATAGCAAGTGCAGCAGGTCCCCATGACCTTGTTTGTCCCTTTATACCATATGGTTTGTATTTTGTAATAACTAGTGCTTGTTCGTTTTGCAAATTTCTCATCAGCTGCTGAAGATCCAACACTCTCATCAATAATGTGGCGCGCAGTTGTGATTGATGAAGCACATCGACTGAAGAACCGCAACTGCAAACTGATCGAGGGCTTGGATCAACTTCAAATGGTATGTCTTGTCCATGTATCCGCTCTCTGCCCCACACTCTCCTTCCTCGTCCTGAAGACTCTTGCGTTTTATGAGTGGTGTGTCATAATAGTTGCTTTCTTGTGGTATTGGTAGTTAACCCTTTACTGTCCGTACATACAAGCATCGATCCAATGGGATCGATGGGGTAGGCATTTTGAAATTATCGTAACTTGCTCAAATCTAGGTCTTTCGGAGAGATCGAAATATGTAGGTCGAAGAGAAAAGTCTCAGCTGTCGCCTCGAACAATTCCCGAAGCGATACGAAGAGCGGTTGCTGAGTTATCGCACTCGTAATTCTGGTCCCGGGAAATGTGCGTTCAGAGCGCGACGCGCATGTCGACGGCTGGGATTTTCCCTGTTTACGTCACCTGTCGGCAAGGCTACACCGATTCAAATTCAAAAGTAGGTTCCCGGGAGTCTCTACGAAAATATTTGAGCTCGATACGAGCAACAGGGGTGACATGGTGGATTGAGATCGATCTCGAGCGTGAGCTCAGCGCTTTTGCGCGTTCCCTGGCTTGCAGCGCTGGACCAGTGCATCCTGTGGCGCCGAGTGTGGGCTCATTGCGTTCGTCTCGTCAAGACCTTTCCAGGATGCCCAAGATCGTGGAAATCGTCAAATTCAAACCAAAGTTACGTCTAATTTTAGTTTCAGATTTTGTGGTTGCGTGGGCTTGTATACATTTTAATCGGACAGTAAAGGGTTAAGAAAGTGTTGCATCATGTTGTCTGGTACTAGTATTGCATGTGGACAGGCACGCGTGATATTGCACACGGGCTGTTTACCTGGTCACCATTCCATAGTGAGACACCCGTACGCAATAATGTGTAGTTGTCTTTATCCAAAGTGGGACTGCCCCCCCCCCCACACACACACACACAAGGAGAGAACAGTTGGTCAGTCTGTATGTAGCGTGTACTACGAAGAACTAGTATTACAACTGGAGTAGCCTCCTGTTCGCTTATTCATGTGTACTCAAACCAATGCATTTGTATGTGTTCTGTTCTTACTTGATGGATAAGGAGCACAAAGTCCTTCTAACCGGTACTCCCTTGCAAAACAACGTGGAAGAACTGTACAACCTGCTCAGCTTCCTACAGCCGCAGCGATTCTATAGCGAGGCTGCCTTTATGGAAGAGTTTGGCAACTTGAAGACAGAAAGTCAAGTTGAGAAGCTTCAGCAGGTTAGTGTGTTGAGATTTGAGTTTGGCGTTACTGTATCTTTCTCCGGCTGCTTACCAACTGCTGACAGGTAGCTTGTGCAATATAAGTGTGTGCGTGTACTTAAACTACTGCAATGCTCAACCACAATATGACTGTCTTCTTTTCACTGCTACAGCTGTTAAAACCCATGATGTTGCGTCGTATCAAGCAGGATGTAGAGAAGAACATTGCCCCCAAGGAGGAAACAGTTATTGAAGTAGAGCTTACAACCATGCAGAAGAAGTTCTATCGTGCTATCTTGGAGCGAAACTTCTCTTTCTTGTCACGTGGTGGTAGTGCACAGAACATGCCTAGCTTGATGAATACCATGATGGAGCTAAGGAAATGTTGTAACCACCCGTTCCTTATTAACGGTAAGTCTCTGCCTCATGTCGCCAACGTTACAATGATGTATCCATCTTTGCTCTGTAACCTGATTGGATGTGGAGCATTTATTTGGCCACGTGGGCTGCATAATACTGTAAACAAGGGATGTAGCGGATATTTGACAATTTGAACTTATTCAATCTAACAACGCTCCAAGAATATTCGAATAGGACATTTTCAAATTTCAAGGTTCGTATTATGACTTGGGCTGCGTTCGCGGTTTTGTCTGCTTGGTAGAGTAGAGTAGAGCCGATGGTGGAAAAAGAAGAGACGGTAATTGGTGGTTTATGAACGCTAATCTACCTATTTCGGTGGAACGTTGATTTACAGTACAACGTTAGGTATTTTGTGGAAACCAGATCTCATCATCACATAAGGCCACACCAAGTTATTTCATTGTTTCTCGTCACCTGAAAATCTCAAAAGGAACGCGGGCGGGCGGAAAAAAAACAAAATAGGGTTTGAAAAACAAAAACTGCTATTTACACTACAAAGGCCCAATTTATGACCTAAAATCAGACTATACACCACGCGTGACAGTCAATTGCAACATACAGCCAGAAAACCAGGCTCCTGCACCGGCCTCTGGTGAGGAAGTCCAGTGTTTACCGACGCCCGGAACACTGTCAGTCCAAAACGGTGCACTGTCATGCACTGTCTTGACTTGTACCGGAACTGTGTGTAGCAAAGAAGACGACCAGGTCGTGTGGTGGTGTGGTACTTGAACTACCGGTATGCGTACATACACGGTGCAAAAGTCGTCCTTCGGTTCGTGCACTAGCACTGCACTCCAGATTTGACGCCGCGCGTACTTTTACAACGCCTTTTTATGCGTGTTTACCGGGACGCGAGATTTTTTTTTTGGTCCAATCCTCAAGAAAGGTACGCGCGCGGTGACGAGAAACAATGAAAAAACTTGGTGTGGCCTAAGTGCAGAAATACCGTATCTCTACCAATTTCTACCTACTTCTACCAGTCTCAAACCTGGTAGAGCCAGTAGAGGAAAGTAGAATCTACCATTAAATTGAGATAGAAACAACGAACAGTACATATACCGAAAGAAGTAGTTTCTACCCAAACCTTGTTGAATTCCCAATTTCCGGTATTCATTGTGGATGTAAATGCTGCTGTATGCGTTTGCTGATCAGGTGCTGAGGAACGTATTGTGGGCGAATATTGCCAGACCCAGTCACTGACACCTGCTCAACTCAACCAGTCGCAGAGTATGAAAGCGCTGATTGAAGCATCTGGCAAGCTGGTGCTCATTGATAAGCTCTTGCCCAAGTTGAAAGCCGGTGGACACAAAGTACTGATTTTCTCTCAGATGGTACGCTGTCTGGACATCCTGGAGGACTACCTGCGGTATCGGAGGTGAGTCTGTCCATCTATTCGTTAAGGTGACTTGATTTGAAGTGCTGTTGATGAATTCTGATGGAGATCTCTCACTGGCTTGTTCCCAGTGAGCACTGGTGTCAGACATTCATGGCCTTGTGTATTCAATGTCTTATGTCACGTTCACATTGCCAACTTTGTGGCAATGTCTGCATCACATGACCCGCTTGAAACTCTCATCAATGCAAGTATGGAAACCTGTGATGTGCAATGAGTAGAACTTCCGTAGCTTGTTAATGCTGGTGTGTGTAAATATGTATTTGTTGTGTTGACCCTTATATAGGTATCTGTATGAACGCATCGATGGAGGTGTGCGTGGCAACTTACGTCAAGCTGCAATTGACAGGTTCTCAAAACCAGGTACAGGTCATAATTATTGTTATCATGATGCGGTGTACGCTTGTGCTTGTGTACAGGCAAGCTTTTTTACAGTCCGTATGCAGTTGTGTATATAATAGTGCGACACTGTACGAATGTCTCCGTGTCATGCTATCTCTCTCTCTCTCTCTTTCTCTCTTTCTCTCTCTCTCACTCTCTTTCTCTCTCTTTCCTTCCCTCCCTCTCTCCCCGCTACCCACTCCCACACTCTCACCCACCCTCGTTCTCTCTTTCTTTCTCTCTCTACCTGTCTTTATAAATCTCTCTCTCTCTCTCTCTCTCTCTCTCTCTCTCTCTCTCTCTCTCTCTCTCATGTGTCTATGTGCAGACTCAGACAGATTTGTGTTCCTCCTGTGTACCCGTGCGGGTGGACTGGGTATCAACCTGACAGCAGCAGACTGCTGTATCATCTTTGACTCGGACTGGAATCCCCAAAATGATCTACAAGCTCAGGCACGCTGTCATCGTATTGGCCAAAACAAAGCTGTCATGGTCTATCGTCTCATCACCAGAAATTCCTACGAGCGTGAAATGTTTGATCGGTAAGAGAAATTTGTTAGGTTCTGTCCGATGGGATAAATTTAGTTTGTCTCAACTCCTGCTGCTGCTTACACTGTTTGAATGATCATGTAACTAACGTAGGGGATCACTTTACCATGTACTTAACATGTGCATCTGCAATGTGGTGTGTGTGTTACCAACTTACCACATAACTGAATGCATGCGCAAACAAGGCAAGAATGTACTGCACGGGGGGGGGGGGGTGATTCATAAGAGAGTGATGTTTGGGATATAGTGTGAGCTGCATAATCGTATCTGTTCTGTCAATGCCCGGTTCCATGCCTGAATAAGCTGAAAATGAAGCTACTGTAGGAGCATAATTTTTCGTTCGCACTAACTGTCATTGGAAGTCTAAATTTGACCTTCGGTGGGAACAATGGTGCTGGCTGAGAGCGCACATACAAGTAACCTGTGCAGCATTTAGTTACGCACAGACTTTGCTCCTCTCACATTTTAGTTACGCACAGACTTTGCTCCTCTCACCTGTTAGTTACGCACAGACTTTGCTCCTCTCACCTACCAAAGGTAGCGAAGGTCTGTACTTGAAGCTTGATCATGGGGTGGTGATGTCCCCCGGCAACAGAAAGATAGTTCTTGACCTACTCCTAAACGGATCCGTAATATTTGTATAAGCGACGCAGATTACATGATACATGATTACATGATAGTTATCTTTATTTGTACTTGTACAGTAGTGTAGTACATTGTGGGTAATGCACTCTCCTGGTCTGTACTCTGGTGGTGTTTGTGTTTGTTTTAGGTCACTTTTGTAGCAAGTGGTATACTTTCATTGTGCTTTTTCTTCTTTTTCTATAGTGCCAGCAAGAAGCTCGGTCTAGATCGTGCTGTCTTACAGAACATCAGCAAGGGTGCTAATGCTAGTCCAGTAAGTATCATCATGGTCTAAGAGTTGTGCTGTCAAAGCCTGTCATTGCCATTTTTTCTCTCTTTGTTGTACAGTCGGCCTACCCTTATAACGATATTTGCGTCAGACCAAGAAATATTGTTATAAGGGTAATATTGTTATAGGGGTAACTGGTTCATTTCATACACAGACGTCATAATGCATGGATTTTTTATATTTTTTGCACTCTTCGTAGCATAAAACACTGATGTACATGCACATTATGTACACAGCAAGGTGCCCACTGGTGCTCCAATTGCATTTCATCATGTCCCAGCGACTTTTGAAGTGAAGCTTGCCCTTCCTGGATAGTGGGCTCTACATATTCCCTGCTAGATATTGTTATAAAATGGAAAATATCGATTAGTCAGCCCATTTTATATCGTTATAGGGGTAATATCGTTATAGCAATACCGTAAAAGTCCGTAAATAAGTACCTGCCCAAAAGAAATACCCCCTTCATTCTTTTGGCTCTGTCTGTTGAAGTCAAGTCAAGCCCGATAAACATACTGCCCGAAATAAGTACCGGTACGGTGCGCACATGCAGCACGTAGCATGTACATCTACATGAAAACGACTTCTCCACTACACACAAGTCAGGTCCGAAAGTTAGTTCGTGCCCGAAAGTCAGTACCCGCCCGAAAGTTAGTACGGGCGTGGTCACTAAATTCGAAAGTAAATACGTACTTATTTACGGACTTTTACGGTATTGTTATAGAGGTAAGGCGTTGTATACGCAAGTCAATGGAGTGATTTGGTTTGGCAGAAAAATATCGTTATAAGGGTAATATCGTTATAGAGGTTATCGTTATAAGGGTAGGTTGACTGTATCTGTTAAATCCCATCTGTGCTGTACCACGTTTGCTCTGTAGTGCTGTTTCTAAGTACACAAGGCATGGCGCTAAATAGTTTGTGCTGAAGATTAGAGCTGGCATCTTCAGTAGCTATGCCCAGCTCTATTTATGGGACTCATTCCAAGGACGTGTCTGTTCATGTTTTCCTTGCGTCTACCATCCAGACACAGATGCTCAACAAGAAAGAAGTTGAAGATCTCTTGCGTCGTGGTGCGTATGGTGCTATCATGGATGAAGACGATGCAGCAAACAAGTAAGAATCCACACTGCTGTGCAGTGCATTAGTAGCAGCAGCTATCATTATCTGTTGCTGTGTCTGGTCTGTGTGTGCTTGTCCGGTGTATGTACTGTGTGTACCGCCTGTACCCTGCCAGAGAAGGAGGGTTTGGCGGAACAGTGGATTTCACTTTCTTGCTTGTTGGCACTGGCTAACTATTTGCTTAATTTCTGCCCATTGCCGTTCAGGTTTTGTGAAGAGGACATCGAGCAGATTTTGTCCCGGCGTACTCAGGTTATCAACATCGAGACTGAGGGACCAGGCTCAACATTCGCAAAGGTAATAAGTCAGCAGTGTACTCGTTTGATTGCTCAAGTGTTTGGTGTTACCAGTAGGCAAGTGTTCGGCATGACAAGTGTGTATTTGGGCACTCTCAAGCACTGGCCCTGAAGTTATAATGCAGTTAGCCTGCATTCCCAGTTGCTCACCTATCCATACAGCGCAGAGCACAGCGCAGAGCACAGCGCAGCGCAGTCAATCCACTCTCCACTCTATTGCTTTGGTAGAGGTGGGCGGTAGCCAATACTCTACTATGCAGATGCTGCTCCTGCCTATGGAGATTGAGTGTTGGCTATTTTCTTTGCTTTTTTGTGCAGGCAAGCTTCGTATCAGAGAAAGGTGCTGCTGACATCAATGTGGACGATCCTGACTTCTGGGAGAAGTGGGCCAAGAAGGCAGAGATTGAAGACGATGCATATGGTGATGTAAGCTACTGCTGCACATACTTGCAATAGTAGTTATGTACACACAATTTGAAACCCACGATGTGTGGTCTGTAATGTGGGCTTGTTAGAGTGTAGGGTCCTCTCCAAGCATGTCTAATCCAAGAAATGGTCAACTCAGGTTGGGTGAAATGCCTGAAAGGGTTTGAAAATAATGTGTAAAAAGATGTTATGATGTATGGATGGTCAAGAGTCATGTATAGTAGTGTAGGTGATGTTGAACTTAGTCCAAATAACAACACGAATACACCATTGTCAATCACTGAACCGCTGAAGTACATCTGGAGCCTGGACGTCCATTGTAAGAGTCAGGATAGCTTTAGCTTCCTCGCGCTGAACAATACCATCTGCAATATGGCGGATGTCACGTGGGGTTTCCAGGATGCCGGAACGCGCAATCTCATTGACAGTTGTAGCAACCTGGTATTTTGGTAGGCACCGTACTGCTTATCCAGCTTCTCACTTGCGTGTTGTTTGTTGTTTGTATTCTGTCTGTCTGTTATCGGTGAAGCAACTCATTATTGATGCTCCACGCCAGCGCAAACAGACACGCCGGTTTGGTAATGACGAGGCAATGGACGTATCTGACTTTGAAGACCTTGGGTCAGACTCTGATTCCAAGGGTCAGTCTGCAGCCAAAGTTGCCGCTAACAGGTCCAAGGCATGGACAAGGCACGAATGTTTCAGAGTGGAAAAGAACCTACAGACGTTTGGGTAAGTCATAAGGTGGCCAGATGATTGTGTTTGACAACGTGATAACTGTGAATGGCATGTACAGATTTTCACCTGTGTAAAACTGTGGGTGTGTGTGGGTGTGTGGGTGTGTGGGGGGGGGGGGGTGACTTGAACACTGTTGGTCCCTTCAGGACTATCATCTCCGGATGGGCATATTGTATTGTGTGCGTGCGTGTGTGCATGTGTTGATTACCTCAAAGTGCTTGCTATCGGTATGCCTCAAAGTGCTTGCTATCAGTATGCCTACTGAAATGTCGCTCTGCCTGTGTTCGTTGTCCAGTTGGGGCCGATGGGAACAGATTGCCTATCACCCACCGATGCTGAAGAGGACCTTAGCACCGCTTGATGCTGAGTCAATGTGCCGTGCCGTTGTAAGTACTTGACTATGAAAGTTTGAAGACATGCGTATGCTAAACTGGCTTCACGGCCAGACATGCTCTGTGTCTTCTGTGCATGTGTCTTTGCTCTCGCTGTGTGCAAAACTCAATAGGGGTGATTGCTTTGGTGCTAACGTTTGACCAATATCCACTGTCCACTGCAGCTGGTGTACTGTATTCAACATCACCAAGGAGAGAAGAAACTACGCGAGTACGCTGAACAGCTGCTGCGTGCTCCGTGCACTGTTGATGTCACTGGTATGTTACGTGATACTAAAGTCATTGCGTGAACTGATGTTGTAGTGTTGATAACTGTGCAACTCGCATACATTGCATACGCCATTACCCGTATACTTCGAAGTAGATGATAATTATAATGTCATCATGAATAGTGACCGTTCACTGTACCACTGCCGTGCGCGGGTGGACATGTGTGCGTGCAAAGTAGTGTGATGTTTATCATCACGAAGTGTCACGATGATGCCAGTGACCGGTATATGCACTGCACTTATGTTCTCGTTCACTTTGTTCCTCTGTATCCTGTGCTCTGTGGATTCTGTGTTCAACACTCCTTTCAGATGAAGCACAGAAGAAAGCAGTGAAGAGATCAAAGAAGTATTGCAAGAGAGACTGTTCTGAGATTGGATTGGTAAGTTCACCTAGCTACCTGCTGCTCTGTGTGTAGAAAGCTGTGCGTCTTTGTTTTGAACAGTAATGTTAGATGCATGTTGTTGCTATTGCAGGTACTAGTATAGTAGTATGCATTCCTGATAGGCATGAATGTGTAATGCCATTGGCATTGGTGTGAGAGTTAGCTTCACCTCCTCTCTGTTTCCACCCCCACACTCACCCCCGAACCGGCAGTGTATTTTGTAAATTCACATTGAGTGCTACTTTCTTTACGTGTGAATTTTGATGTTGGTTGCCCTATTCTGACAGCGTGACTATGAGTATCTGTTCGATCTGGATTTGCTTAACCTGTTCACGGATGAGCGCTATCGCAAGCACATGCAAGGACATGCCAACAAGTAGGTGCATTTATCTTGCAACATGCCAGCTTCATAGAATCATAGTATCATAGAGATCATAGTACATGTAAAGAGAGAGAGAGAGATGATAGTACATGTAAAGAATGTATGGTTTACTGGACGTTCCGGTTACACACATCCTCCCTCTAAGATCCAATCCTCTCAGCCTCTCTCTCTCTCTCTCTCTCTCTCTCTCTCTCTCTCTCTCTCTCTCTCTCTCTCTCTCTGTCTCTCTCTCACATCTCATCTCTCTGTCTTCTACATTGTATTCTTAGGAAGCATTTGAATTGTCACTCTATGACTTTTTGAGGAGTTGTGTTTTCTGAAGAGGTAGCTTATTGGCCTCTTCAGAAAGCGAAAGTCTGCTCTAAACTCCTTGAAGCTCCACAACCTCACCCAAGGGTCCGGGTGGATTAGTTTGGAAGAGCTTGAAACATTCCCACGAAAACTACCTTTTGTATGCATTTCTTGTAGATACTATGACAAATTTTGACCTACACATCCGTAAGGGAAGCCCACTTTTACGTGGATGTGTGCTTGGAAAATATCATTGCTATGACGATTCCATTGAAAATAGTGAGGTTGGCAGAAACCGTTGTATTGGGATACTGCAGCTCATCTCTTCTAAGATTCTTCTCAATAAGTTGATGAGGTCAATTTGAACTTCTCCAATGAGTGTGCCGTGTTGCAGATGCTCAGCATGGCATGTTCTGCTTCGTGAGAATTGAGTTTTTGCTGCTACATTGTCTTTATTTGCCCGGTGCAGGATTTTGACTCGTGTCAAGATGCTTCATGTTCTCTCCAGTGAAGTGATTGGTGATCAGGCTGACCTCATCATGAATGGAATGCCTGCCAAGTAAGTACATGCAGTACCTCTGGTGTCTCTATTTCTGTGTCTCTAGTGCCTGCGGTGCTGTGTCTTCGTCCTAATCCCTTGCATTTCCATAGCCTTTCTTGACTGCACTGCACTTTTGTCTCAGTCAACAACATTATCAAACTATCGCCTCGCTATATCCACTTGTGTATCCGCAGGACTTCCGTTAGTACACGGTATTGTTATGTGTTTGCCTGCTGGTGTCTGATGGGTGCCTTGTGCAGTGTACTGAATTCTTTTTCAGGTTTCAGAAACAGGGTATGGTTGTGTATGTGTCCACTGCAGTGACTTACGCATGGACTTCCCACCGCCTGAAGATGTTGAACCGCCGTCAACCTGGTGGGATGAAGAATGTGATCGGTCACTGATGACTGGAGCGTACAAGCATGGTAGGTAGTGTGATTGGTGTCCGTGTTGTGTTTATCAGTACAATGCCGTGTTGTGTTTATCAGTACAATGCCGTGTTGTGTTTATCAGTACATGTACTTGCTTGCTGTAATAACCACACTTGATGTTGTCAATTTTTATCACTCATGATTTGCGTGGACTAGTCTCTCAAATTATGTACACATTAATGCAGACTAAAATAGGCCGCTATGCGAGGGTTAATATTTTGTATTCATTTCAGAATTCCCCCAGAGGCTGGAAAGCCTGTCGAGGAGGGTTACCATATCATCGTATAATACATGAAAATGTGTATTGTGTATAGAGGAGGAGAGAGAGAGAGTGAAAAGGAATACGTAAAATGGGGAGAACATTGCAAACTCAGCAGAGGTCAGCAGAGGTCAGCAGAGGGCGTTCGGGTTTGTTGTACCTCTGAGTTTCATGCCGCAAATCTGTATTGTCACGTTAGCCAATCAGTTGCCAATATGTGATATACTAATGTCATTATTGTATGATGGTGTTGTATGCGGCATGTCCTGTACACGGTGTGTATGTGTTTCTGCAGGGTATGAGCGCTTTGCAGCAATGCGTGGCGACCCATTGCTCTGCTTCCTGGATCGGTGTGGGCCAGCGCCTGTCAAGTCCCGCAGCAAAACCTCCGGTGCTTCGGGCTCAGGTGCGGGTGCCGGTGATGAAGACGACATGGACAATATGGATGATGAAGGAGATGATGAAGGAGATGATGACAGCAAGAAGGGAGGATCACAAGGAGCTCCTGAAGCTACTGAAGCAGACGCGGAAGAAGGTTTGTTGCCCTGGCCAGTTCCAATGGATGTCAACACTCGGTTACGCCGTTTAGTTGCTGCTTATCAACGCCATCAAAAGAAGCAAGAACAGCAACAAGTCCAGAAGGAAGCGGTATGTCACCAGATTTTAGTTTCATTTTTAAGTTAGGTGTATCATCTCATGTCCGTTGTGCTGTTTTGACATGCTACCTTCCCTTGTGTTATGCACACAGGAAACTCGCCGGAAAGAGAAGCATGCTGCAGTGCAGAAGAAGAAGGATGCACGTCGTCTGGAGCAGGAACAAAGGTATGCAATCAGACCTTCTTTTTTTTTAAGTTGGTCAGCAGTTTACTTCTTGCGATATATCTGTGTATGTGTCCTCGTCTGTTGAGTATAGTCTTTACAGGATATGCATGTACAGTGCTGGCAACTGAAATCCGACCCCCTGAGCGGAGCGCTCACATCGCAAAGAATGTGAACCCACCGCTCAGGGGGTCGGATTTCAGTTGCCAGCACTGTACAGGGCCGTAGCAGGCGGTCCGGCAGGTCCGGCAGCTGCCGGACCAATATTCGACCAAAAAAAAAACCAAAAAAAAAAAAAAAAAAAAAAAAAAAAAAAAAAACGGGACACAGATCTGAGCAGCTCAGGATGTCCGCCCGGTACCATTGATGAGGATGTGTGCAATAAGTAGCATAGAGGTAGTACATACATGTAGTAGTGCAGGTAGTAGACCTACATGTACATGTCATCACTTTCAGGAGTATGACCCTGCTCAAGGTCATGTGGACAGTCATGCCTGTGAATGTTCCTACACTGTACTCCCTGAAATTTATTGATTCTTTTCTTCCTCCAATTCTTTATAGATAGGGTTTGTACCAAAGATATTCAATTGCAATATCCTTTCTCCTCCTCCAAAGGTCCATTTTGGTTCTTTTATCACATACATTAGATACGGTTGCTATGCCTTCATAGGCTTCAACAAGTTCTGTTTGGACGGACACAACATGCTGATGCCCTTTTTCCTGACTCATGCCGAGCATCCTTCTTCCTTTTCTCGCCCTATGTCACTCTGCATGGTCACGATTACATGCATATACATGTACATGTACAATGTATGTACAATCATGTACATTTTGTACATGTACCGGCATATGTATGAGTATGGGCTCGGGGGGAGCATCGAAGTCGGATCTTGCCGGACCAACCAAAATGGGGCTGCTACGGGGCCTGCTGTACATCTGTACAATACACTTGTACAAGCAAGAGTACATGTACTCTTGCTTGTACTCATGTGTGCCTGCTTGTATGATGTGTGTATACTAGGTGGTCCAAAAGAGAAGAGCAAGACTTTCTGCGCACAGTCACATCCTATGGTGTGGTATATGTAGCTAACACTGACTCCTATGATTGGTCGTACTTCCGGTAAGTCGGGTCTATGCTCCAATGCGCTGTCCTTGCATCATTCTTTACTATTATTCTATGTAAGTCAGTCGTGATCCATGGCATGTGTCAGTCGACGAGTTCTCAATTGCACTGCTCATCCTGACAACAATGATATGTACTCAAGTTGGGCAGAACTAGATTGCAGTCACAGGTTTGGCCGCATCTACTTGGTCCACAAGTGACCATTGTGCTATGCTCGGTAGAGGATTGAAGGCACATCTTAATTTGGGGTTCGAACTTTCCACCTGTACCAGCTTTACTGGTACAGTGTATTCAGTTGCTTACATAATGACTTTGCCTTTTCATGTGAATGTGTGTGTGCGCGCGCGTATGTGTATGTACGTGTGTGTTTGTGTGTTTTCGGTTCATGTTTCAGGACTCTGGCTAAGTTGGAACGCAAGACTGATGGTCGGTTGACTGACTACTACACTGCATTCATACACATGTGCAGAGTTGTCACTGAAATTGTACCAACCAGCCAAGCTGATCCAGGTCAGTAGAGATGCATAGAACACTCTTTTTATCTGTAATTTGCTCTGTGCATCCTGTGGTGTGTATGTGGGTGGGGGTGGGAGGTTATAATGCGTATGTGTGTGTGTGTGGGGGGGGGGGGGCGTGTGTGCACGCATGTGCGTGGCGTGTATATGTGGTGTGTGTGTGGGTGGGTGGGTGGGTGGGTGGGTGGGGTGGGTGTGGGTGTGCACCAGGTTTCCTAGTCACTGATTATTAAAGTCTTTTTCTTTATTTTATAGTTACGGTGTCTTTGCTCAATGAGGAACGTGCCATGCGGGCATTGTCCAGGATTGACTTGCTCTCTACCATTCGTGAAGAGGTATGTTCCGTTTCATTTGGATGCTTAACCCTTTGCTGTTTACGCATACTGGAACCAATAGACATAATAATTATATCGGTTCAACAGTGCATTTTCAATTTCTCGTAACTCCATCAATTATTGGTCGACTTGAGCAATCGAAATGTTTAGGAAGAAGGGAGAATACCAAGCTGTCTGTATGCGAAGCGCTGAAATCAATTTTTCAAATGTAGCTCAGTTGCTTAATCGGGCGGGAAAAGGCTAATAAATGTGTTTCTTGTCTTAGTCTCTCCTCGCTCTTTGCGATGTTCTCAACCATACATTGTTATGTTTAGGAAGAAGAGAGAATACCAAGCTGTCCGTATGCGAAGCGCTGAAATCAATTTTTCAAATGTAGCTCAGTTGCTTAATCGGGCGGGAAAAGGCTAATAAATGTGTTTCTTGTCTTAGTCTCTCCTCGCTCTTTGCTATGTTCTCAACCATACATTGTTATTCCACTTGTCACACTCAGCTGCATTATACCAGTCTTATAAACGTAGGCATTCCTATTCCGACAGTCCTATTGCTCATTGTACTTGACCCAATCTGGATGTTCTGTGTATGCTGGTACTTGTGTCCTGTAGGTGTTGCAACATCCTAATCTTGACCGGCACTTGTCACTGTGTCAGCTGTCAAATGATGTACCAGAGTGGTGGCAATGTGGTCTTCATGATCGAAGTCTTCTTCTTGGTGTGGCTAGGTCAGTGCTGCTTTGACTGCCGGGGTGACCATCAGAGTTCAGGAAATTCTTGAAATATATAAGTGCCCACTGTCCACATCGCCAACGTGCGAGTAACAGGTCTTTTAAGGCTTCCCCAGATTACTAGTAGCTCAAATGCCATGATCAGGATTAAACCGACAGAAAGAAGACAACCATGACAGTGCTTCATCAAGGTTTTGTTCAACCTGACAATTTGCTTGGCCACGGAGATAGTGATGGATGGTAAACTAGTTCTTGATTCTTGAAAATGCTTAGCCAATATCACCAACCTATAAGCAGTAGATCCCACCTAGAACCATACAAAAAAAAAGAAAAAAGATGGCCAGGAACTTGGCAGAAAGTGCTGGCTAGACCAACTTGCAACACCTCCCACCGCCCCTGTAAAGGCTGCAATGTGTATAATGTAATCTCGCAAATATAAGACCATGGTCTTATATTCGAAAAATCGCTGTTTTCTGTCTTTTCACAAGTGCATTTTCGTTCGAATATAAGAACATGGTCTTATGCTAGAGATGAACATCGCATCAACATGTACATGTGCAAGTATGTACAATGGAGCCTGGATGATCCTCGTGTGCTTTTGTGATTTTCATTCACTTGTGAGACTATGGTCTTATAACCAGAGGTGGTCTTATATTCGATTATAACACCATGGTGGTCTTATATGCGCGAAATTGCGGTATTGCTTTTATCACATTTCTACAGATCTAATGATTTGTGTAGCTGCTAGAGCACTGGTACCTGTAGGACTGTGCATGGACCTGACTGTAGCTTATAGCCTGTGATCTGTAGTCTGTAGCCACCTGGTACAGCAATATGGTTGTAAGAAATTCGGTATTGTAACTTTGGACACTTGACAGTTGGTTGTCCGTCTTATTGTTTGCCTAACTGTGTGTGTGGTATTTGTGTACTGTGTGTCGACTATAGATACGGTCTTGCTCGGACGGAATATACTGTACTCTGTGATCCAAACCTGCTCTTCTGCTCGATATTAAACTATGCGGCACGCGAACTTGGACTGCCGCCTCCTACTTTTGAGCCAGTTGCAAAGGGTAAGCTGGTATTCCATCCTTGTGCACCTTAGAACAATGTGCATACGTCAAATGCTTGGACTGGAAGCTACAAATAATATTTAGCTTGACGGCATCTGCAGCTGAATGATATTCTAGTTTTGACAACCTTGGAAAACAGCCATTGCCAGCTTTCCACCCTAGTGTGGAACGATCTCTAGCAGCGTGGGCACAGACTCTGCACCTTGCAAGTACAAAACAACTGACCCAGGATCTGCACCGTGTAGCACTGTGGAGAAGTCTATCACCTGCTGTATCGCCCAATCACATACTAAGTAAATGGGTTGAAAACTTCAAATGATAAGGTGCTCTGGTGCTAGTTCACAGGTACATTGTATTGATGTTGAAGATTGTGTTGATATGACCTATATTTCCCTCTTTCCTAACACAGGTGATGGCAGTGTGAAGTCACATGGTGAAGCCTCATTGAATGAAGCAACAAGCTCCTCGAGCAAGGAAAACAGCAGCAGTCGCCATCATAGTGCACACCCAACCTCTTCCGACAGCAGTTCCAAGTCGTCCACTTCTGATGCTGCTTGTGGCGGTGGTGAGAACTCTGCTGGTATGCAGATCAGTATTTCACCAGAGATCATCACGCACGTCAGGTGGCCAAAGGTACAACATTTGCTTTTATACTGCTTGCCTGTGTATGTTCAACATGCCATCCCTTTTAATGCACTTTCTATGTTCTTAGTATGTTTAAAGTGAAGAAAAAATTTGTTGCTTCTGTCTTGTTCCACCCTGGCATAGGAGCGGCACATAGTGCGCCGTCTGCAGAGCTTGGTGTACACCGTGATGCAAGGAGCATGGCCATCAGCAGAGGCCGTAGCAAGCCATAGCAACGCCAGTGCTCAGTACTCTGTGCCGTGTGAGTATGAGCAAGCCATGTATGAGGATGATGCAGCTTATAGCAGTCCAGACGTGTCTGACAGCGAGGATTTCGTTCCCAAGAAATCTGACTTCAAGGTCAAGAGAGTAAGTATTTGATTTGTTCAGTGTTGGTGTTGCAATTTCAAATTTGGACTTCACGGAGAATTTCAAAGTTTTTTAGGAAATTAAGAGGCCACATGCCATGTACTGCTCTTTTCTCTCCGAAACTCAACACTTGCAAGCCAGATATGAAATATGAAAGAAAGAAAAAAAATCTTTCTTTCATATCTGGCTTGCAAGGACCCACCCTGCTGGTTTGCTATTTACAGTGACTTGTCAGCACAAGTCCGCATTTAGTATTCATAAAAACAAACAACTGGAGATAACCAAAGCACACACCATGGGCAAGACTTGATACTAACGAACACTGATATCAGAATGACTGGTGTTTTTAAATACGTCATGTTTTCATTCAATATATAAATGGTGGAAAGAATTGGGATTGTACAGGTGCACAGAGGGTTCTGAACCTGCACGCTGATTGCCGCTTTCTTATTTTCATTATTCTACTTGTGCTGCAGGGTGATGGATTGAAGATGACATTCAAGACAAACAAAACGAAAGCTGCTGCTGCTGCTGCGTCTGGTGAGTACCGTATTTAAACACAGTAGCTTTAACATCTGTTCTATCATTGTACATCTGCGCTCGGTGAAATCCGACCCTAAGTGCGTATCTGGCACCCTCAACCTAAGTGCTACGGATGTGGCTGGATGTACACATGTATGTACGAATCAGTACTAGTCACCTAATCGGAAGTGGTCCAGGGCACCAGTTTTGCAACTTGGTTGGATTTTCACCGAGCCCAGCTGCACAGACACATGCACAGACACATGCTCAGACACATGCTAACCAGTCCAGTGTTGAACTGTGGCATCTTTTGGGGAACTGTGGAGTGTTGTGTTTCCCAAAATCTATGAGTAACGTTGATAATTGATGTGTGTGTGTGTGCATGTGTGCGTGTAGGAGGGTGTGCGGGTGTGCATGCATGCATGCATGTGTGGCTGCGGGTGCGTCCATATGTGTGCGTGCGTGCGTGCGTGTGCGTGCGTGTGTGTGTGTGTGTGTGTGTGTGTGTGTGTGTGTGTGTGTGTGTGTGTGTGTGTGTGTGAGTGCGTGCGTGCGTGTGTATGTGTGTGTGTATTATGCCTACAGATTTACAGTGTTACAGCATTAGTGGTGGCCAATTCATCAGCCTTGCAAACTGTTGAATGGTGTAATTCCAGCACAAGTTCTTATGTCACATAGCTGTTAACTATCATCGCTTCCGCGTTGGTCATGTCTGAGTCTTAGTCTGATGTATGCTGTGCTTTTTGCTGTAGGTACAGCCACACCCATGTCCGAGTACAGCAGTCACAACTCTCCAGCGTCTCAAGCAGTGCGAGTGCCAGTCATTCACAAACCGTCTGGTATGTGTTCACTATGCCTGTCTGTGCCTGCTGCGAACCAACTATGAGCCGGTGTGAAAGGCTTTGTGCTTGTTTGCTGTGATAGCGAGTGGCATTAGCCACAGCCTTCAATAGTTCTCAGTGAAATGCTTATGTGTAGAAACGACTCCCGGCTGTTGTTATTATGCTTTGTAGGTCGTAAGCTAGTGGGTCAATCTGCTCCGCTTCAAAGTCAGCTGAAGGACTGGCTCAGATCCCATCCAGATTACACTGTACTGCAGCAGGTAAGTTCTGCTCTCTCACGACTGCGTGACATTTGTTTGTGTGACTGTTGTGCATGTATCCGTGCGTGCGTGTTGTAGCTGGGGATTTCTTTATCTATACCTGAAGTGTATAGGTATTCTGAGACATGGCAAGCACACAATTCTGTGACATTGACATGTGTCCTGGTATGTATTATGTACACTTTTTTTTGTTGATGTAGGAAACAGAGCGCAAATCATCCCGTACACCAGCACGTGGCTATGCAAGTGCAGTAGCCATTGCTAACATGAGTGAGACGGATGAAAGTGTAGAAGAGCACTATGACGATGAAGATGACTTCTCTCAAGATCAGGACTTCGACGATGATGACGATGAAGAAGACAATGATGGTGGTGCATGGGGTCGTGCTAAGACTTCCGTTGCTCCACCTGCTGCCTCTGCTGCTGCTGCTGCAGCCGCTGGCAAGAAGAAGAAAGTTCACAAGAAAAAGAAGGCAAAGACAAAGAAGTCCAAGCATCGTGAAGAGCCCGTTAAATCTTCATGCCGCCGTGAACCATCACCACCGCCGCCCCCAGCGGCCAAAAAGAGGAAGCCTGGCCGCCCTCCTGCCTCAGCGGCTTCTGCCAGTGCAAGTATGTTAACATTTAGTGTAGATACCGGTATAACTTGCTTCTTTTTGCATTCCTATCATTTTCTTCATTGGTGTCACTGATGTTGATGTTGAGACATGTACTAACACCTATCCATGTCTTTTCCTCTCTTTTCAGGTTCCTCGGCTTCTTCCAAACGCCAGCAGGTATGCTTATGTGTGTATATGTGTGTGTATCATTTCCAAGTCGACCCAGAGTGTGGGGATTCAGGGGGTGTCAGCCACTGTGCAGCCGCTAATTGAGTCATCTTTCCAAGATTCCATTTGAATCTCTTTCCCGTTTGCCAGCAGCCCTGTGTGACCTACTGACAGTGGGCAAGTACTACATTTATATTTGGAAGGAGGGAGGGGGGGGGGGGGGGAGAGGATTGTTATGGATGTAGTCTATAGGCATAGGTCTGATCTACTCACCACCCACCGCTTTAGGAGCTGCATCTGCGCCTTGATCCATGAGGGTGGTGGCGTTCCTACGGACGCGGAAAACTTGGCCTCTAGCCGAGTCTCATGTGAACCTTAAATTTGTTTGCCTATAGGCACAGCTTTCAGTGAGCGTTTTATGTGTGTTATTAGCCATGCTTGTGTGAGTATTTGCTCACCACTGTGTTGGTATCTGTGTGCTTGTGTTTCTGGCCTACAGTCTGTCAGTACGAAAAACCTTACTGGTGAGGAACGTGTCAGCGTTGTAAATCGAATTACTGGCCGAAAGGTAAGGCTTTAGTACACATTACTCATTGCAATTGAACATTTTGTGATTGTATTTGATCTGTATGTGTTCTCCTGTATTGGGGACCTGATACTATTATAGGCTTTGGATCATCTAGTTACTTGCCGTATGCTACCAGTCATCCTGATTTTTGTGTGCATTAGACCTATGGAGTTAGTATGAACCCATTGTACTGTTGGAGAGTGGAGACCTGGAAATCTGTAGTATTTTGTGGAGTCTCTGTGCCCTCTTTCCTGCATGCATGCATGCATGCAGCAATTATGTGGCGTTACACTTGTACGAGATACTACGCAGGGTTGCCAGGTCAAAATAGTAGGGGGGGGGGGGGGGGGCATGGGAAACAGTTACCCTATATCCCATTTTTCCACTTTCCAATATTGTCTTGCCACGCCAAATGCAACGTATGGGGCGAATCCCTGACTTCAACCCCAGACAAATGTGCCTTTATGAACCATCTATGCATGAAAAACACGAAAGTCGGAAAATGAGTAGGGGGGCGGCAATTTTTCACAGGGGGGCGCACAAACAGAGTAGGGGGCTGGTGATAGCCCTTCACTAGGCGCTGTACTGTGCAAGCACTGAAATTCAAGCTCGCGAAGTGCTTTTTCAGCTTTTCTATACCTCCCAGGGGTAAACAATCCTTGCCATCAGACAGCTGGAAGTAGACAGAAACTGTATTCTCCATCGCTCTGAAATGCGAACATCCTGACCTATTTTACGGACTCGAGCGGAGGTTGCAGTGTTTTCTTGCGCTGACGGAAGTGTTCGTCGGCGGCAGCTCCGTCAAAAAGACTCAAACGAACCGATCGCAACTTCTGTGATGGTTTGTGCTGCCATGTCGTCGGATGCAATGGTCAATGGTTATGTTCGGATGGTGAATCGGTGGTTCCATGCCGTGTGACATTGGCAGAACACCGAAAAACCAAGTGAGAAGATAAGCGCCAATTTTAACTTGGCGGACCAAGTACATGCAATCCCACCACATGTATACAAGAAAGCTTGCACTTAGGGCCTTCTCTATGCTGGCCGTACATGTGTCGGGGGTTGTACACAATGGAACGGGGCATGCAGGATACAGGCAACGTGATGAAGCTATCACAACTTCTTGACACACTGGTCCGGTCACTGCATGAACATCATCCAGTACCAGAAGATGAGTTTGATGGTACAGGACATGTACAGCATACCCACTACTCTCTCTCTCTCTCTCTCTCTCTCTCTCATTCTCTCTCTCTCTCATTACCCACTACTCTCTCTCTCTCATTCTCTCTCTCTCTCTCATTCTCTCTCTCTCATTCTCTCTCTCTCTCTCTCTCTCTCTCTCTTTCTCTCTCTTTCTTTCTCTCTCTCTCTCTCTCTCTCTCTCTCTCTCTCTCTCTCTCTCTCTCTCTCTCTCTCTCTCTCTCTCTCTCTCTCTCTCTCTCTCTCTCTCTCTCTCTCTCTTGCTCTGATGTGTCTGCAGATTGCTGGTAAAGCTGCACCCACACTTCGCAAACTAGAACCTTGGTTGGAACGCAATCCCACGTTTGACGTGGCACCTTCTTGGGCTGCTGCTGTTATGAAGTTTGTAAGTTGGCTAGCTGATGGTCTGTCCGTGGCTGTGTGCTCTTGACTGACATTAAAGGCTGTATGCCCTGTATGATCACTGTACTGGTACTATGGCATACCCACACCTGGGAGTAGTTTTCAGAATTTGATGACTTCGTTTCTTGTTTCAAGTCTCCTGCGATGCACTTTGTTTCTTGACTGCCCCGGTCGACTCTTGTTGTGCATGTGGATTCCATGGTCCTTTTTTGCTTCCATGACGTCCAGAATTCATTCTGATGTACATGTATGTCCGCATATCATGGTCACTTTACTAGCTACTTAGTATTTCTATTAGCTATTACTAGCTACGTGGCCTGGCACGAGGGAAACATGGATGCAGTGAATGGGATTTTCGGTCTTTGACCACTTTGTGGTGGGTCTGATCTACTCACCTCCCACCGCTTAGGAGCTGCATCTGCGCCTTGATCCTAGAGGGTGGTGGTGTTCCTGCCGATGCGGAAAACTCTATCTCCAGCCGAGTCTCACGCGAACCATGAATTTTTTTATATTTTTTTACTAACTTTTACCAATCGTGTAATGCCTTGTCATATGTGCGCGTGTGTGTGTTTGTGACTAGCCTCATTTCCCTGCCCAACTGTACGGCGGTGCCATTGTGTTTTGTTGTTTTAGGACCTACTGTCCAGTCATCTTCATAGTCGAGTACCCTATGAAGCACCCAGTAACAGTAGTGCCAAAGCCACAGCCAAATCAGCCAAATCAGCCAAGTCGGCCAAGTCAGCCAAGTCCAAGCAGAATAATCACCATCATGCGTCTCATTCCAGTCGCCAGAGTACTGCAGCAACAGCTAGAGCAGCTGCCTCTCTAAATGGTGGTGATGACAGTGATGAGAATTATGATGATGAGTACGAGTAGCTTCATATTTGTGTCTATACCGTCCTTGTACTGCTCTTTCTCGTACCTTCCTGTACAGCCTTTTTCACTATACATACTTGACTTGCTGTACAGTAGTGTGCAATGTGCTTTGTATTCTCAATGGACGTATGTGTTCAGGCACATGTGTATGTGGCATGTATCTGTGTCAGGCAATCTTGTGCTCTATGTAGCTGCTAAATAATGCAGCATCTGTGTATCATACAGTTGTACTCAGTGAGTGTCAGTGCCAACTCACTACTCTGTCGGTATCTGCACTGACTTACATGTGCGTGCACAGTAGCAGTGGGCTATGCACTACATACTTCCATGTCAAAATTTTATGTTTGTGTTTATCGTGTCTGGTTGACCGTAGTCTGGTTGACTGTTGTCTACTACACGAGATGCACACCAGGTATTATGCTCCTACTAACTACCATGTGCCATTGACTTGACATTGTACAGCGGACTATGCTGTGCACACTGTCAGCCTGTTTAGTATGAGCACACAGTGGCATGGTTAGTCAGTTTTCAACTTCCTGTAGCCCGTTGTTAGTGCTGCATGATGCTGCTAACAGTTACTGCCAGCACACTTCACAATGTGGCTCTTTGCTTGCGCTGTGCCAATCATGCCACCCAATACACATTCATTTCACAACAGTGTGTCGACACCTGGCCAACAAGTTCAGCGGCAGTGTGTATGTGTGGTGTCCGCTTGTGCTAGCTATGTATGACTGTACAACAATGTGTGACAATGTGTAAGCGCTACACCTCTACACTACCTACGTCAATTAAGTGCTGCCTGTGTTTCTAGGCATTAGTGTACAGGTATTTTGTATTGCTGTTGCTGCTACTGCTGCCCACAGCCTGCCTGTACATGCCTGCATTCCTCTAGAGTGTATGTGTGTGTTTGGTGGGTAAGTGTGCCGCACATGTAGTATTTGTTCCACACTTCATGCCTTACTTGTAGTATGCTACTGCTGTCTCTATAATGTACTACTGCTTCAGCTGGTCCTGCTTTCTACTGCCACCTCTTATCAGTTCTTCTGGCAGTGTAATCACATATATTTTGATCCTCTGTTCAGATGTCATCTGACCTATTGATGGCTCTCATTTTAACCTTTGTGCTAAGCAAGTCTTGTACATGTATGCTTTTCCTCCCCAGTGAACATGCAGTGTGACAGCGTGCTATCAAAAAATCATATCTTACTTATAATATATCACACACATTATCTTGCTGTGCACCTGTGTCTAGCTTGGGTTCATGCTGCCTGGCTCGCAACATGCCTCGCCCCCCTACTTTCTTTCTGCTTCTCCAGTAGCATGTTTTTTGGTTTCTGCTTTGCTCTGTTTTTAACCTGCTCAAGTTCTTGTTTCAGATGAATTCTATCCTCTATCTTCGCTCTGTTGTGTGGCGAGTGGCTGATCGGTCTCCCTGAACACACGCAGCCAGATTGCTGAAAAGTACGAACATCCCAGTACTGAGTACCTATCTCTTGGAAACAACGTTCTTGCACGCGCGCGACTATTGTTTATTGTTTGCATGACAATCAGGCATTAGTGATTATGTACTCACAACTCCCTGGTTGCATTAGGAAGGTTCCGGAGTACGATTTTTCGTGCCAAAATCCGTAGAGGCGCTACGGATTTTTTATACGTCGTTTTCGAGCAGTGAAATGTTCCGGAGTACGGAACTTATGTGTTTGCCGTCATTGCCTAGGTTACGATCGCAAACACGTCACATTCCCGCGCTATGCCTTTTTATTTGTACCGAAATCAAAACTTCCCGCGGAAAATCCATGTTTCTCGTACCAAATTTGTACGCGAAAAATCTTTCTGCACCCGATGATGCAAAATCTCCATACGAAACATGGTTCGTGTGAAAGCCAGTCCACACGGATTCTCCGTGACGAAAAATCGTATGGAGCACGCCTGGAAAAAAATCCGTAGCGCCCACACGAATTTTGGCACGGAAAATCGTACCCCGGAACCTCTCTATTATGTACTCACAACTCCCTGGTTGCATGTACAGGTACATGTATGTACCTGTACATGCAACCAGGGTGGGCTACGTACATACAGTACAGACCAAACCAAGCCAAACATGTCTGCAACTCCCAAGCAAAAGCATACTGGCAGTACACAGTACATGTAGCGGAGGTGTCCCCTTGCAGACCGCTTCGCACAACACACATGAACAAGCACACACAGAATCTCTGTTGTGGTGACTGTTGATCAGTGGTTTCAATGACAAAATACAGGGGATGGATGAAATAGTCTTGTCTACAATACTTATACTTATAGTGGTCGTATGTGCATGAGTGAGTGAGAGGGGGGGGGGGAGACGAATTATACGTTCTACATGCTGTAAATAGGTGCAAATACAAAATGAAATCGAGAAAAATATGACTAAATCATCAATTGAATCTAAAAATCCATACACGTTCCACACAAGCACAGCCGCATATACTGTCTCACACACACACACACACACACACACACACACACACACACACACACACACACACACACACACACACACACACACACACACACACAAACACACATATTATATGCAACTCCAAGACTTAGCAGCCGGTGAATGCACCGTGAAGCAGGCTGTCAAGCTCATTCTGATGCGTTTTCTTGGAACCGGTAGCAGGAGCAGCTGAGGGAGCGCGGCCGACATAGCAGATGGGAGACTTGCTGGAGTTGACAAGTGCTGTATTGAAGCGAGCTTGCACATACTGCCAGTAGCCCTGATTCTTGGGCTCCTCCTGTACCCACATGAGCGAGGCATTAGGATAGCTAGCCTCCACCTCTTGGATAAGATCATACGGGAAGGGGCAGAGTTGCTCAATGCGAACAAGAGCAACATTGGTATCCTCGCCCAGACGCTGCCTCTCCTTGGCCAAGTCATAATAGACCTTGCCAGTACAGAAGATGACACGCTTGATAGAGGCGCTGCCTTCCGGGAGTTCCGGGTCAGGTAAAACACGACGGAAATGCGTGCCCTCGCACATCTCATCAAGGGATGAGCGCGCATCAGGATGGCGCAACAGACTCTTCGGTGTACAGATGATGAGCGGCTTTCTGAAATCAAGCTGCAGCTGTCGTCGCAGGATGTGGAAGAAGCTGGCTGGAGTACTGCAGTTGGCTACAATCCAGTTGATGTCATGTAGCTGCTGCATGTCAAGCGTGCGCCCATCAACAGGTGTGGGTATGACGTCAGCATCGTCACTACACATTTGAAGGAAGCGTTCCGGCCGTGCACTGCTATGCTCTGGGCCCATGCCTTCATAACCATGGGGTAGAAGCAAGACGAGACCGCTCTGACGTACCCACTTGGTCTGGCCACTGCTGATGAACTGGTCGATAATGCACTGGGCGGTGTTGTTGAAGTCACCAAATTGAGCCTCCCATACCACCAGGCTGTTGGGGTTGGTCATGCTGAAGCCGAGCTCAAATCCCAGTACAGCATATTCTGAAAGAGAGCTGTTGCACACAGTGTAGACCGCTTGATCCGGAGACAGGTTGTTTAGAGGTCGGAACTCCTTGCGGTCTATCTTCTGATCGTGCAAAACATGATGGCGATGGGAGAAGGTACCACGTTCCACATCTTGGCCACTCAAGCGAACATGATTGCCATCCATAAGCAGACTACCAATAGCCATAGCTTCACCACCAGCCCAGTCCACCAAGCCGTTCTCCAACATCTCTGCACGCTGTCCGAGAACACGCTTCAAGCCGCCATGGATGGTGAAGTCAGCTGGCACAGTGCTGAATATCTTGCCCATGTGTTTGAGTTGTTCCATGGGTACGCCGCTGCTGGGTACATCTGGCATAGGACTGCCACCCTTGGCAAAGAAACCTTTCCAAGGTGAGTCGAGCCACTTGTCAACCTGGTGGTCTTGATTCCTTGCCTCAGTGAAAGCCGTCTCACAGATCTGATCGTATTTACTCAGCTCAGCATCATACTCATCACGTGTGACCGTACCATCGCTGACAATCTTCTCACGATAGAGATCGAGTGCGGACTGGTGCTTCTGAATGGTCTGGTACATGCGTGGCTGAGTGAACATGGGGTTATCCACTTCATTGTGACCATTGCGCCGGTAGCAAACTAAATCAATCACCACATCCTTCTTCCAGTGCTTTCTCCATTCAGCAGCCACCTTGCACACATGCATCACTGCCTCGGGGTCATCGGCGTTCACATGGAAGATAGGAGCGCCAACGACACGAGCTACATCTGTGCAGTAGGGAGACGAGCGCGAGCTGCGTGGGTCGGTTGTGAAGCCAATCTGATTGTTGACAACCACATGGATCGTGCCGTGGGTGCTGTAATCCGGCAAGTCACTCAAGTGGAATGTCTCGTAGACAATACCCTGGCCGGAGAATGCAGCATCGCCGTGGATCAAGATACTCATTGACTTCTCACCACTATGGTCCTCACCGTAGAACTGCTCGGCACGTGTTTTCCCCTGAACGACTGGGTCTACGGCCTCCAAGTGACTGGGGTTTGCACAAAGTGAAATTTTGATCTGCTTGTTGCATGCATGATTGAGACGTTCTTGATAAGTCCCTAGATGGTACTTGACATCACCCGATCCTTCTTCGCCAGATTCCAATGCTGAGTCAAACTGGGCGATGATCTGATCCAGTGGCTTGCGAGCTACATTGGCCAAGACGTTCAGTCTGCCACGATGCGGCATACCCATAACAAAGCTATCAACACCGAGAGAGCTGGACGTGTCAATCACTTGCTTCAGAGCCGGAATGAGAACTTCACATCCCTCCAAGCCAAACCTCTTCTCACTCGTCCACTTGCGCGCCAGAAACTCCTCAAAGCGAGTTGAGCGGATAAGACGAGCCATCAATATACGCTTTTCCTCGACACTCAGTGCCATGCAGCCGGGTGTTTCAAACCTTTCACGAATCCAGTCACACTGCTCTTTGCTCTGTAAGAACATATACTCCAGACCAACATTCTTACAATAGATCTGCTGAAGTCTCTTCAGTATTTCACCAAGTGGTAGCTGATCTTCTCCACCACCCAGCTTCGTGCTACTAGGTAAACGAAATACACGATCCATATCCGAGGATGTAAAGCGATTTGTGTACGACAACAGGTCCTGCGGCGTGGTATTATCCAGATCAGCATCCAGAATGCCCAAAGGATCAAGACTGGCAATGTTGTGACCACGAATTTGATAGGCACGAATAAGATGTTGCACAGATAAATGATCATCCACAATGCTTTGCAGCTTCTCCTCCGATACTCCCTTACTCATAGGCAAGGATGCACCGGAAGCCGTAGGAGGACGAGCGTGTGCCTCTCCAGGCCGTGCTCCAGCACGAGCTGCTTTGAAGAACGCATCCCACGATTTGTGAACACTATTGTTGTCCTTACACCATGATTCGTACATTTCTTCCACGTATACACCCGAGCTGCCATTGAGGAATGGCTCACGAGTGACTTCCTTGGCCACCTGGCTTGCACATCGTCCAGAGACATTTTGGCAACGTGAAAGCCGCCGCAAAACACTACCAGCGCGAAGCATGGCTGCAGGAAGAAGACAACTGCAACGTCCGCAACGCGCTGAATACACTTGTACTTCAAATTCTTATCGCAAAATCGCTTTCGCAACACATCTTTGCAAAAGGAACAAAAATCGCCTTCATGTATGTCGCGAACGATGGGCCATGGACATCCGGATCTTACGTACCGGTTCGATGTTGCCATAGTCTGTGTAGATTTTTCGCATTTGCGAAGCAGGGAGTACGATCCAGTGAGCGCAAAAAACATACCATAGCGGAGCGCCTCGGCCTCCAAGGCGCCAGGCGTCACGAATAGTCCAAATCAGAGTAGTATTTCAGTCAATGAATAATTTTACTGTACTCGTACTTCCAGCCTTGAAGTAATACGAACTATTTTACTGGTCTTGTCAGGAGTCCTTTCCTGCACACTGGAGAGGTGTTATGAAGTGATATCATGATGTAACATCACCTCGGAGTTTCGAAGCGGCCGCTCGTAAACACCCACAAGGAACGTATGTTTCACGTTTGTGGCTGACTTGACAAGGAGTATGGTCATCAATGTCACAGTAGGTAAGGCATTTACAAATCGCGAATACCTACTCAAACCGCTTTGTAAAGCGATAGACCAAAGTTTCGAATGCACGGGAGATTAAAGTGATACCCGCCCATAGCGCGGCATCATAACATCCACTCGCCTTGAGCTGTTGTGACACGTTTCGAACACCCCTGAGAGTGAGAGTGAGCATAAGTATGCCAATGTCGCATTACTGAAGAATGAGCTATAGCTATATATAGAGGCTATGCGATTACATCATCAGTTGAGATGCTTTGGCGAAATCGCGAACTCGCAGCACAGCGTTGCACTTGCACTAGCGACTCACGCTGCATACATACTTTACATAGCGCCCATTAAATTAATGGATCCGCTGGCTCACTCTCTATTTAGCGTCCATAACTGCATAAGCGGTTCCACTGACTCACCGGGGTGACCCCATGAAATGTTTTGCATATCTTCGATAGGGAACAAAGCCGGTGGGATTTTTCACCAGCTGAAGTGTTGAGCGGAGTTCACAGGATCATTTTTTGCGATGCGACGGCCGCGAAACCGGGAAATCCTCTCATCGTAGCCATCTCGCAGCCCACGCAACTGCTGCAATTGGACCATCGCAGAAGTTGGGCTTGGCTCAACTTTCACGCAACTGCCGCAACTGGGCCATCGCAGAAGCTGGGCTTGGCTCAACTTTCGCGATGCGACAAGTGATGTGGCGTATGATTTTGATCTTTTCTGCAACAAAGTTGTACAAAGGTTCAAGAGTTGCCTGTAAAGTTGTACCAAAGCCACGCAAATACCATGGTGACGTACCCACCTGCATTGACCTTTGCGCCAGATCAGCAAGGCGTCGTCGCATCGTTGACTTCTTCTGTGAATCATATTTCACAAGTTCGCATCGCACCCCACCGTCGCAGATCGCGTCGCATCGCCCATTGCATCGCAAAGAAGCTGCATTGTTGCCTGGCATGAATATCAAATTTGTAGAATGAAAATGAGGTGCTGAAAGTAGCTGTTTTGTTGCTACAAGTGACTGCATTGATTCTGTGTACTTGTGCTTTTCTTCTTTCAGTGTGGTGACTTCCGGTTCACGTGGCAGTGGCAATAAGGAACTACTGTGCAGCATGTGGCTGTCTCCCTGCCTACAGACCTATGTCAGCCAAAGTGCACATCATGTGCAGGTTGCTGGTTATGGCCAGCAATTATCTCACATTTGCTCCCACGCAGCACTGCTAAGGGTGCCATGGACAGACTACGATAAACTGCCTAATTGAAGCAGCACGGAGATTCTTAGTTGTGAGCAATCTCTTCGCCAGCCGGCTTATTACAGTGTGGAGATTGGAGAAGCTGGAGACACAGATACCACAAGGAACTTGTAAATCCCTTGGCAATCTGGATTTATTGCCATTGTTGTTTGGATCACTAAGATGCTATGATCCTAGGCTTGCAGACTATGCGGGCTGCCTGATAATAGAGATAGTGCAGGCACTACAATTGACACTGACGATGGCAAGCTCACAGTGGAGATAGTGCAGGCACTGCAATTGGCACTGTCGATGGCAAGCTCACAGTGGAGATCAACCACACCTCCAGATTCATAATGCCCATCAGAAGAAAAAGAAACAATAGCTGCCACCTCTTATTGTATAGATCTGGTAAGTTGCTTTCTTTTGTTCTTGTATTGTCATTCCCAGGCCGGTGTACCAATCCCTATCCATATCGTACACATACTTTACTTGTGTCTGGTCAACGGAGGCTCTGAGGCACTGTGTTAACGTTTTATTTTATTATATTGGTTTTGTCACAGATAAACAGTCAAATACTAATAATTATTGATAATGAAAAGTCAGGCCTGTCACTCGAGTTGAACCTTGGTGTGAAAGTTGTAGCCTGCAGGAACGGTGACCTGGTGATTTGTGTACGTATGAACACGAGACCGCTTATTCCACCACGTTCAATTGGGAATAAGGGCCGAACGCTGCATCGCAGCCTTTTCGGACCAAAACCAGTCGACTCAGCGTCCAGAAGGCTACCACATATGGGCTGCAGTCGTCCGTGCTCTTATAATCGCGAAATGGTGCTTTTAGTGACATTTTGCATACAAATCCCCATCTAGTAGGGCGCAGTCGCCCAGTTTCGGTGGAAGTGGCAAGTTCGATTGGGAATAAAGGAGAAAGGGAGCGTCTCAGTTTCCTCGGACCAAGACTATTCGACTTAGCACCCCAGAAATTGCGGCAAAATCAGAGCAAACTTGATGATGAGCAAACTTGATATCGAGATTTTGGGTAAAATCGATGCCTGATACAAAGATTTCCTTGTTTTTTACCCGCTCAGCGTGATATGCTGCACAGAACGCTTTGTTAAAAACTTCCCATCGATCAGTCAATTGTACGGATTTTCCTCCGTCCTATGACCCTGCCTGTGTTGTCGCACCGAGATATCCGTCCCTTTTTGTCTTTTGAACTTGATAATATGTTCATCCATCCCATTGCTTTTGTTTTCGCTCGCTGCTGAGCTCATTACAATCATGATGCTCGTTTGTCCGGAAATACCCCTTAATAACATGGGCACTCCAGCCTTTGGGTTATCCGTAATTATCAACAAATAAAAGAAAAGAACAGATCAGTTCACCGAAATATCACTGCGATTCACTGTTGATCACCATGATTTTGGAAGAACCTGGGGGCATACTTATGTTCTAGATCGTACCAACCAAACACACCCTGCTCAGGCTGTAGCTGTAGCCTGAGGGCGCGTTTGGTTGGTACGACCTAGAACAGGATTCGCCAGAACAGCGTGTTTGGTTGGGACTGCACCTGTTCTGGGTCGGCCAGAACGTGTTCTGCTTGCTCCGGCCTCGAGGCCGGAGCAGACCGAGCAGTTTCACTTTTTCACGGTGAAACTTGTCGGGAACATCGATTTTGGTCCCAAATGATCACGTGCATACGCTTTTGGGTTGGACTCGTCGTACCGTACACAGTGACCATGGTGACCCATACAAATTTTGAAGAATGCACCACGTTTGGCATATTTTTCACAAAAATGTGCTCTGTTTCCGGTACCGTTTGGTTGGCATGAGGCTGCTCCATGTGCACCAGCTGTTCGATCCTGTTCTACAGTTTAGATCGTACCAACCAAACGCACCCTGAGTGTACTGGTACATGGTGTAGGCTCAGCAAAATATCGAAGATTTTTGCGCAGTAACATTTTGCTGCAAAATATCGAGGTGACGTCAGGAGCAGAATCTGTCTGGGTGAGAGGGCCAGATCAGAAGCGCACTGCGCATCCACACTGCCCAGGCGCCCAATTAGAGTACATAAACCCGGGGGGGGGGGGGTTATGTACTCTTGATACTACTAAGTACTAGCGCTTGATTCTATGCTCTACGAGTACGAGCGCAGCCGCTAGCGCTAGCTAGGTACAGTCCATTCAGAAAAGGTTGGGCGCTGGCTCTGGAGAGCTCCCGTGTTTGGCGATTTTGTGGTACACTGTGCAGTGCCGCGCGATTCGAAACTTGAAAAAGGGTCCAAAAAGGCACCTCAACTGGGGTTCGAACCGCAAATGTACCGTAAAATCCCGCCAGAGCGCCCCGTCTCTCCCATCCGCCCCTCCCTGACTTCTTGTCAGGGACGTGATTGATTGTATCCTCGTATGACTCTGTCGCAGTCTGTGATGCCGTACTGCACTGCAGACGCGTGCTCAACCCCGTTGGAAATGTACGCAACAGTGCCCACCCTCCTGACCAGGGATCGCACAAACCCTGCGTTTTGTCGGGTCTGCATGACTCCTGGCTCTTGACCTTTGGTCGGTGTACGAGATGCACGAACAGTTTTCGTAGGGTGAGTACTTTTTCATGTAGCACTGAATGCGACAAATAGGACTCGCCCATCCGCCCCTCCCCACCTGAAGCGTCGAGGAGGTAGGGGCGCTCTGGCGGGATTTTACGGTACTGTTATGCAAGTGGAGTGAACGGCCTGGATTTTCATGGTTTTTACCCAATTCAGTGCTTTGGGGGCAAAACCTGGCCGAAATCCTATTCTTGTTATGGCTTGCTTTTTGGAGAAATAGACTTCAAAAACACAATTGGAAGAGCATTCCATGGGGGATTGCCAAAAAAAAAGGAGACGAAAACTCAAAATTTGACCCGTTTATGGCCAAAAGCTAGGATACCAACCTTTTCTGAATGGACTGTAGCTAAGAGAAAGACCAAGGAACTACAACAAGTAAGTAAATTACGCTATACTTGTCCACTAACACCACCAGTTACTAAACAATCTTTGTATAATTTGTAAAATTACGACTCCCTGGTTTGCACTATCGATTACGAACTGCGCTGCGTACATGCGCATGCATGCGCGCGGAATGAAAAAAAACGTTGACACATAAATTTTGGCACATGTTTTTTACATGTTTGTTTGCACTTTTTCTTGGAAAGACGAAGAGTCAGTTGTTGGTTGTGACTTTATATCCTTGACAGTTCAGGTTTTTGCTGGAGGAAGTTCGTTTCCTCTCCACTCGGCAAGCCTAAAATGATGTCGGATGAGAAACGTAGTGATGCGTGTGAAAAGACGGACCAGGACGGTGATGTACTTGCTGCTTTGGACTCTAGCTACGTAAAACATCCGTTACACAACGGCTGGGACTGGTGGTTTTTCAAGAACGATAAGTCTCGTGAGTGGAGGACGAATTTGAAGCAGATCACAGTTTTTTCTACCGTAGAAGATTTCTGGGCTCTTCACAATCATATCCAGCCTGTCTCCAATCTTCCTGCCGGATGTGATTACATGCTTTTCAAGACAGGAATTGAACCTACGTGGGAGGATTCCGCAAATAAACGCGGTGGTCGCTGGCTAATGCAGACGGGCAAGACAGTTCGTGCTGAAAAGCTGGACACTTATTGGCTCGAAATTCTACTACTCCTGGTCGGCGAAGGATTCGGTGATGATGCAGATTGTGTGAATGGAGTTGTAGTACAGATTCGTGCCAAAATGGACAAATTGGCTCTGTGGACCAAAACTACAGACAAGCAGCAAAATGATCGAATTGAGCGGAGATTTCGTGAAGTCTTGAAATTGCCCTCGAGTATTACAACACACTTTGAGCCTCATCAGGATGCGTTGAAGAGCATTTCAGCACCTAGAAAGCCATTCTCCAAATAGATGCTGCTATAATGGCTGCTTCTATTACTGCTTGTCAGCCAAGGAGAGAGCTTGCCATGACGTTAAGACGTTCTCGACCGAGTATTGTACTGGCATGGAGAGAGTCATGTTGCCGAAATATACTCAACTGAGGTACTTTGGAGTATTCTGCTGCCATAATGATATTACGATGGCCCAGTTTGTGTCTTTGTTCTGTGGTTTCCGATGTTTGTGGAAATTTGGACCAGTCTTCGGCTCGACTATTTATTGTTTACTCTATTTTTTACAATCCTCTTGTGCTGTGTGCATTTGCTGCATTGGTACGTAGTGTCATGGTGTACGTTGGCAATTTCTTTCTCGTTCTCAGCCACGTTTTCTGAAGTGCCCTCTACGAAAATCTCCACTTGCACTGTATTGAAAGTGTGGGTTCTCAACCATGTTGTCTTGATGACACTACCCTAGTAGGAGAGCCCTCTGGTTCTTTACCACAATAACTGCTAGTTCTCCGACTTCAGACTCCCTGGTAGCTCTCATTCGGCATTTACCGCTGTAGTTTGATAAATTCATATTCTTTTTCTGTTTTCATTTTTTTAACTAACACATGCTCATTTGCTATACAGTAATTTGGGTTGAGGGTTCCGTGCTTTTTGTTGTCTCTTTTTACCTTTTTTATCTTTTATTCTGCGTGCACCTCAATGCACTCCAAGAGTGCATGGGGATGCTCTATCTAAGCAGGCTGCAGGTTCTTTTCTGTCTGCCATTGTTATTTTGAGTTCAGGCTACAAGAAACACCCGAAAGCACGTGTCCATTGCACACTGTACTGACACTGTGTATGTGTGGGTGGGTGTTTGTTCCTGTCAACTTGTCTGGTCTTTGCCCAGCTACGAATCGGACAGTCTATAAAACTGGGTCGTGTCAAGACTGTGTCTGTCACCCCTAAAGAGTCTACAACTTTACAATGCAGTTTCATGCAAGTATACAACTTTGGCGTACAAGCTCATGCACCGGTACGACTTTGTAGTACGTTTTCAACATGTGCTATTTTCTTGTACATTTCCATGAATAACGCGGGTTTTATGCAAAATCTCTCGAAAACGCGGATGACAGCCAATAACTCAGAAAATTGCGCGTCCGCGGAATCACGGTATCCTGTGGGGACACTCCAGTACAAACATCGTAAATCACTCTTGTGAAGAGCATTGCATCATAAAAAGTCAAAAAAGGATGCCGGGAGTTGCACACTATATGTATTGCGTTGGGCTAGTAGCAAGAGTGCATACCGTATTTCCCCGATTATAAGTCGCACCTTTTTACACTAAAATTCAGAGTAAAAAGGGGGTGCGACTTACAATCGAGCATGACTTACTACTGAAGTGAATATATCGCAACAACATTGCTCAAACCTGAAAATAGGGGTGCGACTTATAATCGAGTGCGACTTATAATCGGGGAAATACAAAGTACGGTAATCTTATTTTCTCTTGGTAAATCCCCCCCCGTAATAGTAGTAGTCATCTTTCTTGTTCAATCCACAAAATGTGATGCAGAAAGTGAAGAACCATCCGAGGTAAATAGCCATTGTAAATATGAAAATGTTATTATCATACTTGCCAACCCAGCCAACGCAAATCCCTTAGTCACACACCCAGTTTCCCTTCATTTTCTCTGATTTCCCTCATCTTCCTGGTTTTCGCCAATTTCGGTCATTTTCTCTTTTTTGGGCCATTTTTGATCGTTTTGAAGTATTTTTCCGCAATTTTTTGGCCATTTTTTTTATTTCTGTCACACTATACCATGCCCTCTACCACACGCCGAAAATAAATCGCCGCCGAAATGTCAAAAATCGTGAAGTGCCGAAATTTTGCAGCGCCGAAATTTTGTATATTCACAGTAATGGGAAAAACGGTATGGTTGGCAAGTATGTATTATGCCATGCTAGCCGCGTATTATTAATTTTCTCTTGGTAGTAGTAGAATTGATTATTGTGGGGTTTATGTACTCTTGGTCGTGTGATGTGCTGTATTTGTCTGGACTGTGTGGGGAAATCTGACCCAAACTGGCACCTGAACCAGTCCCCATCACATAACCAACATCCCTGGTAAACTATCAAGCAAGGCTGACATATACCACCACTGTATTTGCACTTTTGCAGTATGCTGTATTGGTACATATTTAAATGTGTGCTCAGCACTATCAAACATCTTATTGTTTGGCTTCAGTATACACTTGCCAAGGATCTTTTCTTCATCTATCCGAACAACGTGGTCTAGCCACTCTAGCGGGCGGTTCGCGATCTTAATACTAGTATCGATTGGTTCCAGATCCCGCCCCGAGTTCCGACAGCCGTGTGCGCACACCGTGAACATGCCCATTGCCGATGGCAATGATAGCGAAGGGACTATCTGCTAGCTTTTGCAGTACAGAGTGTGGTGCTTGAGATCCCCGGGACGACGGCAGACCTTTTCGCATGCACAGCGGAAGCCAGAGTCAGGATCAGTGGAAGGATGACAGAGAGCCAATCTACCTACAGGCAGAGCGATCGAGGGCAGCAGCAAACCAGCAGTCAGAAGGTGCTGGGAGGAGGGGCTGATGGAGCGGAGATCAACGGTGATGCCACACCACCGCTTGCGTGGCACACACACCATTGACCATTTGACGCCCATCGCCAGAGGCGATGATAACGATGCTACAGCAGAATCCATAGCAACTTGTGCTGGGATTGCACCATTCAACAGCTTTCAAGGCTGAAGAATTAATTGACCGCCACTATTCAGCCTGGTCTACACCACACAGCTATGAAGTGGCTTTTCTGGCCGTTGAATCCCTACTTTTTGGTCTTTTTCATTTTTTCCGCACACACATCACACCACGTGCACTGGCTGTTGGTAGCCACCCTGGAGAATGAAAGAAAAGTCAGGAGGAGTCTGAGAAAGAAAAGAAAGACATGTGTGACCATAATCGTTGGGAACGGAACCTGCAACCACTTGATTGGAAACCGCTGCACTATATGGGACACACACACACACACACACACACACACACACACACACACACACACACACACACACACCATTTGGACCATTTGACGCCCATCGCCAGAGGCGATGATAGCGATGCTACAGCAGAAGCCATAGTAGCTTGTGCTGGGATTGCACCATTCAACAGCTTGCAAGGCTGAAGAATTGACTGCCACTATTCAGCCTGGTTTACACCACACAGCTATGAAGGGGCTTTTTCTGGCCAGTGAATCCCTTCTTTTTGGTCACACACACACACACACACACACACACACACACACACACACACACACACACACACACACACACACACGCACGCACACACACACAAGTGAATAATTTAGCACTGTGCAAAGCACCGTGAAAGATGACTTTGCATGGCGTTGCAAATAGTTCATGCCTCATGTACTACAGGTACAAACACTGATACCGGTCATGAGCAGGGAGTAGTAAAATAATACCGTAAAGTACCGTTGATCCGCCCCCAACTCCCACCACGCCATGTCGCTTCCCAGCTAGTGTTCGGCAGGGGGCGAGAATTAGACCAAGTCGTTCAAGTGCAGTACGATGTGCAACAAAGCAGAAGATCAGACCTGGAATGGTGGATTGTGCACGTTTTCATCCTGCACTTGCACGTATTGTGTACAGCAGTACATGCGTCGGTTCAACATCGTATGTATCTAATTATTGACTGAGTACGAGGTCAATATAGGAAATAAAAGCCGAGTAAAAGATCGAGGCGAAGCCGAGGTCTTTTATTTCCTATACTGACCAAGTACGAAGTCGATAATAGATTTATCACGACTAGCCAAAGCCTGTGTTCAATCGCTAAAAAGGAGTCAAATATAAGCGGTCAATATAGCCCTAAGGAGTGAAATATGCAGGAATATTTGACTGCTTAGGCATGGCAAAAATCTATGGGAGTCAATACTAAGGGAGTGATAATTAGTTGTATACGCCTACGTCGCTTCACAGGCATAAATTCTACAGCGGGCAGGAATTAGAGCGGGACGGACCAACGGTACTTTACGGTACTACTCCCTGCACATGAGTCAGGGTTGTAGATTAGGGCATTTAGTCGACTATTGAGGATAGAAGAGTGACTTGAAGAAAAAAGCTTCAACTCAGAGGATATGAGCTAAGTAAAGACGAAGAGAGAAGTTGTGTAGAGGATTTTGACAGATAACTCAATATGAACTGTAAATAAGTCCGGATAAAATCAGTTGACACCATTTCACTTTGATTTGTAACGACGGTATAGAAGCTATAGATACAACTGGCTACCATAGTCATGTCAGACAAAGATCAGGTGGGGGTCTATATTCCCATGTTTGCTGCGCGGGATACGTCATATCCTGTAAAAAGGCTAGGAGGGAATACTGAAGGCAGCAATGTGCAAATTCTAAAAATTCTACATCTGATGACAGCGCATCATCTGGGTATTGGTGCACAATTCCTCGTACAGAGACTGTGACAATCAGTCGAAAAAGGTCATACAACGATCAAGGAATGTGTAAGCTGGAGACCTTGATACTGCTGCTGGTGGAGTGAATTGACACAAAATAAGTATAATATGTAGAAGGCAAGCTATCCAAACTAAATGTAAAGGCGAGAGCTAGCCAAATGCAACTAAGCAGCCATTTCACGCAGCGTGTTCACTGTGCCGACAATCATGCCCAACAAACCGAAGGCTGTGATGAATATATCTTTGACAAGCATGAATGGTGTCCTTTCATTCCAGAAGATGATGAGCTCCAGAATCGGGGGAAAGATCAGAGCCAATGCACTGCTCGAGAAGGAGCCAACCAGGGAGATGGCCAAGTCTAGTCTTGGTACGACTATTGCAATCACAGCTGTACTCATCGGACAACAACAACAACAACAACAACAACAACAACAACAACAAAAGCAGCAACAGCAGAACCAGGAGTAAGGAATACGACTAATAGCAGTGACAACAGACGACACCAGAGGCAAAGCTGAAGGACAAAGATATACACTACTAGGAAACAAACGCTGCCGTTTGACAGTACACAGAAGTGACAGAAGCACACCACCAAGAAACCCAACAACAGTGTGATAACACGGAGCAAACAAACAGAGAGACAATTTCGAGAAACATGTTTGACTTCTAAGTTAAAAGCAACTAGAATGTATTCCGCTAGATGCTAAAATAGTAGATACCGTATGTCCGCACCTTTAAAGCCATGGCGGTATATTCGATTATAAAGCCAGTCTCAGTTATAAAGCCATGGGCTTCATAAATGAAATAACATTTGAAGTACGTTTTGTAAAAATGAAGGAATAAGTACTATGCTAACAGACTTACAGCCCAGCAGGAAGGGTGAACAAGTGGATTTAGATTGAAATTTCTGTGTGGACTTTGACTTTTATGGCATGGCGTAGTGGGTGAGTCATTTCACATCTAAAATATCTAGGAAAGCAGCGGCGTTTCGAATATAAGGCCATGGCTTTAAAGGCGCTGACATACGGTACGTACCGGTGATGCCAACGAATACAACGCGTACAAAGTAGGGAGCAAAGCGCTCAAGACGTCCACTGTACTTGATAATTTTACGGTGCACTATAGCCAGTGGTACGTATAGCTGTACAAAGTAGGTGGCAAATATGCTGAAAGCGTAGAACAGACGAACGTATATGTAGGGTCTGTAGACAGAGAATAGAATATGACACACAGAAAACAGGCACATGTGTTGGTCAGTGCTGCTTCACCACACAAACACACACACACACCAGGGTTCTAGACAAGGGGGTGGTGGTGCAGCGCTCTCCCCCCCCCCCCCCTACTATGATAGGTGATAACACACCACCCTACTCTTTTTTTCGATTTCGTGTCTTTCAGATCACACAACAGAAATGCGGCCACAAATCAATCGTTCCCGGTACTCGCTTCGCCCGTACGTTGCATTTTGTGTGACAAGGCAATAGTGGAACATGGAAAATATGGTATAGCTCCCACCCGCTATATAGCTCCCACCCGCTCTTGGGACAAACTATATGTATCCTACTCCAGATTGTAGTTGTTTGCATAGGAAAGAATGTACTTTCCTTATTGTCTGCAAACTCCAGGGCAGCCGATTACACATTTATGAAACCCCACTCCAAATACGGTCTCTTCGCTGCGAAAAAAAGAAAGCTTCACCCCGATGATGGGCCAAGATCGAAATTTTGGTAAAGCATAATAGATTATGATTCGCAGTGAAGAGACCGTATTGGGAGTGTTTGAGTGAAGTTTCGAAAAAGAATGCTCCCATAAAGGCCACCGAGGCGATGTTGTGGCCCGACTTGTCAAGTTAGGGAAAAAATAGTATTTTCCTACTCTCTGGTGAAGAGTGACTGAAGACACACATGTACCAGTTCAGTTATATTCAGCTGGTATGGTGAAGACATACATGTTTTCAGGAACGCCATCAGAAGGCAGATCCAATGTGATGCTGCCCTTGGGCTGACGGAAGGCAATAGCACCCAGCGTGCCCATAGCCAAGTAGAGCACACACGTCAGTAGCATGCCACCGCCCAGAGATGCGGGGAACTGCTTGCGATCACGCATGTCATTCTCCAAAGGCAACACCTAAAGAACAGAACAAGCGCACATGAACCAAGAACAACATGACGAGTTGCCCTTGTTTACATGGGTTGCTGCTGCTGCTGCCACTACGCACTAGACATAGCTACTGAACTACTCATTCAGAGTCATTGGCAGTAGCAGCTACTGTCAGCAGTTGCACAGGTAAATCACAAACATTAGCACACAGCCAGGAGTCCAGGACACTAATGTCTACATGTAAGTCACATGCATTACAACATGGCAGCACTAAGCCAGCTAGCAGAACACAGAAGGTGATTGCCAGCCAGAAACATAGATATAGCACAGAGAAAACTTTACAAGATCAACATACTAACTGTTACAACACTGCCGAGCAGTATCAGTGATTGCATCTGTGTGTAAGGAGGTGAGAGGGCATAGCACCTGGGCTTACATTGCAAAAAGACCATTGTATGTGCACTGTCATCACTCAGGCGTTGGCATGTACATATACAAAGCTGAGATGGTAGTACATGGCTGCATGTCCTACAGTATACTGCATGGCTCAACAACACACACCACAGCAGTACAGTACTGTCGGTCGCCGAAGAACGGTTACGTGTACACATTGGTATGCTGTATTTGGAGAAATTCTAGCCTGGTCGTTCTCCGGCGCTCCGTTCTTCAGCGCCCGGCAGTACTGTAGGTATTTATTGGATGTAGTGTACTTACCAGACATATACCTTCCATTGAGAAGACCGCAACACCAAAGAATAAAGCCGGCTTTGTTGGACTAAGATTCACTTCCGAGATATTAGTATGTGTGACCAAGTAGAAGAAGATGATGAAGATGGAGATAACTTGAACAATGGTAGCGACACCCGACAGAGGGGCTAAATGCTTGAGTGAGCGCAGGAATGAGCCAGGTATGAACAAGATCAGGGAGAAAAGTACGATCATATGTTTCGAGGCATTGAAGCCGCATGCAGCCAAGACCTGAGCAAACACAAAACATCCACACACAAACAAACATAAGAATATGTAGATGTACAAGTACTCATGAGCCATTCATGTATATACAGGACAGAGCAAGGCACTCACCTCATAGCCATGCTACACAAGAAGATGATAGCAGAGATCAGACAAGTATCCCTTGACTAACATACCTGTTGTACATTGGCAGCTACGAACAGCACGTATACACAGCATAGTCCAAACTGGGTCATGATTATGAACATGTTGACAACGAACCTAACAACAAGCAACACACAAACACACACATGCACGTACACACGCGCATACACACTTTCAGGAACGTCTGGTACTGTGTGACACAAGAAACAAACGTTCGCCACTGAGCATGTACAAGAAACCATCCTTTTCTATCCAGAAATCCTTTTCCAGCAGGAGAGACTGCGCTGGGAAAGGTTTCCCCAAAGGGAACAAGTGAAACATGAAACTAAGGAAACTTGTCCAAGTGTGTAACTTTTCGTGCCCGCCTGAATGCGACCTAAGAAAAAATCAAAGCAAGTAAAAGAGAATCATATAGCCCATCGACTTCCAGGAGTCAAACGGTTACAGTACTGTCGGGCGCCCAAGAACGACCAGGCTAGAATTTGGCCAAGCACAGCATACAAATGCATACACAGTGACTCAACTGTGCATAGACTGTAGTACAGCTGTACACGAAAATAAGAGCAATCTAGGTTACGAGGCTGCCCCCCCCCCCCCCCGTTCTTCAGCGACCAACAGTACTGTACTGACATGTGATCAAACCGATCAAGTCAGGTACAGTGTGTACAGCAGATACACTCTTACTTGCCAACACGACTGTAGTGACAGATAGGAGCTGGGAGGTGCTGGAAAGCAAGCTCGGCAACCTTGGCGTAGTGCAAATCCGTGTCATTCTGCTTTCGTCTACAACACATACACAAAGGAGACCACCCAAAAAGTGAACTAAAACAAGAGAATTATTCAGCTATTGTTCAACCGTTCAATAGACCGACTTGGCAATCATGGACATGGACAAGTAGCATGGGATACACCTGTAAAGTGCAAACTTACGATTCTCTCAGACGTGTAGCACAACGCACCAACAAGAACATGCAGTGCACAGCAAGGATACAGATAAGAACCATGCCAATGAAGCCCATCTGAGCAAATAAAAGCACCACGACGCAGCAAGAAAACATACGCAAATTAGGCCACATTCGGATCGAACACCTGAGCTTGTCTACTGCATATTCAACCAAAATTTAAAACTCACACATACTTGTACACTTCAGACCACACACACTAAATGTTCTTTAAAATTAATAAATAGGTAGCCCAGTGCCTGCCAAGACTTGATCACCATTGCTACTTATATTTTTTAAGGCAGTTAGAAGGTGCATACCAATTTAGTATCGAATTTACCAGGCAATTATTCAACAACCTAAGCAAAGAACGGCAAAACTGTTTTATACAGTACTCGTACCCCTGAGCATGAACAAAAGCTGTCCCTGAAAAAGCGCTAGGCCGACTGATTTCTCATCGTAGTCAACGTTCAGGTTCCAGGCTAGTGCATACTAGTATCTCCTTCACCAGGAAGTATCTCTTTGTCTGTCAAATCCTATATATAGGATTTTTTCGAATTTTTGGGAAAGAGTAGATCATACCTTACAAAGTAAAGTGCTTTCTTCAAAAACCTGTTGGAGTCTGCATTCCGTGTTTATCAGAGATGATGTCTGCCAACTTTCACCAGCACAAGGGCTATACTTTTTCTGTAACAGGCTCTCTCGTGCCAAGCTGTCCAGATTTTTCAAAATCCTATACTGTATATAGAATTCGGCCTCTTCAAAAATTGTGTTGTGCTTCCCAGTTTCCCCTGCCAATGAAAACCTTATAGGGGATTCACACACACGGGTAAAACCACGGTTATGGGAAAGTTGTTATGGAAACTATGGTACTGGGGGAAAGGAAGAACCTCTCGGGAAAAAATTGGCAAAGCCGTGGCCGTGGGCCTCAGGGCGTTTGTCAAGGGAAAAATCCCATGGCTATAAGACGCGCATGCGTAGATCTTGTCTTTGGCGAGAACTCTGAACCTTAGTTGTACGAGTGCATCGCAACTTGCATTTTCAGACAGTGCCCATCGGAAAATCGTGCATGGCGAACACAAGATACAGTACAGAATGTACTACAAAAATGCAGTACAGATTATTTTTTTAGTTGCCCCGCCACAAGGCCATGGCCAAACGTGCGGCCAAGGGAAAACTGATCACGGGTGTGAACGGCCCCACTCCTTTGACCGAAGGTCTGAACTTTTACCTTGTCCCGTGACCTCAGGTTTACCCGTGTGTGTGAATCCCCTATAAGTTGACATATCCAAGCCTAGATATGGCCCATATGGAGCTAACAAAAAATTCCATGCATATATGGCTAAAGAAGAAGCACCTCCCAGGCTAGTACCAAAAGAGTATTCCACTATTAATATGTGTACATACTTTAACACAACTGATAAAGCAAATGCCCCATACCTGTAGCGTCTTTAGTTCGTATTGATCTGCGAGCACTTTACAACATGACTTCAATACTAGGAAGTCTGGATGGTGCTAATATTCATCTATTCCACTTCTAGTCTATTTCTACCACTTGTAATTGCAATTCATCAGCAATGATTGCACACAGAGACCTTTCCTGGGGGTCTTAGCCATTGCGTAACCTCTATTCATTCATTTTAGAGAAAGAGATGCATTGTGGAAAAGATCGAAATGCATCTTTAATAACTTTGCTTCCACTTCGACCATTTTCGAGGCTGCAAATGCGTCTTGAAGTCTAATCCTATATATATATATCTGCTCTAGTGCTGCTGCATCGCGCAATGCCCGCTACTTTTTGTAGTTTGAGCACTCTGGCGCTAGAGCGACGAGCTACCTTAATGTCTGTGGTGCCTCCTTTGCACCATGGCTGGTAACTCGGCCTATTTAGCTCGTAGCTGTACTGATGAGGCCTTTATGGCCAAAACAGCTTGCTGTCTACAGCATTGGGTATCACGCTCCTCGGCTTTCGCCTTGTTGAGCACTCTCAGTAGGCTGCTCTAGTGCTGCTGCATCGCGCAATGCCCGCTACTTTTTGTAGTTTGAGCACTCTGGCGCTAGAGCGACGAGCTACCTTAATGTCTGTGGTGCCTCCTTTGCACCATGGCTGGTAACTCGGCCTATTTAGCTCGTAGCTGTACTGATGAGGCCTTTATGGCCAAAACAGCTTGCTGTCTACAGCATTGGGTATCACGCTCCTCGGCTTTCGCCTTGTTGAGCACTCTCAGTAGGCTGCTCTAGTGCTGCTGCATCGCGCAATGCCCGCTACTTTTTGTAGTTTGAGCACTCTGGCGCTAGAGCGACGAGCTACCTTAATGTCTGTGGTGCCTCCTTTGCACCATGGCTGGTAACTCGGCCTATTTAGCTCGTAGCTGTACTGATGAGGCCTTTATGGCCGAAACAGCTTGCTGTCTACAGCATTGGGTATATATATATATATACAAGTAGGATTAACTGTTGACAGACAAAGAGATAAGAGATTGGGGCCGTTCGCGTGAGATCCTACATAAACGAGATAGTGCTGCACCTACAACAGTATCGAGCAGTTGCAGGGCAAGCTGAACGTCAAACTCGATCCCGGTATGCGAGTAGTCACAATGATAATATTACCATTTCAAATACCGGTATACACTTTCATAGATGAATAGAGAACGAAGGGTTTTGCTATGTTAAAGAGTGTATGCGTGTACATATGCTGGGCATCAATTCAATGCAATAACAACGGTGGATAGAATGTCTTACCGGTAGACCGGCGAATGCAAAAGCACTAGGTAATCCCAGCAATCCTGTACCAACGTTGCCTTTCAGAACATGAAAGAAGGCTTCTCTCGCACTGCAAAGGCACATGAGTATAGTACATTAAAAACATCAAACCTCAGTACTGGCAATACTATAACATAGTTATAGTGCAATTCGAAAACAAAGATCATATCGACCATACACACTTAATGTTTAATTTATCTACATGCACTCGCACACTCCATACAGTGTGTGGTATCCAGTACCAACACGACAGCAACAGCAGCAACAGCAGCAGGTGTTTACCAGACGTGAGTTAGTGCTTATCACTGTTGGTTGTAGCTGTCGTTGAACCTGGCTTTTGACAGAGTATCGAGGGCACAAACTCTTTGTTGTACTAAACAGTGTAAATACAGGTACATGCAGTTGAAAGGTTCTGCTTTACGTGAAATGTAGAGAAATCAAGTAAAGAATGGGGGTCTGGGCTAGATTCTACCGCTTTGCGTGTTTAGGGTCCATATTTCTACACGGAGGTGAAAATTATATGTGCAACTCTAGCCCGGGCTGGAGTGAGCAGGCCAGCCCGCCAAGAGTGTGTTTACATGTGCCCGGCTTGGCTGGTCACCAGCCCGTTGGGGGTTTATATGCTATGAACACACTGGTGTGCTGCACCCGGGCTGAAGCGCTTAGTTCTCTTTCTGAAGAAGTTGTTTTAGTTTCATTTCAAGTTATCGACCTCCAATATCAGTTGCCTGCTTTCTTACTTCTCTAAAACCGTCTACACCTTAGCTGTAAACATTGCTACCAAGAGTCTACCAAGCCACAGGCCATAAGCTGTTTATGGACTCTCGGTAAATCGTTTTTCCATACACAAGTCCACAGCCGGTTTCTTCACTGATAAGCATGTTCCCACTCTGAACTAGAAGGTAAACACTACTCTACTGCTACATGGACCGTAGTGCATCATGCTTTGTTGTACATGTATTCTCTGAGAATGAAATATAAAAGTATGCATTCAATATCATGGATATTAGAGAAAATATCGGGAATCCCCTTCAAAACAGTACTAAAAGGTAAGGCCTTGGTCACAGTACATCAAATTTGAAACTGGACGCAGCGTCAAACTCAAGCACTTGACGCTGACGTGGATTCACATTGCATTTTTTTTGCTTTTGCCGTCGCGGCCTGACGCACTTCACAAAACCACTGGGGAGAAGCAAGTTGCTACGATAGAGTACGGTACAGCACGCTATTTTTTCTTCAAAAGTCACTGTTTTCTCAGGCAAGTGCTTGCAGCGGCAGCGGCAACGCAGCCGATTTGCTTGCGTCAGACGGTGCTGCGTCTGACGCTCAAATTTTCCGCGTTTTCGTCAGTTGGCATGGAAAAACTCATGATTCTGACGCCAACGCAGCATTTTTGACGTAGTGTGACCGAGGCCTAAGAGTACATGTTATGCAGAAAGGATGCCTTGTTGCCACCATTAATCATTATTATAATACAACTCATATGCATGCTGGCCTGGGCTAGTCCGTCCATATGTGCGTTTTCTGGCCCGCCTAGTCGGGATCCCGGGTGCTTCGGGTCGGGATCTCAGCCCGCCGGGCCAGCCCGCTTGACAAGTAAACGCACAAAGAGATTTTAGTTGATTTGAGTACAAGCCCGAGATCCCGGATGGAGGTGGGCTGGAGTTGCACATATAGTTGCAACTCATATGGGCTGGAGTTGCACATATAGTTGCAACTCATATGGGCTGGAGTTGCACCCCCGGCGCGGGGCGCTTAGTTGTGGCACACGCTAAGCAAATGCGTACAGATCACTCAAATATGGCAGCAGCCTGTCAGATAACTGCAGTTCTTTTCAATACTAATACTTGAAGCCAAAACACACGAGAACTCAAAGCTTCGCATTGCGTTCCCATCACATAGAGCAGACCTCACTATTAATAATAATAATACCACAGCACGCGTACAAAGGCCAAAGAACAATGCATGAGAATACACTGAAATTAAGCCAAGTCCGCTTATGTCTCCAGTCAACAAAGACTCATCCATAAACAATGTCTGATCTCCATTTCGACTTGTCTGCAGCAAATGCTCGTTCTCCTTCTAGGTCGCTGGCATTCTTCAAAGGGATGTCGTGCCCTGCCAGGTCCTTCATGATGGTGGTAGGGAGAGTAGCTGCGGGACGACCCCTTCGTCCACGTGACCCCGCTTGAAAATAGCAGGACATCGTAAGGCAAGGGGTGACTGCTCACTCATCCTCAGCACATGGCCAGTGAGGCTACGGCATCGCTTGGCAACAAGCTCCGACAGTGGCTGCAAGCCACATCTGGAATACAGATCATCATTTGTAATTCTGTCTGGATATCGCACTCCCATCAGGTTTCTGAGCTGTCGGCGGTGAAAACAGTCCAGTCGCTGAAAGACTGCCTGGGGCACTCCCCATGTCTCACAGTTGTAAAGGAGGACAGGCAGCACAAGCGAGCTGTACAGCTTGAGCCTGGACCTTTCTGACACATACTTGCGCCACAGCCAGAGGCTGCACATGCTACCGTATGCCTGGGATGCCACACTATTACGAATCCATAATGCACCAAGAAGTTCTTGTACACGGTACTGTACAATCATACAGATGTACATCGTACATATACATAACACGACGTACAATGATTTCATAATTGTTGTACTTGTAGTGTACGGGCGCTGTGTACTGGCCTCACTAACAACTATATAAAACCCATAATTATTTGAACGCGATTCACCCAGCTCATGACATGTTCGCTACAGCTACAGTATTATTACTAGCATTACTACTACTAGTGCTAGATGTGTTGCGGATCACATCCGGTTAGTCTAAAAGACAAGCGCTCACCTCGTCCCATCAGCGCGTCCCTGATCTCCTTCTAGGTCGCTGGCATTCTTCAAATGGATGTCGTGCCCTGCCAGGTCCTTCATGATGATGGTAGGGAGAGGAGCTGCGGGACGACCCCTTCGTCAACGTGACCCCACTTGAAAATAGCAGGACATCGCAAGGCAAGGGGGTGACTGCTCACTCATCCTCAGCACATGGCCAGTGAGGCTACGGCATCGCTTGGCAACAAGCTCCGACAGTGGCTGTGAGCCACATCTGGAATACAGATCATCATTTGTAATTCTGTCTGGATATCGCACTCCCATCAGGTTTCTGAGCTGTCGGCGGTGAAAACAGTCCAGTCGCTGAAAGACTGCCTGGGGCACTCCCCATGTCTCAGTTGTAAAGGAGGACAGGCAGCACAAGCGAGCTGTACAGCTTGAGCCTGGACCTTTCTGACACATACTTGCGCCACAGCCAGAGGCTGCACATGCTACCGTATGCCTGGGATGCCACACTATTACGAATCCATACTGCACCAAGAAGTTCTTGTACACGGTACTGTACAATCATACAGATGTACATCGTACATATACATAACACGACGTACAATGATTTCATAATTGTTGTACTTGTAGTGTACGGGCGCTGTGTACTGGCTTCACTAACAACTATATAAAACCCATAATTATTTGAACGCGATTCACCCAGCTCATGACATGTTCGCTGCAGCTACAGTACTAGCATTACTACTACTAGTGCTAGATGTGTTGCGGATCACATCCGGTTAGTCTAAAACTTAAGACAAGAGCTCACCTCGTCCCATCAGCGCGTCCCTGATCTGTGCTGATGCTTTCTGACCCATCACGGGCAAGACAACTCATTTGTCCGTCTTGTGATGCCTGCACTCTGCCTCCGGTGAGGCGTGTGCTTTCATTCGTGCTACCAGCCACTTCATGTTCTGAAACTGAACCACGCTCTGGGGAATCGGACCTTTGTAGGGTATCCTCCAGATAAGATTTACAGCCAGTCCACGCCATGCTGCCAGAAGGAATAGTTCGATAATATTATTATGCTCACTGAAATTTCATCAAAATGCCCAGGAGCAGGGAGTTAGATCTCGACTTCAACATCAAATTATTGTTCTTCCAATTTCCAAGATAAAATCGCCTGTTGCTGGTAATAATTATTAGTTCATAGAGAAGAAGCTGGCGGTCAAAACTGCTAAAATCTTCTGATCACTTTGACAGAAACAAAAATGACATTCTCACGTCCATACAGATACCGGCATGCAGACAGACAGCTTTCATTTCACCACTGCCTCAACACAGCAGTAACTGTTGTAGATATTGGTGCTTCCCCGGCCCCTGAACTGTGAACATCGATCAGTACGCTCGTACAGTGCAGTGCCGGGCCAAGGCAGTCGCGGGCCTCCCGCGCGGCCGGACAAGTGCACAGCGAGCACAGCTTGCACACACACGCCCGGTATCCAGGGAAACAGCCAACCGCGTGTACTACCGGGAAGTTTGAATTTTGGAAGGATTGGTTGATTGCAGTGGAAGGTGTTCGCCTTTTGAGAGCTCGGTTCAGCAGAAAATGCTGTTGAAGAAAGTGATTTGCATTCATAGGGCGAGGTTCCTCAGAAGGAGCTGAGCAACTCTTGTTCTTCAGCTGCATGCACCTGTCGCCTCAGCAGACATGGACGACAGCCTACAAAATGCTTTAGTTTCATGGGTAGGTTTGCAAGACTGCACCTTCCTACATATTTTCAGTTTGTAAAGTTGTTCTGTTTTCTTTGAACTCTACTTGGATTTGATGTCGTGGCTTAGGTGAACACTTTTATTCCCGACAATGTCATCACTTCATTGACGGATACCCAGATTTTTCCAGGAAGGCTGCTTGGACTGATCACAGAGAAGATGTAAGCCATAGTTGCGACCCTGATTGGGAATAGTTGCGAATTCAACTCATACATGCACGTGTGCTGTACAATGACTATGGTATGTAATTGCTTGATTTCGTTCTACCAGATACGACTGCGTACAACGTGCATGTAGACGTGAAGTGTGCTCCGGTACATGTCTCTACCAACCGTAACTGTGGGGTTTAGGATCAAGAAAACTACGAAAAAAGAAGCTCAACATATCTGTTGATGTTTCACTTGACACATACAGTGTGACACACTGATTTATTATTTGTCAATAGTAAACTGCAATTGTGCTGCCTGTGGTGATAACAGCAGTTAGTTGTAGTCGGCTCTGTCAACTCTCCCTTCTCAACCTCCTGACATCATGCTGTTTCGACCTTGTTGGCTCTCATCAGCGGAGCTCAGAGTGACTGGCCGAATCGATCGCAATAAATTGTAGTTTACAGCAAAGCACTTTTTAACTCTCTCTCCACATCACGTGTAGTCTCCATCTTGTGTGTGTGTGTGTGTGTGTGTGTGTGTGTGTGTGTGTGTGTGTGTGTGTGTGTGTGTGCGTGCGTGTGTGAGTGTGTGTGTGTGTGTGTGGAAGCTCCTCCTTTGATTGTCAAAGTACAGTCAACTTCGCTAATAACGGCTGCGGATATAACGACAATTCGCGAATAACGACAGAATTTCCATGCCCAGAGCAAAGTCCCATCCAACTGGAATACATACAATGAGACTTCGGGTATAACGACACTTCGCGAATAAGGACACCTTTTTGATGCCCCGCCGAGTGTCGTTATAAGCGAAGTTGACTGTACTCCGTCTGTTGATCGTAATCCCTGGGGATTCACAAGGTACTCCAATATTCTTGTAGAGAGCCCGCTGAGATCAAGTTTTTTCGTCAGTCTATCAAAATCGAGCCTACTGTAAAAGCAGAAATTTTCATTGGTGTATTTTTGGTAACTTCGGTGCCAACAATTTTTACCTAAAATTAACGTTTGTAACATGGGAAATTGTGGGCACAAGTTATGCGATCGAGTCCACCAACTAAACCAGATTTTGAACAGTCAGACGTGCACAATCTAGCACAAAGAAGTGTGCCCACAATTTCCCAGGTTACAAATCTTTTCCTTGGCTCACCATCTGAGTTTTTAAAATAAAACGCACCGAAAATTTTGGTACTAGTACGCTTACCTGGAAAACGGGTTTACCGAAAATTTCCGTCCACCGAATCGTCGATTTTAGAGAATGCCGAAAAATTACACCACCGAAAATTTCTGCTTTTTGTAGCCTGAATTTTTTGTTTCTATCTAGCGTCCCTGTGCATAATGAGACTGCAATCGCGGCCATGATTTGCTGACCCCACCCACACGTGGTGCAGGCCATTGCTGCCACATGAGAGCATGCATACATTGGCCCGGCCCCAAGGGCTAAGGGAACAGCCAGCCCAAAAACTCACTGCACCTTGCTCACATTCCCCTCGTCTGTGTTATCTGCCTAGATGCCAGAACACCTGCTAGCCACTGTGGCACAGAGCATGGCTACAGACTAACAGTGCACAAGCTGTATGTGTGCAGAGCATGACTACAGTGCACAAGCTGTATGTGTGCGAATGAAAATGGCAAACAAGCTCTGGGCTTGTTCAATGCTCAAATTGTTGGTTTTGTGATGTGAGATTTGCCTGTGGTCACAATCATGAAAAGATTGCTTACTTTGTCATACCTTGCCGGTGCTTCATACTCGTTGTGCATACATGTACATATAGTTATGTTCTGTTTGTGCGGGTTACAGTATTCTACATGCATTGTGCTTTTGTCTTCTTTTTCTTTTCTTTTTTTTTAGCTTTGGAGCTGGAGCGGATGCATGCCCACACGATGAGGAGGAATGCCTGGAGTATGTTTCTACCGGCCTTGCTGGTACGTCGTTGTTTATACTTATGGAACATAGGTTACATATCCACAGAACTCAGGTACTGAGGCTCTGTCTCAGAACTCATTGACGTACTTCATGTCATTGCAGTCGTGTCCACCAAGCATAGATTACTTGCTTTGGCCATGTTTTAATTGTTGTTGTGCCGTGCCATGTTTGTGTCTTTGCTGTACCATGGCATGTTCGGATCAGAATTGTTTTTGTACCGTGCACAGAGGCACAATGTTTCCTTTTTGAAATCTGAAATCAGACCACGTTTGCATCATTGTGTGTGTGTGTGTGTGTGTGTGTGTGTGTGTGTGTGTGTGTGTGTGTGTGTGTGTGTGTGTGTGTGTGTGTGTGTGTGTGTGTGTGTGTGTGTGTGTGTGTGTGTGTGTGTGTGTGTGTGTGTGTGTGTGTGTGTGTGTGTGTGTGTGTGTGTGTGTGTGTGTGTGTGTGTGTGTGTGTGTGTGTGTGTGTGTGTGTGTGTGTGTGTGTGTGTGTGTGTGTGTGTGTGTGTGTGTGTGTGTGTGTGTGTGTGTGTGTGTGTGTGTGTGTGTGTGTGTGTGTGTGTGTGTGTGTGTGTGTGTGTGTGTGTGTGTGTGTGTGTGTGTGTGTGTGTGTGTGTGTGTGTGCTATGCACAGAGTACTACCAAATACCTGGCAACCAGCTTGTCTCTGTCCAGGACATATTCCAGAGATCAGAACTGGCTATTGGCAAGGTACAGTACGGGAAGATCAGTAGAACCTTTTGATGTGATGCTATATCAGCGGGTAAAAGTACATAGCCAAAAGTGAGGAACTTCCATTACAAGCTGTGATGGAGTTATACTATTGCATCAACAGTAATAGCGGAAGTGTGATTACTAAGTTTATTGACTTCCACGATTGTCGTTCTAATATGAGCTTTGGCACCTGGCTATTTGTCATTTTAGGGATACCAACGGCAGTCTACTACTGAAGTAGGAAGCAGTCCCTCAGCTTCGATTACAGCTACTAATGAATTGCACTCCCACCCCCACCTCTCTCTCCTCTCCTCTCTCTCTCTCTCTCTCTCTCTCTCTCTCTCTCTCTCTCTCTCTCTCTCTCTCTCTCTCTCTCTCTCTCTCTCCCGCAGTATGAATATCTGCACCCACTTGAGCAGTTGCTATCTTTCAAGCTGTCATCAGCATATCCTATAATGTTTATGGTTTCTGGCTAGAACACAAGTGTACGATCTACATGTATGTTACAAATTGGTGAAATCGGTTTCATGAGGGGTTTCCATACACTCCTGTAGGAATTTATAGCAGGTCAGCCAATTTTGTGGGTGTAGCTTCCATCATGGTATACATGATTTCCACAGGCCATGGCTGGTGACATGCCCATAGCATGGCTTGTGGTATGCCCATAGCATGGCTGGTGATATCCATATAGCATGGCTGGTGTTATCCATATAGCATGGCTGGTGATATCCATATAGCATGGCTGGTAATATACACATAGCGTGGCTGGTACATCAGTTAGTTCCTGGTGCTGATGTAGCAGCCAGCTACTGTAAAACACGATATTTTCGGTGTAACTTTAATTTCGGTGATTTCGGTAGTGAAAACCAGCACCTAAATTTAGATTACACCTAATAGGCACCAGAGTATGCATTGTATGTGAAGGGAATGCTGGTCACCTAATTCTACAGTACACCTGAAACCTGGCAGGTCCCTGGCACCGAAATTTTGATGCACCTAAAATTACATGTTTTACAGTATGTGGATATCACCGGCCATGCACTGACTGACCATGCATCGACTAGGCGCCATTTGCAAACTGATGATAGCGGTGAGAGAAGGAGCGCTCTTTGCCAGACCTTGGCAGCTTAGTCTCTGTGTTGTGTGCATGCATGCATACCCATCTCAGGGCGTAGGAGGGGTTTTGGAAGTGGTACGACCGAAGGTGGGCGCGGCCGAAGGCCCTGTTGGAGGCGGGTCCAGGGGACCTCCCCCGGGAAAATTTTGTAAAAAAGACACAACATTCTGCGTTCTGGGAACTTCTGGCACACTGACTGTGCAGTCAATTGATCAAGTCGAGTACATGTATACAGTACTCAGTACGACTGCAGATGCATAACAGATCTACGAGTACGAGTCTAGAAAAAGGTCATATGTGCGCATATGCATTTGGATGGATCCTGATTTTTTTATTACGGTTTTGCACGTTCCGGACGGACCACACTTTTCGAAAAGTGGTACGGCCATGGTCGTACCAGTCGTAGCGGGTGCTACGCCCCTGCATCTTCAGCTAAAAATCTGCTCAGTGCAGTTTCGGGTTTTCATTTTTCCCTTTTTTGTGAATATTTGCGTACGCCTGTATGTAGGTCCTGATGCTGCTTCTGTCATGGGCAGTTCATTCTCAACAGGTGGAGCAGTTCATTGCTGACATCCGTAGTCTCTCATCTGAAGACCAGCACTCGTTGATGCTTCTCATCAACAGTACTATGAAGCAGTTTGGCGATGGGGCACTTGTTGCTGGTACATTCCATGTTGGTCTTGTCTGTAAGTACATGTACATATCTAGTCTAGGTGTATGGATATGGGTAGTATGGGTATGGGTATGGGTAGTATGGGTATGCTTATTGCTATGACGGTCACACATGGTTTGGGTCTTTTGTATGTTTCATTGGTTCAACTGTCACAGTCGTACTTCTACATGTACATTGTACTGTCACTACATGCATTCTTGTTCTTGTGCGCAGGTTCAAGTGACACAGCAGCAACTGCTGATATACCTGATGGTGCAGCATTATCCACACCATCCAACACAGACAGCGAAGCTGCTGAAATGTCACCGACAATCGATGACTCGTTAGTGCGTCCACCCGGTGGTACCCCGGCAAGGGGACTTCCCCATATCGATGATACCTTGCAGTCACCGGTCTCCCACTGCAAGGTAGGAGACGGAAAGAACATACTGTTGGTTTTGTTTCTCTAGGATCAACGCTCTACAGAATACTGATTTGATCTTATCAGATACTGATCTGTGACTACTGATCTGTAGTACCCAGGTTGGTTGCAGACGTGTTGAGCTATGCTATGTGATGTGAAGCTATGCTGCTGTACCACTGTATGGATAGATGACTCTTGAAGTGCAGGCAGTTGAACACACCTGGCGGGTTATATACGTTTGATCATATGCTATCCAGATGATGGGAATATCGTTTGTTCACTCAGTAATGGTTTCTCTGCTGTCTCTTTCATCTTTTGAATCATATTACAGTCAACTCTGGCAAGATCCCGTCTTGATTCTAGAATCAACCCAACTCCTACAAGCAGCAGGAAGTTTGTTTCTCGTTCGAGTCAACCCAGTGTCCACTTCACACCACCTAGCTCACGTGTCCCCTCCACCCCAAAGGTGTCTAGTTCAAAGCAATCAGGCGCGTGGAGGAACGCGTCACCTGCTCTTAAGCGTTGGATGACCTCTCCAGCCTGCTCCAAGTCTACCAGCACCACTTCGGCTGAGGTTTGTTTGAAAAATACTTAGTGGATTTAGGGTTTGTTTGAAAAATACTTAGTGGATTTAGGGTTTGTTTGAAAAATACTTAGTGGATTTAGGGTTTGCGCTAGGCACTATATACCAGTTTATCGCCTTCTTAGTATTTGACCCCACTAATTTCCCTGATACCTAAGCGGTCAAATATATCGCGTATTTGACTGCTTAGTCAAATACACGATATATTTGACTACTTATATTTGACTCCTTAGAACTTCTTGGACTTAGAAATTTTCTCTCCAACTTAGAAAAAGAAATTTTTGAAGAGAGCAGATATACACAAGATGGGATTTGAACCCACAACCTTGTGAATCTCAGTCACTCTTCCTTACCACCCAGCCACTGTGCTACCGATGCTGAACCTAGTTTAAACAATGCTCTTGACTTTCAATGCAGTACAATGCAGTATAGGCTATAGTATAATACTAGAATTACAAGGATATGTCGTATATGAAGAGAAACTATTGCGTGGAGAACACGATAAATAGATTATAGACCTCATAGTTGGTCTATACAGGATATATAGACCTCGTAAAAGACCTCGGGGGACCTCGGTCTTTTACTCGGTCTATATATCCTGTATAGACCACCTAACCGGTCTATAATCTATACATATTGTGTGTTCAGTAGAATGAGCAGATTATCAGATTATCCAAATATCAACTACCCGGATAATTGATTATCCGAAATGCATATTTGCACGTATTGAAGGGACAACTGCGAGTGCTCGTTTTTCCCACCCGGAGCACAGTTCAATGGCAGCGGGTTGAAATGTTTCCCAATGGGTGATTTCGAGGAGCTGTAGTGTCTAATTCCTGTAGTATTGCCAAAGAGAATGAGAAAATGATGAAAACATGAGGGATATGCTTTTTACATGGATGTGTGTCCGCTTCCTTATCCGAACATGCTCCTCATCCAAGCTCCCTGGAGATGGCCCTGCGCCTGAGGGGTACGGAGAATTGGCACTCTACTGCACTAGTACATTGGCCTCTCTCTCTCTCTCTCTCTCTCTCTCTCTCTCTCTCTCTCTCTCTCTCTCTCTCTCATCCGCGCCCCCCTCATTGTATCATCCATCTGGCACGTCAGATTGATGTACGGTGCTGTGTTTGGTGCTTTTTTTTAACTTGTCACTTAGTCCAATGATGGCATTCATCAGCGCATGTCATCAGTCACCTATGCATTGAGAGAGCAGATAAGTCTAAGGGAGGACCTGGAGATGCAGCTCAGTCAGACACAGGAAGACCTAACTAAATCAGGTAAGGTTACTGGCCTGACACACAATGTCGGTTGTACATGTACTAGTATTACTGCTACAGAGGTTACGTGAATGGCAGCATGTTGCAATGCCTTGTATGAAGTGACACATCAGTTCTTGCCAAGTCGCTCTGGACAAAGCACTTCAAATGATGTCAGCGATATGTTTAGTGATGTTACTGATGTACCGCATTGCACCTACTCAAAATTTCACTTGCCACTATTGTCCGTAGCACATGTGCTATATACCGGTATATGCTTGTAATCACCCTGAGCCATGTCAACGTCATGTGGCGTCACAGAGAGTGATGTAGTACGTCTGGTCCACACTGCTCCATGCGATGGTGGCCAGACAAAGGCCCCGAGTGCCAACCGGTATCTGGTTGTAACTCAGGAGTATTGTTCCTTGCACTGTGTCCGCCACCTTGTGAAAAGCTGTCAGTATCATACCTGGTAACCTCACAAGCAAGGCTTACATATCTCTCTGACTTGTATGCCATCAGCATTCCTTAGCCAACTGGTTTATCCTGCTGTGCCTGGTCTGTTTGCAGAGCGCAACGTTCGTGAATACGAACGCCAGTGTAAAGTCTTGGAGGCTCAGGTTGCTGAGATGGAGGACTTACAGCACACTGAAGTGGAGCTGAAGAAAACGCAAGCCAAACTGGAGAGGTATGGGTTACTTTACCTGTGCTAACGCTATGCGATGTCGTCAGTTTTAATCCCAGCATTTTTAATGATAAACCTTCAATCTGGATGAATACTACAGTACAGCTGTGGCAAGGGAAATCAAATCCCTAGTTTCTCAGTGTTCAGTGCCAGCAGCATGCGCTTGCAAAAACAGATAGACATGAAGCAAGACCAGCAAACAAGCAGCAAAGGGGGTCCAGCTAAAAACTGCATAGCATTCAACAGTAGTGTTAGGTAGCTGAGCCGCCGCCGCACAACAAGAGCAAGACGTGATACTGACAAACGTGTTAACGTTTCAGCAAGTTTATATCTTCTCCAGAATGATGTTGAAAACGGGAGAGAGCGTGGTTTGTAGGATGAGATAATTCTCTATGTGCCAAATAATTGGTGCACTGATATTGCTGAAAGTTATAATAGGATATGGAAAACATTAACTGGTATTGTACCAAATGTGACACCACAAAGTAGATGCAACTACACGTGGTGGGAAACAGAACAGTAACAAAGTAACGTACTACACTAGTAAGAAACAACAGCAAGAGGTCAGTGACAAAACTAGCACACAAACCTCACACACACACACACACACACACACACACACACACACACACACACACACACCGGAGTGCGTGTGTGTGTGTGTGTGCCAGTGAGTATGCGAGTGGGCGTGTGTGAGGTTTGTGTGCTAGTTTTGTCACTGACCTCTTGCTGTTGCTTCTTACTAGTGTAGTACGTTACTTTGTTACTGTTCTGTTTCCCACCATGTGTAGTTGCATCTACTTCGTACAGTTTGTGGTGTCACATTTGCTACATGGCCGCTTCGTGTCGTTCAACTTGTGATACCCTTTATTCACTTTCAGCAATATCATCGCGCCAATTATTTGGCACGTATCATTTCCACCTGTCTTAACTATGTTCTCTCCCATTTTCAATCTCATTCTAAAGAAGATATGGACTTGTTGTATCAATCAAGTATTGCTCCTACTGTGTGGTTAGGCAATCTACTGTTGTATGAAACGGACCGGCAGACCAGAAAGGAGAGAGCAACAGAAGCACAGACTAGCGTTGGCTTGTGCATTTCTTCTGAACCCTGTTCTGATTCCCAATTTACTTACGGGCTAACAGCTACACGTTGGCGTACACTGCTTACTTGAACGTCTTTCGATTGACTCACTGTTTCGGTCTTGGCGCCGTCATCATCCACTTGCCCATTAGAAATGTAGCAATACTGTGGAACTGCAGGCAGCTGTGTTGTTTTGTCCTCTTTCTGATTAGCGAATTATGTGGAGCGCTAACGACATCGTATTTTGCTTTGATGCTTGCAGAGCCATGAAGCGTTTAGAGTCAGCCAATGATGTGAAGAACCATGCTGAACATCTTCAAGAGCAACTCACCATTGCTAGAGCTGATGTCATCTCCTTGGAGACAAAGGTACGGTAAAGCTGATAGCCATTCCTTTGGTGGTGGTGGGGGGGGGGGGGGGGTCTCTTGTGCAAGCATTGAAGCTGTCTTTGAGAGTATCTTTAGCATTCACGTTGGACAACATCATATACTTTGCAGGAATTGTTGTCAAGTCTTCGTACATTGTTCATCATCAGCATCTCTAGGTCACAGCAGACTTACTACAGTTGCGCTCACTGAAATCCGACCCAGAGTGCAAAGCTGGCGGCGCCCTGGACCAGTTCTGATTACATCATTGTAGGTGTACATGTGTACGTGCAGTCGCATTCATTCCACTGCCAGGGCCAGGTCAAGGGCCGAGCAAGTTGAGGGTGCCAGTTTTGCACATTGGGTCGGATTTCAGTGAGCGCAACTGTAGTTGCTACATTGTATGTACCGTCTTTCCACTGTTGTCCTGTTGTCAGATGGCACAGTCTGATGATGTGGCTGGTCGTGTTGAGTTCTACAAAGCGCAGCTTCACAGCTCAGAGCTGCGCTGTAGCTCTGAACATGCTCATGTAGAGCAGCTGCAGTCTGAGGTGGAAAAACTGTCCACACGCTACGGTGAATCTACTGCCAGTGTTGCCACGGTCACAGCTGAAATGACCAGACTTCAGGGACAAGTGGAAGTGTTGCAAGAGGAACTAGACAAAGTTACAGGTATGGTGCTTTGTAGTAGTGACCTTATTATGATCATGGCGACTTACTGTAATTTCACAAATTTTCGGCGTGCTTTTATTTTCGGTACTTTCAGTGCATCTGTTTCATACCTAAAATTTCAATATACAGTGAACTTCGCTTATAACGACACTCGGCGGGGTGTCAAAAAAGTGTCCTTATTCGCGAAGTGTCGTTATACCCGAAGTCTCATTATATGTATTACAGTTGGAAAGGACTTTGCTCTGGGCATGGAAATGCTGCCGTTATTCGCGAATAGTCGTTATATCCGCAGTCGTTATTAGCGAAGTTGACTGTACCGAACAAACACTAACACACACAGTCCAATAGTGAACTGCTTCTCTGTACCAAAAATTTCTGTTCACCTAACCTGGCCTTTTGCCCTCATACCGAAAATATTGAGCACCTAAAATTTCTGAAATTCGAGTATTTGGTAGTACATTACATATTATTGTACTCATAGTGTGGAAGAGAAACGCCAAGTAGAGCTCCATGGCACAATGCATTGCTTAGTCAATTGGTAGTTCTACTCTGGACGATCACTTACACGTATTTCTTTGTGTTGTGCGAACAAATGCTATCTTTCTACCGTCCCAGTGCTGGTTCTACGGTTTATCCTTTGGGGGTTGGCTGGCCTGAATAAAGCCACTTCTCAAGATGTGTGGTGACTTATAATCTGGGCTAACTACTGGTCAACTCCTCAGCTTTGAAAGCTGTTGAATGGTGCAATCCCAGCACTAGTTGCTACAGCTTCTACTATAGCCGCACTATCATTGCCTTGGGGATCGGCATCTATGAGGTCTAATGTGTGTGTGTGTGTGTGTGCGTGTGTGTGTGTGTGTGTGTGCGTGTGTGTGTAGGTGCCAATGCTAGTGCGGAGAGTTGTGACCAGCTGACATTGGCTGATCAGGCCGAGATCTCACGGCTGCAGAGAGAAAATGAAGACCTCCGTGCGATGTTGCCAAGCCGGGAAGAAATGCGACTGATGCGTTCTCAAGTGGAGGACGCAACAGCTATGAAGAAAAGCTTTGAGGTGAGTGGACAAGGGGTGATGCAAGTGTTGGTGCCATTTGTACGACGAGCAGCACTGTACAACAGAAATTGCCTTGGTGAGACGGAAAATGACCCTGTGAACCAGTACGAGATTCAACAAAAGTTAGTGGGGTTAAAAAAAAGTATTTGAATTTTCTTTCTTCCTTCTTCCTACGAACAATTGCATTATTTAAGCATACGATGCCGGGATAGAATTAATCTATTAATAATAGTCCTCGTATTCAAATAAGCAGCAGGGTTATTTTTGTAGTTTCAAATGTGTGGGTGGGTGTGTATGCATTTGTTTATGCCTTTCAGGCCAACATGTTAGTTTGTCCTTTGCTATATTTTGTTTTCTTGTGTTTTAGAGCCTGTACGTTGAGCACAAACGCCAATTGTTGGAAATGGCAGAGGAGAAGAGTGGTCTTGAGCGACAGTTAACCGACGCCAAGGAAAAAGAGCAGAAAACGCAGCACTTACTTGACACAGAATGTGGAACATCATCTTCACTTCAACAGCAGCTTCAACTGAGCGAGGAGAGTTTAGCTACTGCTGCCGAAGAGAACACACGCCTGTCCAATGCGATGGATGATGGCATATCCGAGATGAGAGCACTGAAATCACAAGTGTTTGAACTTCAACAACAACTTAGTGTTTCCAGGCATGAGCTGGAGGCAAGCAATGATGCTGCAGCTACTCAAAAAGAACACCTGCTGGAGCAGGTGGGTGAGTTACGTCTGGAGCTCGATACTGTGAATCATGTTCTCCAGGAGACCGGCAAGAAGTACACCGCATTAGTTGGTAACAATGAAGCCCATCAAGAACAGCGCAAACACTGGCAGCACCTACTACACACAGCTCACGACAAGACCAGTGATCTAGCACGGCAATTGGAGCTAGCAAACAATGACCTAACGGTGGAGCGTGAGCGACACCACTCAGCATTTGTGAAGCTACAAGCCAAGTACGACGAAGTCTGCCTGGAACGCCAGAGCAGCCAGCAGCAAATTGCCATTGTCAAGACGCAACTAGCCAGCCTTGACCAAGAGAAACAAGATGTTCAAGATTCGTTGACATGTCAACAATCAACTACTTCTGAGCTGGAGACGAAGTGTGCCCAGCTAGAGCAGAGCTTGGGAGAGTCTCTTGAGCGTGCTCAGAAGCAGCAGTCCAGCCTCACCGAACAAGCTGCCCAGCTGCAGAAGAAGCTTGAGGATCATGATGAGACTGGTCGTGAAATCCTGTCTAGCATTGGCCAGGAAATAGCTACTCTGCTACAACGTATGACTGGCAGCGAGTGGAGTGCACTGGATGTAGATGCATCATCAACTGCTCAGCACCAGAATATCACCAGTTTGCTAACACATACTGGTGAACAACACAATGAACTGCTGGAGAAGAAGACTAACTTGCAAGCAGAAGTTGATGGTCTACGCTCTCGGGTGACTGCTCTATCGAAACAAGCTAATGACGATGTGTCGAGCCGTGAACAGCGCATTGCCATGCTCACTGCTGAACTGGAACAAGTGCAGGCATCGCTGGTCGAGAAGACACAAAGCATCACAGATCTAGCTAACAGCGACCTGATCGCTGAGCGTGAGCGTCATCGGACAGCATTTACGAAGTTGCAGGCAAAGTACGATGAAGTCTGCCTGGAATGCCAGAGCAGCCAGCAGCAAATTGCCATTGTCAAGGCGCAACTAACCAGCCTTGACGTAGAGAAACAAGATGTTCAAAGCACATTGACACGTCAACGGTCAGCTGCTGCAGAACTGGAGGCAAGGAATTCACAGCTTGAACAGAACCTGGGAGAGTCTCTGGAGCGTGCCCAGAAGCAGCAGTCCAGCCTCACCGAGCAAGCTGCCCAGCTACAGAAGAAGCTTGAGGATCATGATGAGACTGGTCGTGAAATCCTGTCTAGCATTGGCCAGGAAATAGCTACTCTGCTACAACGTATGACTGGCAGCGAGTGGAGTGCACTGGATGTAGACGCATCATCAACTGCTCAGCACCAGAATATCACCAGTTTGCTAACACATACTGGTGAACAACACAATGAACTGCTGGAGAAGAAGACTAACTTGCAAGCAGAAGTTGACGATCTACGCTCTCAGGTGACTGCTCTATCAAAACAAGCTAATGACAATGTGTCGAGCCGTGAACAGCGCATTAGCATGCTCACTGCTGAACTGGAACAAGTGCAGGCATCGCTGGTTGAGAAGACACAAAGCATCACGGATCTAGCTAACAGCGACCTGGTTGCTGAGCGTGAGCGTCATCAGACAGCATTTACAAAGTTGCAGGCAAAGTACGACGAAGTCTGTCTGGAACGCCAGAGCAGCCAGCAGCAAATTGCCATGGTCAAGACGCAACTAGCCAGCCTTGACCAAGAGAGACAAGATGTTCAAAGCACATTGACACGTCAACGGTCAGTGGCTGCTGAGCTGGAGGCAAAGAATACACAGCTCGAACAGAACCTGGGAGAATCTCTTGAGCGTGCTCAGAAGCAACAGTCCAGCCTCGCCGAGCAAGCTGCCCAGCTGCAGAAGAAGCTTGAAGATCATGATGAGTCTGGTCGTGAAATCCTATCTAGCATTGGCCAGGAAATAGCTTCTCTGCTACAGCGTATGACTGGCAGCGAGTGGAGCGCACTGGATGTAGATGCATCATCAACTGCTCAACACCAGAATATCACCAGTTTGCTAACACATACTGGTGAACAACACAATGAACTGCTGGAGAAGAAGACTAACTTGCAAGCAGAAGTTGACGATCTACGCTCTCAGTTGACTGCTCTATCAAAACAAGCTAATGACAATGTGTCGAGCCGTGAACAGCGCATTAGCATGCTCACTGCTGAACTGGAACAAGTGCAAGCATCGCTGGTTGAGAAGACACAAAGCATCACAGATCTAGCTAACAGCGACCTGGTTGCTGAGCGTGAGCGTCATCAGACAGCATTTACAAAGTTGCAGGCAAAGTACGACGAAGTCTGCCTGGAACGCCAGAGCAGCCAGCAGCAAATTGCCATGGTCAAGACGCAACTAGCCAGCCTTGACCAAGAGAGACAAGATGTTCAAAGCACATTGACACGTCAACGGTCAGTGGCTGCTGAGCTGGAGGCAAAGAATACACAGCTCGAACAGAACCTGGGAGAATCTCTCGAGCGTGCTCAGAAGCAACAGTCCAGCCTCGCCGAGCAAGCTGCCCAGCTGCAGAAGAAGCTTGAAGATCATGATGAGTCCGGTCGTGAAATCCTGTCTAGCATTGGCCAGGAAATAGCTACTCTGCTACAACGTATGACTGGCAGCGAGTGGAGTGCACTGGATGTAGACGCATCATCAACTGCTCAACACCAGAATATCACCAGTTTGCTAACACATACTGGTGAACAACACAATGAACTGCTAGAGAAGAAGACTAACTTGCAAGCAGAAGTTGACGATCTACGCTCTCAGGTGACTGCTCTATCAAAACAAGCTAATGACAATGTGTCGAGCCGTGAACAGCGCATTAGCATGCTCACTGCTGAACTGGAACAAGTGCAAGCATCGCTGGTTGAGAAGACACAAAGCATCACGGATCTAGCTAACAGCGACCTGGTTGCTGAGCGTGAGCGTCATCAGACAGCATTTACAAAGTTGCAGGCAAAGTACGACGAAGTCTGCCTGGAATGCCAGAGCAGCCAGCAACAAATTGCCATTGTCAAGGCGCAACTAGCCAGCCTTGACCAAGAGAAACAAGATGTTCAAAGCACATTGACACGTCAACGATCAGCTGCTGCTGAGCTGGAGACGAAGTGTGCCCAGGTAGAGCAGAACCTGGGAGAATCTCTTGAGCGTGCTCAGAAGCAGCAGTCCAGCCTCACCGAGCAAGCTGCCCAGCTGCAGAAGAAGCTTGAGGATCATGATGAGACTGGTCGTGAAATCCTGTCTAGCATTGGCCGGGAAATAGCTACTCTGCTACAACGTATGACTGGCAGCGAGTGGAGCGCACTGGATGTAGACGCATCATCAACTGCTCAGCACCAGAATATCACCAGTTTGCTAACACATACTGGTGAACAACACAATGAACTGCTGGAGAAGAAGACTAACTTGCAAGCGGATGTTGACGATCTACGCTGTCAAGTTAGTGCCCTCAGCAAAGTCAGCGATGATACATCCAGCAAGGAGCATCGTGTGCTCACACTGTCTACCCAACTAGATCAATTGCAGACAGCACTGCTGGAGAAAGCAGATCGTATCACATATCTTGAGAGCAAGCGAGGTGACCTGCAACGGAATCTGGATGAAGCAATGCAGGCGAAAGCGTCTATGAGGCACCAGTACGTCCAGAGTCAAGCAGCTGAGACAGAATCCAAACTGTTTGCTGAGCAAGCATCTACTAACTACCACTCATTGCAGAATGAAATGGACACTCTGATTCAACAATACCAGGCTGAGAGTGATTCTTCCAAAGCAACATGTAGAGCTGTGATGGAAGAAGCCAAGAAGCGAGGTGAAGAGGCGACTGCAGAGAAGCAGGAACTGAAGGATGAGCTAGAGTGTATGCAAGAACGAGTAGAGCACTATAAGCACATGACGTCCACAATGGAGACACAGTTAAAACTAGCCACACAGCAACTACAATCTCAGCAACAGCAGCGAGCCAGTTTGGGGCACAACAACAGCGGCAGTGGCAGTGGCTCGTATGGTCGCATGGCACAACCGGGCTATGAGTCAGTTCATAAAGAGTTTGACACTGGCAGGCACTCTGTGTCACAGATTGAGACGTTGCAATCTCCTGTCGACAAACTCAATGATGACATTTCATCGTTCTTGACCGGCACTGATCGACAGCAGCGGCGTACCAGCATTCAACCCACTACCAACACCACAAGCCGTGCCGAGAAAGAAATGGAAAACAGCAGGAATAGTGGTGGTCGTGCTGAGCGCAGTGGTCGCTGGTCGACTGCTACAGCATCATCTCGGCCGCCATTTGCATGGGGGGATAATATCAGTGGGTCGGCGAAAGAGGAAAGTGATGATGATCTGAGTGAAGGCAGACTGAAGGAACTGCAACGGCGTAATACTATAGCAGCGGCTCATTTGAAATCCACATACCCAGTTGAGTTACAGGTTGATGACCGCAAAGCAAGCATTGGCAAGCGCAAACGACCTTCGTCAACGACCAGCAGCACTAGCAGCAATACCAGCAGTCAGAGGGCGTCAAGTCATCTCTCAGCTATGCCAAGCGTTGCAGAGGAACAGCCTAGCAGTATTTCCAAACCAGCGCCAGTGGAATCATTTGCCATGGAGTTCTCTCCACCTAGTAGTAGACGTAGCAGCAGTATGCGGCAGTTACCAGCAAAAATTGCTGCTATGAAACGCTCTGCTGCGAGTGCTCGTCATGAGGATGAAGATGATGATAGCGGTGACAGTGCAAAGCGACGCCAGACATTCCTCATTGCCTCGCCAAAGCCAAAGGAGAAGGCTGCTGGTAGTAGCAGTTTTAAGTCACGTGTCACTGGCCGTGCTGTCACCAGTGCTCTTGCTGACAATGCCAGTGGCCGCAGTAGCAGAGGCAGCAGTAGAACCGCTGATGTTAGTACTTCGTCTAAAGATGTCGTCACCAGCAGCAGTGGAAGCAGTAGCGCTCGCAAGGCTAAGCTACCAGCTCACTTACAAGCTCGCATGGCATCTTATCAGCAGAAAGCTAGCGAGAAAGCGGCTGCTGCAGCTGCAATCAAGTCCTCCACAGCATCCAGCAAGAAGTCTCGCCCACTGACACACAGAAACAAGGTGTAAGTGAGTTGTTATGCTTTGCACTCAATGTAGCATAGCATGCACCAATATTATTGGGTTTAAAACGTTTTGTGCTGATGCATAAGTTAGTTGAGGAGAGGTTTTTGTTTTTTTGTTTTGCCCATTTTTTCATAACCCATGATTAAATTTTTACAAATTTTGCATGCTCATTCTCCCGAGTCATGCTCATACTAGCCATGAAATGAAAGCTGCCACCGCATATGCCCCCTGCCAATTGCTGTCTTCTTCCCAGCGCTGCCCCCCCCCCCCCTCCCCCTCCTTGCAAAAGGATTCTTGCTGGAATAATGTGCTGTTATTGTTACTACGCCATCTTCATGTGTACATTATTTTTATTGGCATCATAATGCTGATGACGTCACTTCAAGGAAGTTGTCACGATGACGTGGGAGAGAATATTATATTATGGCAAGAAAGGTGGCAGAAAGAACAAAAATTAAATAGAAATGGAAAACAAGGAAACACCAAGTTATGCATGCATTGAGAAACTATTAAGAAAACAAACAAAAAGAGAAAAATGAAGAGAGGTTCTTTTTAACAACTTGCAATGTTCCCTATTTTACATTCGGAAGAAAGAACGTCTCCTGATAATTCTATGAATTTTGCTGCGCCCCTATATCAACTTGAGAACGAAAGAATTCCAGCAATGCTACTTGTGAATATCTAGCGTAGTACTGGATACTGCACATCACATACATGTATATACGAATGAAGCCTTGCCAAAACCACCATGATTCAGTTACACGTTGAATACATCCGAAAAATACATCTCGTTGCGAAATAACGTTACGTACCTGCAGGGACACAATAAGGAACATGGACACAATGAGGAATGAGGAACAGATATACAAGTAAGTTTTCAATCGCTCAAACTGATAACTTTCTTGGCAATAACTCCAGATTGTTTTGCCTTCTCTTCTTTTGAGGAAGAAGCTCGTAACGGGTGGTTAGTTAGGCAAAATGCGAGGAATTCTTTTCCTCAATCCCTGCATGCACCCAGTGGGTGAAGCGATGGGGCCGAAAACACCTTGTTTTAGCTGGTTTCACAGCATTCAATGTTTCTTCCTCACTAAAGAAGAGTGCTGATTCAGATGAAGATCATATCAGATAAGCTTGGATGCGGATGGTGTACCAGGATTCCTATATCCACGATCGCTAGGTAGGCCCTCCAAATTGCTGATTTTCGTTTTTTGAATAAAATTTAAATTTGTATACCATCCAAAGTATCAATCTCCAATATTGTTGCTGGATAAAATGTGCACAGATACACCACCCCAATCCAGCTTCTATTGCCAAAGCTACCACACTCGTCTCTTGTACTAAGGTTATTCAGCGCTGTATCCGGGATGGTTTCCTCCCAATGTTGCCGGATTTCCTCAACAATTTGCTATGTGTTATAAAATGACTTCGCAGCTTAAAATTGTTGTCTCACTTCAAGTGTCAGCTCATGAAAGTTAACGTAAGCTAAGCTAATGTATTGTCTCTCATACAGTTAGCCCGGACACGAGAGGCGTTCTCAAAGTGGTCAAAATCGCCGCCACGTATATGCAAAGGTACGATAAAATAAGGTGGGCTGAAATCTTGAATACTGACTTCACGTATTTCTATTCATTCAAACCTTTTAGACTACCAGCAGCCGCCCTGGTTTCAAGTAGAGGAGAGAGAGAGAGAGAGAGAGAGAGAGAGAGAGAGAGAGAGAGAGAGAGAGAGAGAGAGAGAGAGAGAGAGAGAGAGAGAGAGAGAGGAGGGGGGAGAGAGGAGTTGCACCAAAGAAAGTCCAATATCACCATCTCCCAGTGTAGAATGTCATGCTGTCCCAACTTTCACAGCAGATCCCCTGCTCATAATAACAGTCGTCTTTGAACACTGTAAAAGCATCCGGCAAAAGTCAAGTCCGCACACTCACATTGTATGTATCTGTACCCGGACATACCAAGTTACAATGCACAGCGTCATAGGGGCTGAATTCTAGAAGTCGACTCACACTTTCCCCTCTCCGTTCACGCTTTCATGCTGCCGGAGACACCCTGGTGGAGAAAAAGGATTGCACAAAGGAAGAAGAACATTACTACACTCCTGGAGCAAAATAATCAATGAAGCCCAAATCACCATCTACCTCTTTACAGAGTTGTGCCCCTGCGATTCTGAGCTTTACTTTCCTACGTATTTCAACAGACCTAGACTTTCTGGCCAGCACATTTGGTCCCTAGCGCCGCAAATGCAAGCCTTAAAAAATAAAGTTTAACGAAACACAGCATCTAGCTTGCGCCGGCATCGCGCAGTGGCGGCCCGAGCTTGACGCCCTTCCTACGTGGCGAGGGTGGTTCTCATGCCAGTTGCGTACTTGGCAGCCTCGTGAGCTGTCGACACGTCTTCAGAATCGCGGTTACAATGGGCGCCCTTCAGTGGCATGAGCACAGGTGCCAGGGTTTTTTCTTTGTTCTTTTTTGTTTCCTCTTCTCTTTGACCTTTGCTCCCCTTCTACCAGGCATGTCTTCATGTTACAAAAATATGTAATGGCACTAAAAGATAGTAGTTAGGGACTCAGCAGAGTCAAGCAGGACACATCGTGTCGGTCCAAGTTGCAAAATACAAGAAGCACATTATCCCCGAACAGCTGTATGGTTGTGTGGACGGGCGTATGGGTGCCTGCGATCATGTGAGGGCATGTGAGGGGGAGTGATATTTAATGGATGTTTTGTCGAAGTCGTGGGATTGCCATGAAAGTCAGTTTTTTCTTCTTTTCCTTTTTCTTTTTACCAGTCATACCAAGAGTATACAACCCCCTGGGGGGTTATAAATTTATACTCTTGGGCGTACATGTACGTGGTGCACAATGCACGGAGTTCAATTAGATCTGCTCTGCACGTTGGAAGTCAACAGTTTCGACACTAGCGCGCTGGCTATGTACAGTATACAAGTACCGGTACTAGCAAATGGTCGTGCAGTAGGCAGTGGGAGCACAGAATAACTGTACAATGTCATGTACTTATAGACCCGGAGAGCAGAAGTCTGTGTACTGTTGACCAATTTTTTAAAAGAAGCGCAACAGCCGGTCTGGCGATGTCTTCACCTCTCTACTATCTTGTTTTTAACAGAGGTTATCTGTCTTCTTCAGTCCAGGTCCGTTGTCGTTTCCTGACGAGTAATTGTTGAAATATATATTTTAAAAAAGGCGTCATTTTTTTAAGTAATGCAATAAAAAATAATTATTTGTGCCGTCATGTCCACATGTACATATACACACACACATTTCATGTTACTGATCAGTGACAATATTCCACTGAAGAATGTCACAAGAAAACATTCTGGATACAAATCTTGCTGTTTCGCTTTGTGTGTGTGTGTGTGTGTGTGTGTGTGTGTGTGTGCGTGTGTGTGTGTGCGCGCGCGCGCATGCGTGCATGTGTGTGCGTGCGTGTGTGTGCGTGTGTGTGTGTATGTGTAGACATGACGGCACAAAATAATGCTTTTCATTGTATTATAATATTATATAGTTGAGATTTTTATCTCAGTGAAAATAAGAAAGAACTTGGCCAAGAGAGTTGCTATAAGCGACAGCCTTCGTAGATGAAGTAAACACTTCTGATTGTGGTGTTCACGAAATCAAGCGGCACATGGACACCAACACGACAAGCATTCAAAGGGACTGCAAGATATGGCTGATCTGCGCTGTTCTCCTTTTTATTGCCTCTTCCAATACAGTTTACCTGAAAACGATTGCGTCATGCATTGGCCTACACTTCTGATCGGGGCAAATTCTCTTTTTTTCTCCTGTTTGGTGGTAAATCCGGAGATTTCAGCCGAAACCAAGGGAATTCATGTGTGTTGTAAAGGAATTGTCATTTGAGGTGGCTGACCAGCATACAATTCGCCATGACATTTTTGAATTTGCCAAAAATCGTGACCTAATCGACATACCCATGGTATAGATAGGAAGGAGCAGATTCCTTTACTGAATACCCACATGGCCTTGGTTGGAGGAGGCTGCGGTATAGCGTCCAATCCTTATTCCCAACTGAACACGGTCGAATACGGGCCCATATACGATTCCATGCCAATGCGGGGGAAAGTGCGCGAGTTTGATTGGGAGTAAAGGAGGAAGGGAGCGTCTCAGCTTCCTCAGACCGAGACCATCCAACTGGCACCCCGGCTCGAAGACAACCGGTGAAATTTAGATTTTAGACCATACCTCTCCTAGTGTGAATGTGCACTATAGCAGTTAGCAATTATAGCAGATAGAATTGAGAGCTTTGGCAAAGCCGCCGCGCACAGCGATGCAGCAGGTCAAGCAAAAAGCGCCGACTCACGCTGTATACATACTTTACAAGTTAATCAAATAATTCCATTACTCGTAGTATTCAGTGTCCCGAGTCAAATACTCTTGGTCCGAGTAAGCCGAGGCGCTCCCTTCCTCCTTTATTCCCAATCTAACTTGCCACTTCCACTGAAACTGGGTGAGTGTGCCCTACCAGATGAGGTTAAAAGATTCTGCTGAGCAGAGCGGTTGTAGGGCGGCACAAAAGAAAACGCAATGCAAAGCTGTCACGTGTAGAAAGGTGCGGTGGATATGAAAAAATAGAACACAAAGCAATGCAAAAGAAGACAATCACGGGATGAAAGTGTGCGGGATGAAAGTGTACGGGATGAAAGTGTGCGGGATGTAATGTTTAAATATGTGTAAAGGGACCGTCCAAAGGTAAAGAAAAAAAGTGACGGTGGTGACAAGCTTGTTTCCTTATCATTGGGATGATAACTCATCAGACCAATGGAGGTTCTGTGTGGGAACAGTCCCTTATCAGTCGATTTTTTAGAAGTGAAAAGAACGGCATTAGCAGAGGTGTGAATCTACACATGCTTGTGTGTAAGAAAATTTGATAGACGCTTTGTCTTTTTCCACGCAATAAAGGGTGCGGGGCCTATTTTTGTGTCAAGTTGGTGCTTAGCCCATAGATTTCTCATCACTTTGTTTAGACCAGTGAGGCTGGGGTGGTAAGGGATGATAAGGCGAGACCAAAATAAAATCGAGATTCCCAGGCAGGACCCATGTGAAATTGGTGCGGGCGGGCGAATTCTATTTTTTATTTTTTTCCCCATGTATGCACATGACTATATGTGTGCATGCCATGTTGAACTTTTTTCCAGCATTTTCTGGTAATTTTTATTCAATTTTTTTGCAGACGACAGGTAGGTACGCTGTTAACCCGTTCAATTTTTCTATATTTCGGCCAACGATGGCCCTGATCTGTACATCAGGGAGTCGTACAAGCTCGGGTTTGTGTGACTCCACGTCACAGATCTACTCACACGATCAGTACTGTACATGCATGAACTGTTTAAACAAAAATTGGACTTGGCTCGATTTTGGTGCGGGAGGGCCCGGGAATCTCTATTTTTTTTTGGTCTCGCCTAAGTGGAGGTGTGATGTTGCGTGTAACGCGGCTGCGACTACAGATTGAGGGTAGCCATGCTCGACAAGTTTACTAGACAAAAACGACCTGGTACCCAGGGATGCAGCTTCTGTTGTTGAGCCTCGATTTGCTCGGATCATCTCTCCGAGCGCCACCGCTTTCCACGTATGGGTAGGGTGCGAGTATCTTGGTGAAATGTATTGGAATTTGTTTGTTGTTTTGAAATTAATTTTCGATTCAATTTTACCATCCACGATTTTTAGGTGCAAGTCCAGCATAATAATGTCTGTGTTGCTGCTTTCATGTGTGAATTTTACTGGACAATTAGAGGTGATGGGTTCGCGTAAGATTTGTTTAATATATTATATTTACTTCGAAGTATTAGATACTACCGCGAACAAGTCGTGAATGTATCTCTTGGCCAGTAAGGAGGAGGCAAAAAATAAAGAAAGGTGGAATTTTTCCATGCGGAACATGAAAATGTTAGCGTAGGCGACCACTGCGGGGCTGCCCATCGCCCATCGCCCCGTTACCCGTTTCTTGCGTAACTTACACGTATACACCTACTTCCCCGGGCAACCGCGTACAGAGGAACAATACGCCCGCATTTTCTCTCGGTCCAACTGGACACCGCCACTACAATCACTGCCCGTTGAACTCATCGAGTTCAGGATGGAACTAGGGACTACACTAGACACATACAAACCAAAACCCACAAAACCTAATCTAACACAAGAGGAACAGCAGGCGCTAAAATCCCTCCAGGACGCCAACCTAATTGTCTGTAGGGCGGACAAAGGCTCTACTACCGTTGTCATGCCAACAACAATGTATGTCACCCTTTGTCTGGACCACTTACAAAATAAAGATACATACGAAATTGTTACTCAAATTCCTGACATCCAACAGGTCCTAACTACGGCACTGGACCCCATTGCCAAAGACCTGCACAAACGCCTCCGTAAACAACTACGCACATCGGGTAACAGCACACCCAACTTTTATGGCCTCCCTAAACTACACAAAAACCCACTTAAAATTATACCTATAGTATCTTCAATTCTCTCACCAACCTACTACTGGTTGATAAATATGGTGGTAAAGACACACCTGGCAATATGGCGGTAAACACACGCCTGCCCACACACGCTCTCTAGGCTGCAAAGTTCTGGCACAGAGCTCTCCTTCTCACCACCACCACCATCAGTTCGCGCCTGGCGCCTGGTCGATGCATGGCTAGCGGTATCCGGCATAGCAGGCTGGTTTATCAAGTAGCGCATGGCACATAGATGATGACACAGCAACGACATAGCTCGATTGCGACGTACGTTTTGTCCCCGCTGGACTCATCAGGCAATCTTCTTCTTGGATGTCTTCATACGGAGCTTGACTCGGGAGAATGAAGTCGAAGACACCACTGCAGCTGTACTTATGGTTGATAAATATGGTGGTAAAGACACACCTGGCAATATGGCGGTAAACACACGCCTTCCAAAAACACGCTCTCTAGGCTGCAAAGTTCTGGCACAGAGCTCTCCTAACGCACGTCGCAATCGAGCTATGTCGTTGCTGTGTCATCATCTATGTGCCATGCGCTACTTGATGTACCAGCCTGC